GGGGGGTGTTCCTTGATCTGACAGGGGGCCATGCATTCCATTCCAAACAAAGCTTGTCTCACATTGATCCTCCATTTGAGTCAAGACTTGTTGTTCTCTTGGTCTCTTGGTTTGGCCTATAAGTCATGAACACGTCATGGTATCCACTAATGTGGCTTGTCAAAGTCGCCGGTTATCTACAGAGGACTACAGCAAGAGTGAGATCCCGGACTGTCGGCAGTGAACATTGACTGGACTTTAAGGACCGACGAAAGTTTTCACAAAAAGAAGAAGCGGATAGGTAATGCGAGCTTTCAGATACGAACGGATTTCTATGATACAACTCCATTACACGGCGTTACTGCCGCAAGAAAAATAACTGATGAAGCTTCGCCTCTATAACATACATAAATACTTGAATGTTACCAATTTATGACATCCTTTGCCTTCTTATTAAGTCCAATTTGCTTTTCTGAAACCACTATCTGGAATTTAACATCGTGTAGATGACTATTCCATGCATTCATTGGACGTATATCCAGTATATGGCAGCGACTGACTGCGACCCTGTAATGTGAAGTTGACTGTTGGGGGGAATAGCTGGTTTGTGCTGAGGCTAGCATGGACGTCAAAGCCAGCCCCCTCACCGCCACTCATCATGTTAGCAGCGTTCGTCTGCTCAGAAGGTCCACGCATGGATCTCATCGGTTGTGAATATATGTTTGAGTCCCATGGAAAGCTTGCCTCTCGTTGAGAAAAAGCATTCGGTGAACCCGACACAGGCGGGTAGACTGGAAATTGCGATGCCAGTCCTGCTGGTGGTTGAATTTCCAGGCCAAAGCCGAAATCTTCAATATTTGCATCTAGAGATTGCCTCATATTCAGGCCGTCCCATCCTGGAATACTCTGGCTTCTCATATTGAGTCTCGCTTGTCCTGAGGCTACAGATCCGGAGGCGAAGCTATCTGTCCACGGGATGGGGGCCCCTGACATTGAATTCCACATCGTTGATTGAGAAAATGGTGGGTTGGGGTCACCTGAAAGCCCAAGCATGTTGAGGCGAGGATCTGATAGATCAATCCCCTTGAGGCTTTCATCTGGAGTAGGAGAGACACGAGCAACTCGCTTTGTGTCGGCGCCATCCTCAGATGATTGACTTGTCAGGTAAGAGCTGCAGTCTTTCTTTAGCCGGACACAATTGATGCAACGGCCGAGAGGATCAGAGGTAGATGCAATGCATCTTATCTTCCGATGCCTGCATTGTTCTGTAACAGGGTTAGATGCTAAAGCTTCAGCCTAAAAGCTAAGTGGGGGATGCGACGTACTACAGGCCGTCGAAGCACGTCTGTAACCAAGTTTCAGCCCTGTATTCGGACTCGGTTCCTCAACTTCTTGTAGTTCTTCAAAAAAGTCCATTGGATACTGGGCAATGGCGCAAGGACCAGGTATATCAATTGGAGATAATTGAGACCCATCATCTGACGATTGTAGGGCTTGGTTATGTGACGTGCCAAAGTTATATGAGGCGAAGTCGTTGAAAGGATAGGGCCCTTGATGTGGCATGTCCATTTCAGTATCATTAGGATACCATGAAGTGTTGTGAGAAGACATAGCAGCGAGTTTTTGGTCGCCTACCCGTGATCGAAGAAAGCGTGAGGTTTTTTTTGGTTTAGAAGCGATTGTAAAGAGTAGAACGATCAGAATGACAGGGATGAAAAGAGAGTGTGACGTCGGGGGCCGATCCTGCTTGGAACCTATCTGTATGGCATAGATCTGGAAAGCCGAGAGAATCCAGATGTGTGTTGAGAAGCCCAGCAGAAGGTTACATCAGATGAGGATGAAAGTAGCCACAGTAACCATCAGGTCGGGACGGGCGTCAGGCACACCACACTGAGTGATCGTCACCAACTTGATATTTATTATGGTTGAATGATTGGACTCGACCTTGGAAGTCGCAAGCAGTAACGAGGTCAAATACGAAAGTGTGGTCGTTGGCGAACAGAAATAGCTCAATTGAGATACACAATGTAGACAATGTCGTTACCAAAGGGATGAAGCCGGAAAAGATCAGCAAGAAAGAACAGGTTTCAGCTTAATGGTCGTGAGAATGCACTTCCTGTCAAGTATTTGACATTAGGACAAATGCAGAAGAGATCTGCTGACAAGAGCCAACAAGAAAGTCAGGCGTCTCATTCGGCGTTAGTTCCGGGTACCTCGAACGAGCAGGGGTTGGGTTGATGACATCCCAATAAAACTGTGCCGCGTAACGAATCATAAGTGCATGACTCAGTTAATCAGTCAGCCAGCCACTCGAAACCATTGATCATTATTGGGAAGTGAGGCAATTCTATCTGTCTGATAACATAACTTGTTGTCTTTCTGGTCAGGTCCCAGTTCGCAACCGTTGACAATTTTTTTTAATCTCCGTTAGCCAAGGGAAGAGCCGCTGTCTAGAAACCCTATCTGACAAGTTCAGCTTGTCAGACTGTCCCCTGACAGCGTTGCCTTGTTGATCGTTAGCTTGGTCAATGCTAGTTTACACTAGTGAGGTTAGGGCTGACAAAAGCGAGATTCGCTAACGAATCAAGCACACCCCATTTCAGCTCCAAAACGCGACCCACTTTCCATGATACCCATTGACAAAGAAAAAAGTGCGGAATGATATGAGTGAGTGGTGAGGGAATTTCCCTGTTTCTTTCTTTTTTTTTCCCTGGACTCGAAGCGACGATAGATGTCTCGAGTGATTGAAGGAGTCGTGTGGAGAAGCCACTAACTTGTTTCGGTGTTCAAACAATCAGACGCCCCGGCCTGCATTAAGCGTCAGGTGATTCATGTCTTAGATTGTGATTGCAAAACAGGACACTGGCATCTCCAGCCCGACCCTAATCGGCCTCGGGCATTATTTGGGGCTAGATGATTGGAGGCACGGCCCTCCACTCACTCGATCTTACGCTGCACCTTGCAGGGCTTCAACATCTCAACATCTCGCGTAACCGATCCGTCGACTAGATCTACGCTACTAAGCAAAGAGAGTTTAGGTAGGGGTTGTGGAAGAATTTACCTGATGTAACTCTCGAGCAAGTCGCGATACCCGGATGATAGCTCCGATTAATTAGTGACCAGGGGCAAGGTACTACTGTGGGAGGACCACTTCTGGGGTAGCACGGCTGATGCACAAGTCCATTTTTGATCTCCCAAGACCAGAAAAGGCTCCGGATCGGCTGACAACAGGGTAAGATCGTCATGATCTTAATTGAGACATGAGTTCTTTACAGCTGTATCACAGTAGTCAAGACTTGGCAAATTTAAACGACTTGTAATAATGATTATACAATAAGAGATTAATAACAATAATAATAATGACCAAGAATTGAATTTGCAACCACATTGCCATAAACGATAACTTACAACTCCGTGCTGTTGTCCCTGGAGTTCCAAAATGCCCTTGAAAGCTCGTACATGTCCTTTACCCTATCGGGTGTAGAGGAAAAAAATCATCAGAACGTGGCGCACAGGGATGAAGCCCATGCACCGAGATTAGACTCGTGAAGTATGTACCATGTAAGGTCGCGATTTGACTGGTGTTGCCGCGAACCCACTCTTTTGTTTCTTTGCTTTCTCCTCTCCTTCAATGATAGATACTGCGGCGGGAACAAACTTGATGCTGCGCTGGCGTTTGTTTTTTCGCGTATGCAGCCTGCGGTGAGTCTGCAGGTTATCGTAGCGATTGAAGTTGTCTTTGCCGCAAAACTCGCAGCTAAACCTGTTTTGCCCGCCTTCCCCATGATGCCTGTATCTCGGTTAGCTCTAATCCTTGTTCCATCTAAATCCGGTTTAGACTTACGATTGCTTATGGCGCTTGAGATGCTCCACTCGACGAAAGCTCTTTTTGCATCCAGGGTAATCGCATTGACCAATGGCCTTGCGAATAATCTCAGGTTGGGTGACCAGAACTCCAGCTTGGCCCTTACGCGACCCTAAGTGGATTGTTTGAGAAGATCTTGGAGTTTCTTCCGCGGAAGTATACATCTTACGCGGAGACTCCATCCGACAAATCGAGTTACTGTCCCGAAGCGAGTAGGTGACTTGGTGGTAATGGTCGTCTGTGCCGTAAGAGCTTGGGGTATCGGAGAGTCGTCTATCGGAAGCTGTTGTAGCGGGGCTGGAACATGACCATGAACTCATGGGTGCGATACTCGCAGAACGAGAGCGAGGTTCCGGAGATGAAGCCATGAAAGAGCCAGCTGGACTCATGTCGGACTCGTTATCAAAGCGTTCTTCAACGGTACTTGGTAGTCTGACTGAGCTGGCTGGAACATGGTCGACGGTGCTGGCATCTGAAGTGAGCTGATAGTCCATGTAGGCGAACTCTTGATGCAAAGCATTGTGCTGTGGTAAACTTTCAGTCCCATACCCGGTAGCGCCGGATATGAACGCCGAGGACGGATATTGCCCGTCGATCCAGTAAGACATGTTGTGATAGGCAGCGTTCAGCTCGTTGAAAGTCCAAGGTCGAGACTCATTTTGGGCAGATGGAAGTGAAGGAGTAGGGGTGAAGGCCACATCAGGGGATGAGTTGAAACAGAAGTTTTGGGCGAGTGGCAAATAACACTGATTCTCCATGTTGAAAGTATTGTCCATCTTGATCTTCGATCTAGCTTGAATCGTACAAAGACAGAAAAGCAAGATTGTGAATTAGAATTGTAAGAGAACAAAATCCAATATTGAAGAATGATGATGGATATGAAATTAAGACAATCATTCAAGATATTGCAGAGGACTACCTGCTTAAGAGTACTCTGTTAAAAAGACCTTGCCTCTCACGTTCTGTGATAATCATGAGATCATCAAGTAAGGCTGTGATACAGATGACTGCCGCGAACTGAGACATGAAGATACTTGCTCTCGAAAAGGGCCGAGTTGCATCGGCAGACGCATATATCCAGCTCTCCATAAGAATCTCCATCTTTCCGATCGAGATCTGTGATTTCCATCGAACAGCTCGCAACCTCTCAATTTTACCAAAATCGGGTCCTTCCAAGCAAACTACTCCTTAGATCCAGGCACATGGAGCTGAACAGCTAATGGTGATCGCGCCATTGCATTGCAGATCAGGGACTTTCCAGGGACTGCGTTACGTAACAACCGTTCTTTCGGGACGGTTGGACTACATGCATAGCGGATCAAGCATAGACGGCAGATAGCCGTGATTATTCTTGCGATGCGCTTAAGTTCATCCGCCGCCAAAGTAGTCGATTGGACCCCTGATAGTATTTTACGTTCTTGGCTTTCCCTTCTACTAGGAGCTAAATAATTAAAGAATTAGGCTTTTATTTTCAATATAACGTTCTAAATGCATTTCGACTCCCATTCTTTCTCTCGTGCCATCTTGTGAAAATTTCCTCCTGGAGCCATTCTATACTCTCCGAACGACATCGGACCCCAAAGGCAGTTATATCGTTAATCATGTAGATCCAAACTTTCTGTCCCGTGTTTCATGACCCCCTCCAGACTATAATCTGTAACTATATCACAATTTTATTGCCTGTTAGAGGTAACCACGGCACAGTCAATTCAGTCCCTGCAGATCAATACCCCAGTTAGATCTGAATGCATAATCTAGACCCTTCGGTTAAATATCCGGGGAAGAAACATTTATCTCCATCAACCTGGTTCAAGTGACTAGTGAATGGATCAGGGAGCGGCTAATTACTCTACTTTGTCGATCTTGACTCACCCAATATCCCGTGTCTTACAGGCCAACAGCCGCATACCTACACAGGGCGTGAGAGAATAGCAGGGACGCAGTACCTTTTCCCCAGTACCTGGAATATCTGCCGACCGGAGAGTTTCCTCCTGGGTGAGTGGTGGAAGTACGGAAGGTCTCTTTAAGGTATAGCGGAGATTACCCTGTCACACCCTTGCTGACTGTAAGTTGGATAAGCGGAAAAGGAAATCCCTTAGAGAGTGCGCCCCGAGCCAATGGTTTGGCTGAGAACCCAGGCTTCCCATTCATACCCGCAAAAGCACTTTCATACACCAATAATACAATTTCAATATAGGAGGGCGCACCCTATGCGGAGCGCACGAAGACCCTTATCTAACTTGCCCCAGTTTGATCAGCAGGGATGAAATGGTACTCGAGTCTCAGCCGAGCAGGGTTTAATAAACAACAATTGCGATGTTTCGAGTGCCTGCGAGCTATAGAGCATTCCCGTAAGGTGGTACCCGTTACTGGTTTGATCCCTGATCAACACTCTGGATCCCCACCTCCCGAAATTGCTTTTACCAAAATTATGGAAACTGGGGCTTGGGATTTAGCTTTACAGCCTACAGGGGTGTATTTTCCCACTAGGAAGACTTGAATTATGTGTAGAGATTTGCCACATATATACTGACTTGCCACTGGGCAAGATATAGGCTGATAAGAAGGTATCGATATAGCGGAATATACGTGCGGAATAGCGGAAATTGGGAAACTACACCCTTGCGGGCTGTACCTGGTTAGAGATCTTTATTAATTAGTTGTATCCCTCAGGGTGTATACCTACAGTCAGCATACTACCACTGTGGATTCTACCATAAATCAGTATTAGTAGGCTTATCTCAATATTGTCCCCAGTAATAATGCCAGTTTTATTTGCTTCCTTGCTATCACCTTAATCTATATTATAGTTATTATCTGTCAGCACCTTTATACTTTGTTCTCCCTAGAATTAAAACTGTACTTTACTATTTATTATTATTAAAAGAAAAGCGAAAATTCATGCTTGTAACCAACCTCTCTGGACTGTACGTACCCTAATGAGCCAGGCTTGCTTTTGTTTGGTGGAGAACGGCACATCAGTAGATCTGTCACTGTGGCTTAGGCATAAGAAAGCTTGTCATCTGACAGTGATAACTATTCACAATGACATTTAATTTGTCATTCATTCGCTTATACGAAACAGCCACCTTAATGCCAGCTGGATATGTTTGACAGCTGTCAGCTAATCAATCCTACCACTTCAATTAATGCCCCGCCTCACTTAGGCCAGATGCCCCTCCAACCCCCAGATGGCCGATCAGTAGTCCCGGCTGCAGGATCTGATCTGATCTCGCACCCCTTGCACCCCATGCAAGGGACTTCCAATTAGTATTCTTTTCAGGTGGTTCCTTGGCCATATCCCTGTTGACTGCCGTTAGGTTGGCTTAGTCCAACGCAAGATATGTTTTACATCGGCTCAAAAGGTTGCAACACACTCGCGCTCTTCCTGTGCCAACCTGTACACTGTGAGAAACAGATCCATTCGGAGTCCGTTTCTTCAGCAAGAGCGGAGATTTAAGCGGAAGTAGGGGGCAGATAATGGCAACAAAGAAGTACGAGATCCAGTTGAGCTTGCGTCACTAAATCCAGGGTTTTCTGTTAAACTAGGTCCATACAAGTACAAGAAACACTCGGTCCTCATTTCTGACTCGGATATCTAATACCACAATCCCTTTGTTGATACCAGTCAGTTCACTGTTTATACCCTTTTTTCCACCGATCACTCCCGGGCTCATTTCCTTCGTCTCATTCCATTTCACCCTTGAAGTCCCTGATCATCCATCGCAATTCAAAGATGGAAATTATTGAATTTACTTTGCCTGATCTTGACTTCAAGGCAGATCGGCATGTTGTAAACGGGCCTTCTCAGCCTTGCTTGCAACAACAAACTCCGCCGACCTCAGACATTGGAAGCCCAGACACCGGAACCAGTGGTAGGCTTTTGTCTCTATTGCTAGATTCCAACTGACTAACATGTGTTGATAGAAAGCAACATTGATTCTCAAACTGTTCCACACATTGCAAGGCTACCGTGTCGGTCCAGTTCTCCTGTTCATGGCACCTCAATGAGGTTACCGGGCTTGGAAGCATTTGACCGAGGAGTTGAGGCTCTTGCACGATTTGATACTCGCAGAGGCGACCGTTCTCTCAAAGGTCTACTTCCAAGTCCTATCCCACGCGCTCGCAAACCAGTGCAACCGCTTCCTCCGCCTCGACTATTATGGTCACCCTGGAATCTACCAGATGAACTCTCCAGTCCTGAAAGAAGTGCCTCACCCCCAGAGACTGCAATCGGTCTTGGTATCAGCTACCCAACTAAGAGTCATGGCTACGATGGCTTCCTTGGAAATCGTTCATTTTCATTCATTGGCAGGCGTAGCGTATCTCACTATGCTCGGCCTATGAAAAGTTGCTTGCGCAGCCCGTCGTCCGATGAAAGGAACAGCCACGGCAACCAGCAGTACTCGGTAGAAGAGGGTGATTTCATCATCTATGCGCGACACGACAAGAGGTTCAAGTGGTCACGCGTCGAGCAAGAGTTTGCTGCTCTGTTTGGTCAGACTCCCAAACGGTCAGCTCAAGGCCTTCAAGCCTGGCATTACCGTATGAACAACCATATTCCAGTATGGGATGAAGACGGGTGGCTATGCTTCGACAGTGAAGAAAGTGACAAACCAAGTCAAACCGATATCAAGTCCCATCGACTAAGTAACCACGGACAGTCATCAGAGCTGTTAGGTATTGCACAGCGATATCCCGAACGGGCTGTGAACTACACGTGGGTTGATGCCGAGACGAAGAAGCAGGCCAAGGATTGGGGTATGTAAATTGTACCAGATGTCATTAAGCAATAACACTAACTCTTTCGACAGCTGCCAAGAGAAGTTTGCAACTTGAATTTAGAGATCGACGACGAAGAAAGCGAATAGCACGAGCACTTGCAGAGCAACCACACAACTGACTGTTCTATTAAAAGATATCATTTCCATTGTGTACCATACGCTGGAAAGGAGTTTCTTGGTTTTACTGGTAGAGGACGACATTTATGTGATTATGCATGAGACGGTTTCAGCCTCCCCACAACGATTTACGGTTTACGGTCATGAGAATAATGGCGGTGTACAATACTTTTGGAAGCAAGGATAATGGATTTACTCATAGGCGTTGTCAACGTGGCTAAAGAGTGAGATAAATTGATTGATTTGCAGGTCTGGTTACTCTATGGTAACATATTCGTCAACGAGTGTGACAAGCTACCAACCACTTTCTTCTTTTTTATTGCAAAGGCCGATGCCTCGAGACGAGGGACAAGATCAGAATAGCTCACGTGAGGCCCTTTGCGCGAGATGGTGTTGGTCATTGATTCGCTGTGACAGTCTCGGTGGACCGGGGTGAGGAAGTTGAACAAGTCATCAACTGGTGTGAAAAGGTGGCAAGACGGCAACGCCACTGAAGTTAAGCGAGATCCTCCCACCCACCCTATACACAGTTTTCGATTACCCTACTGAACTCTTGACCTACCAAGATGAATTCAATCCTGAATTAATTCAAATCTGTCAGGCTGTATCTAATATCCAGATTGAACCCTACTTTCTGAATGATGATAAGTATGTGAATGAGATGATGGATTGAAGTTGGCTGGGAACCTCGTCAATGGTTATCACCCACCGTGTGTTGACACCCCGCCATTCAGTCGATGTTGTGTGGATCGCATTCGCCGATCATTACTTATCGAGATCTGTCAGATCTCACAATGGAACTTAATTCCCTCAAGCATGCCATCCATTACATTCTCAGAAAGTAACATTGCAGATCTTCCCGAGGAATAATGTTAATTATATCAAGACCTTGGGTAGGTACTTACTTTCCGACCTAAATTTACACCTATGATAAGTACCTCACTAACTCCTACCAAGTTATCACTAACACAATCCCACCATATTATAGTGCAGCCTAGATAGTGTAAGCTAACTAATGATCTGTGTTGGTTACTCCACAGATACTTCTATACGACCTTACGGTACCGTGAGAAACAGTATCCCTTTTCACTGCTGATCATATTTACTTACCATTCTAATTGCTACGGGCTTTCGACCACGATAGCACTGCAATGAGGATCTAATGAGGAAGCTGACAGACTTTCAACACCAATGACACTTAGCTCCCTGTGATCTGCTGTGAGCGCTCTAAGCCATAAACTGCTTAGCATGCGTGCCAAGGCCCAAGAAAGTCTTGAATGGGCGCTTTTTTTGAAACTGACAACTCAGAAAAAATGGCAGTATGAGACAGGTCATGAGGGAAACGGACTCTGAGACACGGCTCCATGAGACACGGCACACTAGCGCTATAGCGTCACAGATATAAGCACCAGGTCGGTGGTGTTGAATGCCAAGGTGGCACAGGAGGTGGCGGTGAATCAGGTATCCCCGCGGGGCATTAGTTTAGACTTACCACTTCCGCGAGAGATCGCATTGTTGACTGATTGGCATTGAATCCCATATGGGAGGTTATCCCCATTCGGGGAATAATATAGTGGAGTTTGTGGAGTATCGCAGTTGGCTTGGTTCTGCAAGGGAACTGCATAACAACTGTCGCCAACACTTGCTTGCTAATAGGAAGTACTCTTCGTACAGGTTCATCCTATGTTCATCCTATGATTGATGCACTCTGGAATGTCCAGAGAGTATTGACCGAAAGTTTCACCGATGAATGAGTCGGTAATACTGAAAACTTCGATTTGCATATTGATTGACTGGCATGGCACAAGAAAGGATGACTTGTACCTGATCGGCTAACCAATATTGAGCCAGTTAGAGTCCGAAAAGAGACATGTTGAATTGAATAGCAGATCTTTCGACAGCCATAACCGTAACTAGTAGACTAGTCAGGCACCATAGATGCTTACCGCTACCAATGGGTGGCAAACTACACGTGAGGGAGACTTGGTCGCAGTGAAAGTGAAACAGCCCGTAATGAAGCCGTACAGAATCCACATGCTTTCCCTAGACGGAAAGGAAAACATAGTTTTCCGCCATCTTCAATAGCGGTGAATACATGCACTTGAGGATGCAGGTCCACGCAAGGAAACACAATATCGTTGAGATGTTGTTTCAGTTGATCGGCGATTGTCGACAAATGAGATTAATTCAGGTATATAAGACTCTCTTGATTCCCTCAAACAACTTCTCATCTCATCACTCACAATCACAACTACTCACTACCACTTCAACACTTCAACACTTCAATACTCTCAAGTCTCCGACTTTCAACTCACCAACTTTCAAAATGCACGCCTCTGCCATCATCGCTTTCCTGGCCACCGCTGCCACCGCCGCCGCCGCTGTTCCCGGTGGTTCTATCAACACCATGACTGTTCAGCAGGCTGCCAACTCTTGCGCCAACGGCCAGAGCGTTTACTGCTGCAACCAGGTCACCAACAAGCCTGCCGGCAACTCTATCGGTGAGGGTGCTGGTATTGCCAACGGCCTTAACCTCTTCAGCCAGTGCTCCAAGGTCAAGGTTGACGTCCTCGCCATTGCCAACAGTCTCCTTAACAAGGAGTGCCAGGCCAATGCTGCTTGCTGCCAGGACAGCCCCGGCACCGTAAGTGATCGTTCTAAACAATATTTTCATGTATACTGACTATCTTCAGGCCGCCGGTGGTCTTATCAACGCCGCTCTTCCCTGCGTTGCCATCAGCAACCTTGTCTAAGGTTGATTCTCGAGGAGGCTATTAGGGTATCCGATGGAACTTGGAGGTAGGAGAAGACCTGGTATCGCGGTCTTTGAGGACATGCCTGAGGAGTCTGGACAAGTGGGTTGACCACATCGTACCGTTTACAGTCAGAGATTTAGTGCTATTTTCTCTTCGGGTGTAGCTTTGCTTCACCAGTGTGTCTTTAATTCTATACTTATGCTTATACTCTATACGACTTTACCACTTCTCTTGTGACCGATTTGAAGAAAGGCGGCTTCCTTTGGTTGACCTCAATTCACCACTAGCACAATATTCAAGCTCATCATTGCCCCTTATCTGCAATATGATCGATTCAGCTCCTATCCAACACCTGATACTATTATAAGACAACTTTCTATCTCGGATCTAACGATGCTCTGTTTTATGAACGTTTGATGTGTATGTCATCCTTCAGGTCACCTCATCAAGTTACTGGTCAGTGATGGTAAACTGTTTGAGCTCAGTCATTTGCAGAAAGACTTTCACAACACAAAATGCGTGTATACCCCATAAAGCAATGAACATATCAAGATACACATATCTGTACTGCACCGCGATTCCTTTATTTAATCTAGGTAATGCCTTTAGACAACTCGTTCAGCCTTTAGCTTGAGTCGAAGCATCAAGACACGAGGTAGTTGATACAGTGCTTCACTAAAACATTATATCGGACGTGGTAATTCAACTCGAAATGACTCGAAATGACTCGAAATAATGGAATAATTTGGCAAGGAATAACAATGATTAAACAAAAAGTTTCTATAACTGTTTAAATAGCCTCAACATCAACCAGAAGTCTACCACGAATAAACCATTGCGCCTTCAATTGGAGTAACCGTCTGCCCACCGTTGACGGTAAGTTGCCCATGAGTTATGCATCCGGAGCCTTTGACCAGGGGTAAATTCTTCGTAACAGATGCTGCAAGACTTGGTTAGTAACCAATCAGTTGACCGTTTTCGCTTGCATAACTTACTCATACGAGTAATCCATATAGTTATGGATAGGATCATCACCGGGCATATCCGGACACGTGTCCCTTCGCTGGGGACATCCACTTGTTGCCTCCTTTTGCGCAGGTGTGTCTGCGACCCTATCACCTGGAGCATCGCATCCATTCTGAAAAGTATGGAAGAGACTGAACCAATGGCCGACTTCATGAATCACCGTGCCGCCTAGGTTGTAAGGCGCAGAGGTGCCTCCAGGAACAGTCTGTGCCTCAACAACGCATCCGTCGCGGATAAACGCGTCAGAACCAGTTGAAGTATTGGTGGGAAAGGTGCAGTAGCCTAGAGCTGTAGTTTTGCCAAGTCTGGCACTGTCGACAAGATAGAGATTGAGAGCGCTGTAGTCGCCTTTTCGCAGTGTCCTTTTCATGCCCAATTCGTCTCCACCAGGACCCCATCTTTCACTGAGTATGGCACTAGTGCTGATGTGTTTGAATGAGATATTATGAGGGGCAAATGCTGCGTTCAAAACATTCATCTGGTCATCGACCTGCTTCTTGGTGATCGCCTCTGACACGTTGCCAGTCACGACGTGTACATAAGTATCGACACAGATGTGTTGTGAAGTCTCAATTCGGGTGGTCTTCTCAATGTTCTCTAACACCTTGATACTATCAACCTCTTCGGCAGTAGGAGATGTTATACCGCAGCGAGAAAACTGATTGGATCGTTGAGAATGGGCCAAAGAGTGGCCTACTGCGTTACTGCAAAGGAATAGGATAACAGCTCTGAGAAACATGTTGATTTGGAGTATGCTTATGGAAGAGATTAAAGGTGAAGGTGCTTACAAACAACAATCAAGACTCAGTGTATAACCGCATCTTATTATACTCTCTATCACCCTCCGCCTACGTGTCAAAATACTGTAGGAATGGGGTTTTTACAATCCTTCGTTATAGTCATTTTTGCGATTGACAGATGGCGCCGCCCCTGCCACTGCGTGATATCGAAAATGCCATGGAATTCACTAGCATTGATGAACAATGGCATTGTATTGACTCATATTGAATGTCTCAAGGTGCTTGCCTTCTTAAGGCACACGGGATAAATTATCGGTTGGGGACCTAAAGCCTTACGCGATTCAAGATCGGTGATTACATGCTTGATGCTTGTTGAAGGGAGAAGAACATTAGCAGAAGCGGCTAAAACTAATAATAATTTCCCCGAGAAACACATAAACAACAGGGGGGCCGGAAAAGTGTTCCGAATTTATCTTGTGTCACAATGTCTAAAGAAGATAACCCGCCAGCCTCACATGGCTGGGAAGACCATCGAGTCTTGGTATGAGTTTAAGGGGGCCGCTCACGGAAGTGACTACCTAGGAAGATGATATTAACATCATGGCCCACCTGATCTCAGTAATATCGAAGACTTCACATTCAGTTGTCCGAGATCAAATGTTGTAAAGATAATCAATGCAATGTTGAATTACGCGATGGAAGCAATCTCTATCTAAAGCATCCTGAACTAGCTCAAGCAAAATGATCTCAAACCCATATGCAACCTTCAACCACCTCTTAGCATAAAACCTCAACCTTGACCGCAACAAAGTGGATCCACTGTCAATGGCTCGACTTGACTCCCTTCCAATCTTGATTAGTACATACACAGAGACCAATAGTGATGAGGAAGACTCACTAAAACTGCCGTTTTGGGATACCTTTTTACAGGTGTCGAAAAGTGTCTAGAAACCGCCAGCCTCACCGGGGCCAGCAGCCGGTGCAGCAGGGGCGTCAGGGGCAGCAACAGGGGCAGTAGGAACAGCAGCAATGCTGGAAACCTCGGTAGGAACACCATTGATAGTGGTAGGGATGGGGACAACATCAGTGACACAGCCATCACCATCGGAAGTGGTAGCGGGGGTGATGAGAGCGTTGAGAGAAGAAATGATGGCTTCAAGGTCTCCAGGAGCCTGGCGCTTATCGAAACCAAAGTCATCGACATTGTCAAAAGCATCAGTGGTGGCAGCGACAGCAGTGGTGATCTCAGTAGGGGTACCAGAGATAGCGGTCGAGAAGGTAAGGATGTCAGTCATAGACTGAGTGTCAGTGGGCAAGCTGGGGAACCCATTTCCGAGAAGAGAGCTCAGCGAGTCAAAGAAGGCAGAAAGCTGAGCTTCATCGAACTGAGGAGCGGCAAGGGCGGCGGAGAAGAAGGCGAGGGCAATAACAGACTTCATTTTGAAGATTGGAGTTGAAAAGAGTAAGAGGAGTAGTGTGTAGGTGGGTAGGTGTTGAGTTGATGGATGCTGTAGTTGTTGGATTGGTAAGTTGTTGTAGGACTGAGATGAGAGTTTGACGGATCCTATGAGATATTATATATTGAATTTTCAGTTACATTTGATAGCATCTGGCCATCCGATGGAATGCGTAAAGATCGCTATGATGGTCACCATAGCCACAAGATAAAATGCGTAAAGATCGCTATGATGGTCACCATAGCCACAAGATAAAATGCTTGACTAGAATTGACACTTGTAATACAAATCAATTACGATCGAAGATATTCAACATCGATCTTGGTGTTGCACGATGTCTTGTCAAGTAGAGCACAAGACCTGAAACAGAGGCCGAGATCTGAAGTGGTTGGATAAGCATAACCGGATCCGGGAGAATGGAACGCATACTCAACATTGACATATCTTGACTATCAGGTTTGCCATGAGGTTAGGTAAATGCTTACTAACATGTCCGAAGGATGCTGGGTGTCGGAATGGTGCGCTAGAGTAGGACCGACTGTACAGGTAGTGTATATCTATGTTTCACGATTTGAAACCATAACGCGACATTGTAAACATGTGAAGTGACGTCAACACAAGAGTTCAGCTTTTGTGGTTTGAATTAGCTTTACCATCTGTGTATACTACATATCGTGGAGCAGGTATAGAATATTATACGACAACAGAAGTATAATGGTTAATTACGATATCCTGTTGTCTAGTATCTGAGAAACATTGCAGCTGAAATTAGTTTGCTAAGCTCGATATCGAGCTCGACGTGTTAAAATCCATGCAAAGACTACAGCACACAATCGCCCAGTCCTGTCGAAGACGTGGCTCACAGTTAACAAGGCAATAAAGCAAACACTAAAAATGGCAGATTTAATTCAAGCATTATCCAATATGTTTAAGTTCTATATCAAAGTTATGTAACTCGTTTTAATCATACCTTGTTCTTGTTATAAAGGGGTCTAGATTCCAGCAATACTACCCTAGAGGAATGACTAAAGTATGTTAAGCGGAATGCATTGTTGAATAACTTGAATTTTAGCCGGCCTTAGCCGTTTCCGGTGTAATGTTATCCCTTTCAAACTCAATGCCGCTTTCGTCCTTTTTTGCATGAGATTGCTTTTTATTAAAGACCGTCCTAAGCCGGCGAACGTTTGTTCCTAAATCTCAAATAATCTTACCTTATGCTGTCATTCATCGCAACAATAATAATGCGCTTTTCCATCATACTGGCCACCCTCTCCAGCTTCGCCATCGCCAGTCCACGTTCAACTCAATCCAAGACCCATCGACAGGTTTCCACCTTCCAGGTTGTGTATGATAGCTCACAAAAAGTCAAGGCTGCCAACAATACGTTGTACATAGGATCTTCCAAGCAACATGCTTGCTGTAATCAGATGAATGCTGAAGATGCAGCCACCTTCTTCGTACAAGATAAAAAGCTCTTTCTATATTCACCTGGAAATCCCAAGCAACAGGTAATTGTGGATTCGTCAAGATGTGAGCAGATCTCTGTAAGATGATGAACTTCGTTGACATATATCAGGCAAAGCTTATGCGCGATATTCCATTGGCTCTCGATCAGATATCAACAACAAGGCAAACAGGGGCTGGAGAATAGACAGTGATGGCAGTCTTACCTTTAATGATTCTAGCCTGATGACCTGCGGCGATTCCAATCTGGCGCGAGACATTCTTGTGTACGACGGCGATCATCAGCCAGACAAGTCATGCCGCAACCTCACAACTAAAGTATTAAACATCAAGCGCCCCACGAGTTGCTTGTATACTGGAGAAGGACAGGTTGTCTCGCATTATTGTCTATCAGACTGAGATCAATCATTATATTCTCTGGATATTTTACTGTACTTCAATATATCTCCCTCCTGACAATTTACTTTTACAAGAAACGGATATCGCTCCCGCAATAATCTATTATTTATCAACTCAACTCAAGAAGCTTAACTTCTGTTGACTTAGCACATTGAACTATTTGGACGGGGATCAACGCAGTCGTGCTAAATTCCGATATTTACCAGTCTTCGTACTCGAAATCCGACATTTATCATTCCCACAATTGAGCCCTGATCTTGTCGTGTGCTCTGGTAGGCAAGTTATGTAGAGGATCGGTGATAAGCCCCGGCCATGTTTATTACCCTGCCTCTCTTCGTAAAGATTCTAGGGATGCGACGAAAAGCGGGTAAATTGTTAACGAAGAAATAACTGGCGAAAGAGGGTAGCGGATGCTCCGGGAGCCGAGACAATATCCAGGGCGAGGGGTCGGAGATAAAATACGAAACGCTTCGTGGTTAATTATCTGCAGGGTTAGCCTTCGGGTCTTTTAATCCATACTAGTCCGATCTACCGTTAATCTTAATGAGTACGTTCTGCCGTGCTTGGCCCTTTTTGACTCAGATGTTTTGCGTAAGTCTGCTCCCGCACAAGCGAACTATCGAGTTGTGCCGTGTCTAAGATTTTTGGACCCACATACTGAGGGCAATTCTACCCTTGAGAATTATTCCTAGCCACCATCTTTGAAGTTGACGATGGATGATATGAGAAACCAACAAGTAATCGCACCTATAAAGATCGTCTGGTGTGCATGCTCTGGAATGAACAACAATCCAGCACTCATTCAGTATTCCAATCATTTTCACTACACTCCTTAACGTCTCGGCATTATGAAGTTCTCTACACCAACTCTCCTTCTTGCTTCCATTCCAGTCGCCCTTGCTATTCCTGGAGACTACGGATATGGCTTTGATTGTAAAGCAGTCACCGTTACAGCTACAGTCACCTACACTAAGCCCAGCTACGAGGTCCCAGCCATCAAGACTGTCACTATCACGAAGCCTAGCGACGGTCTGACTAAGGCTAAGACTGTGACAGTCACGCAGGCCAACTACAAGGATCCCACTACCAAGACTGTGACAGTCACGCAGACCAACTACAAGGTCCCAGCCCCCAAGACTGTCACTATCACGAAGCCCAGCGACGGCCCGACCAAGGCCAAGACTGTGACAGTCACACAGACCAACTACAAGGATCCTACTACCAAGACTGTTACTACCACCCAGTCGGACTATGGTGCTTTGCCTACCAAAACTGTGACAATCACACAGAACAACTACAAGGACCCTGCCACCAAGGTCATCACAGTCACCAAGCCCACCTATGGCCCAACAATTTACAAGACTATCACCAATACCTTCACCACATACGGATGGAAGCCCACAGTGACCAAATACCACCATGAACCGGCTTACACCATGTACAAGACTGGTACTGTTACTAAGACCGTTACCAAGGCTTGCCACAACGATGAGAAGGCTCCGCTCAACATCGGAGTTTTTGACAACTCTGGAAGTGGATCTGGAAGCGGAAACTGGTGGAACTGAGAGATGCAAAATTCTTAGATACTTGACTTTTGTAATTTCCTTTGTATATTTCACTTCTTAATATAGGTATATCGGAACTAGGTTAACTACTGCTAGATGTATTACTGGAAATACAGTAAGGTAACAGTTGTATCTTTTTAGGGTACAGAAGCCTTTATATAATACTACTTAATTTTATTTACATTCCTAAACCTTCTCATTACTATACTATACTTAAGATACTTAATAAGATTATAAAGCTTAATATTAAATAAGTATTCTCTTTATATCATAGTAGTTTACTTAGTTTTTATTTTACCTTTACTTTATATACTTTTAATAAGTTATATAATAGCCAATTTAACTACTTTTTAGAATAAGATTTAAATAATATATTAAATAAAATAACTTTACCTTATAAAGTAAACCTACTTATTACTTCTTCTTTCTATTTCTTTTATTATACTTTTAAGTAAAGTAGGCTAATTAGGATAGTAGTAGCTCCCGAGTTAAAGGTTCAAGACCGTATATGCCCTGCAATAAACCGTGGCATTCTTACTTCATCCTGCGTTTCAGATGGGTAGAATGATTAACGAACGACGAGAGCGTAGCTCTCCAATACCTATGTTTAAGTGCTTAATATAGTAGAGTATTATGCATGTACCTTTGATCAAACTGATGGCCCTCATTCAACTGTAAGCTGCATTCATTCATGACTGTATCAAACCCCGCGTAATATAGCGAATTATTTATGATCGCGCAATATTGAAATCCATGTCAAGTTTAGCAGGGGCCATCATGGCTGTCCTGGGGGTAACGCTCATTAGTCCTAAACGACTGACCATGGTGTTTCTAATCCTTGTGAGCCAACCATTTGCCGCCCGACCTATGCCAAGCAACCCAGTTACAGGACCAATTTTCAGCTCTCATGCAGCTAAATAATTGAATGCCGAATATCGCAATGCAGTTCAAGAAACACGACTTTTTCTTTTCATTCGGCGGTTAAAGAATGTCTGTGAATGGTTACCATGACGTGATAAATGCACTCCAGGAATCAGACTCAGTTGAGGCATTCTCTGAGTCACGCTGATCGACGACCTAACTACAGTTTACGGTAAGGTAGCAAAAGTGTTCTCTACAATGTGTGAAGAAGTCTTTATTATCACGATGATTGAATGAAACAACGGAACTCTTCCTCTTATTGTGGCTTGGTGCGATGGTACACAACCTTCAACACCAGCTCACACATCTCTATAATAGGAACAGAAGCAGGCTCCGGGCCTCTTTATGCGGCCAACCTCAAAATGTGTTTGTCCATTTGATTAGACAAGGCAGACTGGAAAATGTCACAAGTGCATGATATGATAAGACTAACCTGAAGCTGAGCTGAAGCTCTCACCACTGAGTATATAAATCACCACGTTGTCCCAGTCTATTCGTGAATTTCTACTTTCAGATTCGACCCATTCCTCTCAACCCATCACATCAGAGATTCTTTGAAAGTAATGGAAGCTTGTTACCCCCATCAATCAAACATGACCGCTCAGTTCCCTCTTACCTACCCTCCAACCTGCCCACAATGCGACCAGCTTGCTACCCGCGCTAGAGTAGATGCAGGCAAGCGCAGCAACACTGCCAACCGTCCCTACTACTACTGTCAGTCTGGTCACAAGCGACAGTTTGTTACCTGGGACGACATGGAGGGCATCTCATCCCACAACCCCCGATGCCGATGTGGCTACCACAGTCGACGAAACCAAGGCAATGGACCTATTCCAAGTAAATGGTTCGCCTGTGCTTCCAAGACATGCTCCTTCAGTCAGAACATTGAGACAGATGACGAGCCTGTCTATACTCGAAGCCCCCAGAGGTCTCAGGGAAGCACTATGTCTTCCACAGTCGCTGCGTAAGTCTTTTATCACAACCATTGGACTCGGTGAATTGACAGTAAATAGATCGAGCTGCCGCGATCATGACCGAAAGAGGTCGCCATCAATGGAGGATGCCAACCTTCATGAGATTATTCAGAACATGAGCATCAAGGTTGAGCGGATGGAAAACACTATTGCTAGTCAGCGTTCTGCAGCTCAAAGCTCGGTGAACATTGATTGTTCCGTTCATGGTAGTGGCCGTTCCTCTTTCTTTCGCCGCCGTCGTTGTATCTGCGCATTTTAGTTCCGGTCTTTGTCTTCTGCCTTGTCGCTCATTTCTTTTCCGTTCTGCCCCTCCCTCCTTCATACCGAGCCTTGTTGAAGCTGTACACTCCTTCAATAGTTTTCTCTATCCCATAGCGTTAATCGTACGAGTTTGAGCTCTTTGACCTGTAGTCGTTTACTTTGATCAGTGAATATTTCTGGAAATGACTTTCAAGAAATTGCGAGGGATGTAGCAGGGCTGCCTCTGACTTTCGTGAGAGAGGTGGAAAGCGACATCCGCAACGACAGTGGCAGGTCGGTCACGCACGTAAGCCTGAACGACTCCAGCACTATTAACAAGATAGACCATGCGTATTATGTGACGAAATGGGATCTAAAAATAATCGTTTCGAAGCACTGGTGTCTGTCATTATATTACCCCTCCTTTGCCCAAAAATACCTGATGTCATCTACGTGAGATGACGTGCTGTGAGCCTTATGATTCGCCGGGGTAGGAAGGTGACAGCCTAACTGAACTTCATTCACGTCTGCAATAACTCTATGGCCTTGACCGCCTCTATCATAGTTTCAGTGTTCTCTCTGTTCGACGATCTTATTAATCGCTATCATCTTGTCTGGATGCGATCATGTCTGTATCGCAGGCTTGGCGATCAGCCGACTTAACTCCCGAGCAACTTGAAGCCTTATACGAGCCCATCCTTCTGGAGGATGCCTTGCACAAGGCCGCAACATTTCCTACTTATCCACACGAGAGCGACAACCAGTCGGCCGGAAGGTACCAAGCGGACATGGAGGACCTCGAAGCATTCCGATTTTATGTCAATAAACTCGCCCAGGTTTGCGACAATGAGCGTGGTGGGGATACAGTCAGCGCGATCGCAATACTTCGAGGCTCTACTGGCCCCAACTATGTAATTGGTTCCAACTTCAGAGATCCAGAAGACCTACAGATGACAAAGGATTTCATGCAAGCGTTGTTAGATCTTATGGGCAAGAACCCGGACAGATTGCAACCCAAAGCGTTAAGAAGCCGCGTGCTTTGGTTCATACTATCCTTCAACATTCCACGACTGCAAGAGTACCTGCAACATCTGAGTCAAGCAGTGCAGGAATGCCGAGAGAGTTGTGAAAGAAAGGAAGAAGACGAAAGTAAGTGTTTCAAGATGTTCATCCTTGGCTTCAACTTTGCTAAACCGCGGAAGATTCTGAACCTTTTAAGACCCTTATATGCTTGGCAGACAAATGCGATTTCAAACTAGATATCTCAAAGTCCAACGAAGAGGATAAATGTAAGTAATCTACCGCTTGAAGCCATGCGACCGACATGAAAGTAACTCGCCAGCTTAGCAATCAGCAACTGTGAAACAATGATCAAGGCCATTCACACCCTAGATCAAACAGAGATCTCACAGAGAGCCAAGGATGCAGAAATGACAAGGAGCGAGCCATGGTGCAAACTCCGACACTACCTTGGACGCTGGCTTTCCTACCGCAAGGCGGCTGAAGGTATTGTTACAGTTTCTGAAAGATGGCCCGATCTGTTCTTGGATTTTGAGATTACCATGGTGCCATCTGCTTCACGGCTCCAGAAGCCGAATTTACCATCCGGCCTTACGAGTTCGATCATCATTCAACACGTAGTTGCAGAAGACAAAAGCCAAGATCCAGACCTCAATCAACTAGCTGATGGTCTGGAACAAATGGGAATCGACGAGATTATCCAGACATCTCAACAATCCAGAAAGTTTAGACCAAGGCTACATGCGGAAAGTCTAGTGTACGAGTACCTTTCAACAAACGGACAAACAGCTGTAGAATACTACTGGAATCGCTGGAGTTACATCGGCAGTAGTAAGCCTACGTGTCGCCTATGCCACTACTACTTTGAAGCCCTCCAGGACGACAAGCCGGCTATTCGCTCGTCTCACTATAACCTCTATCGGAACTGGCGGCTTCCCGAGCATCACGATGCACAAACTCGAGATGAGATTCTGGATAAGATTGTTCAGAGGCTAAGGGCAGATGTGATAAAGACGTTGAAGGAAAAGAAGCTAAGGCGGAAAGCAAAAGACTCCAACACTTATTCGTCTTTCCCCGAGGACCTGCGGATGAAGGACCATACTCCAGGGTCTACAGAGAGTGACGATCGACGATCATCTGGTTCGACAGACTCGCGAGAGGCAAGCGATGGGGAATCGGAAGCCGTAACTAGTCCCACAGACTGAAAGAGTAAATGCAAGTAGTTTTTTGAAGTCTCCGCGAATCGACGCTACACATTTCTTTGAGTCCTCGAAATCACTGAATGCATCCTGTCATGCCGGAAGGTGCTATGTATTCCTTACAATGGCATATCGTCTCTCGCCATATGAAGATAACGTTTCCGAAATACTATTCCTTCCCTCCAATCTTCCCGCCGGTAGGGCTCTTTCCTGTCTCAACAGCATCCTTGGACCTTGATCCGCCGGATTGGGCGCTCGCATCCTCCGGCTTCTTCCCTTTGGCGGCGGGAGGTGTAGGACCTGGGTGCTCTGCATCGTGTGTTGCTTTCGAATTGGCACCCTGCTCCTGGGGGTTGGAGGCTACTGGGTCTCCTTTGCCGTCCCCGTAGCCCTGGGATGCATATGTGTTTCTTTGTATGAATGAGACCTGAGGGGCTTGGGACGTGATTGTGGTGCGCGCGATGACTGGGCGCAGAGCCAAAAGGCCACGGCTGTTGGTGATTCGAAGAATTGACATTGTAATTAGTAGTTTAATGACTTTTGGTGATGATAGTTTACAGTTACAAGTGGTACAAATATCGATAGCTATTGATATAGTGAGGCCGAAGAATGATCATGACATCATAGATTATTGCTCAGTCGTCATTATGCTGTATCACGGCTTGAACTGGATGTAATGATGTCAGAACCAAACCCCACTAATTTGGGGTTTGCGATGACGGTAATGCTGCATTTGATGCTCCAAATTGTATTCCGTTGAGGCAAAGCGTCACTGACATTCGCGTTCCTTTACGCGGTTCGCATCTTTGGAAGCCCCACTCTTCGACGCGTCTTGTCAGACACGCTTTTCGTATCTCGGAAATAAGCTTAAGCAGACATCGGCTTTGACTTAGCTCTCATTGGATCACTTGCAAGTCTCGCTTAAGCCTCTGTATTTCCTACAACCATTCTCATGACGTTCCAGTGGAGCAGGTCCCGGGTAGCAATTGCATCCTCGAGACTATCATGCTCTTTCCCTTTCTGTATCACTCTCTGTAAACGTAGTTCCGCAAGCTTTTTCAGCGATAGACCCTGTGTGTTACCATCATGATTGTTTCCTTCAACAACAAGCGTGTCAATAATTCGAGGATGAATCCAACGCAATGAAGTGAGATCCGAGTTTGCACCATGTCCAATGATGATTGTTTCTGGTCCTACGAATTTCCATATCAAAGCCCGAGCATTCTTGCGACCAAAGATACACCTCTTTGCATTCCGTGCTTCGCGCATTGACTTCCAGGTTACTCCAGAATACTTGGTGTTCAGGTGGCTCATCAGGACGTCAGGCCAAACGAGGTTATCGATCAGGACTTGGCTGGAAAAATAATCGATGATTGTGAGTCGGATCAACTCGCAATCGCCGGATGCTGCTGTGCCCATTTCGCAGTCGATCACAACCGCTTTGCGCGCATCCCTTCTTGTTGTGACTGGCGTTACAGAGTATTGCCAACGAGAGGACATCTCCTTGAGGGTAGATTGCTCAGGCTGGTGATTCTTTTCGTGCTTGCAAGGAGGCCCTGACACATGCGCACCACAACATGTCCATTTCTGCCACAATAGTTAGCGAGCCGTATTCCGGCTTGAATGGTAAGAAGTGTTACCTTATCCACTGTTTTTCCGTCGTGGAAGTGGCAGCGTAGTGTCGGTCCGCACGGCTCCTCCAACTGCAAATGTTCCAGTGCAAGTGAACCGATCGCGTTTGGAACATCACCTGGTGAGGCAACTGGGGGATCTTGTTTTTGGATTGATCGCTGCCGAGGCCGCTTTCCCTCCTTTGCAAGCACTAGGTAGATGGCTTAGCTCACGGACTTATGTAATAGCGGAAAGGGTATCCTACTCAGATTGCACCTGCAGCAACGTTTCTTTTTCTCAAGGTCGCTATCTGATAGTAAAGCTGTAATATAGCCCTTGGATGATAGACATTCGGAGCAAAGAACTAGACTGGAAAGAGATCTCACGTAGTACGGTTGGTCTGACACCAGCTCGCTCAAGGGCATAGTGGTGTTCGTCATGATCTATGAGTCTAGGAGGTGTGAATGTATCGCGGTGTTTTGTTTGATACGTTGAAGTAAACAGGCGATGAATGGGCTGCGATGTCGTATAAATCAAGCGTTGTTTATTCGGCTGCTGAATAGAACTGACGCTGAATACTGTGATTTACGGAACCTGAAACTAGGAAATCAGGAGGAAAAAAAAGAAGAAGAAAAAAAAAAACGAGTAGCTTTACTTTGTAGGTGGAGTAGTCTCACTTCGCGGCACAGCCTGAACCTTCATGCTGTGGGAGGCCGACCAAGGCGTTAATTCACCCATAACCCTGTTGCGGGGTAGGGCTTCAACGAGGATTGGGTATGCCTGCATAACTGAGCTATAAACAATGACTCACTTTCTTTTCGTCAAATGGATCACTCAGTGGTAAGCCATCGTTCCCGACAGACTACAGTTCACCAGGTATGTATCAATAAACGCCATTGACTATATATTAAGACTGTCAAGGAAAAGATGCAAAAGATTTGATAAAAAAGAACGTACTTCCTATAACCATTTCGGTGCTAATCATCCAAGCACTTCCGGGTTCAAACAAATGGAAGCAACACAACAAGGTTTGCTTCCCTTCAATATGTCCAACGTATATCCCAACATCTGCCCGTGACAAAATAGCTCTCAGCTTATAACCTTGGAAACATCAACCTTGTGCATTTCTGGAGAAAACTTGCATGTAGCCTTGCTGCATGAACAGTTGTGGCCGTACAAGCAAGTGACATCACGACACTGCAGCCCAGCGTTACATACCCCCCTTCGAACTTCACGTCGAAAAACCAACTTTTCCTCCTCGGATAGTGGACCATGAGAATACTTGCAGGAGGAGTTTGAGCATGACCCAGATAGGTGGTGTAAGCGACAATACCGCATGCCGACCTTACCAACCTTGTGTTGCCAGCTATCCAAAGCTTGTTGCTTGGGTTTTCGCAGGTGGTCGTCAATTCTGCATCCGGCAGAGTTCAACCGTACCGACCTCTCTGCTTTAGTCTTTCGAGAACTCGCATCTGCTTTTGACCCCACCGTAGAGGCCCACGACGAAGAACTCGAAACCGATGCCGATAGTTCTGGCGTTGGTGCCAGGTTCTGCACCGGTATAGATTTGAAAACATTTTCTATCTGGAAACTTTTGAAAGGCAGATCACGGAATTCTCGACCAACGCTAAGACCATGGAGAAGGGTAACTCGATCAACCATGGAATCGTCATGGGCATAATCCTCCAACAGTCGCACATAAGAGTTGTCATGACAAGCCCCAAAGATGATATGACGACATGTAGGGTTTCCGACAAACTGCTTGAAACAACCTGCTTCTGGGTGAGTCAAGTGAGTGGTCAGAGATATGCAACTTACCTGAAATCTTCTTATCCGCCCGATCTTTACCACTACCAACGAGCAAAAAGTCGGTATACTCGGATGCTTGCGTGAAGTCTTTTGCGAATTCCACTAGATCACGCGGTGCATTGATGACGCCAGATGAAGCGAGAAAGTGGGACAAACCAGCCTCGTTAGCATATGCCTTGATCACGATAGGGCATTCCGGCAATTCAGGTCTGCTTGCTTGCAGAAAACTTCGGACTTCATCGCTTAGATCAAGGGCTGCCTTTCTACCACCTTCACCGTCGGCATAGTATTCATCTTTGAACTAGAAACGGTTAGCCATTTGTGATGCGAGGGATCTATACTGCATACGATATACGAATCGGCATCGGCGTCAATCAAGACTAGAACAAATGAACTTCGCTCCTAGAACTGGTCAGCATTTATAAAAGGTGTCAACGATTCAATCATACCATGGATTGCTGCAACTCTTCGAGTTTGACGCGCGACTCATCTGCGTCTTGTTGCGTAAAACGTCTCGCAACCCGCTCAATTTCGAGATCCCGGACGGCATCATCATATTTACCAACCAAATCCTTGATTTGATAACTCAGATCCTATGACAATTAAGCATGGTATCGAGACATGGGGCAACAGTAGATGTCAAAATACCTGCAACCGGGCGACCTGCCCTTCTTCTGCAATCTTGAAGGCGGCGAAATCTTCCGCCAGTTTCCCACTCATTGTAAGGGACCGACTCTGGGTATGTATTGAACCTGCAGGCAGCTTTGCAAACGAAATAACGCATATATATCACTTTGCCACGTGATTAACGACGGTTGGTTCGAGAATTCTTGTGCAGCCAACAACAAATTCGTAATTTCCTCTGTTCAACCTTGTATCTGCCTACTCGCCGCAGCGCTTAAAGTAGTCGGCCGTTCATCGCGACCAACAGCTTAGAGTCCTGCAGCACAGCCTGGGACTCATAGCAGGGATGGCTTCCAGAGCGTTTAGCGCCCAAAAGTCCAGCAGGGGCTCAATGTTTATCAGAAGCATAATTAATAACTCTTTCAATAAGTTTGCCAACGTCCAGGTAATCGCCGTAGCGATAACAAAATCCCGGTTTTCTATTACTGCAAGTAGTTGTACAAGCTGCCAGAAGATCTACACCGGGCCGGGCCGCTTTAGACTGATAATCCAATGAACGGGGGTCGAAGTGGATGTGCTTGTCTTGACGTTCACCTTCACTCTTTGACTCTTAGGCTTCGAACACGCCACAGCAGACGCGTCTTAATTGTGCTTGTTGTGCTTGATCCTAGATATTGACCCCGCTTCCAACCCAACACAAACATGGATTGGGCTCAATAATCTGGGTAGCTGCAGTATGCCGTTGGTTATTTATGAGAGGTAAGATTACGCAGCTATTTCCTGTTTTATTTATGTAGGCAGGACCTTACGGCCAATAGCAGACAGGAGTCACTCTTTCGTGGCTCCATCCTCGCGTTGGACTTTGAAACCCGGCTGAGCCAACAGTGTTGGGTGTGGCTCTGCTACCCTTGCGCGTTCTAACCACTAACTGCTCCCTGCTAGGCGCCCATACCCGCAGTGTATTGCGGGGGTTGAAAGACACCTCAGTTTATGCCTATCCTGCAATACTGCCTTGGTGCTTTGACTTCGAGTCATTTTTGTCTTCCCTTGAAAGGGAATGTTACTCTCGTCGGGACTCGTGTCTTGACGTTCTTGCTCTTTTCCATCAGACATCGTGGAGTAGTCTTCCCGTCCCTAGCGAGCTTCCAGATTTCTAAACCGATACGCAGCACACAGAACGCTACAAACACCAACCGTTTACTGGCCGATAGTGATGACCACAATGGGTCCACCGTGGTTATCAGAGTGTGTTCCCCTTCAAATATCATGCATAGGCCGCTTTCTTGCCCTGGTACTGATGATACATGGTTGGTTTGTTTGACAGTCACAGCTATTCTGACCTTGCCCTGGTTTGCGACTTATACGAATCGGGAACGTGTTTCATTTTCCATTATCGCCTTTCCATGTCATATACGCATTCCATCTTCCCAAGGCCGTGTTGACTATAATACCTGGCGGAGCAGGAACCTGAGCAAACCGCCGTGGTATGCGCTCTGCTTAGGAAAGAACCTTTCGCTCTCAATCGTATAATTTTGTAGCTGCTTCAAATTCTTAAAAACCGTAACCGGCAACCCAGTGTTCGCAGTCTCGACAAGATCAACCAAGTTAACATGTGTCTGGCGTACACGCTAGACCGAATCAATGCCCTGATAATCTTCAAGAGAAGAGTGGAAGACATGGAACCTACCTCGCGACATGCTTCCAAACGTGTAGGGGCTGGGTCGATGTTCAGCACATGACAAAGCTTCTGCCAATTCTCGAGATTGTCGGGATCTGTTCCATAAATATCGTTGAACTGTTTCACCATCGCTGCTTTGAACTCTCGCTTCGCATCTTTAGCATCATCCTCATCCCCATCCCAGTCAAACAAATCGCTCAATCTATTGAACTCTATCCAAATCGGGTTTGAAGAGTTGTAATCGAATTCAGGATACCCAGAAAAAAACAGGTCGATATGGTCGAGAGATCTCGTAGCTCTTTTCTTTTTAGCCTTTCTTGAACGCTTTGGTTTCTTCCTGGCAGTTGTGGATTTCTTATGTACAGATAGAAATTAGTCGGTCTAAGATTCTATGTAACGCGGACGTGTACCTACGCCTGTCTGGTCTGCTGATTGTCCTTCGTGACGAAACAAACAATTCGACCCGAACCGACAGGTGCCAGATGCCAAGTACAGCCGACAGGCCTGGTTCGATCTCTGGGCGCTCATCGCACATATAAAGAAAGCCGGGTGGTTAAAGGGTTGAAACGGGATAAGCAGAAGACAGCTTGTGTGCTGTGGGTTCGACTGCTGTTATAAGTCGGTGGTAGACCTGGGCATCAAGCCTGCAAATGTCGCTGTTTTTGCCATAAATGCCCAACCGATCTGCAACCGATCTGGCCAATGCTTCAAATGGCTGACGACTGGCGTACATAGAGAACACGTCATATGGGAACGTACCGGCCAAATGTTTAGCTGCGGTTGGACCAGGGTGCAGCTATTGATGCGGGAGGCCGACCTGGTGCGTGAGGTAGGCCTCCCTCCTCTCGACCGGCGACCTCCACGTGCTCACCCAACACTGATCTTATTCTCGTTTATTCTCGTAGGTTTGCGGGAGAGGAAGATATCTTTTCACCGTTTACTCTAGATACTCGCGACAATTTGATTGGCGTCTAAAGCTACAGAATCCGAGTTCACTGTAACCCCGCTCTAGACCTTCCTCCAGATAGACGCTCCAAACCATTGGAGGAAAACAAAGGTGTTTCTCCTGACGACAGGGATAGTAACATGAACCTTGCCATATTGTGCGCTGAAAATATCAGTCTTCTTTTTGTACTGCACAGCGTCCCAAGCGTACCGAAAGTCACACCATTCTGTAAAGCTCCGACCAGCGAAACAGGGTACAGCTTACCGTTCGAAAAAGAACGGGGACTTGCCAGTACTTTGGCGTTCCTTTCAAGCATTCGAGAAGATCCGAATAGGATCCCTGCTTTATGTATCGAAAGCGTTCCTGGCTGTTGTGCCCTCAAAGTTCATGTTGCCGTTAATAAGGATAGCTTTGTTGATGGCGACACGCATCTCAGGGAAATGAACCGGGCGTTAAGCAAGATACTTGCGCCACTTTCGGCTTTTTCAAATAGTGAGTGCATTGAACCGGATTGCGATATTTACGGCAAACAGTTATGCCCTAATCACAAATTAGCGGATGACCAAGATGCCAGGAAGAAGACTGTCTTCGATGCGATTGTAGCCGTCTGTGAAGAGCGAATCCTTAGCCGTCTTCATCTCCGTTCAAGCAAGAAACGGAAGATAAAAAAGCCGGCGGTTGAAACTTTGTCACTAGCTATAACATCCTTGAGAGAGCTTCACAAGAAAATATCGAGCCGAGGGGGGCTGGTCGATTCAGCATCAAAGTTTGAAGACAGAGCGAATAGTGTTATCAAGATTATTACGGCATGGACTAAGCACCAAACTACAGCTCGCCTGCGAGATGTCGTGGAAGCAATTCACGCATTATGGATGACAGAAAGACTCGATGAGTTGCTCGACTGCATACCAAACAACCTCATGGACCCTGACCTAAGGGACAGCTTACACAATATGATCCGGAAGGTCGCCAGGTACAAGGAAGCTGCTAGGTACCTGTGTCGATTGGCAAGGAAATTCCCATGCGTTCGGAGGATGGGAGTTGTTTCCGTGACTCTACAACGGGAAATGTTCACCAAACCTGAGGTCGATGGCTACGCACCTTCTTTGTCTGCTACATTGCACCGAATCAGTAGTAAACACGGCAGTTCTGCTATACTTTCCAAAATCTGCACCTTATTAAAGGTAGACACAGTGCATGCTGAACGCTTGTTCTCCGATCATGTACTTAGGGCTCTTCAAGGCGCGAAGGTCCATGCTGAAATCCAGCTGTTCTATCACATCGACATGCTCCATTTGACCCGACCGCCACGTGTGGTCTGTTCAAGTAAGGATGCTTGCTATCTCTGCGACTTCTTCATCACCACTGGCACCAAATTCCACAGTCCAAAATGCCATGGGAGGCTCTATCCTGGCTGGCGACTACCAGCGTTACCTGTTCAGGATGAAGCACAGAGAAGATTCAATGACCGTCTAGAGCAGGAAGTCTGCAAGAGCGTCACAAACCTGCTGAAAACGAGGAAGAAGTTTTCATTGCCGGATCCTCGAGAAAGCACAATTCTTACAATCAGGCAATCAGATTCAACGTTGGCCCCACCATCCCACAACCTGGATGCGGCGAGAGATGGCTCTAACATGACCTCCGATAAAACTGGTAGTGACGACTCGAATCCAAGTACAATAACGCTCTCGGATAACTACTTACAAGCGACCGAAGATATTCTGGAACACCCCGTCACTTGCCATGATGGGAACACGGCCAGACAAAGTATTGTATCGGACACAAGCCACGACCAAAGCCAAGAATTGTTGTTATGTGGCATTCAGGGTGATGCCAATCAGAAACATGGCCCTAAGCGGAGCGATCCAATCACCCTTCGTGTTGCCCCGGATAATGTGTCGTGTTTTCGTTTCGGCCCAATAAAGCTCTACGTGGAATACTCAATGGCCCACGATGGGACTACAGGGGATGTTGGAAGGGAGCTAACATTTGATGCTGAATGGATTACGGATGTTGAGGACCAATCAACCAACAGTTATTCTGAATCATCCTTGATTGACGTCGGAGAGTCTACATACACGGCATCCCTTCCCTTAGATAAGCTCAACCAACTGGATATAAACCATGAAGGAAAGGTGTTGAGAATTCGACTACATCCTTCAATCAAGCCTCTCCCCGTCGACGAATAAGGACCTCAAAAGGAGTAGCAAAGAAGTGAGCTCTTCGTGGTCATCAAGTCCTTGACCCTCAGGTCCTCCGCCATGTCTTTCATGAGCACGATATCATTGAGTGATGCGGAGGGAGGTGTGGTTACGTTGACCTTGTCCTGGGTCTTCCTTACAGGGATATCGGTATATCGTGTCTTGGGCCTCTCCTCTTGCCAGAGCCACCACAGGCGATCGATCTGAGTACGGTGAAGAAGATGTGGTCTGATAATTTAGCCGCGTTACTCGGGTGCCAAAGTGTTGAAAAGGATATTATTTTACTATTGGGAGAGTTTTTGGGACCCATACCACCACCTAGGGAGCGGTGGATGGCACAGCAAGGACCGCCCTCCATGTTGTAGCGATATTCGTTGTAGTTATCTGGACTTTGCCGGTAGTTTCCTTCTTGCGATATCCTGCCAGCATGTTTCCGACATCCGGGCAATTGACCTGCTAGCATACATACAGTGTACTGGAGAATATGGTACTGCCGTACTGGATAGATGCGGGCGACAAGGGAAGGGGGCAGTTATGCAGATTAACCTTGAGCATACCTGTCAGGCCTGCGGCTTGGACCCTTGACATTGTAGGCTGTCTGAACCCCGCAGTGTTGCCTTGTTGCCTTAGCTCTGATCGAGGGCTTTTGCACTCGTTTGCTTATGCTGGCGAGCCTGTTAGCTCTTCGAGGTCGTACCTCGCCTGCAAACGTGGGTCGGGCGAATGCAGTTGGGTCTATGTCCACCGGCCCAACCAAGACCCGCGCCGTCACAGGGCACAATACAAGGAATCTGACTTAACATCCCCACATGTAGCTGGCCTCAATCCTACTAGCGGACATGCCGACAGAGTGAAGTGAAGACATTTATGGCAATGGTCATTGCCGTATAACGCAATTCAACAGTGTTCATGTGTACCATAGACAAGTCACTGATGCTTGGTGTACATAATGAACACATAATACAGGCTAGAACCGACTCACGCATAGCTTACCCGTAGCGTAACGCTACTCCATACAGTCTATTATTGGCTTTGACTCAGCTGCAGCGGCATATATAACCCTTTTGAGGTTTTCTTCTTTTTCCAAGCGCCGCCGGGCAGCATATCTAAAGTGGGGAGCACTTGTTAGTTATTATTGGAGTAGTTGGCCATTCACTTTACTTAGCCCTGCTTGTGACAGAAAGTATAAATAGGTGTCTCGTCGCCTCAGTACTTAAATAACCACCGAAGCATCTTATTCCCCGGTTATACAAACAGCATGAAGGTCACCACTTTTGCCGCTACCCTCCTCACTGTCGGCTTTGCAGCTTATACAGCTGCTGCTGCGTGCTGTAACGTTAAAGTATGTGATGGGTTTGGCCTCAAGGGCAATTGCAAGAACGGCTGCTACCCTTACCGCAAGTACGTCAACATCAACAGAAGCGGGCTTCGGTCATCAATCGGCTCTGGGAAGACTGGCAAGGAATGTGCTTGTACCTTCGGCAAGGATAAGTACGTATACCACGAATTACTGGCCTTACCACATCAAGCTAACACATTGAATAGTGGATCTTGTATGGTGGTTGATGTTAAGGGCAAAGACGCACCTAGTCATTGCCTCACCGGTATTAATAGGCTGTACTGTTGGACGAAATAGGGGAGATATAAGCTATATTCAGGTATACATTAGGGAGGAACAGAATGTAGGATGCAGAAAACAATATCCACCGTATTGTTCCTTCTGTCGTTTCATAGCTGGACTCATCACATTATGTAAACATGCCACGTTTTGCTACAGGGGCATATCAGCATAAATGAAATGGGAAGCAGCTGCACACTCTGGACCAACGTCCATAAGATAAGAACAGGCTAAACTTACGTAACAGGGGCTGGGACTTACAACTATCCCTGTCTCATGCTGGGTGAGCCTTGTATTTGGTGAAAACCTTCTTGACAAACGTCAATCGAGCGGGGTAATACGAGATGCAGGACAGACATCTATCAGGTATAACGGTGACACCGAACTATTAGGGTGCAGGGTAAAGGTCTAGGCCGTAATTAAAAAAAAACATAAACTCCAGACTAGGTTCTTCTTCATGCTGTCCGTACACGTTTAACTCCGCGTGCCCTTCCGGCACTCTTCCTTTTCAAGCTTTTCCTTCCAGATGGAAATTTCCTCCTACGGTACAAGTAGACGCTAACACCTGACGGGATTGGCTTGCTTATTTGTGTAGTTAAAACAGTCCTAGTAGCCTTCCAATGCGCTGGTTATGATGGCAGTGAAGGAGGACCTGTTGATAAAGGGTGAGCAGGCATTCCCTTCGTGGGTCCGAGACTTAGATCTACATAGCTTGGCAAAAACAAAAAGGAAGTTCTTCTTGCTACATCATGCCTTTGCAGCATCAGCAGCACTCTAGAGTAACAGACACAAAGCTCACATGATTGGCGAATAAAGATACCTCTGCATTCAAGATAGACCTTACAGCTGCCCAGTATTCTTCACCCCGAAGCGGAGCCACCGGTCATCGATGCCCCCATAGCGATCAAACCTGGATTCATGGTGGCTACGCCGACGACCGCAGAAGACAACACCAGCCACAACGCCCAGGATCGCTACCCCATCTCTCATTTTTTCCTTCCTCCGAGCTTTCTTCTCAAGCTGTAGCGTAACATTCTCTTCGTGCATAGCTGCTGTCTTCTCCTCATCGATACGCTGCTTCTCAAGTTCCGCCTTAAGCTCTTCGGCCTCTTTCAGTTCCTGCTCTAACCTCCGCTGTTCCATCAGGTCTTCTTGATCTTTGATCCTCTTCTCCAAACTTTCTACCTCAGTTGCAAAATGTGCTTGGGCGTCTTTGAAACTCTCCTCGTCCTCCATCTGCTCACGACGTGCAAGCGCATACTCGGCGGCCTTCTCTTCGAATGCCGCTATCAACTGCTGTTGCTCTGACGTGGCCGCTGCTAGTCGCTGCTCATACTCGGCTTCCTTTTGCTCCATCAGAGTTTACAGCGAAATCTTCAGCTCGTGCTGAGCTTCGCTGTTTCAACGAGACGCTGTTCAAAAGCCTCCTTCTGCGTGGCAAGCGTTTTGGCCAATTCCTCATCGGACTGTCGCATCATTTCTGCATGCGCATTCTGGAGTTGCTGAATCTCTTGCTGCAATTCGGCCTTTGCAGCGATGATCTCCCTTTGAACCTCGCGTCCAGCTCCAGTTTTGTCTAGCGACATGCCCTCATCCACCAGCTCCTCTTGGATCTTGAGCATGGCTTTGCCATTTTCTTTGTGAATTTTGATGATCTTGTCAACCACCGTTTGCGCCGAGTCTTTGGTCCCAAGCCACCTGACCACTTGACTACCGCCCGTGTGCATAGCACCCCAAAACTCGGATCTAGCAATAAGCTCCTTTTCTCGTTGGTCGCCCACCTCTGGGACCGTTGTGTCCAAAGTATCCCACATAGATGTGCACAAAATAACATGACCAAAGGCGTTCTTACCACAGAGCTATTTGAACATGTCCAGGTTCTCCAGTGCTGTACCAGATACTCTGTTGTCGCTAATACGATGTAAATAGATAATGCCATGTAACGCACCACCTCCCTCCTACGATTAGTATCATATCGGCTGAGCTAACACGGCAAAGAGACCTACCGAGTGCTATCAAAAGAAAATTTTCAATATCGATCACCTTCCAGGGCGGGTTACATGTTTATTGTTTAGTTCTGACGGAAAGACGCTGTTTGTGGGAATGGAAAAGAAGACTATCTGGATTTACCGCCACTATTCCACCGAAGAATGGCGGTGGCGCCATGTTCAGATTCTGGTCTGCACTAATAAAATTTCTAGGATATTTTCGAATTCTAGTGAGGCAGTCGAGTGTCTTGCCCACAGCCATGACGACGTATACCTTCTTGCTGGCTGCGGGAACAAACTCATTCGCTTCATATTCGACCCTTCAAGTGCGAAGTATAAGGTAAACGATATCCGCCAAGAGATCTTCAAAGATTTCGGCGAGTTGGAATTTTTGACGTTATGATCAGACAAAGAAGACTACTTGGTCTGTGGTAAGAAAAGCAACAAGTACGAACTGTGTTTCTACAAGCCCAATTTTGGCCTTTCTGATATCCCAATGAAGTGCCTAGGTAAGATTTCTATGCCTGAACTGAACGCAGTCAACCTGGGCCATCATTTTACGAGTGGCCAATTTGCAGTAGGATATGTGAATGGAAAAGTTTTTATGGGCAAATTTGACGAGGCCAGGTCCACGATGAAGCCGAAAATGTATACGAAGGTTGAAGGCTGTGTCACGTCACTCGCCTGGTGTTACGAAGGGCGGCTTATGATCGGCACAGGGACCGGATTCTGTATATTCGATTATATAGCTCGTGTTTAGTCTATGATTCTTATACTAGCTTCTTAGGAGTTGAGCTAAGAACTAGAAAATATGAGAGTTAAAATATGTCACTACACATACTAGGCATAACAAGACCAGAATTAGAAAAATTAAATATTTTAAATTATTATACCTTAGCCACTGAGAAGATGCAAAAGTGTACTTAAGTTAAGGAGGACGTTTCTGATGTGTTGCTAGCTAATATACAGGTGACATTCAATTATTGTCTTAGTAAGAAGTGACTTGATCCGGTGTATCGTCTACTTATATATCATTCAAGAATATCAGCTCTTGGCTTAAAGGTCTAGCTCCGAGGATTAGGTCTATACGTTTCCGGTAAAAATAGCATGTATTTACTGTGTCCCATCACCCTCAGGCTGCAATTTCCAAAGATGCCTAACCTATCTTGGCTGAAGACTTAATATAATCATCTGATTGGTGCAGTACCTTTCCAAAGAGTATAAATAGAAGTAATAGCCGTTGGTGGCGTTGGATATCAGCTTACAACAAAATCAGGCTGAGAGCTATAGACGATCACTGGATGATTAAATGAGGGATAACAAGCAGGCTGGTTACACGAGATGCTCATTGGGCCTAATTGTGTCCAAATGGGCTGGCGTGCATTGAACTATTGTTTCTATTTTCAGCTCTTGCAAGGAACTATTGTTTCACCGCGCTCATGATATGACGGGATCGGGGCATTGATCAACAGCCCCCTCCTCCGATTGCAATCATAAACATTTCCTTCACTCTTTCCTTTTCACAGTTCCTATGTTTAGTAACCACAGGAATAGATTTCACCTACGAAAACTTGAATTATCTGCTTCCATCCTTCTGAAAAGTACCGATGGCAGCAGCCCACAATGGAAACTTCTCCCCGGGTCGCCTTGATCGGGACAACGCAGCAAATGCCCCAGAGGTCGACCCGCGATATTTCGACATGCACAACAAATCACCAGACCAGGTCCAAGTCCACGTTGTTACACAAAAGAAGCTGCCATTCGGCTGGAGCCTTTGGGCACTACTTACTCTAGCCGCCCTCATCTCTGCTCTTTGTATTGGCGGTGTCGTGGGTGGAATATTGAGCAAACAATTGGCTGATTGCAAGTAAGTTTAGTTTTTGACCCTCACCTTTTGACCAGCATGCTCACGACTTGAGTTTTATTAGATCCTCACTATCCCCTACCACTACTCAGACTTCGTCTCCAGAAAGCACTTCGCGTCCCGCTGCCGAGGCTGACGACACCAACGGCTACGCACCTGTTCTTGCGAAGGACATTGTTAATCTGACCAGGCCGGATGAATGTGCGAGTCCCGGAGGTCCCCATAAGATTCCATCAACCGGTGGACTACTGTACACGTATTACTGCGACTTCAATGCACCGAGCAGCAGCGAAATCCACGACCAGCAAAGATTCCTGGCATACACACTCCGCGATTGCATTGATGCCTGCACGAATATGAATCAGCTGGTCAAAGACGATCATGGCAAAAATAATTCCAATAGAACCAAATGTGATTCTGTTGTGTTTTCATGGGCATTGGAAAAGTATTCGAGGAATCGGAACGGTAACTGCTGGCTGAAAACTGGTCGTGCAGCAGAGAAGGTGGAGTTCATCTCCGTTGGGAATATCTATGCTGAGGCACCGTAGTGATTGGCAAAATGACATTCAGATGTTGCTGGGGCGCAGAGTTAATTATATTGGAAGTAGTGTTGAGGTATTCCTTGTTAGGCTTGGCGATTAAACAATGTCGGTGTAATATATATTATGATTTCTTTGAATCTCCGATATACTTTCTTAATTGATTTACCGTCCTGTCGAACCGTTTCTCGAAGAAATGCAGGCTAACTGCGTTGTTACACCCAAACTCAAGCGTTTGAAACTGTTATATCTACGTTTCTAAGAGCGCCGATTTCCAAGTTAGCACCTTTTGCTTTGAGCGTGCAGTTGCTGTCAACATGATTAGAATAAGAGGTCTTATTCTCAACACGGAAAGTGCAATCCCGATAAGCACATGGGCTTCCTTGCTACTAAAGATAAAAGTACAATTGGTTAAAACTATCTGTTGCAATGTTCCACGTCTTATTCGTAATGTTATAGACTGACTAACTGACCAATAGGTTCATTGTTTCAGGGCGCCTGGAGGTTAAGGTTCAAAGTTGACCCCTTCAGGGTAGGATGAAGCGTAGCCCATCTCACTTGAAGTCGCCCGTATCCACCGAACTCTAACCATCGCTAACATAGCTGTAAGTCGCCCACAAAAGGCTGCTGTAAAAAACACAGGAGCCTTCCTCTTCTTGCCTGCCTAAAGGTTAAAGAAAGAAGAATTTAAATTGAATACAGCTTACCAGCACTATACATAAGCTAGTTCAAAGATTATATGCATCTAAAGGAAACGGCCGTGTTGAGAAATTTAACGAAGCCGGGTAATTGTAAGAAAGCCGGGGACTGCACGTAAGATTCGTTCCATCTAACTGAGTATCTGACATCTGGCGGTGTGAGATCTTGATTGTCCAACCAAACCAACTTGTGGGCACATTTGTATTTTGTGCCTTGCACCGACAGCTAGGCAATCTACCCGTAGATCGATGATTAGGATTTCAGTCCACAGGTACTGTACGCTAGACTTGGCTGATCTAGACGAAAAAAGCTTGGCATTACAGAGTGGTTTAGGCTGCCTGCATTTAAACCTTTCCATCTTCAGAGCTTATTCATCCATCGACAGCTGGCTACTGATGATTGGCAACCCTCCTCTGTCTTACAACGGGGTTGCTACCTCCCTACAATATCTGATTTTCAACCACCATGTTTGCGACAGTCTAATTGACCGCGGGAAGTCCAATTCGGGCTTCAATACTCCTGTTGCGTTTTGACAGTGCGACAAGGTAATGCCCAAATAGCTGCCGAAGATGCGATTCGGCCGCTCGGCGTATCACTTGTCTCAGTCCCAGTCTTCTTATCACAGATAGTAGAAATATCATTGGCTTAAACTGCCGGTGGTGATATTATATGTCTTAGACGTGATATCATAGACTTACTGATGGCCTGGACTGACGAGTAGGGTCGTTCTGTTATCTCGCCTTGAGGTCAAAGACAAGGGGATTCACCTTGTCGATATCTTAGAGGCAATAAGGATGAGCCGACGGAACATATTTTGAATTTAGTTCGATGTGAATCTGCGATGTTTGCACTTGAAATCACAAAAGCTTATTCGTACGCCAGGTGTTAGCTGAAGAGTGGCAAGCGAGAAAGGTAGCAGGGACCCTCACACCCTGGATTCTATCTATTGGCACCTAAGACTCCACTATCTACTTATGCTAGTAGTTAACTAGAACGGAAAGGCAATCCAAAGTGACACAACATCCGAAAACAGTCTCATTGCAGATATTTGCAGTGAAGAGAGTAGCGTAGCGTACTTCCTAAATCCTGTCGTTGAAATCACGCTCTAGCAAACGGACACCTTCAAAGATCCTCCCGATATCTGTTTTTTCGATCGATCCACAATCCTGTCGAACCCTTTCTATAAGCACTCGCAAGAATTGAACAGGGCTTTTTCGAAACTTCGATTTGTTCACTAAGCCTCCTTCTGTGCCTGGTGGGATAAAGCCATCTGCGCCGAGAACAACATCATCATCCAAAGCGTCCCGAACCAAGCCAAGCAGATCGCAAATTCTCGTATAGTCTTTAAAGCATGATAGGTACAGTTGTCCTGAAAAGAGGTTCAGAAATAACACTGCCTTCCTTGGGATAGCGTCTGCAGTGGGGTTTCCTGATACACGGTAGAGCTGTAAATGATCGAGGGATTGGAATGCAAGATTTACCCTTGGAGCATAGAGATGTAAGCCCACAAATTGAGATCGTTGGATCAATGGTAGAAGTTGTTGAGCCTCAAATGGGCTGATAATCACGAGGTAGGTAGTTTTGGCTTGATACTTGCCGGCTAGGATCCATTGCACCGGACGTTGGAACGAGTCCGAATAGTTGTTAATCCCGAAAGCCCCTTTGACTGTTTTGGCAAAATCCGGCGTGGCACGTATGCTGCTGGGAAAGCTTTGGAGATTGAAATGCTGCGCTGCCGATGTGCTCTTCAGGACGCGGAAGGCAGGCACACACACAGCCTTGAACGAAGTGGAGACAGGACCCTCCAGTATCCAATCCCGTAGAGGCTCACTAATGGAATGTGGTTCCGGTTCTGCCGCAGGTGGTTTCTCAACTTGTCGTTCTTGCTCCGTTTCGGGAGAAAGCTCTCGTTCCTGCTCTTCCTGCAATGATGCTGTATGAAGTTCAGTTAATCCAAAATCGTCGCAGCGAGCTCGAAGGACGTTGATTTTCAAGTTATTAGCCTTTTCCAAGAATGAATCCAAGTTAACACGGCCGTTTCTCGGACGATAGCGTTGGTCCAAGCTCTGAGATTCGTCCTCCAGAAATTGCCCAGCCCATTGAGAACCATCACCGACTCGATATTGGGACCAAAGAGCTTGCTGCCTGCTGAATCGAACACCTTGATTAAGCCATAAAGGAATCGCCTTGCGCAGGTCGAGACACGTTTCGGAAATGACCCAATTGAGGACATCAGATATCGTGATTTCACGATTGCCAGCTTTTTGCTGAGACTTTAGATTGCCGATCTTCTGCTCAATCTCCCACGGCACGCAAAACTGTACGCTTTGACCCTTTCCAAGTTTCCGCATCCGCATACATGCTGGAGAATGATTAGCAATGGCCTGATAGTCACCCGTCCTTACTTACCCTGAACCAATCGATCCTTTGTCAAACCAACACCCAACGTGACTACTGCGCGGTAGCTGGGTGGAAGCTTGAGATCTGTTCCCCTGGTATGAGACTCATCTAGAAAGACAAGGCAGCGATCAAGCTGCTCGGAAAATGGCGACATTTCAAGATCCTCAACCTTGCCAGATCGATCGAGCACGACGATCTCATCGTCGTCATTGAAGCAGATGACTGCCTGGGTGTTGTTCTCATTTTGATACTGCGCCAGCCACTGTTTCGCAAACTGTAGATTAGTGAGATCAATCACCTGAGCACCAACATCCAAGACTACACGTGTCTGTGTATCCATGCCCGATATCATATGTAGAAGCATCTGGCTGTTGAACGGGGCGCCTTTGGCTTCATCCGGTACCAAAGTGACCCCATTCTGCGGCTGCAACAAATAGCCAAGCACGAGGGCATTGGTGTGCTTCTGTTGTGGGAGGTCGAGTTGCTTGATGTCAGTGGGAAGGACGTATCTTGAATCGTTGGTCCCACTAAATCCAGTCGTAGGATGATCCTTCACCTTGCTAAGGTCCCAGCCCGATGCTGACAATTTGTGCGGAAATTCCTTTGCCTCCTTACTGAACACAAGGTGGCTCAGGTAGTAGTCAATTGCCAACTTGGAGTAGCGAAGGTGCGGATATATCTCGTCTTGGAACTGAGCTCGGTCTCGTAAGCTGACGCCTTCTAGAGTCTTCAGCGGCGATGGTAGGGTCGGAGCGGTTCTCGTCCACTCATGGTATTCTGTTCTCGCATTGTCCGACTTTACAAGTAGACGAAAGGCAGACAATAGGGATTCCTGATCCAAACCACCGTAGTAGTAGGTTAAACACGTAAGCGTAATCACAACATCTGGATGGCTGAACTCAGATCGTGGGGAAGGGCTGTCTTTGGCGCGGAAAGGAACGGCCAGCTTGGTCCCTGATTGACGTTGAGGATCGACACCATAGTTGACTCTCCATCTCTTCTGGCCCAAGGCAAAGGCGAGAATACCACCTGCAAATAAGCCACGTAAGAGTAAGACGCGGCCGACAGATGCCCCATCGAAAAAGCGGCTTGTCTCGACTAGGTCGATATCCGTTTGCGTGACCTCCCATTGAGTGATATAACGTTGGACAGCCTTCCTGAACGTCTCAGGCTGGTGACTGATCGGAAATCCGTACATGCCTTTCTTGCAAATGTGTGAAGCGACACGATGAAGGACCTCCTCTCCAGCATCAGCCTGTAGAAAGCGAACTGTGGGGTATTGACCTTCGCTCCGATGATCAAACTCGAGTGACTTCGAAAAGAGCGGCTTGACTTCACCAGCGACTTGGGCCACGAGTCCCAGTATCTCTTGCACAACTGACCATCGACTGGGACTATCTTCGATTGAGCACTGCTGTCCCAGTGTGTATATGAGCTCGAACTTGACACTGAAGTTCTCATCGCTTTCGTCCACGATATCACGAGATGCGTGATCAAACAGGTCTCGGATCATCCTGAGACGGCCCGCTGCTCCTTTGTTACTGTTCAGGTGGCATTCCAATTCCATAAGCTGTAGGGATAATAAATGCTCCGGCTGGACCATTAAGATGCCACCTTCAGCCATGCAGTCTTTGACCAGCCGGTGAATCGAGTCAGCTCGCTGTGCATCCATTCTGATGTCTCTAGAGAATGGTAGGAGGTAGACTGGTCGATCAAGCAGGCCCGCGAGCTTCGATACAAGCATCTGATGCATCTGCTTTGCCTGCGGCTTAGCAACAATGACACGGACCATTTTGCATCCGTCTGCTAAAGCGGTAGCGACCATTGGGACAATCACGGTCGATTTGCCCTCGCCCATGTTTAACTGCATAACAGCATTTTTCTCCTCTGGAGGATTGACCATGATTTGAGTGACCTGCTGTTGCACGTCTCGAATCATGATCTCGCTCTCACATTCCAGCAACAACCATTCTGGATGATCCCGAGCCTCCCAGGTGTCATGTCCTGGATTCTGGAGTTCGCGAAGAAGGTCTACAGGGCTAGACTGGAACCTCATGAGTCGCTTAGCCCGCTGAACAGCGGCAATACAAGTTGCCCACTGTATGATAGCCATCTTCCAAGTCTCATTGAGGCGTGAAAAGTGTGACGGCTTGAGTTGCTGAAGTATAAAACTTGCTGTCATCCTTGGTAGGTACCTAGAATCTGACAAGATAGATTCCATCAATTTCGGCACCGAGCTTCCATCCCTACGGGTGAGCTGAGTTCGAAAGATGCCCTGAATCAGATTTTGATCGACCTTTGTTGCGTGTTTCGTTTGACGATCTAGGTTCTCCCGAAATAAATAGCCAAGTTCATTACTCTGAATGATTTCAAGCTCGTTCTCAGCACGCTCGGTTAAACTTGAGACACTCTGGCGCAGCTCGTTCAGATAGCGGTATTGGTAAGGTAATTTCGCTTGAAATTCGAGGTCATCAATGATGCCGGTCAATTTATCCACGGTGCCGAGGTCCTTGTTGACCTCTTGAAGTGAGACATTCACTACTGGTAAGATAGAGACATTGTCGTCTGAAATTGGGTTGCGAAATAAATCATCAGTAGATATGAATCCCAGTGGTCGGTGCTGTGAAGGCGCCGTTACCCTTTCAGGTTGCGACTGGAGCTTGAGAGCTTGAATCGGCACCTCGTCTAGGCGATAGTAGATTTCTTGAAGGTACTCCTTGAACCTTAGGTTCTTGTACCACGAGGACCACTTGGGCATGAGCTGCTTCATGGCATCTTTGCATTTGAGATAGGTATCCACTTCACTCCCTTGCGGCATACTGGGGACTGCACAAGGCCACTGTTTACACAGTTGGCTATTGAAGGATTTGACAGCATGGCTTTTATTTTGATCGCATTGTCGTCTTCGTCTGGCCAGTAGCTTTTGTGAAGTTTCACCTGGCAGAGATGGAAGAGAGCTTTCGGGACATGATGCAATGGGTCGCCCTACACTTTGAGCTACCCTGTTGACATCGGGTTGGACGACTCTGTATCCCTGCTGCAGATCAAATGAGAGATCAGATGGCAATGGTACTGCTGAGACTAAATCAGATTGTGCCATCATCAACAAGGCTTGGACGACTCTAGGATTGAAATGTTTTGAATAAGACATAGTGGCTATCCAGGCCATCAGCTCGAACCTGTTTAGCCATTGCCGTTGTTTCTGGAAAGCATAGTGGATCTGACACCAATTTGAAGAAAGAAAAGTCTCCGTCTCTTGGAGCCATCTCGAGTCATACTGCATGGTGCTCTTGGGTGGTACTCGTCGCGGGTTCTCCACGGGGGCCACAGAAAGACGCTGATACAAAGACTCAGGGAAATCAAGACCAACTTTCTCGATCATGCAAGACTCATTATGATAAACCCGGAAGGCAATCTCTTGAGCGCGGAGTGATCGGGCTGATAGGTTCCCCTGGGTCCTTGGGGTATATATAACATCATGTTGAGTCGTGAAGTCTTCGGCACCGAATCCAGAAACATGTGCGGTAGAACCTCTGTTGATTGCTCGTTCAACCAGGTGGATGTAAGAGTGATTTGGGGAGGCTGGCACTTCATGCTTGGGATAAAGGAAACAAATTTCTCGACATCTCGCAAGGATTTCGAGCACAACTTTGTAGAAGCGATCATCCTGAGACATACAGCTCAGCTTAGAAGACCACTTGGTGACCTGCATCAGTTTCTCATTCTTTGGGTAGAAGGAGCGTGTTGGTGATAGACTGGTGATACGGCCGAGGATGCTGTACGAGGTTTCAGTCAAGACGCTAGGAGCACGGACTATCGCAGATCCCATGATGTCCAAAGCTTCTTCGGTTCCTGTTCGTTCAATGAAGGGATCCGGACGACAGAATGATGTAAGTGCGTGGAGATATGCGAGGTAAAGTCTGCTCTCCGTTCTGGTGCTGCCCACAAGTCGACCGAGGAGATCATCGAGCTTGTAAGCCTGTACACGACGCGCACTGCCATGAACCACTTTGACCACCGCATGCTTGTCGGAGTGGTCGTATATCTTCATCTCATATTGAACCTCGCCTTCCGGAATGAGGACGGACCTGTGAGCTGGTTCCATGATACTGGATAATACCAGTTTACTTTTCAACCCCACCAGTGTCCCTGTAGACTGATCCGAATCGATGTGCATGTCGCGGAACTGCCGGGAATGGATCAAGACACCTCCCAATTTGTAAAGAAATTCCAGTCGCAGTTTTGGAATGCGAATTTCGGTAACCTGCTTGACAGCATCATAGACCAAGTGAAGTCCCAGTGGTGCTTCAAGAGGGTCGAGGATCGTTGCGATACGCTTGGCTAACGTGCTTGAGGGGGCAACGAGGAAAACATCATTTCCAAGGCTTAGTTTCCAATTGCCCTCACCTTGCCTGAACTTCCAGCTCTCCTGATTATTTGGAGCCCAGTGATCCTGCAGTTCACAGAACTCGATGCCCTTTGATTCGTGCTGGTACCAATGAGCGAAATTGTCAGCTAACTGGTCAGGGACTTTCCCTTTCAGCATTCTAGATGGAACAAGATCTAAAGCCGCTTTAGATTTGTGAAGATGAACCAGAAGGTCCTGGCCTTGCATACCAAAGTGAACGGTATAGCCCAGAAGCTTTCTGGTGGCGCTGAATCGCATGCCTGGTGCATCACTGGGCATGACATCCAAGATCATCGATCCAAAGAGTCTTCCGTAATCTTCGTGGATGCTATAATCACGCGGCAGACGTGCCAAAGGGGCGCCATTGACCAGGAGTTCGCCGGTCAGGACGTTCAGGTTAACTTGTCTTCGGCCAGAGTTCGTTTCGAGCCAATAGCATGTACCAGAGGCCAAGGACCAATCTGCTGTGCGAGAGAAGTCTGGCCAGTTTCGCTTGATCGCCAGGTCAAGACATTCGTTTCTCCGAAATACTACTTCATAGACAAGGGTTGAGTAAGCGAGATGCAGGGTCTTTTGAGTTCTGTCTGTCATAATACGTTGTAGGGCGCTTTGGGATTTATTCTTGGTAGGAGTCGCATTGTAGATGGCCATGGAGCACTCAAGGAAAACAGATGCCTGTTCTGAGGCCATGAGAATTTGCATCAAGTGCTTATCGTCAACATGAAATGTCTGCAAACATATCATGGCAATGTCAAGGACGGACTCCAAAAGCTCCTTTCGTTGCATGTCGTCGGCCGTGTCTTGGACCTTTTTGTTCAAGGTCAACAGCCACTGATACGAGACATCTCGACAATGGGCTAAGAGCCCTAAAACATCTTGGGATAGTTGTAGACTGGCCAGAGACAGGAGCCTAGTTGTTAGAAGTGTAAAGGAACACAAAGCGGCGTGGGACTCCCAGTTCTTTTCAATCCTGGACACCGCATCAGAGAGACCCTTCAACAACTGACGACCAAATTCCAGGCCGGTGAGACGCGTATGAGTGTCTCGGGTATTCTGCGAGACAGTGCTTGGGCCAGCCTGTAGGCTCATTTGAAGCAAGAAGATGGCCGTCTCTTCTTGGTTGAAGTCAACGGTGGGCATTGCGAGTTGGGTCAAAATGCTCATCCACTGCAGACGATATCCGTACGGTAAGACAGCCAGAGCCTTGAACTCTCCCAATGTCATATGGTCGGGGCATGTATGTTGACTTGCTATCACCTGATTTGGAGTCTCTCCATTAGGCTGAAGCCACGTGTGGACGAGGAATCGAGTCAAGGCTTGGGCGCGATCGGGAAGTTTATAAGTGCACAGGTCGGACACCGCCAATGATTCGGTAAATGGAGAGATGAAGCTGCTATTGTCACGATCGTGGTAATGATAGTTGAGGCCATTTTGTACATGGACATCTGCCACACCACTGACCGCAATGGACTTTCTACTTCGATGGGTTTGAAGATGGGGTTTTGTCTCTGATAGAAGGTGCACTCGACTCGGCCAAGAGTTGCACCAGGCAGAAAGACCGCTGTACGAGTCCAAAGAGTAAGATAAACTGGGGCGTTGCCCAAATGACTTGAAAGACATCACGTCATGGATCATATAATAAGTAACATCCCGCCACTCTGCGAACGGCTGAGGGATTCCCAATTCAAAGACTGTTGCCTGGGCTTGGAGGTTATTGGTGGGCAACGGCCACTCGTGCACCGTTATCTGAAGGTTGTTTGCCTGATCCTTCAAAGAACAGCGATTGCAGTGGGGATCGTGAGTGGGAAACGTCACACCCAGTTCAGTTACATAAACTTGCCTGCAAGGTGTGGAGTTATACCGTTGCATCAAGTCATTGTATCTGGTTTTGAGTTGGTAGAACTCTTCGATTTTGGCTTGTTTATGCAACTCAGCCTTCTCCTCGATCCTCTGTTTCTTGGTCTGAAGCATTGAGGAAGATTGGAAATATTGCACAGGAAATGACATACTAACGCCAAAAGAGCGAAAGACAGATGGTCTATTTGATGCGCCGTTGCGGCTCGCCAGATAGCTCTCAAGACGGTGAAGTCTTGCCATATCTACCTTGGACTGAAGCAGAAGTGCTTGCCAGATCATGGTGGGCACCTCGGAATCGTATTCTTTGAGCAGAGGGTAGTGGTACAATGCGGATCTGTCGGCTCCTACCCAGATTTCGCCGATGGTTAGAAGCATTTGTGATGCGCCTTCTGGACGGCCCGAGTAAAAGTCTTTTGCTCTCGAATGATAGATTTCAAGCAGAGCTTTGAGCGACCCGCAGGCTGTTTCCTCCTGAATATGCTTTGTGATCCACTCATCGAGATTTGTCTGGACCCAAGACTCTACCATTGCAAGGCTGAAGGAGAGGTACGACCTATCCTGTGGGATACAGACATCCGGAAGGATATAGGCGTCCAGGGGTCTGATGTGGGCTACCGGACGGAAGGTTGAGGTGTCATCGTTACTACCACGGCGTTGGATAGACGCAATGAAATTGTCGATATCTGGAAGGGAAAAGAAAAAACGGTCTTGCGTCTCCGACGAGGCCAGCGTGTTGATATCCAGCTGCGGCTCGGAGTAGCTCCGGATTCGTTCCCATCTCACATCCAAGATCTTTGAGGCCTCAGACACGACAGCCTGGACGGTTGAAAGCCATTCGTCGTCGCGAAGCTCTTTGAGTTTGCAGAGGCGATGAGAGATCTTGGTCATCATGATGTGGAGCACCTCGCTCGAAGCAGATGCTTCATTTGCTTTGATGAGAGCATGTGCCATTAAGAAGACCATGAAGCGTTTGTAAGTATCGTCCGAGCCACCTGTAAGGCGCGTCATTGTGAGCTGCAGGCCCACACGGATGAGCAGCCAGGTTGGAGATCTTCGCCACGGAAGCTTGCTACTGTTGTAGCTGGTTTCCTCACGCGTGTTCTTTCGGATGCCATTGATGTGGGCTTGTACTCCGACACCCCGGAGGAAGCTTGTCAGAAGCTCATTCACTATCATTGGATCTGTAGTTTCTCGCTCTTCGTGGTGGTCCGCCCGAGACTTTCTAGCCGTTGGCTGGGCTTCAGCGACTTTCTGGTAAGACATCTTGACAAGTGTGTTGGCCAGGACTTGCTGGAACTCCTTATTGTCAAACTCCTTGTCGGATATCTTGGTTGCGGTGTCGGGAAACTGGCGAACCAAGCGTCCCTTGGTGACCATGGCCGCTGCGTTGGTGGGCGACAGCTCAAAGGTTTCGAAGCAGACCGAATCTTCCATTCTGCGAATGAGCAGACCTGCATTCTGTGCGACAACATGAAAGAGTGCGACAGGGTCTACAAAATTAGTTTTCAGCCTGAAAGAAAAGGTAATGTGAGCACATACTCTCACGAGAAAGTCTTCTCAAGACGCTCTCGACGCCATCTTGATCCAGAAAGCCTTTGACGTCCGTCGTCAATTGCATTTCTCGCAGCATGGAAATTGCTGGCTGGATGGTCGCCGCATCTTCCTCAACCAATACGTCGGCAAAGCGTCGTAGAGACTGCTGGACAAATTCCATCAGAAAGATAGTTTTCAAAACACTTGAATCATCACCACCTGGCAGCTTCGGAGGCAGAAACAGGTGATGGAAGAGGTATTCAACCTGGTCCTTAATGTTGACGAAGTCCATCTTGGAAGCAGACAAAAGGTTTCGAGGAAATGGTAACAGGTTCGTTTCAAGGTATGATTCGAATAGTTTGGGTAACACACGTTCATCAATATTTGTTAAAAAGGCTCGACGGATGAACGATCAAACGAGCAGGTATGAAATTGGTTTCGTCGACGCCGAGAAGCCTAAGCCTAGGCAGCCTGATACGCCTGGTCGGCCTCCCGCATTGATAGCGGCAAGGCAACCCAGGTGCCAAGACTACTATTGATGCTACAACGCCACACTGCAATTCCTTTATAAGCAGGCCGCGACAATTTATCCTATCCGTATCAGTTGTTGGCGGCTGAAGTCGTTCGGAACAATGACATTTAACCTTTTCTTCAACCAAATGGCATTTTCGAAGTACCATGAATCTGTTGCTTCTTTTCGGAGGCATCAGTAAAATGGCATGCATATTGGTTGGTATTGGTTGGGCAGTCATGCATTGCAGACGCGGGAGGCCGTCCAACAACAGCGGGTGCGTGAATCGAATTTCAGGCTCAGATGACAGTCTTGCTTCTAACAATTTCTATAGATCTTCCAGACCGATATCGCACATTTCCTACCTCCGAAGAAACGTTCCTGCTATGGTTGATTAACTGATTCTTTGTGACTCCGATACATTGGAAACCACATCGTTTCTGGGTACCTGATGCTTCAACTGACACGGAGTTATAAAGCTCCATACCTCTCTCAGCCACTGGGCTGATTCGGCATTAGATGCGTTGAAAGGTCCCCGCTGCTGTTACGACTTCAATTGTTGTGCGGAGGGACTTTGAAAGCAGTGTGTTGTTTTAATTTGTCTGCTTCCGTGGTTCGGCCAGTCAAGAATTTTAGTTACAGAAACTTGACAGATTAATTGATCCGATAATTCACGACATTGACGACAATAGGTTGTAGTTCGTTTAGTCGGTCGTTATTTGGGCAGCATCAAGATGGTTGACCATCAGTTCTTAGCTCGGCTATGAGTTATGGCTCCTTATAGCCCAGCTCTTATATCTATAATACTCTGATCCGGGCCCAAGAGGCAACAGCAAAGACCGCCATGCTAATGAGAATGACCTCTGCTCGGACAATAGGCGCAGAGCTCGAACTATTCTTTTGACTCTTTTTGAGAAGCACGTTCCCCAAAGCACGCAGACTCGAAGTCTGCACTGTGATTGACTTGTCGCATGTTTTCTTGGCAAGCACCAGATTTCTGAAGTAGTACTTGTCCGGCTCGTCGATGCCAAACCATGAATTAAGTGTTGTCAACAGGTGGACATAACAAGGGTGGCAAAGGTACTCGGGAGGTAGATCGCCTTGAATCGGGCGCTGTGAGAATTCGAAGTCCCAGATTATTTCTAAGCGGACGGTCAGTACCTAACATTCTTTTCTAGAATTCTGGCTTACGAACCACTGCAATATCCCCCCGTTTGAGTGTCAATCTCACACGTAAGATTCCAGGCCTGCCACATCTTCCCATAACGTCTCACCCGAGCAGCACCGCACTCGGTGGATAGTGTTGTATACCAGGCCTGGATCGATCGAGAACAGGATTTAGTACATTCTTGCTCTCTTGTCCCGCTGCGAGGAAAAACATAGCCAAATTTCAAGTAATCGACGACTGACTCGTCGCAATCAATGTCAGCTGACAAGGCCCTGTCGCAAGCGTTCGTCGGATCATGATGTTCGTCGTATAGGTTGAAGGCATTCGCGTTGAAGATTAGGCTGAAAGCAAGAAATAGCCTGGATAAATGCATTTTATCACTGACTGACTGTTGAATGCCCCGTGATGAGACCTTTGAGGCGAGGATTCTTGTCTTCCAAAAAGGCAGCTCGGTCTAATTTAAATAAAGAAAAGAAAAGACCCGCTGGTGGGCTGTTTTGATGGGTCCATTTAAGGCAGCTGCCGAGAATAAAATTACACTTACAGCCGACTAGACTAGGACCGAGCCGCGATCTGGGGCTAGTACACTCTATAACTGCAATTCTTTCTCTCATTGACAGTAGACCTCAAGTACCGCTACGTAGACCAGAGAGTAATGGAGCAACGGGTTACAAGAGTGCAATTCGAGAGGTTGTATCGAGCGTACAGAGACCTCGGAAGATCCCCAAGGTGCCCAGCATGTGACTCTGATACTCTTGTTGGTCGTTAGCGTGTGAAACATTGTGGGTCGGTCGTCAATTGGACCTTAACAGGTAAGTAACTGTTTCTGGTGGGAGAATGTTAAGACACTAACAGAATATCTCAAACTAAGCTAAGTAAATTAAGGGGAGTTCGCAACCAACATGATTGAGAATGGACCGTGTCAATTTCACGTCACCATCCATACCCGTACCCTACCGCGAACAACTACTTCGAGTGTGGTACATGCACAAGAGCCTTTCCAGCGGACTGGAAAGCTCGCGACCAGCACCTTGACGTGACAGGTCATCGTGCCCCAGAGTTCGAGTACGACACATGCTACCGCTTCTTCACTTCCGGCCAGGCTCGTTGGCAACACATGAACGCTGTAAACCATTTCAAGTATGAGTGTTTAATCTGCAAGGAGACTTAACCGACAGAGGAGCAATCAACCTGCCATGAGCAAGAAGATCGCCATTATTGTACGGAGTGTAAGAAGCAGTTCCAGAACTCGAAGAATCTCAAGATGCACCTCAATTCGCATATACATCGCCGACAAGATATCCAGTGCCCCTTCTACAAACGCGCTTTTACCAGCGCGACTAGTCTTACACACCACGCGGAAAGAGGTTCATGCCCCAAGGCCACGAATTTAAATCGCGACACGCTGTATAAGTTTGTACGAGCTAAGGATCCTAACGGCGCTATCACCAACAACCTGATAGGCTGGCACGGGTTAACGCAGTATGAAGCCAATGGCCTCGCCTATAACCAGAGTTGCCAAGCTTGGTAGTGCTATCTTTGCCACCGATTATTTAATAGCCTTCAGGGTTTGAATCAGCATTTGAACTCACCTGTCCGTAGATACTATTTATTTATCCTTCGCGTCTAAATCTGACCTAACAACCGCTTGCCCACCAAGAGAAGTTTTACCACTGCCCAAAACGGGATTGCAATAAGCAGTTCACCACTCTGGCTGCCATCATCAATCATCTCGGAAGCAAGGCTTGTGGCTGCACGCGGTTTGAAAATGTACAGCAAGGCTATCCAGGGCATGATAAATGGCAATAGATTAATTGGGTTCTGATGTTAATTAGATACTGGGACTTTTTGTTCGTTTACTTGATGATCAGTGACTTTAAAATTTATATTCCTGGTTCGCTTTGCTTATGTAGTCATTTAAAAATATCCAAGAGCGCTAAACTACCCTATAACAAGTTTTGTAAATCGAATGCACCTCTGCCTGGATTGGATGCTTGCTTGATAATACTGCATTATTAAGACGGTATCTAACTTAAGAGACGATATTCCTCAGGCAGAACACTGGGTGGTTCAGTCTTTCTATTTCTGGACATACATGTTGGGCTTCCCACGCCTTCTCACGTCCCGCCTTAGCGACGCACCATAAGGAAATGGCAACGGCATTTTAACGGTTCAGAGGATACGACCCTTCGTAAGATCATTTGTCAAATGTTCATTTTGAGGCCTCTGCAGCTACACAAATATAGGACATCCTCTGGTTGAGAAAACTGTCTGGAACGAAACTGGGGATTGATATTTACACCGACCCCTTGATACTACCTTTGTCGCTTAGATAAGATAAGCTCGCCGTACAAGGGTTGCTCTGATAAAGTGGGAGCCTGATCCCTGTTTAATGCGGCACGGGGGCATATTATTCGTATTTTCCAGACGTGTTTGCAAGCATTCAAGTGTACTAGTCTAAGATTACAATAGGTAGGTAACATCTGAATCCCAGGAATCCCATAATGCTACAGAAAACACGCCATACGCCTTGAGCTGGCGTTTTTGTCGGTGTTGGATGAATATCCTTGTCGGGTGTTTGCCCCATTATACCCTAGTTTTTGGTCCACATGTGCAGAACTTTCTTCATCCTACATAGGTATGTAAGGAAAGTAGTCCCAATGGATGTAGTCTAGACTCTTGGCACTTTCTCCTCCAGGCTAACAACGACCCTTCGGTGTACGACCCTGGGTTGAGCATTGGTTAATCTGTGAGGCAATAAGCAATGTGGGGTTCATGGATAGATACAGATGAATGAATCGTATTCTGCCTTTTACCTGAGCTAAGCTCGAAGGCTCGAAGACAGGCGGAGGGGGAAAAACATAGGCAGAGAATAGAAAAAGGCAAAAGGTATCTAAACTGGCTGGGGCCCAGATAGAGTCTGTTTCTTCTTGACTTGAATATCTCTCAGCTTCCCACCTTAAGCATCTTCTACCATCTCTGCTGTTCCCCTTGCGCAATCATGCAAATCAGCGCCGCCGTCCTATTGGCCTGGGCCCTACCATCCATCGCCCTCCCACAATCACCTCCCCAGACATACTATGATGAGATGATTCCCTTCTCCGGCAGTATCAGCGGCCTCACCTACGACAATGGCACCCAGGTAATCTGGTCCGACAACGAACCGGACGCGCCTTTCACACGCCACATGAGCGAGACGGCACTCGCGTCCTTCCAAAGCCATAAGCGCGATCTTCAGAAGCGCGAAATGGTCGACTGCTGGGGCTACCAGCTGGACGTACGGCTGACGGACCTCTCGACAGCCGAGTGGCGTTCGACAATCGACCGCTGGGGCGGCTTATATCTTAGCACCCTCCCCAACCCTAAACCCGTCCAGTCGTGGCGCGGCTATGCCCACGAGCTAGGTGGACCTATGGTCTACGCTTGTATCAACACGCGAAGCAACGCCTATAGCTGGACGGTGACTTCCGGCCACGTCAGCAATGGCTTGATTAAGATGGATGCGAGATGTAGGCGTTACGAGGCTGGCTATGCAAGTCTCGACCCATATGACCACTTGCTTATTGGCAAGACCCTTTCCACCGTTCCTGTATGCTTACATGGATATCACTAAGTCTATACGGCTTGATAAAAAAAGATAGGAAAGTCACCACGCCTGGGGTTGGTCTATATTGACCAGTCGGTCGTCAGGAAGCAAGGTTTAGATATCTAGGACTAGAGAGAGTCATGGAGGACAGTTTCCTATTGACGTAGCTATAATGGAATTATTCTAATCGGTTGTCGCACACTAAAGAAACATCAAATCGGTCATTGCCTTTCCAAACTTGGGAACCGGAGTTGCTAGCAGCAACAGCGAGGCGTAAGTCACTGACCATGCTTCCTGGTCCACTTGCAAATACAGTTGTAGAACCTCTGACAGTATCCACGATAAACTCAGGAACCAATTTACTCAAGTCGGGGTGAGAAGTGGAGCTTCCGCTGCTTACATCTCCTGAGTCAGAGAGGTTCGACGGCGACGAAGTGCCAACTTCGACTTCCTTATCCCCCAAGTCCGCGCCAATGACAGCTGTAGGACTACCAGCTTCGCGCGTTACAAATATACGCACTTCGATACCATGCGACTCGCGAGAGTGCAAGATAGATTCGAGCTCGTCATGGACCCACTGGGCATCCGAAGCTTTCCTAATAGCCCAGATGAGTTGGACTTTGCGCATTGTGGAAGACGGCTTGGAGATGAGATCTAGTAGGACGGGTAAAACATATGTGATTCCTGTACCACCAGCAACACAGAGCACGTTAGTCTCTGGTGTCAAATTCTCTGTAATCGATTCGCCGTAAGAGCCAGAAAAGATGACTGGGGTCGTTATATCAATGTTCTCAGCCATTTGTTTGCGTGCCATTTCTGCAAGCTTCTTGGTCTCACCCTGCTTTGCGCGCAGGATATACGAATGTTGAACAGTCGCCTCTGTGAGTACTGGTAAACTCAGAGGAGTAAATGGATGCGATTGCCAGATACTGCATTCAGTGAAGCAGAGATAGAAATGCTGACCGATCTTCCACGGGTCCTGAGAGTGCACAAAATCCACTCTCACGACATCACCATTCTCAGAATCCGGAAAATGCCTGACGGATGCCTTGATTGACTTGAAGCCCATTGACCCAGTGTCCATAAGCTGATAGTGAATCAAGCCAGTCCTAATCAGACGGAGGGCACGGTCGAGGGCCCAAAAGATAAGAGACGAATACAGAAAGCAGGATAGTTTGTCCCAGTGCGCATAACAAGCACCGATGTAGACCATGGCGAGTACATAATGGGCCTTTCGGAAGAATTCGTAGCCTGTTCGACGGATGACAACAGGCAAAGTCAGAACAAAGAGAAGCATGATGAGCAACGTTGCGACGATCCCCCATATCATGTATTTCTCCGTGATAAGTTGCAGTGCAGCGTCTGGTTGCGGAGCGTAGAGCTTTGTCTCGATGACAATCCACGCGATGGTGTGAAGCAGAGCCTGAACAAGAATGATATATCCGAGCCAACGATGTAAGAAGTTGAAGCTCTGATAAGGAACCCCAGTCAAAAGACTCAGTATCGATTCGCGACTCGCCAGCATGACAGTGAGTGGTGTAAGTGCGTATGCGAGGACACCAATTCGATTGGACCATGGACCGAGAGTAGTTCGAATTGTATAAACGCCTTCGTGATCTGGTACCGCAACGACCCAGATCTTGTAAGTAAGACCGGCGAAGCTTGCGATGATGAGATATGCTGATATGATGGCCAGTAGAGAGACTTGTAGACGTGTTGTTCGGCCGAAAACGATGCGTAGTGAATCTGGCAATAGATACGAGCGAACAAAAGAGCCCACTGTTCTTTGCATTCGGTTTTGCCGGTTTATTGTCGATGAAAAGACCTTTTCACCATCTGCAATTAAGAACTCGTCCGCTTTCGGTGACGGCCACATCTTACGGGCAAAAGCCCAAGTGAACAACACAGCGATGGCGATCGCCCAGAAGATACCGACAAATAGCATGCTATAGTCGTGACCTGAGTAGACGAGATCAAGGTATGCGCAGGTTTTGACGTCTTTGGCACACGGCAGGGCGCGATCTGCGTAGCCCCAGTGAGGCTCGAGTGTTTCGGCTTCGCTCATGTTCTGAATGTGCCGGGCGCCCAGTGCCCTTGTGAGAGACTCCATTCTGGGCTTTTGATGCTGATGAATGGCAAGCAGCCGATATGTTGGGTAAATAAGTATGTTCTCCTGTCAACCTTATATCCCCGCGTGGAACTACCTGGCTTTTTGAGATGGCTAATGCAGGTGGAGACGAGACTGTATGAGCATGTTTAAAGATTCAACGGTGGCGTAGCTCTCCTTGGCTTTACCCCAAGACTGTACGATTTAGCCAGATTGAAGCTTATTTATCTAGGATTGACTTTCTCATCCTATCACTTTGTGTCAAACGGACCAGGAATGCATCAGCGTCTAGGGTAATGCAACGGTGCCAAGCGAGATAAGGTAACCCTCTCTAGCCGGATATGGTAAGTTGAGAAGGATTGAGCACATTTACCTCTCCGCATCAAATGATACCCTGATAGACTGGTAAATGCCAAGCTGGCAGGGCTGTGTATTAACAGCAGCGGTAGAAAGCAAAGAGAGGTTCCGAGCATGGCACGTGATTTCATCTTATGGCTCGGATCAATGGAACTGATAGCTAAAGCCAAACCCTCAATTTTACCACGAAAGCTCCGATGAGTCATCACTATCGATAAGACATCGGCTCATACTAAAAATAACTCACTGGGCTGTAAATCATCTCGTGACGACTTTAAATACCCCATTCTGAGTCTTATTCCCTGTATCAGATCACCATCGCGACTCCACCTTGATGAAGATGGACCCTTCTCTTTATCTTCATAGAGGCTTCATGCTTGACACAGGTCGCAAGTTCTTCCCCATTGAAGCCATTTTCGAATTATTGGATGTTCTTCATGAGAACAATTTCAATGTCTTCCATTGGCATATTTACGACGCGGAGAGCTTCCCAATGCACTGGCCAGAGGATCGCGGCTTGACAAACGCAAGCATCAAGCACAGTCACTGCTCAAAGTATTATACTCCAGATGATATTCGCAGGGTTGTCGCTCACGCGCAGCGCTTGGGCATTTGTGTTATTCCTGAGACAGACGTGCCTGGCCACGCCGACATATGGTACGTGATAAATCCAGTGACTCTGAGAGCAGATGCTGAGAATATCCTGATAGGGGAAAATGGAAGAAGGACCTGGTGGTTGGCAAAGCAAACCTGAAACATCCAAAAGCCCAATTGGATATCAGAACCCATAACCAACAGACCTACAGCCACATAAGGGATCTTGTCCAAACAACAGACAGATACTTTGCATCTCCTCTCCACCACTTTGGCGGGGATGAAGTCGCGTATATGTGGGACACAGACGATGATAACAAGCTTTTCGAGAACTTCCTCAACTGGCTGAAAACCCTAAGCCCAAACAAGTCCCTCATCCTATGGGACGACCCACTCACCGACGAAGAAAAGGACATCAAAATCTCCAAGGACTGGATCATACAGACTTGGCACAACAGCGTCTCGCAAGATGTGCTCGACAAGGGGCATCGGGTGATAGTCTCCGAGTCCGAGACGTTCTACATCGGAAACTCAGACGAAGAGAAAATTTTCTCCTTTGCTTTTCCGGACAGCCCGAATGTTCTCGGCTTTGAACTTGTCTGGTTCACTTCGGAAGGAGATGATCCGTATGACTTTCGTCAGGACTGGGTTATGGAGCCGATTCGAGCTGCGGCGCAGATCCGTAAGCCCAAGTGTTGATCGGGACTCGCGAATCTGTGCGTACATTCATTATTGAGTCATAGATCTAGAACATGTGTTTTTAGCCTTGGCATCAATCACTATTTACCAATTGTAGGGTTCAGCTACTACCTATGCCCAGTGCCTACTGGGGGACTGGGGTTGCAAAGCAAGAAATTGACCCTTACTTCGAATAAAAAGCAACTACCCACTACTGCACTCTACCGTTAATCTCGGATCCTACAATGAAGTGGCATACAGCCCTCAGGGGTGTAAAAAAAGCAATGGCAGTGTTGCAGCTCCACCCTGGGTACATCACCCGTTTATTACGTGTAGATCTACTTACCACAGGGTAAATGGCGAATGGGAATGTCTTCATTCAGCAGAATAGCGGAAATTGACCGCTGCAGACCCCTGAGGGGCTACACTTTATCTTGCTGGATCTAAAAGTGGCTTCTTAGTTCGGAGCTATTGAAGTCTAGAGGCGCGCCACCAACAGGCGGCGATTCTCAGCTAGATGTGACGTCTGGCTGGTAGGAGATTTTTGCCCGTTGCTTCTAACTGATTTGAGGGATTTAGAGCGCCAGCCACACGTGGACTTGAAGACCCTAAAGGCCGTTATTTCGGGGAATATTCGAGGCTGAAGGATGGTAGAGAAAACCTATAACGCGAAGTAATGGTTCTGGACCAGAGACAATGATAAGCCTCACGTTTACAAAATCTAGACCGTTCTTGCTGAGTTCGAGAACCACTCCATGTATCCTCTGTAGGTGAGTATTTCTTGGAGGGCGGAATTTTCTTTTTTCTTTCCAATTGGTGACGTCCCTACACCATCATGTCATTGGTGAATTCTAATAGCGCTGCAGATCATGAAGTGATTTCCTTTTTAAGTCAGGGTTTCCAAATCAGTCTGCCAAGACAGAGGGCATGCATCCGCTTGTGGTATCCACAGAGCTATTGGATTTCGTATGTGGGTTGATCCTTCGAGGCTCCTGGGTGATTACTTCGTTTATTTGCATATTGGAATATCCGGTATTATATGTCCGTCGCCGCGTTGCTTTTCCATTCTGCTGCGACTTGAATTGCTTTGACGGGAAAGATCAACGTACCTTGCTCGAGCTTTATGGAAACCTGGGATCGCAAAGAGACATAAAAGTTACTCTTCCACAGTTTCAGGGTAGCAGAACAGGTGTAACAACTATAAGTATCTGCTATTTTAATTGATCTACAACATCATATCCTCGGTGAAAAAGAGACCGAAACGGTTACAGGGTAGAGTCAGAACTAAAGTGTGGACGCGTTTTTTCGGAGAGTCGGAACAAAGGAGGCTTACTGGTGGCGTTGTTATATCCGCGCCAAACGCGTACGGCTCAACACTAAAATCTGGACTCGTTTATCTTCGGAAAATGGGAGTGACAGGGGTAACTTTAATGATTGGTCAATTTCTTTCTGTACCAACGAATCTCAGATATTGTTCCCCATCGTGCCTTAATACACCACAGATCTCTTACCAAGAAAAGCGGATGCAGTGACTCACCGATACATGATGTTTATTGCTACAAGAAGCTTATTTATTTATATTCTACTACAGCACCCCAAGTACACCATTTGATGAGGCTAATTAACTCACGGTTGAGGGATCTTGGAGACCACGTTGTGGATGAGATGAAACCCTTCGATATCATGTCTGTATCACACTGGGAAGGATAGATGCGTTAGGAAGCTATAGGTACTAAGACCGAGTCTCCGAGCTGTGTTGACCCAATTTGGAATTGTTTGCGCGTTGCCACCTTTTCGAAGACGTTAAGATGACGTCGATATCCTCGCAAGTCAACAAAAAAACTGGTTCGCTGCACAACAGTTTGTGCGGTCAATGCAAAATGGGTCCATCGGACTAGCGGACTCCGACAGGTCTGCGCCGTTTGTAAAAAAAAAAAAGAAAAGCGTTGTTCCCAGCGAAAAGTCAATATGCCAAGACGAAACGTTGAACCCAGACGCCTTTTTCTCTCTAAAACAGCAGTCTACTGGTTCACAGACTCCAACGACTTGCGTGGTTGAAAGATTCGTATGTTTTCTATCGATGTCACAAACAGGGTCTAGAGCCATAGATATGTCTTCTTATGAATGTCATCATCAGTTCATTGTCGAGGAAGCGTGATTTTCTCAGCTGAAACATCTTAAGCCACAACTCCCAAAAAACAATGCCAAGACAGACGCATTGACGTTGGATGCACTCGAAATTGCTTCTGCAAGAAGGCAAGGGCGAGCAAGGTTCTGGTACTCAAATTGCAGGGCCTCGTCGATCCGATCCCAGCGAAAAATCCTCTTGCTTCACTATCGACAGCTGAGCAGAGCAAGGAAAGGATTTGCAAGGCTGATAGGGTTTGAGGAAGCTGAGATCGAGCCTAATACCAGTATGGTTTGCGATGAGTGGATTCAAGATCTCTCTTGAATATCAGAGGGGCTGACCGGGTACTTGGGTCAGTCTGGAATGCTCAACGGTCCATTAGACTAGCTCCACAAACGGCGATCTGAGTCCACTATCTGGGGTCAGGTACACAGGAGCTGTAAATGGTTGAGCTAAACAACTGTGTGTAGGCCAATGTTTCCGCCACTGGCCCCTGTCGGAGCTTTCCTTTTGTTGTCGTTGGTAGTGGTTGCAATATGCGCGTAGTCGAGCCGGTGACACCGTCTCTCACTATACGAGACTATTACGCATCTACTTGGGAGGCATCCCAGGATCTGCAACAGCGCCAATAATCTCAAGCCTCGTTTATGTACGATTTCAATAGCTCGTTACCAAAAGCATGGTCGAGACAGCTTTCGATCCGGGCAATATCGTTATTGACATAAGCTTAAAGCCATTCAGCTGGATCAGGCCATGCTCTCGGCTCCCGCCCATCCTTCATCAGTGGGCTAGACAGTGTTTTCCAGTTCGCCATCTGGTAGATTGAACTAGCCTTGACGTTTGGCAGGGCTCAGCTCCGTTGAGGCGTCCCTGATGTCTTCTTTTGGGAAACTGTGTACCTTAGTTCCGGTGACAGACGGGTTTCGACACCCAAGCGAGGAATCTAGACTGTTGTTAGATGAAATCGAGCTGACTTGCATATCGATCTACCCGTTTGTTGTTTTTTTGCCTTTCGATAGCTGTGTTGGTTCCTTAAGTACAAGAGGCTCGGCGTACATATCGATGTTCTTGGTTGTCTCCATCAGTTCTCTTACGGGCTTTCCATCCCCTACCGACTCGAGGCTCGTTCACCTTGGCATTTCACCTAAGTCTTGTCATATCTGACAAATCGAAATGCACATGATGTTTCAGCAACAAGGGCCTCCACCTCGGTCCCAGCTTTCCAGCCCTGGCCTATCCGACAGCAGCAGTGAGAACTTGGCGAGTGGAAACTTCGGCTTCTTCAAGCTTTTTGCTTGTCCTTACGCCAAGCGTGACCCCGAAGGAAGACGGCACTGCTCCAAGAAAGCTTGGAAGTCAATCCATCGTCTTAGGTAAGGCGCCAATCACGCTTTCGTGACCTTACTAACTATCTACAGACAACATATTTATCGCTGCCATACTTTGCCTATCAAGTGTCCAAGCTGTGCAATTGACTTTGACTCTAGCCCAACCTTTAGAGATCACATTCAGGCTGCTGACGATGGCGATCACTGTGAGACGGACGAGCCTATCAGAGGTCTCGAGAACCTCCTCGAGAAGCTTAAACCGAATAAGGATAGCTTGGCTGAGGTCTCTGACGAGGAGATGTGGCGGGTCCTCTACTCCACTCTATTTCCCAACGATCCCAAAGACGCGATTCCCAGTCCCTGTAAGTAAAGCTTGACTCGATCTCTTGGCTGCATTAGCTAATAAGACTCTCAGACGTGGAAGGGGATCAGCTAGCACATGTCACCGTGTCGTCACATGGATCCGACCGATCAACTCCCAGCCTCCGTTCTGTCCCCTTGTGCCATACGCCCAACTTGCGGCCTGGTCTCAACAGTCGAGGTGTTTCCTACCAAGACAGTGAAATCACTCCAGCCCCTCGCCACCCAGCCTCTGTCGCTAGCAGAGGCTCGCTATTCGCTGTCGCTAACGAGACCACTTCTCCATGCCCATCTCCTCAACCTCCCACCCCAATCTACAGCCGTCCCCAAACCGCCCGCACAAACAGCCATGGCTTCAACCCTCAGTATGTTAGGGATGAGTACTATCAAACTCCCTCTCCCACCTCCTCTCAAGCTCCCAGCCTCCAAGGTGAGCGATCACCATCTCCGAAAGGAGGAAAACTGAGGAAGGAGCGAAATGTCAAGACCATGGAAGCTCAAGTTACTGCCTTCAAAGCTTGGGAGAAGCCTCACCGGACTGACGAGCACAGCAACCCTGGTGAATATCAGGGCGTCTGGAAGTATCTTGCCCGCTGTCTGACCTTTTACATCCCATCATGGCTTCTCGAGAAGTTCTTCAAGATGGACGATGCGCGACGCCGCATGGCCTTTCGACAAAAGGTTTTCTTTTGCCTTCTCCTCGCCGCGATCTACACCGTCATCTGCTATTTCCTCATCTTCCAACCAATTGTCAGCTGTGTTATTAAAGTCGACATTGGCATGTTTGGCACTGATAGTCAGTTCTGCGAGGCGACAAGGTGGCTGATCTATGTCTACATGGGTCTTGGTGGTGCCTTCATGCTCCTCGTTGCGATATGTGTCATGCGGGTTCGGTACAGGAGTCGCAAATTCGAGGAGCATGACGATCTGCTTGTCATGCATATGCCCTGCTACAATGAGGACGAGGCTACGCTTCGTAAGACGATTGATTCATGCGTTGATTCAAGCTACGAGAACAGCCGCAAGCTTCTCTTCATCGTCGCTGATGGAAAGATTCCTGTCGATGGGCGGAAGCCGAGCCACAGGATTCTGGTTGAGGATATTTTCCAGCATGAGGCAGATCCCGAGATGGGCATCGACAATGAGGCCAAGTCGTATACATCTTTTGACTTGGAAGGCGTATCTGAGAACAAGGCCCACTGCTACACCGGCTTCTTCCGAGGCGTGCCCTATGTCCTTATCACCAAGGTTGGACGCGACGATGAGCAGGACCACGCCAAACCTGGAAACCGAGGCAAACGCGACTCGCAGCTTCTGGTCTACAACTTCTTCCACTACGTCAACTACCGTCGACTTTGGAGCCCGCTCTTTGAGAAGATCGAGTTTCAAATGCGGGCCTGCCTGAACATTGATGCGACTGAAGCCATGCACATGTTGGTCGTCGATTGCGACACTGTACTTGAGAAGACCGGTATTTCATACCTGGTTCATCAACTTCAGAAGAACCACAGCCTCATCGGAGTTTGTGGTTACACTGGTGTCAACAATCCTTTCGCCAGCTATGTCGCCATGACTCAAGTCTTTGAGTACTGGCTCACTCACGCCGTTCTCAAGGCCGTCGAGACTGTCTTTTCCAATGTTTTGGTTCTTAGTGGATGCTTCACCATTTACCGACTCAAGTGGCCAAACAACAGACCAGCCATCTTACATCCTCTCCTCTTGGAGGATTATGCTGGAAGCTATGACAAGACATTGCACGAACACAACCTTTTGTCCATCGGCGAGGATCGCTACTTGTCGACCCTAGCAATTCGTTACTTTGGAGCTGATTGTCGACTGCAATACTTCTCTGCTGCCACCTGCACAACTACAGCTCCTGACACCCTCTCAGTACTTCTCGACCAGCGTCGTCGATGGACCAACTCCCTCATCCACTGCCATTTCTCCCACCTCAACGTCCTCCCCTTCGAAGCATCGTTCTGGACCCAGCTTAGGTTACTCTTCATCATCGGTGCCGAGCTCTTTATGGTTTTCGTTCTACCCCTCGCATTGCCAGCTGGGCTTGTCCTTGCAATTGTCTCCGTCTTACTGACTGATTATGCTTGGGCGATCTTGCTTGCTTTTTGTCTTCTGCCAGTTTTGATATGTGTTATTTGCAATGACTGGAAGTTTATTCCATATTATGTTCCTTTCTTTCCAATGGTTGCTATCTTTAGCATTGTTATACCATTGTTCTCGATGTGGAAGCAGGACAATGTTAAATGGGGTAAAACTCGAGGTTGATTAAAAAGTTAGACAGATGGAGTTCTAGATATCTTTACTTCTTGGATAGAATATCCTAATTGATAGACTTAATATTACAAAGACATATTACTCTTAACGCAGAAGAAGCTGTCTTTATAAAAGTTCGAATGGATGATAGTTATAAGGAAGTGTAAGCGGTATTACTCAATCTGTTGTCATTGGAAAGTGTAAATTACAAGCGTGGAACGATTCGCTCCGGAACAGAGGAAACAGGGTTAGCAGTGACATACAATCAGCCTTGTTTTAGTTCTCCCTGCAGAATGGCCAGCTGAGCTGGAAGACTGACCTGTCAAAAGGGTTAAGCGTAGTCTCTTTAAAGTAAGCTTAACACGGTGGCGTTGCCATAGGGTTTTAGTCTCAAGCCCTATCTCTTTCGCATGGGTGATATTTAATTTCAGCACCAATATTACTATAGCCAATTGTATCTAACATCGCTTTCCGTAGACGCCATGACAACGGAGATACATGCTTGAAATAAATTAAGTACAGCTCGGACTTCGAAATGAACATTTCATCAGGGCTTCGGATCTTAGATGGTTGTCTTTGGCAGGGTGGGAGGCTTTGTTGGTGGCGTTAGACCATTCCATTCAGCCGCATCCAGACCAATTTGTACCAGCCCTCTCGAGGTTCTGAGCACAGCTCCCAAAGTAGCGTAGTCAATTGGCCCAAAGAAACCTTTCATAAGAGCCCTGCTGTCCTACCTCCGTCTTCCACCGGCGACCCTGTTCCATCTTCATCTACCACCGGTATACCAGACATCAAAGGTGCTGCCATGGCTTACTATAGCCAAGTTCTCAACAGAGAAGACTTTTATCCTCAAGCAAGTTCGGGTGCTCCAGCCTATTATCCTGTCTCCAGTCCCTATTACCCTCCCGGTCGCAGCTATCCGAGCGACAGCAAGCCTGGTTTAACTCCAACCGCTATCGAATTGGGGACGTTCGACGCTCATCACAACCACAAGAATGATTATATGCCGCCGTGCCCCTCGCACCCAACTCCACGATACCAACGCTGGTGGAGCAGAATCGGCTACTTCGGTCTGTGGGTTTTGGGCCTCGGTACGATCATAATACTGGCTGCATGTTCACTCCTTGTGTACATATGGATAGGCTCTAAGTTGGCTAGGGATAGGCGCCCCCGAGGGGTGCTGTGGGATTCGATAGTCGTAGATGGCTACGCAACTCGCGTCATCACTGTCTGCTCGGCCGCTATTCGCGTAGCAATCGCCTTCCAGACTGGTCTTTTAGCTGCTGCAATGGCAGCTTTTATTCTGGAGACAACTGGGTCGCGACTCTCCAACCTTGCATGTTTATCCATTGCAAGAGCCGCCAACTCAACCCCATGGGAGATTTACTGGATGGCCTCCCAACAGCGACTCAAACGAAGCGCAACGAAATTCCTACAATGCTCGATTCCTCTTCTCGCTTTCCTTGTCAACCTCATTACCACGTTCACATCAACCGTTCTCCTTTTTGACTTAACCATGACTTCTGTCGCGGTCCACAACGGTACGACATCGATAAATGTCGGCATCGACATGCACAAGGACATAGCCGACTTCTCTGGCGTCTCGTATTGGCAGTCCAAACCAATGGCGCATTGGAGGTTTGCCGAAACCCGCCCGTCAACCCCTAGCAACTTGACTGTTCCGAAGGGTGTAGCAGACACTGGAGATGTTTACCGAGCTGCTCTACCACTCGAGAATGTCGACGATCGAACGTCTTTGGAGTTCCTATCGGGTCCCACTATTGTCGCCAACCTGAGAACGATATGTGTGGCACCCACTTTCAGCAATTCTACCCTGGTCTACAAGACTGCGGATACCTTTACTACTGAAGGGTTGTATCTAGAAGCTGTACTCGACCCTTCCACTGGATGGGAAAGAGGTCCCAAGGTCAACGGCAACAACTCGCTACAATTTTCTTGTCGTCTTAATAACGATTGGAATCAAACAGATTCCGTGGCCTGGCCACTTTCCATGTGCACATTTACCGAACTCAAACTCAAGGATAGTCTTAAAGACGTTGACGAAGGTCTTCAGAACCCTCTTTCAGGTCAGCCTTACGCATTCCAACCAGTCATCCTTTTGAATTCGAGCGAAGTCTTGAATGGCAGGATAAGGGGATGGAATGAGACTTCCCAGGATTGGACTCCGGTAGTGATACCGGAATGGGTGCAGCCGTCGAAGATAGCAGGAAATGCCACGTGGAGTAACGCGGTAACGAAGAACGGAACCGACATTTTCCAGGCTAGTGTATGTTTCATCACGCACAACATGCCGTTATTATATAACGTCACAATGACAGGGAAGTCAATCTCAGCCGAACCCAAGTCTCAACCAAGATGGAGAAAGCTACACGCCAAGACTGGAACAGAATTCATCAACCAGCTCGGTATAGGTGTTTTACCCTCAGATTACGAGACACGCGGCATCCTTGACCTTGACGTTCGTTCGGGGCCGCGGTTCTTTGGTATAAACAACGAGGGTACCAATGCCACACTCTACGACTTTATCGGATCTGCTCTTTTCGACTACAGTAATACAGGAGGATGGGCTTTCAACAATGACGCTTCCATGGGCTACGTTGATTCCTCCATTGCGTGGCTAGCTCACCCGGAGCATTCTCTCCTGCTACAGACAGTCCTCCAAGAAACAGGAGACCCTGCTGAAGCTCTGAAGAACCTCTTCTCTAGGTTCTACCAGATGATCTTTCATGATATGCTCCCTTACTATACCGCAGAACAGTCATTCGAGTTGGCCAACGCAAAGCAGGTTTTGATTCCAACGAGGTGGACAGGTCTCATCATCATCCTGTCAGTTTTAGTTGTCCACCTTGCTCTGATGTTAACGGTGGTGTGGTTATTTGCGATGTCTACGGGTATATCTACGTTGGGTAACGCATGGCAGGCGGTAACCCAGATCGTATCTTCCGAAACAACACCGGTTCTTCAGGCTGTGTCTAATCATAGCATGACGGATGCGGACGTTAAAGAGTGGGCGAAGTCGACAGCATATGATGAAAGGTCCTATGGTTTGTCAGGTTATGTTAGTAACGGTGAATCGGGGATGTGGAGGCGCTGAGAATTGTATGTTGGATATCTCATTGTCTACTTGTATGCAGTATTTACATGTCCTGGAGTAGGAGAAAATGATCTATTAAAGCTTTCGTTGTACACCACCACTTACTGCCCAAATATTTGCGAAGCTTTGAAAGCCCAGACCTCCTCCAGGTCAATTGTAATCTGCTTTGAAACAATGAATCCGGTTTGCGATATCCGACTAAGCAATCGTAGAACCCTGTCTTTCTGCAAGGGATCATTTGTATTCGCCCCAGCCATGCGGAGTGGAAACAGTAGTAGTAAGCCAGGAATATCAGAGTGGTCCAGTACCTCGTCGGCGTAGCATACGACAGCTGTGACATGAGTCTCGACTTCGCCTTCTGTGAGCCTGGGAATACTTAGTCCACCCCAGCATGTATAGAACGTATAGTTCATGCATATGAAGAGTTGTAGGGCATGGAAGGTTGCAAGTTCAAGTTTGCAGTTAATTTCTCCTGGCTGCTTCTGCACCAAAGCTCGGTTATGCCAATCCAGAAGTCGCTGTTGATATAATCGACCTTCCCTTGCGAGGTCAACGATTTCAGGATGACAAGACCGTTTTGACTCTGGAATGGACTCAATGCGATCGAAGAAGCTGCTCAAGACTTAGCCATAGGACGAGGATTGATTGGGGAAACTCACGTCTTGCTGAAAGAGGAAACTTGGACAAACAGTTCAAAGATTGTATAAACCCTACTCGGTAACGGTGGCGCGAAATAGCTATTCTGGTAGCGCCAATCTCCATGTGAGAGAATAGTTTCTTCACAATAAAGAATGGCTCGATTTACCTCCAGCCAGCTGAAAGCTCCAAGAAACTGCTTTCCGAGTCGATCTGCAGGTCTTCCAAATGTTTCGAGAATTCTAGAAGTCCCGTATAACATGTGCTTAGCCCATTGATCTCCAGTCACTTGTGTCGTTAACTTTCATCGTTAGCATAACATCTAAAACAGAATGGGTCGGAACATGCGTCGAACAGTCCAAGAAGAAGTGTACACCAAAGAACACCTTGACATTGTGACGCTTCCAACGACTCAAGTTCAGCCTGCAGCTTCTGGATCGACCTGCCATATGACTGAAAGGCAACTATTCCTGGTGCCTGTCGCTTGCTTGTGAAGTTCACGGTAGCCCTCCTGCTGGCTTCAAGTGCACCGATCGCAATCGCCACTTCTTGAAGTGGTGGGCATGTTTGGATCAACGGAAGAAGATCATGTGCCAAGTTGATGGACTCTTGAGTAAACTGGCAGCGTTTCATGAATGAATTGAAGTAGTCCAGATATGTGACTTCTGGCTTTGGGGTGACACATGCCACTATTGGCGAAGGGCTGCCATTGACGAATTTTGCTTTGACCACTGGTTGGTCTGGAGGAAGACACGTCTTACTTGTGCGAATACAGTATTCGCAAGGGGAGCCACCTTGGCACTTGACATCATGTTAATCAACGTTATAGCGTTTGACGGAGGGGGATTGGCTTGCGTACTTTGATACGTCGTTTTGCGCATGGTTGGCAGCGCGTCAACTTTTTGCGCTTGTCTAGCGGTCCGACGTTACGCTTGCTACTCATTTTTTGTCAGATGTTAACTTTTTTCATCACAAAAGACCAGGTGAAGAAGGTAGAATTGTTTACGTTTACTGGTTGCTGCTGGGAGTCATAGAAGAGGCTGACGGACACGCAATCCACTGCATAAGCCCCACTGAGTATTAGCCCGATTGAGAAGTAATTGAACGCACCTACGGCAATTTCTTCATTTCCACTACAGGTAAGCGAAGATACCTGCCTATGGATATTATTGAGCGGACTGGCATTCCGCTCTACTTCCGGGTGTCCCACAGCCGATAAAGGTGGACCAATTTAACCCAATCTGGTACTTATTGAACGCCCTGAAAGACCGACAGCAAACAGCCCGATACGCAAATACTATAAAGATATCCCATTTTGACATATTCTAACACAAACACACACACATCATCTTGTCTTCAATTCATACGATCTCTGAGATGTTCTTTTCCACTACTTTGTTCATCAGCTTCGCAGCTGCGGCTGTCGCTCCAGCATGTCCTTCGTTCCTGCCCTCCATGGTGGAATTCTCCGCTGGGTTTCAGCAACCCAAGCCACCAATCGTCAAGCCAGAATATCAGGCTCACTTCGTGCAACACAAATGGTCTGTATTCCAATCGAACCCAATACGACTACAGCTAACCTCGAAGATAGGAATGCTGACTTGTCGCATATCACGGCTGGCTACATCGAAAACTCACCTTCAAAAGGCTTTGTCCGCGCAGATGAAGCTTATGAGGGCGAGATGGCCTCGTCGTTCTTTGACTATTCCAACGTCACTGAGGCGGGTTTGGTTGATAACACCCTAACGACATACAATCACAAATCTACTAAACCCACAGTTTGGAGAGGCTACGTGAACTCCAACTTTCCAATCTTCGAGAAGAAGATCTTGGTTGACTCTGGCGCCGTCTTCGAGGGGTTGGTCAAGAGGGACTTCAACCCTTCGCCTGTTGCCGCGGTAAGGGCCTTTCTCTAGTAGCCGTTACGAGAACATCAGCTAATAACTAACTCAGTGGAGTATCATGTACCAGAAGGTGATTCCGGTAACGGTGTATGTAAATTCATGCAATATTATTGTTGGCTATGATTACTTTGCTCCTGAACTACGAACTCGAGTTATTATGGACTTTTTTGATATCCAAGCGAAGTAGTCGAGACAACAAGCGTGCCGTTTGGAAGTAGTCGGGGTTTTTCGTCTGGCTTGTCCAGTTTTCCCTGTATCAGTAATTAAGATTAATAAATTACCAATATTGCAAATGCAAGCTTAGCAAATCTGCCAAGCCCCCAGTGCTATTGAAGAACATAATCATGTCAGTTTAGCTATAGTTTGTCTTTGGAGATACTGCCATATTAGACTCCGCCACGTAGCAAAGAACTGGTCATCTAGAGAGAACACAGAGGATAAATTTTGACGTGATAAAAGTCCAAATACTAAGTCTCGGGGATGTATAACATGGTATGCGCATCCAGGTATCAATGTAAAGCAACCATCCAGCACCATCAGAACCCATCTACAGTCTATTCATCATCCTCTCCGGCGACACCCTCTCCGGCGAGCCCTCCAACCGAACCGAATCCAACAGCTCCGTCAACTGCGGCACATCAGGGGGTATCATATCCCACGACAACAACTTGTCCTTCTTTGCAGTAATCATGTTCGCGTAAATATCCGCCATCTTCTTGCTATCCCAGACTCCCTCTCTTCGTCCAAGAGATCGTAAAAGTCGGACTCCTTCCCACTGAATCTTCTCGTCCTGGCACGATATAATAACGTAGGCGATTGGCGGGACTAGGTTTGCTTGGAAGGTGAAGATGTGACCGGTCTCGCTCTGTGATAGTTCGATGATAGACTCGGCCTTCTTGAGAATCTCGATACAGTCTGATGTTTCGAGATCATCCTTCATCGAGTTTAGCTTGAACGTCGCGTGCCAAGTCGTTTCTTCAAGTTCAAGAACCTTGAAGCGAAATATCTCTGCCTCCGACGCTGTCGAGGGATCAAAGTTGAGTTTGAACGCGTTATATCGCGCGCTCCAATATCGAAAGAATGACTCCGGGTCCAAACCATGGTCAAATCGACGACACACCAAAGCATCCTTGCCACAAGGGAATCCCAGAGTCAAACACGTAGGACACTCTGTGTACATGTCCATCCCACAGATGGTCTCTATCCGCGTCAAGGATGATGCAGCTGCTTGGGCGGAAAAGAAAGGGGCCCCGGGTTCTTGCAGGTAGATCGGATCTTGGCGATGAAGCCACTTCTGCAGCTCCGATACTAGTTTCGACGAGTGATTGTCGCCCATGTAGAAGAAAAGGTCAGACGCGAGACCGCAGAGTGAAGGACCGATATTCTCCATAAACTTGGCCATCTGATCATCCTGCCCTCCCGTTCCCTGGCCGTAATCAGATAAATGCTGCGTGTTTAGTAACGAAAACGCGGCTTCTAAGTGTCGGGTAACATTCGCGTATCGCCCATATAAACTCTCCGTGCAGATAAAGATCAAACAGCACGTAAGAACAACCTGGAAGTTCTTCTCGGGCGAAGTCATATACTCCTGCATAACCTGAATAGCATTATTATACTGCTGAATGCTCGCAACCTCATAAGACTGAGCAAGCGACTGCGTAAGTGAATCAGTCTGCGTCTGAAGTTTGAAAGCCTTGTGCGCGCCGCCCAACGCGCCTATCGCGGCTTTGACCGGTTTGGAGTCTTGGCTAAGCGGTAAAGCGTAGTCGTGCCAGAAACTCATCGCGTTTAGGGAGCTGGCTAGTTCTGAGACGGTGCATGTTCGGAAATGGTGGCAGAGATCTAGTTCTATCGATGAGCCGAAGGATTCGGGTGATAGACCGGCTGGAACTAGTAGTTTTGCTGATGTTGGGGCTCGACGGACTATAGCGTCTTGTTGTTTCTTCTTCGTCCTGGGCTTATAGTGGACTGGCATCTCATAGCCGTCGCATGTTCTTTTGTCCTTTACGCAGCGAAGACACTCTGGTCTTGTCTCGTCGCATTTCAGATGGCGGATTCTGGGTTTTGGTTAGTTGCTGAGTTTAGCATGTGAAAATGAAGGAATACGAACTTGCTGTTCCCGTTAGCTTCAAACTTCTTTTGATACGTCCAGATCAACTCACCATGTAGTACAGCCAGACCTAACCTTTGGCCCACGCGCTCTCTTCCATTTGGACGATTTAGCTGCATCCGCCATAGTTGTAGAGATAAGATGACCGTAGTGGCAAAAGGAGTCAGAATCGAAGGATGCGTGTTACGCCAAGTTTATAGCAGAGATGGGACGCCTAGGTTACTCTCCGGGTCAGGCAGGGTATGTCATGGTGTTGTTTTGTGACTGGAACGAAACGTCAAATTCACCGACACAAGATGTTTGAAAGAAATGATGCATGACTGAATCGGTCGGCAAACCCTTAGCGCTTGCTTTGTAAAGGTGGGGTCGTGAGGTTCGTTAGCTCAGCCTCAATTTCTTAGCATCTTAGGTAACTCCGATTTACAGGATGAACCTCTCGTTTAAAGATAAGCTTATACTCTAGATACCCCTTATTCATCGACAAGAAAGACATCTTGACATTGAGGTCGAGAAGGGCTTCTCAAGGGTCTATGATGCCAAGCAAGATACTATTCAGAACTGCAGCCTTGGCGGGTGATCGTTTCATCACGAGTCATGTCGGATTATCTTTCCCCCGCTAAACGAAATGCCGTGTTTACCGTGGCTCGGTACCAGGTTCTTCCGTCCGCTGTCAGATCCGTTCCACTACGGCCCTCCCACTGATTGGTGGTGATTTAACACTGTTTTAAGCTTGACCCTTGAAACATCGTGAGCTTTGGCCTGAATGTTACCCTGAACTAAAATTATCGTGAACAATAAAAATAGATAAGACGATCCTAGGCAGCTACTGTCTTAAAACTGTTCGACCATGGACGTAGATCTCTTTAGACTTGTTTATTTTTATTAATTATTGCTATTTATGGCGACGCGTAGAGTATTCCGACTGTATTGCGGATATTGAACATTTGGGAGTGCTATCCAAGAGATGGTCATGGATTGCTCGGTACAATTGACACAGATACCCCATGATTTGGATCTAACAACATCAAGATTATCTTGCTAACAATATCGCAATGCCATCATGCTTCAATTTACAGTAATACCTTTAGATCATCTCACCGCGCTAGGCTCATTCCGCTGCCTGCATCCGAATGACCTTATCGCAATTCAAGATACACATCGGATCAAACGCGTTTTTCATCTACAAATCGGGTTAGGCTCAAAGATAAACATTATGACGTCAATGGGACAACTTACCGATCGCATTGCGTCCACGGTCTCCTTCCCAAGCTCCTTCTCCAAGTAATCCCTCTTCACAAGTCCAACACCATGCTCCCCAGTTGCGGTTCCTTCCATTTCAATCGCCTTATCGACCATCCGATGGACGATACCTTCCGCAACATGTCGCTTATCTTCAGGAAATAAAAGTAATGTATGAAAGTTACCATCGCCTACATGTCCGACGATAGACCCAAGCAAGCCCGACTTCTCGATATCGGCTTTGGCAAAGTCGATGATATCTGGAAGACGACTCATGGGCACCGCGACATCCGTCGTCCAGACCTTATCCGTTGGCGATTTTTTCATGGCAATCATACTCCAGAGCGCGTTTTTCCTCGCTGACCATAACTCGTTGCGTTCATTCTCATCGGAGGCAAAGGTATACTCCGTACTCCGATTATGTTTCGTGATGCCACCGACCTGCTTGGCCAGATGCTGTACGATGAAATCGTCACTTCCAGTGAACTTGAAGAATAGAGTTGGTTCTTCCTTCCACTTAATCGTTGTTAAAGCAGAGTCGTTGATGCTCTTCATTTGGACGTCATCCAGGATTTCAACGGCTGCGACTTGGATGCCCGCAGAGAGTACGTCTCGTACTGCAGATGCTGCGTCGCGCAGAGATGGGAATGTGCACACAGCAACGGCTTCGCAGGGAGGTTTTACTGAGAGTTTGAGGGTCGCTTCCGTCACCAGACCCAATGTGCCCTCGCTTCCGATAAAGGTTCGAGTCAAGTCATAGCCTGCACTTGACTTTCTTGCTCGCTGACGGGTTTTAATGATGGTACCATCGGCAAGTACGACGGTAAGTGATAGAACCCAGTCTTTCATGGTCCCATATGCCGCAGCGTTGGTCCCAGAACAGCCTGTTCCTACCATTCCACCAATCATAGCGCCTGGGCCAGGGTCAGGAGGGAAGAACAGCCCGTGTGTTGCAAGCTCTTCGTTCAAGTCCATCCAGCCAATGCCGGGTTGAACGACACAGTCCAAGTCATGCTTATTTAGCTCCACGATGTTGCTCATTCGAGTGAAGTCGATGCATATGCCTTGTAGATGGGGGATATACTGTCCCTCGATTGAAGTGCCACCCGAGTAAGGCGTCACCGGTATCTTTCTCCGGAAACACACCTTCATCAACTCCGAGACCTGCTCGGTTGTTTCCGGATAGAGAATGACATGAGAGCAAATGGCGGTTTCCTCAGTCCATGCATAAGACTGATAGTCTGATCCAGAATGGGTAATAAGGTCGGCTTGGTCTGTGGACACATTCTCAGGACCCAATATCGCTGCAAACTCTTTGCATGCGGCTTGGATGTTGGCTGGCGAAGTATCATGATCAATCTTGCCAGTGTTTTCTAATGACTGTGTTGACGGCCGAGAGTGTATGGAGTTGAGTACACCTTTGCGAAGACCCTCTATAGATTTGGCATCTTCAACACTAAAGAAGTTGAATAAAGTGTTTCTGGACCAGTCGACAGTGCTAAATGAACCAGCAGCACCGATTGTGGCCAGTCCAAGTATGTAGAGACCTGTTGATGGTTAGCATTGAACATGCGATCTCTATCAAAATCACGAGCGTACCTGCTCTGCTACTTGAAGTATTATTGTTGGAGGCACTGCTTGGGGGCGTTTTATTTGAGAGTCGTCGATACTGTCGACCTAGCGTATTTGGTGTCGACAGACGAGTTGCCCGTGACCACCTGATTGTTTTGCATAAAGCGGACATGGTTAAAAAAGGAGATACCTGGACTGTATGCTGAAATACTTGAAAGTAATTAGAATTACGCGAGCAACATTTTTCTTCGTCTTTCTTTTATTTATCTACCTGGTGCCATTTCCAGTCTCCATGCTTCACGGGCAAGTACCATCGGCTATGGAGGCTACATCTAGAACGACCCTTCGGCTATGGACTTGGGATGATCGGCCTTGGCACCTCACTGTCAACACGCTAGCAACCGGACTTGCAAGCATTAAGCTGATCTACCCCGCGATATGGCGCGCTGCTGACTACACTATCAAGCGTGCCAAGGACAAACTTTCAGCTTCTCACAAACGATCAACTCATGAATGAGGAGCAGGAAACCGGCGATGAAGGTACTGAACGTGGGACGTCCGGCCTTATTTAGCCGACCATATCCGTTTCAGCTCGGCTCAGGATTAATATTTGCTATCCCCAAATCGGCGAGGAAGTACATTGCTTGATACTGCGTCGAGTCAGGTTGTGGGAAGTCCATAGCCTCTCCAGAATGAGTGCTCGAAAATACACCGTTGGCCATATACTCTGGCCAGAAGCTTGTATTATCCTCGGTGTCGAGCATGAACGTCGGGTCTTCAAGGCCCATACCTGATGTGGGAAACGATGCTGGATCCGCATGGATGGCCGGTAGAGAATGACCCATCTCTTCGGTTTCGTTTGAGCCTCCAGATGGATCCCCGGACTGATTGGCCGCTGGCTCTTGTTCATGGGCCCTCCCTTCCTGCTCAGAGCGACTTATGATGTCCATGAAGAAGTTTCTGATCCACTTTGCCAAATTATAGACGGGTTCAAATTGTTTCAAAGCGAGGAGGCCTCGACGGATCTTACCAAAGATCTGATCACCTTTGGGAGCTGCGGTACTCCCATCTACAGCAAGAGCCATCATAGCAGAGAACAAAGCCGATACACTAAAGGATAGTTAGACGTGAGAAGAAAAGATATCGAGGGACTTACTAGATCATGGGAAATTGCTCTGGCGTCCAGTAAAGCAACGAGTTTTCCACCAGGTCAAAGACCTTTGTAGCGGCGTCTAGCACGGGCTTTGTCTCTCGAGATCTATTGCACTGTCTCTGTAACCTCTGGTATATGTTGATCAAGTAGTAACTATTCTGTCAGTCAATATATCTTCATCTGTGGGGAGAAGAGCACTCACTGATAACATACTTGAAGTGTCAAGCTAAGGTGGTGATTACCGTAGGAAAAGCTCAATGCTGGACAGCCATCATACCAGGACTGGAGGGTTGCTTGAATATCCCGCATCGCCGACTGACAAACTAATAGGTCTTTGCTGAGGCGAAGTCGTGAGGGTGAGCAATGCGAGAAATACAGTCGGGCCACTGTACCGTCAGTTCTATTTCCTCGTCGGAGTAGGGCCACCTACCTGCTTTGTTCAATTTCACCTGCGCAACAATGTATTGAGCCGTCTCGATTGGCTCGTCTGCAAGGTCCTCTACAACAAGTTCCTCAACGTCGTAATCCATGTCATTGATGACCATCGGAGTACCAGTCGATATGGCGATTTGACGATCGCGTACATACAGACACCACCAGATCCGCTTCCATCGCGACCTCCGCTCGGAGGGCATCTGGCTATTAGCCGTGCTTCGATGATAACCCGTGCACTGAGCAGAACGAATAGCAGCAGCGATCCACCAGTGGCAATCCCGGTATGCTGTAGGATTGCCAAACCAGTAATGCAAAAGGTAGGATGATAGTATCATGTCGACTCGGCTCGAGTCTCTGTCCATGTCGAAAGAAGCACTTGCATCGGTGAAAAGCTTATGATTGGCATCTAAACGAGTGCTGTGCCCCATGTGATGCAGAACCTCCAGATCACAGTGAAGCGATGCAACAAAGAGAACGCTCCTCAGTAGAGTTACCGATACCGTTCCGTCATGTAGCGAGGTGAAAAATGCCTTTCTGTCAAGTATCGGACAGAAGGTATGGAACCGATCGAAGTAAGCCTTCATCAGAGCGTCCACGAGTTCTGGTCGTGGAGGATCAGACATCCCAGGCTTTTCCAGAGGTTGGGATTGGTTGCTCGAAGAGTCCTTGGTCCTTGTTGTGCAAGTAACGTCTTGGACTGTCTCGCTGCAGTCGCCAATTGGACGATGAACACTGCTGTGACCAGGAGTATAGCCTCTCATAACATACGACGCATACCAGCTTTCGCCAACGACACTGGGCTGCGCAAGTGATTGCGAAGGGCTTGAAGACGATGCTGCACCCCATGTAACATCGAAACTCTCCTCGGGTCCTCTGGATGTAGAGGCCGTACTCCTGTCCGAGTCAATGATCATTCTTTCGGCCGAGCCTCTGAGTGAATTGGGTTCTAAGGTGTAACGTCCATCGGGACCCCTACCAGAACATGATTAAAAAGTAGCAATGTCGGGTGATTGTAGCTTACCTCCTACGCTTAGACTGGAGCAGAGCGCACTGTTCGTGATTGTTACTCTTCTTGCACGCAGAGCAGGGAACACCAACAATGGATCCATCACACTTTGTCCTGCGTCTATTGCACCGCTCACAGGCAGTCCCTCTTTTTCGCCCAGAGTTAGGTACACGCTTCGAAGCTGACTGCATGCCCGTGCGTGACTGATCCATTGGTCAATGCTGTCTTGTGTGACAATGGGTGATGCACGATGCATTCGACGACATAATCTGGGGTTTGCCGAAGCACCATGGCTGCTATTACTGCAATGAGAATAGCCCTGAATTACCCCGCATCGCTTCATTCCCAGGACGATATTCCTTAGCAATGGCATTGGAATAGCGTGTCGAACTAAGCTTCCTATTTGCCGGTTTCAGTGGAGATGTCTGCATTCCATCGGCTATGGACCATACCCGGTGGCACGTTCCGATATCGCGTTCCATCACAAGCCTCTACCCCGGATTTTCAACTCATCTGAGACCATTCCATCAGTCCGGACAGCTTATCTATAAGACTACCCCGGATTTCATGGTGGATCAATCGTCTCCATCCATCTTCTACATCTTCCATCATGGCTCACGACTACGACATCGACATGCTCAAGGAAGACGATCAGCAGATCGAAAGAGCAGACTCCAATGACCAAACCGAAGTTACCCACGATGCCAAATTCGAGAAGCGAGTCCTTCGCAAAATCGATACTCGACTCTTACCAATTCTAGGTTGTCTCTATACAATTGCCCTCGTGGACAGATCCAATGTCGCTGTCGCTCGCATCTCGGGCATGGACGAAGACCTTGACCTTACCCAAGGAAACAGAGTCTCTGTCGCTCTGATGGTCTTCTTCATCGGATACATCCTCTTTGAAATTCCCAGTAATGCTTTTATCCATAAGCTTGGTGCTGCGAATTGGCTTGCGTTTCTGGCTGTTGCTTGGGGACTGGTTTCTCTCGGTATTGGCTTTTTGAACAATTGGATTGGCCTTGCTGTTCTTAGAGCTTTTCTTGGTGTATTCGAAGCTGGTTTCTTCCCTGGTGAGTAACCTGTCTATACTGGGTATGGCTATCCTACTGACTGACTGTACAGGCTGTGTTTACCTTGTCTCCTCTTGGTACAAGCGATACGAGGTCCAGAAGCGTATGGCCGGGTTCTTCCTGACAGCCTCCGCGCTGTCAGCATTCGCAAACATCCTTGCATATGGTCTGATCCAGATATCCAAGACTCATAACTACAAAGGGTCAGTACACTCAACTCTAATCTTACCGCAATGGTTGCTAACTCTTCCAGATGGCGCTGGATCTTTATCATCGAAGGCACCATCACCGTCATCGCTGGAATTGGCTCTTGGTTCATCATTGTCGACTTCCCCGACTCGAACAAAAACACCTTCCTCACCGTTGAAGAACGCGCATTCGTCAAGGCCCGACTGGCTGAGGACCGTGGCCCCGAAGAACACGAGAAGGTCACATGGAAGATCCTGGCCCATACAGCAGCTGATTGGAAGCCCTGGGCTTACTCTCTTATGTACATGGCCGGTGCTGTAGGAGTCTATGCCTTCCTATTCTTCCTCCCCATCATTCTTCGCGGCGGTCTTGGATACTCTCTCGAGATGTCTTTCATCCTCAGCACTCCTCCAGCCCTCTTCTCTGTCGTGGAAGCTATGACGATTTCATGGCTCGCCGACAAGTTACAAATGCGAGGACCGTTTGTCATCTTCCAGGGTCTTGTCGGTATCATCGGACTGTGCATGACTGCGTTCTTGAACTCGCCAACTCCCAGATATGTTGGCACTTTTCTAGGTGTCGCTGGTGCCAACGGCCTCGTTGTGACTACATTGGCCTGGCAGGCTAACAATATCGTTGGTGATGCACGACGCGCGGTATCTACTGGTATTCTTATCAGTATGAGTGGTGTTGGTGGTATCTACTCCAGCATGGTCTTTCGTAAGTTCTCAACGTTGACTTCCATGATAACGCTAACTTTCCCAGGTCAACAAGATGCACCAAACTATCTCCCTGGCATTCTCGCTGTGATGGCCATCAATGTTCTAGCTGTTATTGTTGCTGCCATTACTATGCTTATTCTCCGTTATAATAATAGGCAAGCCGAGAAGGGCGTGTATCTGTGCGAGAACAGAGAGGGATTTAGGTACACACTATAAGGCTTGAGCTCGGTCGAGGTTGTCTGCACCTACAGTCCCTCAGCACCTATGTATTAAATAGTCATTAATGGACATTCGCAAGTTCTTTTCAGTACTTTAATAGACGACAATTGAAGTGGTGACGCAATGAGGACCCCGTTCATCTGTACCCACATGAGTGAGACCTAAGCTATGGCAAACTTTGACATGTCGCAGGTGACAATCTTGCAAATGCCCCATCTCATACATGTCGTGGTATCCTTCTTCATGGAGCGCTTAGCATGACTGACACTGTCGGGATTGACGATCCGCTTAGCGGCCTCGATAACGTTTCCCTTGGTGCGAGATCCTCTGTAGTTGCCCTTGATGTCGACTATCAGCTTTCGTCGGGACATTCCCGCGCCAAAGCCGTTGTCAAGCCAATCAATTGTGCGGACATAGGAAATGCTCTGGTCGCAGAAGCCGTTGCTACAGAGCATATTGAGAGATTCCTCGATTGGCTTGCGGATGGAGGCAGTACAGCCGTAGTCAGTCAGCTTCCTGCCGATGTTGACTCTAGTGCGAGCGGCCCGCTCCTCGAGCGGTCCTCTCTTGGCTTCGGGCAATGGTTGAGTCTCAATGTCTGGTTCTTCAAGACTGGAAGTGTCCTCGAGGGGGGCGATACCCATGCGCCTCATGTACTCATCAACAGGAATCCAGCCTTCTCCAGGTTCGGCAGTGTCCCAGTCCTCGACAGTGATATTGGCTGGGACAATCCATCCTTTGTCGCCACCCGAGTCCTCGCGCTCAGTCATCTCGAAGGCCTCGCGACGGTCGAGGCTATGAGATGGAAAGGTCCAAGCCGCGACACTGGGAAGGAGTGGAAGAAAGAGAGACGCGGTAGAGAAGTGCATGTTGGGCAAGGTTGATCAGTTAAGGTTGCGTAGATTGCTGGTCGCTGTGTAGGAGGCTATGGTGAAGCAGAGATTGGTGAGTGCGATATCCTCTGCTTAAAAGAGATGTGTTCCCTTTTTATACTTTTTACTTGTCTCTGATTGAACCTCGGAGAAAACAAAACTGACGATAAGGTCGTATTCCAGTGGGACTTCCGTAACTCCGCAATGTTCGTCAATACTACCTCTCAGTTGATATTTCTTGTCTACGGTCTAGAATCTCACGATACCTAAGGGTTCTGGAGTTCAGCCGTCCCGCCAAGATCAATAGTCAGTAGAAATGCCTCACGTAAGCTGAATAAAAATCCAAGTAGGAAGGTAAGGCCCTTGTTTATCTCCACAAAATGCATCGTGTGATATCCAGAAAGATTAAGATAATGATTATCCAGTTGCATCCGCGCGAACCTGAGTTTGAAGTATTTCCCACGCTGGATGGTGGTCTTGGCTCTTATACGTGAATGGTCAGACATTTATCGCACAGAAGTGAGAAGTGGGTTGTTCAATAGACGAGCCAACGGGATATCAGCAAATGCGAAAACACTGTCAGCATCTTATTGCCAAGCAGCTTTCAGCTGATGCTTTCGATAAGCTAACCACTTCGTCTCATAGGATTGGCCGCTCGTGGATGATGATTACTAAGACGGAAGAGGGGGCTGTAAGTCTAGACTCTTAGAACCGAACTCACTCCATCCATTGCTTTGCTAATCTAACTCAATAGTGCCATCTAGATACCATCAACGATACACAACCCCCCATTCTGGCTTTTCGACTGGGTATTGAGAAAATCCACAATGATTCGTAAGCTCTTTACCCGAGTCTTCTCTCTGTTGCTGCATAACACCCCATTGAAGACGAGATATGGACGCGTCCGGCTGCGGCGCGTTATCTGGGTGGTGGCAGGCAGCTGTAATCGCCAAACTGCAACTTGCAGCGACGGGCATGGTAGTTGGCAGGCGTCGGAAGGCTGTAATTATAACGGCAGCAGCCATGAATATAGCAATAATGACGACGAAGATGATGGCGATAGGGGAGTATCCGCTAGTTATCCAGTACCATTCCCCTGATTGTTCAATAGCGACCAGGAAGATGCTCTGCGAAAGCATCCAATGCATCAAGATTGAAGCTAACAGCAGGGGGACGCTATAACGGTAGGGAAGTTGGAGGAAGTATCGCGATCGTTGCTTGCCTCTCGGGTTAGATGATACGCGCAGAGACCTTCTTTTGTTGCCATAGCTACTCCATTCCTCGGCAGCGGCCATGCAGGTAAAAATGCTATTATACTGAAAATAGAGGAACGAGAAGATCAGTTGAGGGAGGTTAGACTGGAAAACATTGCGGATAAGTTTGCTATCGTCCTTAGAATCCCCCCAAGACTTTCCTGATATCATCGTTAGCTCGTTCGCACTGCCAAATCCAAGGTCCCAAAGACTTCTGGCATCTTGAGGGCCTGTGAGCTTCTGGATACCCCATGCAAGGAGATAGCAAGCGGCGGAGAATGCCATAGTGTACCTAAGAAACGTTAGTACAGGCTAGTTCATAGTGTCAGATGAGTTTACGTAAGAATACTCAAGGTCCACCTCGTCTTCGTTACTGCGATACCTCGGAACCTGGGTTTTGAATCGATGGTGCAGGGTTGAGAGAGATGGCCCGCCCGAACCAGACGCGAAGATGCCAGGCAAGCCCCAGTGGTCGTTTCATCTGGGGATATCAAGAATGATTGAACAGCATCCCCAAGAACGAAGAGTGGCTCTTTTGGTGGCCATAGCGCTATGAAGACCAGCGTAACTCCCTTGACGAAATTGACTGCAAGTATGACTACGGCGATCCGAACGTCAAAATTCAGTCGACACATTTGCTCCGCTGGCTGACTGAGGCAATATTTCACACGCTTTCCCCACGGCCTCCAATCATCTGACTGGCTCCTGACTTGAGGTAAGTCGCTCCGACAGAGATGGCATGAGGGATTGACCCAACCGCAGATCCAGTCGTAATCTGTTTGAATACTGTTATCACAGTGAACAGTATCCTTCCCAGTGGACACAGCTCCATCCGGTTCGACAACGAGTATTACGTCGACTCTCCTGGTTTGAAAGGGGACGGCATAGTCATTGATACATTGCAACGTTGTCAGGTTGTCAAGTTTCCCGTGGTCGCCGGCCATCAGCTGTTTGACTCTTCGCTTGTCGTCTGGGGAATCCTCATAGAAATATGGAGCATCTGTCCAAAGTAATTGGAAGTCTTCGTTGACTGTGAAATGATGATACTCCCATATTGTCAAAGAGGAATAGACTACTGAGTTGAACCTAGGCTGTTAAGCCGAGGCAGGTATAGGCATCTGGGAGTCTTACAAAAGATGCAGAGGAATAGAAGATAGGACTAGCAATAGCCAAAGAGCAGCTCTCTTTCGAGACACCATTCTCAAGTTTCGAAAGCTAGGGATTCCGATATCCATCCAATTTCGGCGTATATGTGCTCGATCTACATCTGCTCTTGTTGGTGCAGAAAGGCACTGCATGCCATAGTTGCTTGACGCAAGGAGGATTGAACTGAAGATGTTGATGACAAGGTGAATAACGACGTTGATGGTACGCGAATCCGAGCAAGATCCTTCGTAGATAATTCTCCGGATTGACCTGTCACCGCTTTCGCTGCCGACGAAGCTGACACTTGACCATATGGTAATACTGAGATTGACGATGAGGACGACGATGCATGCGCATGCCCCACCAATGAGACTGAATTGCCATTTAGCTCTCTTAGGAGGCGCTGAGGTATCGGTAGCTTCTTTTGCTTCCTCATTGTTGTCCGAATCGGCGGCCAAAAGTGCCTGCTCTGTGGTGTCCTTCGATACTGACATCGTAATTTGGGTCGCGATAGTTCGAATGCAAGTTTTCTATCGCCCTTCCAGCCTCGTTGGAAGAGAGTCCCCTTTTGAAGGAGTTTCATTGCCACAGTGAACCCTGCTTGCTTATCTGCCAAGAGCATCGGCTACTTCCGCTTCGGAACACCTTAGACCTTAATCTGGAAGAAGCGCGCTGCAGAGCCAATAAGAGACTGTAAACCTCAACGCATTGAAACGCTACAGTATGCAGCTTATGCTTGGCGACCCTGCTGCGCCGCCCGAAAAGCAAGGCGAAGTCAATGGCGCTTATTTTAGCCTATACCTGAAACTATTCTTTTGAATTGTTATTTTGAGGCTAACTTCGAATAAAAGTTATGTTTCGGTGGAGGTAAAGGGAAAGACTGGTTATTCCTTGTGTTCGTGTATGTAACATTAATCGATTCACACTTTTGGATTGGATCTCCCACGCTCGTCCACTTCCGCTCGCACATAAACAACATCCACCAGATGGATCAGTGTTCCATCGGTAGCTTTCACTGACGCAACAAAGGGATGACAAAGTGAAACATGAGACGGTGGATGAGTATGTAAGGCTTGATACCTGGAATGTAGCTTGTATAGAACATTAGAAAACACCAAATCAGGAATTAGATCGGTAAATGAACTCTAGCTATCCCTGTGTGGTTACTGCGCGCTAAGAATGTTAGGTACAACACATCGACTCAGTTAGGGTTAGGATTGAACCAGTTGTAACACGATCAGAAGACTGGCTAGGGATTCTAGGTTGTTCTTACACGTCACGTTTCAAGGCATATCACAAAGAGACATTTAATCGGACTCAATTCCTCAGTCTTACCTACCCAACGGAAAGCCTTACTGTCATTCAAATGTACAAATGAAAATAACTTCGCAACTTTCCCTGTCGTGCCACCCCTATACAGATCGCGCGATTACTTGGCCAACATCATTACCGGGAGATGTCCCGAAGACAAACAGTCCTGAGGTCAACGTACAGAATTCAGACCTCCAACCAACGCCCTGGCAAGCATCGTTCAGTGCGCAACGCCTTAGGCACTCGCCAAAACTTGCAGTCGGGAACTCATCCAGGTAATAGTAGCCGAAGGATCGATCGCACAGCAAGTCAAATGTGACACCGCTGTAAGTGTACGTCCCGGTAAGTCCAGGATCGCCGCAGCCAGGTTCTGGTTCAGATGCAGCCGCTGTGGTTGTCGTTGGTTCAGCTGTAGTAGTGATCTCTGCTGTTGTTGTGTCAGCCTCGGTGATGGTCGGGTTCTCAGTCAGAGTGGTTGTGTCAGCATTGGTTGTGGTAGCTTCCATAGTATCTGCAGTGGTGGTATCGATGTCGCTGGTGACTTCTGTACTGGATGCGTCACCTTCAGTGGCGGTAGTAGTATCTGTGGTCGCTGTGTCGCCATTGGTTGTGGTAGTGTCCATAGTATCTGCAATTGTGGTATCAACGTCACTGTCGACTTTTGTGCTGGATGTATCAACTCCAGTAGTTTCTGCTGTTTCAGAAATGACAGTTGTTTCTGCAAGCGAAGTCATCATGGTAGTTTCTGTGTCAGACATCTCGATCTCTTTCGTAGCTTGAGATTCCACGCCGGAGGTTGTGGAGGGTTCTGACCCATCGTTGGAGGTCGCGGTGGATTCCAATAGGTCAGATGTCTCTGTTGCAGGTTCTGAAGTCGAAGCGGCCGGGGGCACAGAGGCTGGATCGTCTGACGCCTGAGTGGATGACTCTGTGACATCCAACGAAGGCGCGGTAGATGCCTCAAATACAGATGTCTCAGACTCTGAGATAACCGACTCAGATGAAACGAGACCAGTAGACTCCGGGAGCTCTCCAGACTCTGATTGAGTGAAGAGGGTCTCCTCTGCCGTCGCAGTGACAGTCCCAGGTACACTTGACGTCAACTCATCAAGACCGACCAGTCTGCCGTCCTGACATTGCTCAACTAACATCACAATTAGTATCTGACTTCAGATAACAACGATAGAAAGCCACTATACATACCGTTGTAGATTCCTAGACTGACAGGCGTGCACCCCGATGGTCCAGTGCTAAAGGTGATATAAACCTGACCATCCGCATCTTGACAGAAACCTGCTTCACCGTTTGGCAGCTCCGAGTTCCTGAATGCAAGTCTACCACCAGAGTCGGTAAATCCCGATGTGACACTACCACTCGGAGGACGTCCTTGCGGAGATAGCTCTTTGAAGTCCTCACCAGCGTAATGGATAGGTAGGCCTCCAGCAAAGAGCTGACCTTCCTCTTCAGCGAGATTGAAAGTAGCTGCGAATGTGCACACGTCAGGATTGTTGTCTCCAACAAACTCGTTGTTTGCACGTTTATAGAAGGATCGTTTCTCATTGACGCCGGTCTGAACAAGGAAGATGACGTTCCGTCCCGCAGGTTCGATGATATCAGTGGAGGTTGAAGTGGGCTCCGCATCAGTCGTGAGGGTGACCGCCGTAGAGAGACCATCGGTAATTGTAAAAATTGCAGAACTCTCCTGTACGGCGGTTGGGTCGGCGTCCAAGTCGGAGGATTCGGACTCAACGGGAGGCGTATCAGTGGTACTAATCACGTCCGATGTAAAGAGCGCGCTATCTGGACCAATGTCCGTACCTGTCAGAGTGTGAGTATTTAACAACGGGCGGTTTCAGGGTTTCATACTCAGAGCGGATCTTGTTATGGATACCGAAGTGTTTCGTGCAAAGGTAGGACGAAGAGATGGTGCAAAGGGGAGTCGACCAGAATTTTGTGCAGATGGTAGCTCAATGCCCGGTCTATCAGTTGGCGAGAGGTTACCTTGGTTGGTGACTGCAGCAAGGTAGGTAGACAGGTATGTGATGCACCATGTATCTGCCGGTGCCTCCATCGCGGCGAAGGCATTGGCGGACACAACCTCCGCTGCGTTCAGGACAGTGGCGATGAAAATAAAAGACTTCATCGTGCTGCACGAATGGTACCAAAGCAAAGTGATACTGGTATCCTGTTGAAGCCGACATGATCATCCACGGCAACTGTCAACTCTTTTAAGCGCAAAGGAACGGGACCACCACCTCTCCCTGAGACGAAACGAAGCTTGCTGTAATTTTATTTCGTGATGTTTCTGTTGGTGGCGGAGTGTCTGTTCTCTCTGCAGGGAGAGAGGTATTCCAGCTCGCCACATTTGACCGCCAGAGACAGAGCCGGGAATTATGGTCCGTTATTTCCCTGCAGGGGGAGATCTTCCAGCTCGCCACATCTGAGACTTGCTTTTTTCGTTATTACTCTCACTTGGGACGACTAACAACGAAGTGAGACAAGCTGCACAGTTAGGTCTAGAACATTAGAACATCAATCTCGAGGTCGAGACCTCACCAAAAGCAAGTGCGTTGTCAACAGCTACAACTGCAAACTTACCGCCTTTGTAGTCAGCCACGGCTGTCACAAGCCAAGCTGATGAACGAAGGGCATTAGTGCTCTGTGACTTCACCATCTGTATTATTCGCGTTTCCAGGAGCGCTATGGCGGCATAGATCTTTATGAAGCCAGATACATAAACATATTCCATCTTCATTATGGGGAGGCCAATGTTTACTAATGGATCACAGACTCGCAAAAGGAGACCGAAATTCATCTGAAGCATTTTGTGATCGGGTGTCTCAGGTCATCGTTGCTAGTCCAGAGATGTAAGGACATGTTATACACGATGTTTCAGATTGCATTTCCATCTCAACGTGTGGAAATTTGTTTCTTTTTTAGGATACATCTCCGCAGCCTAAGACGCAGTGGGATAGATACATGCTGCCTCCTGAAGTCAAGACTTTTTACTCAGACATAAATGACGTGTTCTCATGAGATAACGAAGGCTGTGTTTGAAGTTAGCTTGATCAAGATGGCAAGCACGTGAAGGCCAATCGGGTTTATAATACTTAGCAATATGATTCAATGTGATATGATCATCACACAACTCAGCCACATTGTATAGCTCAGAGAAGGACTAATGAAGACGACAAGGAAAGTTGGTAAGCATATTAAAGTATGAAAATGTCTCAGTTTCTGTACGGATGCCAGAATTGGGAAAGAAAATCCGAAAGTGAAATGATCAAACGCTTACTCAGTGCTTACTGTTTCTATTAAAGTTCTTGGAATCTCTGGTTTGTGAGCTATGCGGCGCTTTTGGTCTACAGCTCAAGCGAGGCAGAAAACCTTACTTTGTGTTCTAAGTTTCTAGCAGTATTGGACCGCCTTGCGAGCGCAATATGATCCCAACTGGAGTATCTGAACTTCGTAATAAATGGACAACAGTCGCGACAAGCCAGAAAATTTAGAAGATACTGTCATACTACCTGGACCTTCGCTACCTATTTCGTATCTTCTATCTCGTGAAATTCAGTCTTGTTAGTCTTGTCACTCATCTCGCAAACTGAAGCTGCTTGAGGATCACCTCAAACACGCTTAAGCATTACTGCAAGGCTGCCTTGATTGAACCTCCTTCTGAATGAAACTTATCTCATGAAGTTTCGCGTCTTCCGGTAGCTACTTGTCTGTCGGGTTTCATAAGTGGCCAAACCTTTGAAGACCAGGAAGCCAAACGTTGATTTGTCTATCTTCTTTCTCTGTTGAAACATCGTCTCGCTGTAGCAATATCGTTACCATGTTTGCAACTTACTGTAGGTGTGTCTATCTGGCGGCTGTGACGGCATTTACCTGTGTCTTTGTTGAAATTGTTACTCGCTGCGGCTATCCCTCTACTTGTCATACTTTTTCGTTATGGCAGTAATATCTAGTTACGAATCTGGTACACCTTTGTCCGAACTTTACTACTCGGGGTTTGCGTTATTGCGTCTCTGTTGTAGTTGGCCGTGTCTGAAGACCAAGTTTTGAAAGCCACGTCTCTCAACGCGTACTGGTTACATCAACACATCGAGATAGCCACCCCTTACGTAACTCCTGAGATTGTTGTTCACAAGTCTCTTACGTGAATTGTCTGAGGGTGAATGAGAGGAGGCATAAAGAGAAGAGGCGATGAAAGTTGAGGGCTGATCTTGATAGTTGTGTAAATAAAACAGTTGAGTTTGCATCTATGGCCAGGGGAACCGTGGACAGGGACGTGAAGACAAAGCTGAGTTGAGAGTTGAATATAAACTGGGATCAGAACCGAGTTGAGCTTATGGCATGAGTTGGGGATCGTAGCATGAGAGTCAACCACGAGATAGGATTCTAAGAAGATTAAGCATTGGCGTGGTGTAGCTTGGTGGTCAACAAGGTTCAATCAGTGAGCAGGGTAATGGATTTGTAGTGATGATTTAAGGTTGGGAATAGGGGGCGAGAGTGGCTGCGGGACAGGGGATGGACACATTTGAAACGGTGGGTCGGTCAATTTGTCAGCGATTTCAAATTTCCTGACCCTACACCTGGATTTTCAGACTTCACACCAAAATCAGGCACCAGGCAACAGGAGCAGAGAAAACAAGTATTCCAATCCAGAACTATTGAACTTTTCTTACCTTAGCTATTTATTATACTTCAATTGTAGTAAATGCTATTTAAACTTCAATTTCAATCTCAATTCAGTGTTTATGTCAATTTGATCTCAATTTAGGTATGTCATGTTCTTAGCTCTGTTTGCTATCTTGGAGTTTTTCCAGTTCCAATTCGCTATTCCAATTTTCAGTCCTCTCGCTATTTCACTTTACAAGTCACCATCATCATCACCTGCCAATTGAACATTCGCTTCCATGGCAACTTCTTCACCCTCGTCGATTAGTCCCAGCACAATTGTTGAATCGAAAAGGAATGGTTCACGGATTTGGACTGCGGAAAGCTGCGATGAAGCTATTGGGTTGTGGAATGCAAGCTTGCGATGCGGTATTGTTGGATACTGGGATTCTTTGCCGGAAGCTTGTCTGAGATATGGGGGATTGTCGCCCCAAAGCTCCAATGACTGACTTCAGGGAGTCCATGTGCATGGACGGTTTATCTCGAAGCAGCGTTTGCAAACACACATATCATCACGGTTGGGGTCCTTCTCATAGGTGACCTCGGCGTGTGACTTGGAGTATTTGCAGAAGTCGCATGGGGGTTTGTTCAAGCCAGTCCAAGTCGCGTCTTCTGTAGTGATTGCCCAGAATCTGTCAGTATTGGGAGGCCGATAACAACCCATGACGGTGAAGCCGTTGCCGAACTTCTGTGCCATTTGCTCACACTTCCAAGCCCTGGATGCAAATTTATGAGCAGGGGTGGCTCCTTTCCCTCGTTGTATCTCCCTGCTGCAAGTTTGCTGTAAGTGGTTGATCTGTAGCTCTCGTACTTCGCGCTGTCCAAGGGAAATAGTCTCGAATCCATCGAGAGGCTTGGACCAGGCTCTTCCTTACAGTACCTGAATGATTGGAACAACCTGCTTCCAGCATTTGATCAAGCCATCAACAGTTGCAACCGTCTTGCTGTAAGCCATAAGCGACATAGTAAGCCGTTGGCCTGAAGTCTCATTGAGCCATTCAGCACAGACACCCAGAAAAGATACAAGACAAAAGTTCCCATGAGGTCTTACGCTTGGACAACCAAACCAGAGCTTTAGGTCAGGACAGTAATCAACCATGATTTCCAGTACTAGATTTTGTATCTGGCCTTTCGTCCGAATCAATGGTGCCAAGACATCCGACCTTCTGACTCTGTGTATACTGACTGGTCGCCCTTTCTGCGCTAGACCACAGAAGCCTGCTGCCTGAAGACATTTCACAACAGAAAGGTTCACAGCTAAGACCCTGAGAGACGAAATAGCTTAGTGGCTTTATGCCGACTTAGACCAGGCTACTTTATTTTAGTGTCCTAAGGTTTAGAAGATAATACATCAGTCATCAGCCACTACCGAAGGACTTGGATGATACTTCAGAAATAATGAAAGTTGATGTTTCACTAAACCTGCTTTCACACTTGAAGCATGATCACTCGTATCCTTGAATGAGAGCTTCGTTCGCTTTACACGGGTCCCCGCATCAGGGTTACACATTATATCCGTCCTTTTCATCGAGAATCAAATTGCCTCAAGCAAGCTCCACAGCTAGAGGTCGTAGTCGTTCGGGACATCGTTTTTAGGGTCAATGAAGACGCAGCAAGCCCAAACCGGCTCATCTTCTATTCCCTTGGAAATGTTAGCAAGCGTCAAATCGCATAGATACCAGTCCCAGGCACATACGACATCTTTACGGTACTGCGTGCGTCAGAGAGAGTGAACAAATTTACGTGACAGATGCAGGTGAGCGTACCAAGTCCGCAGGGCAGTCGGGTGGCCCCACAGAGCGAGCCTCCCAGCATGACTCATATGGTCTTGTCTTGGACCATGAAAAAAAGCGATAGTCGAAACTGCTATGGTCCTGATTAGCGACTCGTCTGTAAAATGCTTTCGAGGGACGGTATACGGAAGTGTCTTTGCCTCGGTGTTCTTAGACAAGGTTATGGCGGTGATGCCACGTAGCAGGAGAAGAGTAGATACAAGTGAGATCTGCATAACGAAAAATCAAATTGACGATTATTATTTGCTGTGGGCTATATTTGGGAAGGCTGATGGGGCATAATAGGAATAGTCTCTATCTTTATACTTTCTCGTTCCGTTTCTCCCACATTCAATGATGACGGCACTTAGAGCAGACTAGCATCAGTACGCGTATCCCGGCACCTAGATACTTCACTGGCTGATCCGAGTGGTTCAGGTTCTAGTGGCCCCAGTTAGCACGCTAATGCAGGTTGCTGATATCTTGGCAATGCAGATGGCTGACAGCTAATGTCCAGTTTTACAAGATGTCTCTGCTTGCCGTCTTGTCCAACATTCTAGAAAATTCATCAACATCGGACACAGGCTCGGCCAAATCGCTGCCCGGAGTCTCTTGGCATCACCGAGCCTCAAAGTTTACGATAACAAGCGCACGCGGCCCGACGTCATAATTGGTTGTGTGATGATGCGACTTCGGACACGAGAGCTGGGCATGGGAGTGCAGTTGTAATGTAGTGGCTATCAGGCCTGTATATAATAAAGGGCCTTTGTCGTCAAATAGAGTCATATCAATCAACCCCCTTTTCTCAAGCTATCATCATGAAGTCAGTTCTCTACTATACCACCCAAGGCATCGCGGCCTTATCCGTCGTGGGGGCAGCCTCCGCCCAAAACATGTCCTACGGCGCCGATAATTTCTACCGCAGCGGGTTGATCAATACACAGCCTGTCAGCTTTCTAACCATATACGAGACAAGAATCGTTGGTAATCTGCTTACTGCCACGAACATGAGTCTCACTACCAGCTCTCCCGCCATTGTGGTCGGCCATCCCATGGGTGCAGTCAAAGAGCAAGTTGCCAATCTCTACGCCATGAAGATGGCGGAGCAGGGTTTCATCACTCTGACCCTCGACCTTCCATTCTGGGGCAGAAGCGACGGTCCTCAGAACCTGGTCTCTCCCGACTTCTACACCGAGGCTTACAGTGCTGCGGTGGACCATCTCGGCACATACAACTTTACAGATCGCGATCGTATTGGCGCCCTGGGAATTTGCGGTAGTGGCGGTTTTGTCATCAACGCGGCCAAGATCGATTCCCGCATTCAGGCCGTGGCCACTGTATCCATGTATGACATGGGCGAAGTAAACCGTCGTGGTCTACAAAAGGCTTTATCAATTGCAGAGCGCAAAAAAGCCATCGCCAATGCTTCACAACAGCGATGGGCTGAAGTCGATGGAGGTCCGATCGCATACGCCATTGGATCTCCGAATGAAATTATGGAGGATTCTGACGAAGTCGCGCGGGAGTTCTACGACTTTTACCGCACGATCCGTGGCGAATGGACTCCTGAAGAATGGCAGCGAAATCAGACTACTCACCGCACACTCACATCCAACGTGAAATTTCTCAACTTTTACCCGTTCAACGACATCGAGACTATCTCACCCCGCCCTCTTCTAATTGTGTCTGGAGATGAGTCTCATTCCCGGGAATTCAGCGAGACTGCCTATCGCAAGGCCGACAATCCAAAGCAGCTGTACTGGGTTCCTGGAGCTAATCATACGGACCTTTATGATCGCACTGAGCTTATTCCCTTCGACAAGCTCAGCGATTTCTTCCGCGAAAACCTTAACCAGACTTCTGTCGGCTAAAAGTCTTTTCGTTCCAGTTATAGGCTGGATCCAATCCTCATGGTCCATTATCATATAGCTTAGATATATATGCACGGTGAATACAGACCTTTATTCCTGAAAAGTCTGATGACCACGGCAGTTACCGATGCTCAGCGCATGTGGTACAGTAGACCCGTGCATGTGCTCCCGTAACCACTTTACCTTCCTGTTCTAGATGCAAGTCGCATACCGACTGTCACCTACTCCACTCCGCAAGTCCGTCTGCTGTAAGATGTTCATGTCGCCCCAGCGACCAGCGACAAGCAGCCCAGATACTACGTGGTGCGGTGGTGCGCCCTTAACATAGGAGCCGTCAAGGTCCCATGCCGTCTCCCGATACCGTGGCACATGATATTTAGGAACATAGTTGCATTAGTTATAGGGAGGTCATAATGTCTGCATCCAGCAGTGGAGGGGATAATTCTAGGACTGCCTATAAGGTTCCTTAAAGCGAAGATGGATCGCCGCTAATTCAACTCTGTCCGGCCAATAAGTCCCGAGATACACAAGCTATAACAACACGATAAGTATATATCCCATCCGACACAAATACCTGTCTTCTACGATTCACTAGAAACTCTCCATCAAGCCCTTCTCCTTCTCCTCCTGGGTGTAGACCTTTCCCACCATCCTGCGTAAGGTATCCATATCACAAAACTCAATAACATTGGAGACCTTTGTTCCATCCTCATTAAAGTCTAAAACCCAGGAATGTTCCATTTCATGTGTGTCTCCATTGTGGTACTTGATTTGAGTAATGGACGTCATCGCCGCTTTGCGAGCTTCGGTGTCAATGACCAAGTTCGCAATGTCTGTTTTCGTGAACCTGCTCCTGGCCATGTCCCTGGTCAAAGCAGCTTCGTACGTCGCATTGTCACAGGGTCCTCCGTTCGGAGCTCCGAATAGCTCCATGACACCCTTTGGGAGGAAGTGACGCTTGCAGTCTTCGGTGACGTCGCGGTTTATGATTGAGGGGTCATTTGCCTCACCCACATCTTTATAGGCGCTTAAGAATTGGATTGCTGTATTTTCGATAGCGGATCTGACATCATTTGGGGCTGGCATTATGTAGATAGCGATTTTGGAGGGTTTAGTGATAAAGGGTAGGTAAGAACGTTATTCATTTTTACGGGTAGTGCCGGACCTTTTATAGACGTCTTTAGCTCACGACTTCCGACCTCTCGGCGTAAGCTGACAACATTTTCCAAGTAAGCTCTCGCTGTCTCCGTCAGACTCGAGCAAGCTTTGAGTGAGATGCTGACAATTCGCACTAATTTCATGTCTATTGGCTGTCATTGGCATCCATCGCATAATGTATCTTAGACCGTGCATCCAAGGGATATCTACCTTAGGCTGTGAGAAATGATATCATATGCGGCGTTAGTTTTAATACTCTGGGAAAGAGTTTCCATTTTACAGGCCATCGAATTTGAGAACACCAATCGCCTTCACATTGTTGCTTTGAATCATTAGGGAGAACATATTGATATTAGCTTGATGATCGAATTGAACAGTAATAAATTATGGTAAAAGTAGTATCATCTGAACAAATTGACATTGATCATTCACCGAAACTTATTTATCACTGGTACCTTTTGCAGTGAAGATTTTACTAGTCTTACGGTTGGCTGCTTTTGAGTAAAGTCCACCCTGTCTACATAGCCAACCAAGCCATCGTTTCTGAATCACATCAAGTTGCCCGTTCTATTGGTCGGCACTGGCAGGTCTATGCATGTCAGACCGTAACGTGGCATGGGCAATCGAATTTCAGCCGTAGAGGGATTTTTGATCGGTACCCCAGCCTCGTCTTGAGTCACCTTCAAGTCCTTCATTTTCCCCATGTCTTCAGACTGCACTATGAGCCAATACAATGAAGCTGACTGTATGCCATATTCGCAGAGCTGTATGATCTTAAACATCTCAATTCACGAGCGGTTGAGGATCTCGAGAGATCTGTCGAGCTTCGGAGACAGGCCCTCTCTGCGATCGACGATGACCCAGAAGGGGACAAATCAGCTACAGTCAAGAGTGAACAGGAGTTTGCCAAGTCAGCTCGGCAGTGGAAGCTGGCGATAACAGTTGATGAACTCTTTGTTGAAAGGAGAGATGTGCGAGACCTGCAGGAAGCGATAGATATGACCAGACAATCAGTTGCTGCTATTGGAGAAGATGACCCTGAGTGGTTGGTTCGGACACGCTTCCTTTTCCTCCGGTTACATGCGCTTTATCTTGAAACAGGCGAAATACAGGATCTTGAAGAATCCATCACTTTCGGCACAGACTTTCTTGAGAAGGCTGGACCAGACCATGCTGACTGGTCTACTCAACTCAATAACGTCTCTGCCGCTTTGACTGCGCTGTACGAGAGAACCGCGAGCTCGGTCTATCTGGACGAAGCTATTAGATATGGGAGGGAGAGCCTGGAAGTCGCGTCCAAGGATGAGCCGGGGCTAGGACTGGCGCTGAGTAATATGACGACGGCGCTCTCTTTACGGTCCAGACTAAGTGGCTCACTGGAAGATCTTGATGAAGCCATCTATTATGCTAGGTTGTCTGTCGAGGCAACCCCTGAAGACGAGCCTACCCGACACATTCAGTTCAACAATCTTGCATCTGTGTTGCTCAAGAAGTACACTCGCAGCTATGGCGACGTGGCCATGTTGAACGAGACAATTGAGATGTCTAGAAAGGCTGTTGCAGGTGTTCCGGAAGATCATCCAGACTTCAATACATATCGGAAACGGCTTGCGTCGGCCCTTGACTATCGTCACACTGCACTTAGGTCAGCGCAGGATATGGAGGAGAGTATCAAGATTAGTAGAGAAGTCGCTAAAGCCGCTGTCGATGAATACACTGGACGAACCTTCGCCACAACAACTCTCGCTGCACTACTGCGGAAGCAGATCAACAGCGGAGAAGGGTCTGTAAATGATGTGGATGAAGCCATCGAGCTTACACAGAAGGCGCTGAGTTTGACTCCTGAAGATTCCCCAACTCGGACACAGCATTGGTCCACCATAGGCAATCTATTTATTAGCAGATATACTCTACTACGAATCGAAGAAGATATGGAGCAAGCGGCCGAGAACTTTCGATTAGCGGTAGCACATCCCGCAGGGGAACCACTACGACGCATCGCAGCTGCAACAGAGATAGTACCGCTGTGCCCAAAGTACAAACAGGCCTATGACATAGGACGCACGGCCTTAGATATGGTTCCAATACTTGCAGCAGTTCGTTCGCTTGAGACAGCTGACCGGCAGTATCGGTTGACCCATGCAGCCGGTCTTGCGGCCAATACAGCGGGCGCAGCACTGAGGATAGGCAAACAGTCGTCGGAAGCCCTAACAATCCTGGAGCAGGGACGTGGATTGCTGGCTTCATCTCTGGATGAGATTCGCACAGACATTAGGGAGCTCCGTGATATGTTTCACGATTTAGCAGAGGAATTTGTTCGACTTCGAAACGAGCTCGACTCTTCGACTGGTTCAACTGCCACCGAGGAAGACCCATCTACGCACGGGGTTCAAGGGCGTAGACGGCGCGATGCTGGTAGAGCTTACGACGAACTGCTGGCCCAGATCCAGGAGAAACCCGGCTTCGAAGACTTCCTAGGTCCACTGACTACTAACCAAATGCTTTCATCTGCAGAATATGGCCCGGTTGTAGTGCTCAACAGCAGCTGGATGGGTGTGGACGCTATCATTATACAGGAAGATCAACTCACGTCACTCGTTTTTCCAGCGGTAAAAGACTTTCAAACACTTCAGTTTATGCCCGAACACGAATACGGAAGTGTGGAAGCGCTCAGGATTCTTTGGAACGCGTTTATAAGTGGAATATTAGACCACCTGGGCTTCACGGAGACGCCAGCAGATGGGCAGGATTGGCCTCATGTCTGGTGGATTCCTACCGGTCCGTTGAGCATACTTCCCATTCATGCGGCAGGGCTACACTTGGAGCGATCTGGGAAGACGGTGATGGATAGGGTGATATCTTCCTATGCGCCGTCTGTCAAAGCATTAGCTCATGGACGTCGTCGTCAGAATACCCGAAGTTGTTCTACCCAAGCTCTTCTGGTGGCCATGGAAAGGACTCAGAATCAGACTCCTCTCCCAAAGGCTAAAGAGGAAGTCGATTTGGTCAGCAAGATCTGCGAGAGTATGAGCGTGACCCCTGTAATTGCCGGGTCGGACAAAAAGGAAGCACTCGAGCACTTGCGAAGCAGCAAGATATTCCACTTCGCAGGGCACGGCTATACAAACAGAAGTAACCCGTCTAAAAGTCACTTGTGCTTCAGCAACGCTAGCGATCCTCTAACAGTCGCAAACCTTCTCGAGCTGAACCTACACGAGGAGTCACCATTCCTGGCGTATCTATCAGCATGCAGTACCGGGCGTGTCCAAGATGAGCAATTTATCGACGAAAGCATCCACTTGATTAGTGCTTGCCAATTGGCTGGGTTTCGGCATATCATCGGAACACTTTGGAAGGTCCAGGATGAGCATTGTGTTGACGTCGCGCGTATCACGTATGAGACTATCATCGAAGGTGACATGTCTGACGACTCAGTATGTCGGGGGTTGCATAGGGCTACGAGAGCGATGAGGGATGTTTGGTTGGATGGTATGCAAGAGGCTGACAACTCGACACAGCGTGGAGAGGATAGGGGAGCAAGAGATATTATAGCCTGCGAGGACGACCAGGCAGCTCCTGCTTACTGGGTTCCTTATATTCATCTCGGCATATGAGCCAGGTTCTGGATATTTTAGCATTACTATAATGCCCCTTGTACTACCCGACCCTCCATACACGAACCAAAGCTGAGATGCAGTTCTCAGTGGTCTCACATCAAGCCGACCAGCAAGAGCCACAACACCGTAGAGCTACTTACGATTGTGACAAAATTACTGGAAGTCGCTAGCACCAGCCCTGCTGTACCCGACTCGCTATTGGAACCACTAGATGACCCATCAGATTCCGAAAGCAGTGTACAAGCCGGCGGAGGAGTCTCATGTGTTGCCTCAAACACAAGACCATCTTTGTCTGTTGCATTTATGCGTGTACTATTTTCGCTCACAAGGCCGCCCTCAAATGACAGACTGAAGGACAGGTCGAGTCTCCAAACATTCAACTCGTCGTTGTTTGTCAGGTATTTGAAGTATGCGATTTCAAATGTATCGTCAATCGGATAAACCCCAGTGCCTTCTTTGGCGCCGTCCCCGCAAATCGCCTGTCGTAGATTGATCCAGGGCTTTGCAGCATTGAGACTTGATTCAAGAGTGAAAGTGATCTTTGAGGCGCCGACGGCCTTCATTGCAGCCACGACACCAGCCTCCAGCCAAACGTTAGGCGTGGTCGTGTTGATATGGTCATTGCTGGAATGATCACTGCGTTGAAGTGTTTTATACTCCTGGGATAAAATTTATGAGTTCTAAGCAGACACATCGCTGAACGTGATGTACTGGCTCAAGGTGGGGTCAAGGCTACTTATGTCCAAATCCAAGTCAAGTAACCATGGTTTTGTCTTGACGCGGCTCGGGCAGAGAGATTCTCAATGTCAGAGTTGGTGAATTTTGGTCGTCCAGTAGGCGGTGATGTCTCTATGACGATCCGTGGCATCTGAAAGTGCATAGCGTCCTATTGAGGTATCATGAAAATAGGTGCCACCGCACGGTATTGCGGACACAACAAAATCGCTTGATCTCAGGTGTACCCACCGTTGGTAAATGTTAACGTAGGGTCCGGTCGCCCCCAGAGTCTGGTCGGCTGGCTGGAACCCGAATAATCTCCAATTGAAGGGGTTTGTGTCTGTGTTGTTCCCTGTTGGGGCGACCAAGAAGAGAGCTGGGTATCTATACGTGTTGGGTTCATCATCAGCCATGCCACAGGCTCCGGGACCCTTATCTAGCCAGTATGAGATATTCGTGATGTGGTGCTGGACCGTTAAAATGCCATTGTAGTAGAGTCCTGGGAAGCCGTAAACGATCTCTCGTTCAGTCAACTGCTGACGTCCACAGGTTTTGGGGGCACATTTCCAATCGGTGTCGCTCTCGTCGTCGATACCATTATTCTGGTGAAACCATGGATTGTGAACCCTGGGGGCGGATTTTCGGCTGTGCCACCACTGCCTCCTCCACTGCCACCTGCGGTTCCGCCCCCGCCAATCGAACCACCACCAGAGCCACCCAGGAACCTCCGCCGCGCCTGGCAGTGACTGTGTTCAGATACACAAGAAGCATAACAATGGTTCTGAACCGTAAATAGGCCTTTGTTTTTGACTGTGTCGTGATGCGTTAACAAGAACCAAAGGGCCTGGCAAGATTAAGTATTTATGAACCCCACGGGTCTTGAACCTATTGCAGATAATTTGGAGCCTTTTTAGCTTCATTCAGTGATCGGCATCCTGCTCCACCTCTAAAAGTTGCAGGCCAGCATCTCGAATCCAGCCACCAGACAAGGATTATAAGTTTGAATCATCTTTATTCGCTACCATGGTAGATCAGCGCTTATTGGACTGATTAGTGCATTGCCTGTTTCATTGTCGGCCTGATGATCTCATCTGACTCAGCGACGATCACGGCGGGTAGCTTATCGCGGTCGAACTATTGCCGCTGTAAACTTTAACTTTATGCTTCAATATCCTTTAGACGGATATCGAGTTAATTGTTGGACAGCACTACACGTACCCAGATTTGCAACCACTTCAAGCGGACCATCCTTTTCTTAGATTGCGCAACTATGGGTGTGTCTAATTAGATGCCTGAAGATCATTTCCCAATGACCCAGAGATGTCAGCATTGGGGGCTAAGCATATGTCGATCCTAAAGTCAGACCATAAAAGTAATAAGCAAAAGGAGCAGAGCCCCCCTTTTGTTTTCCACAATTTCTAAGCTCTTCATGACAATCTTTCTACGATCGTCGGCCGGTCACTTAAATTTGCAAAACACGAGAAATTCCCAATAACTATCGCCATGGCCGACTTCGCCGATCTAAAAAAGGCGACCGACATCAACCCCAATGTCTGGTACCATTTGACCGAAGAAAACGTTGACGACTACGATGGAGACTTTAAGAGCATGCTACAAACATTCAAGGAGGATAGCGGGGATGATGGGTTTCGCGTCTTTGGCGTTGGTAACAGGAAAACATACTGGCAGTTCGTAGGTTCCATTAACATAGACGCGATATTATGTCCATGTTCTCTAACAAAGCTCCCAGCAACCCATAGGCAAGACACCAGGCCGATACTCGCTTCGCTGCTCCGAAACGACAACACGAAAGCAGTTCGCCGTATGTTATCGAGATTTCGAATCGGTCGAGAATCGACGCACACGCGCCTGTCTGTCCGACAGTGATGGCACCGAGTCGCAACAATGGGATGTGTCTCTGTGGGGAACGAACAAGACAGAAACGTATTTATTCACAAACGTCGCGAATGGCACAAAGTATCACCTCGATGTAATTCCTGGTGCCGCCGTTTTCATGAGCCCGAATCTGGAAGGATACCAAAAACGGCAGCGTTGGCTGATGACCAGTGTCAGCAACGTTGACGACGACGCCTACAGTACTGTTTTTACAAACGTAAGTCTGACTCCAGCCAAATATTGAACTCGATAGCTAAGTAATATCAAGCCTCCTCCCGAGTCAACACGTGATTCAGGGACGACAACAGATTCAACTGGCGAAGCAGCCACAGGCTCCGCCTCATCTTCGTCCTCCGATTCAAGTTCCAGCAGCCTCTCAGGCGGAGCGATCGCAGGAATCGTAATCGGAGCCATACTCGGCGTTCTTGCGATGGCGCTCCTGGGATTCTTTCTCTGGAGACGCAAGAAACGTAACAGTGGCCTTCATGCTAAGCCTGACGAGGCGATGGGTAGCCACAGCGCACCTATGGAAGATCATAGTCAATTCGCTGGTTACAAGCCACCAAATTCCACATCACCGGCACCACCACTTTACGAATTGCCGAGTACTCAAAACCCTGTTGAACTCCAAGCAGCTGAGCAGAGGCACGAGCTGAGATAGACTTGAGCAGTGATTAGAGTTCGGCGTGGAGTGTGAATAGAGTTTCGGCAATGGTATATGACGTGTATGCTGACCCGGCAGCTGACAAAGTGGCTGTCCGGAAAGAAGTATAAATTCCCCGTCTCATCATCTATTTGACAGAAATACCTCCTTACTCCAACTTCTTTTCCAACAGTCACATTGCTTATCTAGACATGTCGCTATCCTCAACAGCTTACCTCCTTCTCGGACTCACTGCCCTCGCAACATGCACCTCATCCTGCAGCTATGAACCGTCCTCAAACGCAACCCTTGAAAATTTCCCAAAGGCGTCACCTGGTTCTCCTTACGACCCAAACATCCTTTCCGAAGTCCCTATTGCATCAGTGTGCAGCTCCTCCAACGCGATGGATGAGCTCGCCTGTGCAAGAAGGTACATTGACATTATTGATGAACAACTCGCCTTCCTCTACGCTCGACGCTTGGGCTACGCTGCTGTCGCTGGGTTCGCCAAGTATAGCCAGGTTGTCGATCTGAATGATCCAAGTAGAAATGAGGCTGTTGCAGAGGGGATGGCACAGAGGGTTCTCAAGTATGGAGGTAGCGAGGAGGCAGGAAGGGTTATGGGTGGCGAAGGATGCCAGATCTATGTGAGCTTGGAGTTTGAATTGTCGGAGATACAAGGGACTTGTGATCCTCAGTTTCAGGAGGATGTTAAAAGAGAATGTAATTAAGGCGTACCTTGGATTGATCTTTTATTCCACTTTATAGTATGACCCTACACACCCTAACCCGGCGCACCCAATCGAATATCTTATTCACAACTTTCAGCACTCGGAGTAGTTGCTATAAGCTGGCGCTCAAACTGTCATGCATCGATCGTGTATTTTTATGTCATATATATAGTGAGACAAACTTTTTAACTACTTTCAACACTCTAAGCCGCGTTGACGTACAGGGACTTAGTAGTGCAGTACGCCTTGATACCCTCAATACCATGCTCAGCACCATGGCCGCTATGCTTGGCACCACCAAAGGGAACTCTAGGGTCGAGCTGAACGTGTGCGTTAACCCAAACTGTACCCGCCTTGATTTTGGTGGACATTCTCTCGGCCCTCTCCAAGTCCTTAGTCCAGACAGAGGCACTAAGACCCATAGCAGTATCGTTGGCACGTCGGAGGACATCGGCCTCGTCTGTCCACTTCAAAACAGGGAAGACAGGACCTGCAGAATGTTAGTGTCATATAATTAAAACGAGAGAGGGTGACTTACCGAATGGCTCCTCAACCACAATTCTAGACTCATCAGGGGGGTTTTCGACGATGGTAGGGGTGATAAAGTATCCCTTGCCAGCATCTGAGGCACTGGTTGAGCCAGCTGCGAGCTTGAAACCGTTGGACTCAATATCGGCGAGTAGGTTCTTAACACTGTCGAACTGCATCTTGTTCTGAAGAGGACCCAGAGCTGTCTTTTCATCCATACCATCACCAACGGTAAAGCTGTTGACGGCTGCGGCTAACTCCTTCACAAACTCGTCATAGATCGACTCATGGACGTAAACTCGCTTGATGGCCATGCAGAGCTATTTCCTTCGTAAGTCAAGTTCAGTTTAGAGGGCATTCCGTAACTCACCTGGCCAGAGTTCATGACCGCTGCGAAGGCAATCTTGGGAGCAACCTCCTTAACATCGACATCCTCGCAAATGATGGAGGGATCGTTTCCTCCCAGTTCGAGGGTGACGCGCTTGAGCGTTGGTGCGGCGCTCGCTAGGACCTTCTTTCCGGTTGCTGTGGATCCAGTGAAGCTGATCTTGTCAACGCCGGGGTGGGAGGTGAGCCAGGGCCCGAGGCTATCGTTACCGCTGAGTGCTTGAACGACACCTGGGGGGAAGTACTGGGAAGCAAGCTCAGCGAGCTTCAGTCCGCAGTAAGGAGTGAAAGGTCTGTCCTGGGGGGTTATTATGCTTGTCGTGACAAAAGTATCATGAAACTTACGATGGCTTGAGAATGAAAGAGTTACCAGCGATCAGAGCTGGGCCGATCTTGGCAGTGGCCAAGAAGATAGGGACTGGATTTATTAGCTTTGAAAGGAAACGTTCCCGGGAAATTCTACATACAGTTCCAAGGTACGATGCCGACAGCAACACCGAGAGGGACGTATTTGATAACGACCTTTTGGCCTGACTTGTCCTCAACCACCTCCTGAGGATCAGGCAGCGATGCGTATCCCTTGAGGAACTGAACAGACAGCATAATCTCGAAATGGGCCATTGCCATCTATTTTCGCATTAGAACCGATTCTTAGTAATAATGGGTGTCAGACTAACAGATTTTCCTTGCTCCTTGACCAGCAGGGTAGCAAATTCATCCTTGAGAGCATCGATACCCTCAGCATACTTGATTACTAGGGCCTTTCGCTCCTCCCAGGGGACCTCAGACCAGGAATCAGATGCCTTCTTGGCAGCCTCTACAGCTCTGTCAACATCTTCTTGGGTCGCACACGGCACTGGGTGGTTCTTCTCGAGGGTAGAAGGGTTGGTGTTCTGGAGCGTCTCCTTGGTGGTTTCGAGCTTTCCGTCGATGAGGTTGTAGTACTCATCGAAGTTGATTTGCTTGCTAGATCCGACGGCCATTTTGACTTATTTTAATAATGATTATGATTACAGAAAGAGGATTGTTAGGTCAGGTCACCTTTCAGGATGTAACATTGGCAAGTACTTATAGCTCCATGCTTTGCATTAAACAACTCAGTACCATCACATGTGTCTTGTTGGGCTGCCCTAGTCAAGGATGTTTCATCCGCCGGTGGTATTGCTAATTCAGTCCGGAGCGGTGAACACTTCTCCTGAAACGCTAGCCGAGAAGCGGATTCGTAGCTGAACGAGACTAGGATAAATACTGCTAAGAGGCCGTTATCTAGTGTTAATTGTGGACTTGAATCCGCTTCTAACGCCTCAAGACCCTAGTATAGGGCTATCATATCATCAACGGTCGGCTTGCCCTGCGAGATGCCAAGCGCCCGAGATCTATTTTTAAGCGTTTTGTAAGCGAAATATAGATCTTATATATTAATGATCTGATATTTAATTTATTTAAGTTTAAATAATAGATTGAAGAGTTTAAAATGCAATACCTCCACTGATCTGCCCATGTGGAGGCATGAAACAAAATGAGATATCCACAGTAATGCAACGTCTTTACCAGGTCCAAGCTTTAATTGCGCCATGCATTGGCCGCTCTAGCCGCCCTGCCGCCAGATTGAGTTTGCGAGAAATTCATATATACCCTAGACCTTGTAAAATAACCTCGGCAGACTCAATGCAAAGCCGTGTGATTATATGATAATTAGTAAGGTGGCAACATCAACATTGAACCAGGTGGTATCATGCATATTTGCAATTGTTCAGTGTAGTCCGAACAGCCCGATATGCTTGCATTGTGCAAACTTCCACCGTAGCCACGACCAGTCTGAACCGCAGGCTTCGCCAGTTGAAAAACGCAGTTCGCGCAAAACAAGCAGACTTGGTGGCATGAGAACAACCTATGGGACCAACGTTTTCAAGACTTCATTTGCATTATTCACACCAAGTCTATTTTGTGCCACGCGACCGACCCCTCAGTAGCTTCTCCATTCATGACGCCATGTACATAACTCTCACCAACCAACATATAGCCCCCCTTATGATCATCGCTCTTACGCAACACTAACGGTACGGGACATCCCGATGTTATCCACACTTCATCTCCAGCTTGTGTCGACTCACAAGAAGAGCCCAAATGACCACTGTCTGTAAGAAATGGATGTCGATACCGCGATGTGACTCCGATAACTGCAAAACAAACTTTGCCTGTATTCCTTATTTTCTCTATCCATGCCGCTTGCTCTGACATGGAAAGCACCTTCTCTGAAGGCTCATCTAGTAGGCCTAACTTGATCATTAGGGATTTGAACTCTTCGTGGGTTGGAAACGCGCTGTCTGGAATGTGGGAGGCTAGAACGTCGAGTACAAGATGAGTTTCCAACTGTTTTTCTGCGGCAGCTAATCCGTCATTAGCGAGAGTCTTTTGAAAGGCTCCAGCCATCCACATAATAATCAAGCTTTCAAACCCTTTGCTATCGACTAGCTTGGCTGGTTGGTTGGTGAAATCGTGGTCCCAGATTAATGTTCGCCAGAAGGCCTCCATGGACGATTGCGCTGTATGTGCATAGGTACGATCCATATCGAGTAGTATTTGTACCCAACCATGTACGCCCCAGGTTGTGACCTTCTCAAAAGATTCTCCAAGGAGCTTCACTGTTCCAAGAAGACTACCGTGGACTTTGAAAGCTTCGCCTCTTCGTGTAGCGCCGTGTCTTACCATACCGCTTGCATTCGGTCGAGTCACTGATTTGAAGCCCGGGCTGAATATCGAGTTCATCCCTGTAGATGGACCGAAGTCTGGACACCAAGACGGCAGGTCTGCCGTGACGCGCCGAGCTGGGTCTTTGACCAGAGCCAGTAAAGTTAGGTCTCCAGTAGCTTCAAGTATCTCAGCCGCGATGGATTCCAGTACCTGCGATGCCGGTATGTTGTAGGTTGGCATGAGATGTTCAGGAACAGTAACGCCTTGTTCCTTGGCCACATGCTGAAGGATTCCCCAAAGCCCGTATACAGAATCTCTGGTATCTGTAGCTTGAAAGCCAGTAGTCCACATGAGCAGTTTCAACAGGATCGTAGATATCAACCCTGTCGACCCACGCATATTTTAGATATCGATTCCAGCTGTCATGTCAACTAATGAAAGCGCATCGGTCCATGTACTACGGGAGCCTTTACACCACTCCCGTAACATCTGTATCTTCTCTGCCCTGTAGAGATGATACCAGTCCATTTGTTGAAGATCGCGCCCAGCTCCTGAAAGCTTTGAGAAAATGGCTCCAATCACACCACTCAAGTGCAAGAAAGCCGCCGTGTAGCCAATTTTGTCGAATGAGATTGCGAAACCGTCGCAAAAGATATCTGCTTCTTTGGCCAAAGAAACTTCTTGTATAATCCACACCCTAGAGAACCAGCTGTATTGGAAAAGTGAGAGGAGGCCATCGATCTCTGCCATGGTCAATGGTGCTAGGCCGTATCGAGACTTCATATCCTCCATCAGGTAACAGAAGTCAAATTGCTGATTTTTGATGATGCATTTGGACTCACGCTCAGCAACCTGTGCTATCCGTTTTGCAGCATTGAGACCTGTCATCAAGTGAGGCGTGGGTGCTCCAAGCCATATGAGAACACGATCTGCTCCACCATAAACCCTTTTCATAGCGGAGATTTGACACTGGCGCTCATCGATATCATCTTGATTTATGCACAACGCGTCGATCCACACTGGTTTGTCTGAGAAGTACTGGTGAAGTTGAAAAAGGGCATCGTACAGATTAGGTGAGACTTTGGCGGATTGACCATTCAATAAGATGGAGGCTGTATAATCTGGCACGTCCGCCCGAGGCTTTCCCCAAGTATAAGAGAGAGCGTAGTACTCTGGCTTTGCGTTTCCTTCAAACTCGTAAGTACTGAGCGTTACGCTAGGTACGATAAGGTCGGCAGTTTCAGGCGTTGGTAATAGAAGAATGGTAGCAAGCCGTACATGGTCGGACCTTAGTGAATCGTGGTAGACGCCCATTTCGCAGGAAGGCTGATATTTGCTGATTAACCTAGCTTAGCTAATGGTTCCTTTAATATCTCAGTTAGCTTAGCTCACCCCTCACAACATTCTATATCCCAAAGATAAGAAATCTCGGGTTCTTCGAGTTTAGCTCTTTGTACTGGTCCTTGGCCCAACTAAGAAAGTTCACTAGCTGAACGATAAGGGTAGACAAAGAGGGTCATTCAGCTACGGGCATTGAGCAAAGGCCCTAATTTGCATATCAGAGATAGGTTGTCCTGGTTATGAGGCATATTTGATGGACCACGTTAGGTTAGGATAGTGAGGCTTATCACGTGAGGGAACAGGGAGGCAATTACGACAAAGCTGACAGGTGCTCGCCTTCTTAGCTTGTGCTAATCGGATGTAGTAATGTGCAGTCAGCCTACACAGTACCCACTAGGCTGAGTTCAGTTCAACCGACCCCACTTCTAGGCATCACTTTATCACTTATTTAGGAATTCTGGTATCTTGCTTCTAACACACCACAGACATCGCCTCATTTTAAAAGAAGCTTTAACAATGACAGACGTGCTCAACATACCAGAACTGCCAGATGAGGATGACACCGAAGGTCTACGAGCGTACTTGACAAGTGGCATTTCTGCGATCCTTAACGACCCCAAACTTCAGTTGCAGCCAAATGTTGTGAGTCATTAGAAGGATAGTCCTGTGAGTATTGATGTAGTTAACTAACTCACCTTGCCCGCAGTACATGAACCTTTATACGTTAGTCAAACAAAACTACTCCCCGGCCTCTTCTTGATGCTAATCCCTTTCAGATCTGTATGGAGGTTGACGTATCGCGAAAAGAGTAACGAAAGTGCTCGTTCAGACGGTACGAAGACCTTCTTGCTTCTGTAACGATTAGCTGATATATATCTACCCTGGCTGCAGTACCTTATGCAGATGTCATCTATCATGACTTGGTCAAAATGCTTGCTGACCATGTACAGCTTGTGTTGGAAAAGCTTCAATCTCAAGAGGATAGTCTCTTATTCGAGGCCTATTTGACCGAGTGGGATCAATATCTCATGGCTGCCAATCGCATTGACCGTTTGTTGAATCTCATCAACCGGCATTGGGTTAAGAGGGATGTCGACGAGGGAAAGCCAGATGTCTACCGCATCCGCACCCTTCACTTCGTCCAATGGCGGTCTTACTTATGGGACAAAATATCTATTGCCGTTATCGATAGCGCTCAGCTTGTGCTGGAGAAGAGTCATGGAAACGCAGACAAGACCCACGACATGTTGAAGAGCTTCGCGTCGCTTCAGATCGACTACTCTGCACGGACTGGGGATGCACGGACTCGCATTCGCGAAAGTCTTGAGGCGCCGTTTGTGCCCGAAATCATAGCCCACGAACGGAATCTTGAGAACATTATCGCTGCACGCCACAACTAAGGGTGAACGAGGTAACGGAGACCCGATTAAATAGAGTAACCCATTTGCTGACACATGCAAGGCTTGTCTTTCACCCCGCATGTCACTCACATCACGCAGAAAGACGGAAGCGAGAGCCGGCGCTGACAAATTCGCCTCGTCTGATGCCGAAATAATGGGGCTGATAACGCCGAGAGAATTGCAACATAGTCCCAGATAGTCGATGGGGCTACTAGGGAAGCAAGGAATGAGGAGGCAGAGTGGAGAACTTCCTATAGTTTTTTTGAGAGTCTATAGCTACTATAAATGCATGCTATCCTGCTAAACTACTATCACCGAACATCTGCCAGTCAAAGAGAGCCTACTATACAAGATGGAAAAACTACTAATTGGAGCTTTGGCAGCCTTAGCTCTGCCTACAGCAGCGGCAAAGGTATTGCAGGCTTCCCCAGGATGTGTCTTTGCGCTTTGGTTAACATCAAGTCACAGTCATCTATAATTCCGACAATGGGTACCACGTTGGTCAATTCCATTCTGGAGCGGGGAAGTAAACACCCTACGCTGATGACTCCAACGTCCCTCTTGTCGTACGCGGTCTAGGTATCCCTACTGGTCTTAACTCGACTCTTCCAAGCACCCACATCGACCTTCTTCCCACCATGCTTAACATTGCCGAGCTACACGAGAAGCACTGGCCAGAGTTCTTAGATGGTCGGAGCTTGCTGTAGCAGTGGGAGAGGCCTCACCAGCGAGAGCAAAACTCTGGGTTGGGAATAGCTAAGGAGATCATCAATATTGAGCACTGGAGATTTGGTACCATTGAGGCACCTGCCCCCGAAGGATTCTTTCCTACATCCATCGCCTGCAGAAGGTGGGGGTTTGCAGCAAGCCTTGGTCTCGCGATTGAAATGTGTGAGTGCGCCTTGTCTGTTTGACCACGTCATCCGACTTGACGCAGGGCGCTTAATTTGGCGGAGCATAGCCCCCAAGGTCCCGAACGTTAAAATGCCTCCCTAACGCCAATTCACCCTCTTCACAAATTATTTGATTCAGCTCTCTGGAACGTCTTTGGAACGGATCTTATTTTTTACCCTTCTTTGATCAACCACTATACTAGTTTGCCGCTAGCAACTCCAATCGTCCTTCTCGATCATGACTACAAAAGACGACGAGAACACTGTCACGCCTATCAGTCTCTGCAAGGTCACGAATCCTCAGAGACCGAATTCGAATTCTATATCATATCCAAGCCCTCCGACTTCAACATCCCAAACGACAGGCGTGTCTGGTGAAAAGGTTTGTCCAAACACAGCCCTTGGCTCCCCTCCTCTCAGTCCTCCGCCGACCCCTCTTCGAAAGTCAACAGCACCGCGTGCTCATGAGAAGCAAACTGCCGAGGAAAAGATCGATGCTGCAACTCTGAGGGCTAGTCTGGGCATCGACGATAAGCGGTGCGGGGCTCCAGCAAAAACAGGGAAGCCTTGTCGGTGTTTGTCACCGGCCGTCAACAGAGCCGCGGTCACTTCTCAGCTAGACTCGATAACAGGCCTTACGCAGTCATCTGTGGAACTCGAGGACGAGCTCGATAAGCTTGCTAAGCTTGTGCACTGCAAGTACCACGATAATGGTCTCCCAAAAAAGAATCGGATCGAAACCTGGATACGGGTATTTCCCGTCGGAGAAGAAGATGCTGCCATGTTGATCGAAAAGAAGATTCGAACACTTTTGGATCTAGAGTCTTCCCAGTGTATAGCAGTAGTCGATTGTACAGACCTGCGCTGTAGGGAGAAAATCGGAGGGCAACGGGTATCGAACTGCGCATCTACGATTGATGAGATCGTCAAGCAGGAGGTCTATTCGAATACGTCCTATCTAAACGGATTGCTGAAAGTCCTTGAGACGAATATGTACTGTCCCAAGCACATAAAAGAGAGACCGTTGCAAAAGGTCGCATCATGGAGGTCGACCATTGAGGGATTCCTTCCGGAGAAGACTGTCATGTTGCTTGAGGGCGGTGTACACAACGAGGCCGGAGATGCCTCCAGTATCCCAAAGACGGGTTACATCGCCGAAAGCGTCTCGGCCAGTGAGGGTGACAGCCCTACTTCAAGGAACATAAGCTGGTCGATTCCCAACTTCGATCGAGACTTGAGCACATATTGGCCAGTCACATACAACACCTCAACCTTCGACATATTAGAGGAGAGTACAAGACCTGATGACTATGAATCTTCGTATAAAATGATTAAAGAAGAAATGAATAAGCCCCTCGAGGATGAGGATATACAAAAAGGATATGTTTATATGTACGAGGTTGAAGGAAATCCAGGATTTGTGAAGATTGGATACACAACTCAGTCCGTGGAGAAGCGCCTTCAGGATTGGGAGTTCAAGTGTAACAGGGCCACTAAAACCCTATACCCCGTTCCGTTAGGCACTGCCACAGCCATTCCTCACGCCAAGCGTGTTGAGGCATTGTGTCACACCGAGTTAGACCATCGAAGAATCAGGATCTATTGCAACTGTTGCTTGACCCAGCATTTGGAATGGTTCAGGATTTCATCTACAGAAGCCATTACGGTAATTCAGAAATGGTCTAATTGGATGACGACAAGTCCCTACAAGAGTTGGTTAAGAAACAGGGCCAAATGGACGATTAAAGAGGAGGAGAGAGTAAAAGCGAATGATATGAATAGGTTCCTGATGGATATTTCGGAATCCATTCAATAGGGAATTAGTGGCAGGTTTATTTTTAGGGTGTAGCAGCTTATAAATAAATCTGAAGGACTTGAAAACAGACTTTTAGCAATTTAAATATAGTGTGCATTATCGAAGCAGACTGATTTCCCTCCTTATCTATTTCCCGTTTTCCAAGACGATTAATGTGGCTTTCGGGACTCAAGCCGTAGTCCGTATGGCAATAGGAAAAGCGCTAAATCGGCTCTTCTACAAGATGCTCGAGAGCTATTAAGAGTTCCCTCGGTGGTGATAGATCTTCGAGACAATCTAATTCTATGAGTTTGTACCAGTCATAAAGTGCAGACATGACCGTTGATATAAGCCGTTCCATGGTCTTTACCCTTATGTTAAAGTCCGCATTTGGTTCTGAGAATAGAGTCTGACTGTAATGATATAGAAACTCGCTTTGGACCTTTTCCAGTACGCGAGAAAAGCATTGCGAAATGGAAAGTCTATCTGGAATGGCATAGCATCCTTTATATACTCTTTCGGAAATCATTGAGGTCTCGCAAAAGAGGACTTCCACATGATTGTGTGGTTGGGATGTATGTGGTAAAAAAGGGAAGGCAGCCTTTTTGACAAGACCCTAAGCAAGCAGGGCACTGTGCTTCCCTTCACAGGAAGATTGGCGAGGTTCCAGTATATTAGGCCCAAAGGCACTCCTTACCTTCCGACGCAGTAAGCGTTGAAAGGACCTAACCCTTAAGACCTTACTTTTCGGGTTACGTATCTGGTTTAATGCTTGCAAAAGCCCGTTGAGTTTGCTGCAACTGCTCTCAAGCCACACGCTGTTGGCGAGTAGGACCCGTTTTGATAGATGGTACCGAGCATTGCACATGTCGATAATGCGATCAGGTGATAGGAGTTCTGTATCTTCTTTGGCTCTAAAAAAGACTGCGGCTTTACTAAAGGATTGTGCTAGGTCGAGAAAACGTGCCCAGCGGCTACGGCAAAAGTCACAACTCGAAGGGTTGGAAAGACCATGTATACGCTGTTGAAATACCTTAAGGCCATGAAGGAAAATAGTGTTCGACAAAGTCATGCCTGCGGGAGAAGAAAATGGAGAATCGTGCCGTATGGTTGGTGCGTTAGCCATATCTATGATATGCCCAAAGAAGATGCAGGCTGTCTCCCTACTCTTGACGGGATTGCTAGGACATAGAATACGCCCGCTGTAAATTAAAAGATAAATATCCTTAAATCTGCTAGCGAGAAGCCCGCCTAGTATTACCACACTGTTGTGGAGTTGTCGCCAGTCGTGGGCATTTAAAATAGTTCGAGTAACCTTAAGCCCATTACATGGGTCAGACTCCCTCAGAGTAGAAACCATAAGTCGCCGAGCTGTTCTATATCTGTTGAAATTGTCTTGAAGAGCCCTTTAAAGTTCGGAATCGAGGACCTCCAGTTTATCTTTGCACCTCCTAAGAAGGGCTTTGTGAAACAATTGGAGTTGTATCGGTAGGTTCGTCCAAAAGTCTGTGCCCCAAGGAAGTTTGCCGATAAAGATAGAGGCATAAATCCACAAAGCTGTTCTTACACGTTTACAGCGGTCCAGGAAATTGGCCACTTCTTTATCTGGAACATAGCCTTGGAATTCCTACTTGGAAGCGTAAGCGACCAAAGCCTGTTTTAAGTAACTGTTTGCATTGAGACTTACAGTTTAATAATTAGTACCACTCTACATTAAGAAGCCAAATATGATGACGAATAATAAGCTGTAGATATATTCGATCTGAGCTTGTGTACTCCGCTTAGGTGGATCCTCCCTGACAAAACTTGTAGCTCGTTGGAGAAAGTAAAATAAGGATACTTCACATCGTCGGTGCCAAAGCCAATCCCCGAAGAGTTGCAAATTTCCCCTACACTCGGTAATTTGTCTTATGGAACAAACTGAAACAAGTTGAAGCTAACTTGGTTAGTACCTCTACGACCGGCAGTGTTTATATGGAATCTGAACTTACAACCCATGGAAGTACTCCTCCTTCTGTTGGCTCGTCAGCGATGCTCATTATTTCAGACAACGGGCGGTCTTTGCAAATTCGGGTTAAGAAATTCTGGATCTGGTGTTTTGACGGCCGTTGGTAAGATCCACAAGTGAAATACAATGAATTAAACCCTTCGAAAACGAATTCGGGACGAAAGCCAACCCATGCTCCTTTGGGACTGCAAATTGATAGTTTTTGTTTAGAATTGTGATTCCATAGTTGGCTACTGTCGTCCTGTTTATACCGCCGGCCCTTTTGTAAGTCCACTAGTTCCAGGTATGCGGGCGCAGGGTAGAAATTTGCATCATCTGAAGAAAACACCATCGTAAGTACTTGGAACTAGAAACATATTTCGAGAAATATCGAAGGCTTACGTGAAAAAAACAATCCGACTAATACGATGTCTAAAAACTGGGCTTTGGTACACGGCCCGCGCCAGATCCGTGGTTTGCGTATCGCTAGACAGGCAGCGCAAGGGAATCCGCCTTCGCACTAAACACACAACAGTAAATAAACATTGATCGGGAGAAGGATCTGGTATCTAACCCGTCGTCTTGTTAGCCAACAACGAATGCAAGTCCCTGTCAGTCGTGCTTCATGCCGTTGCTGCCTCTGGACCTCTGTCAAAGGGCCTCTTTGACCACCCCGCCTAGATGGAGGAAGATCGACATGTTGACACATGATGGGGTTTGCTGGAATGAGGCCAGTCATAGACTCATCACAAGGAACATTATGGATTGAACCGACTTCCTGCAAGGGGGATCCGTGATGTGTCTGTCCATAGTACATATTGTCTAAGAAAGAGATCATTCAGAAAGCTATTGCAAACTAAGTTGATAGGGGAACTCGGGAGCAACAATTTAGAAAACGCGAACGACTTACTGAAAGGCTGAGGCTCATTGTTTGGTAGGTATAGTTTGCAAATTTGGCCAGACTGATGAGAGATTTGAAGAAATGGGGGATGGAGCATACGGCTGGGAGTAGGAGGGACGAAATCCTGAATGATGGCTTCATATGACAGAGGCTCGAAATCAAGAGTTTCGGAAAACGGCTCAATGAGGTGCTCCTCAGGAGGTTGGAGGAGGGACAGATCAATTTCGGCCGGAATATCCACCTGACTGAAGTAGTCATGAAGCTCGTCCGATTGGGGCATCACTGTCGTATCCGAGGCATATGAGAAGGGTTTTCAAGCTTAGAAGAGGATCGGAGACATACCTTGTTCTTCAAACGAAGCTAAACCTTCATCATGGTCAGCATCATCGAGGCAGGAAAAGTCGAACCCGGGATCTGGAAAATTCGACACATCAAGATTCTCAAGATAAGGAGCATGCTCATAATCCAGAGGAATATGGGAGTCTTGTACTTGAAGGGGAATGGGTTGAGGATTGTTCTCGTCTTGTTCAAGTTCGAACTCCATCGTAGTGAAAAGTCAATAGATAGGGACAATTGAGGGACTGTAAGGTAAGTTGGATGATAATAGATCGAAGCCATCTTAAGGCGTAATCAGGAACTCTTATACAGCTAAAGATCCCCGTCTCTGGCGACCTAAAAGTTGCCTTGCAGTCGCCTTAACTAATAAGATCAAACATCGGTAAGTTGTTCTTGTGGAGAAGGGCTGTGTAGGCTAATGAGAGACATCATCGGTAGAGAAAAGGTGCGTACGTCCCACTCTAAATAGCAGCGGACTTTTTTTAACCAATTGCATTGACAAGCATCAAGCCCCATGAGAGCTATTTATATCTACTTACAAATGAGATTTATCTTACCCTAAAGCAGCGTTTAGGAGCAATTTATAAACACGCTACCTTCCCTATAAGTCCTACCCTACTCCTATATTTAGTAGTCTAGAAATATCTAGATCTTGACTTGAACAGAGGGATCCCCAACCATATCACCCTCTTAAGATTTCATTCTTTACTTATGCTGCTTAATCCTTAGTTAACCCAGCACTAACAATGGAAGTTATTTCATAACCCAAACAGGTAAATCCCAACGCCGTGGCTGGCAAGCAAGTGATTCAGCAAAAAGCCGATAGTTATCGGCATTTATGAGGGCCAGGTCTGGCCTAGAGCAGTAATTACGTACCATTTGGCCAGCGATGGTGCATCACTAGTATCAGTCAGCATAGTAAAGTGGACGGCCGTGCAGGTCGCTTGCATTCATGAAGGAAAAGAGTGGTCGTGGTGGCAAAGCTTTCGTCGAGGTTTGTGCCATTGTCTGGATTCTCGAGGGCTCTTGGATAGCCCCAGAACTCATTGCAGAAAGCTATCCATCGCACTGGCTCACTTGGCAAGGTATAGAAGAGAGCAAGAGGCTTGTTGCCGTCACCATCGGCTGCCCCTTGGCAAACATTCTCGTGTGGTGCGTTCATGACGACTTATCTCCTGCCATTCAACAAAGAATCGTTTATTCGGTAATAGGGACTGTCGCGCTAATAAACGACCCGGTTTGGCTTGTCGTTTTCTCAGCCTGGCACTGTGGTTCGATGTCAGACGAGAATACTCATCGATGATCATCAACTTCCAACTTACTATCTCGGAGGGGGACCTGTAGCTCCGCTGGAGAAGCAAGGTCATAAAACTCTTTGACGATTTCCGGATGCTTGAAAGGAAGTGGGTCTTGTTCAGGTCTGCAGAATATGTAGTTTGACGCTGGACTCCAATATTGCTTATTGATCGCCCAAGCCAAAGCTTGATATCGGACTATGAAAAAAGAGTCAGTGTCAAGGATTATAGGTTTATTAGAGAATCATAACCAACATCTGATTGATTCCACAGTTTCCAGATTCTTGTCCTCAAAGCGCAACCTCCCAGGTTGGCCTTCAATATCGCTATAATCCGCTCCAAAAAGTAGACGCATGTTTCTTGCCATATACCACTGTTCCGACCCATCATCGAAACCAAAAGTGGCTCCATCAATGATGGTTTCGAGGTCATTGGTAGTTTTGTCCGCTAGTTCCCAAACCCCAAATAACAGGCCGTCGAGGCTTATGTTCTCACAACTCACGAGGGTGAACAGAGCGCTTGCCACATCGTTGGAGTTCGGTTCGACGTCAGGCTCATCCGGGTCATCGGGTCCATCTGGGTTTTGCGTAAGCGCAACAGACGTCGCAAGACCCAAGACTAGCAAAAGGCCTCTCATTATCAAAGACAGCAGCATAGTGGTCAGACAAGAGGAAGAAAGAAAGAAGCGAGAGATTGCCCTTCGCTGGCGGGTCTCTCGTGATACATGATGGCAAACAGCAAGGGATATATCGTGGTCTGTAATTTCACCTTGCAACTCTGACAGACAGGGATCAGAAAAAATACCCGGAAAAAGGCCTCGCTGACAACTGACTGCAGTGTCGGACATTGTCAAGAGCACCGAGGTCCCGGCAATCCACGGCAAAAGCCCATTCAGAAGGTATTGCACATGGAGCCCCCTATTTTCATGCCGCCGCAGGATTGTAATCCATCGATGTGACCGGATATGCGGCACCTGTTCTGTTCGCTTGGAGGCAAATATCGGCAGATGAAGTCCAAGCTGATGGATGATAACAGGCGGGTCCCTTCGGTCTCCGCAAGCTGCTATAGGTCGTACCGGTGAAGTGAAGATAGTTCTTATGACACCTTCCGCACACGTAAGGGATAGTCTCTCGATGTTACCCAATCAAACTCCACCCTTGGTCATCCGATGGAATTGATCAAAAAGCCCCGATGCATCTGACGTGCCTTTTGATGACTATACTTCGAGTGTCGCCACTGGCTGGGTAAGTCTATTCTGAGTGAAATGAAGTTCCCATTCAATGCAACAGGATAACCTATCTATACCGCACTATTATTAGAGTGGGCTATGCTGATGTGAGAGTGCAGGATGAACTTTTGTTCGACTTGCATTTATGTGCGCTCGTTTGCGGTAAGGCCAGCATTCGCACCACACGGAATCCTATGCAGTAACAGTCCAGTCGAAATATCTTAGACGAGCGACCAACGAAGAAAAAGCACCTCGTACATAAGGCCTCCAAACATTGTATTCCGCCTTCTTCAGACGTAGACTTCCTCAACGCTGTCCTTACAGCTAGAAGCGCGTCAATAGGTAAACATGTGGTTAACTTACAGTGGTCGCCCGGCTGGTGTGTCTTTATGTCTTTTGGGCCTTCTCTATTCTTCTCAGGCCAGGGCCTACGACCATGCAGATGGAATCTCGCCATACGGTAGCGGCCACGCGCCTGATGTCGTCCATGCAGACGTTAAAGATTACACGCTAGATCACGACTGATCGCACAGGTCACATGTCCATGTTGACACATACCTGAATGACTTCGAGAATGCGACTGTCACGATTGAGAAGTCTTCGGGACTTGATACGAGAGCCACCAGAGACTTTTATTTGAGGGTCATGCCACTCGGTGCTTCCATTACTCAAGGGCTAAAGTCCATGGATGGTAATGGATACCGCAAGTGGCTTCGAGCTCAACTTCGGTTATGTGGCTGGAAGGTAACATGGTTGGATCGAAACGGGACGGAACCATGGCAGACTCGGTAAGGGAGCGAGGACCACCCCGTAGAGGCACAGCTGACACTCAGTAGGATAATGAGGGCTACCCTGGTTGGACAATCGAGTCCGTCCATGGTGCCTGGCCCGGAAGTAAGTGGATGAAACCCAATTTGGTTCTTATCAATGCTGGATTGTAGGTCTCTTCTTACTACCATGCTAGACACCCGATATCAATGTGATTAGGAACGACTGCAATGCGGGCAGTGATCCGAGTAAAGCGGGTGAGCGAACAAGAAGCCTAGTAGACGACATTTTGAACAGCGTCCCTGGCGTGACACTAATTGTGTCGACGCTCTTCAGAAACGCAGATGCCACAAGAGATGCTTGCACTGCAGACATCAGCCGACAAATCAAGGATGTCGTGGCTGAGTTCAAGGGCGCCCCTATTGGGCTCGCAGACGTACGAAACGTTATGTCCTTAAGCGATATTGGACCGGATAAAGACCATCCAACCGATGCTGGCTACAAGGTATTCGCTGGAGTCTGGTGGGACGCTATCAGCAAGATCGAAGACCGTATTCAAGAGCCAGGAAAAGTCAACACCATTGACGACGCGGCCGGTGGCGAGGCTAGACAGTGTAAGAAGGTTGCAGGTAATGCTGGCTTGCATGTTCAATCCCAGATGGGCAGCGGTCACGATGATGGCAACTACGTCCATAAGAGCGTTGCACGTGGAGCTCTGCAGAGTGCCAGGATCGATAAGGGCGACGATCCCAAGTCGATCAAGGATGCTATTCCCTGGCATATCTTCTTTGCCAACATCGTCAAGAGCCGACCCGAAAGCGGATTGAAAGGACTCCCTCGATGACTGGATTCGCGTCTACCACAATGCCAAGGACAAGAATGCGTACTGGTTCCGCCAAAACCTGGGAGGTGGCAAGTTCGGCAAGGCGGTCCAGTCCAGCATTGATATGAATTGCGATCTAGGTCCCCGTAAGTAGCTTCTGACACTCTGTGCCTATGTTTGTGCCTTGGCCCGTAGAATGATGCTGACCAGAGTCTGTTTAGGCTACGCGTTTGCCGATTTTGTACGTATGCCGAAAGACCACATGGGCACCGAACTAACAGATCGCGTCTACAGAACGAGGATGGCTTGGACGATTTCTTCTTCATCAGAGAAAGCGCTGCATGGGTTTCCATGAATTGAGGCCGAAATCATCCTAAGTTTGAAAGTATTGGGCAGTTGATTTGCGATCTCGGCGGCTACAAAGCAACTGATGTTCGCATCGCAGGTCAGTTATTCCATGAACTCTGTTAGTCACTGCGCGATGACACCGGTCACTAACTCCGCAGATAGACATTGACGGCGACGGAAGAGCGGACTTTTGCCTACTCAAATCCGCGGGTACCATAGCCTACGTAATCCGTGATGGCAGCAGGGTATGTCACTGACGATCCCAGGTGCTCTCGAAACGGTGGCTCAGACGACAGCCCTCAATGGCAAGGCTTCAGCTCAGTCGATGGTATCCGTGGCACTGTCTTTAATATTCCCCAAGGAGACAAAGCTGGCATACTTATTGGTAAGCCCATCATCGGATCACTATCTTTATCATGGTAACATGCTCTAACACAATGGGCAGCTGATTTGAATGGAGAGTATGTACTCCTCATTTCTTCGAATGATGGTGCAACAACCAGCGATGAGTCCAGTCTGATCACTGACATTCTTGCATAGTTTCCGTAATGATGTCATGTACGTTGGAGATAACGGCAACGTCCGTACATGGATCAACAACAGAGATACCGGCAAGGGTATAGTGCGTCTTTCAACGAGACAGTAATCATTGGAACCGGCTGTGCCAATACTCAATAGGTTCCTCATTGGAGATCCGCAGGTCTTACACACGTCGGCCAAACCCGCAACTGGCATCCAGGACCGCATCAAGTTCGGGTGAATCTACGGCTCAAACCGCTTAGACTACATCTATCTCAAGGAGCAAAAGGACTATTACGATGTAGTCGTCTGGCAGAACCAGGGTGCCGGTGGAACCAAGCTCAAGGCTGATGGTAACTATTACTGTGACATGCGCGGCTCTGGCAGCGATGAATACGTCTGGATCTATCAGGATGGCCACGCGGCTGACATCAATGTGAACATCCACTCGCCACCTGCATGGGGTCACAGCACCACGATCTCTCTGCATGTTCCAGGTCCCAGAAACGGTATTCACCTAGCTGACTGGACTGGCGATGGAAAATGCGATGTCATTGTACAAAATAGGGCAAACGGCGACGTCACTATCTTTCGAAATCTGTATGACGGCACCAGCAATCGCATCACTTTTGACAGTGGGTTGACCTATGTTAGTTCTGGATGTACCCAAGGCTGGGGTGTCGGCTTGAACGATCTCAGCATGAGATTTCATGATATTGAGTAAGCAAACCATCTCCCTCGTGAACCCTTTCTATGTCAACCTCATTCAGAACTGAAATCTCGCTAGTGGTGATGGGCGAGCCGATGTGTTGTGCATCGAGAAGAATGGCCGTATCACGGGTTGGCTTAATAGATTTCCCGCCTAGGAAGATGTTGGTCAGATCAAGTTATCGGAGGGATGGTAAGATGACCCTGCCGCATCGCCTATCATCGCCAACTGGTTGACAAGGGGTCGAGCCAACATCCGGTTCGCAGACGTTGAGAACTCTGGCCGAGCAGACCTTCTGCATGTTGACAAGTACACAGGAGCTGTCGACGTCTTTACAAACAATGGTCACAAACCGCAAGGAGGGAGTTCGTTCTCATGGACTAAACGTGGAACGCTTTACAACCCTATCGATCGCGGCGAGAACATGGTGCGTTTTCCATACTTACTGGTTGTAGTTCGCTTATTAATGCATGATAATCAGCGGTTTACGAACCAAGGTGGACAGGGTCGCGCTGATCTCGTCAAAGTTGATCCCACAACGAACAAGGTCATTCCTCTGATTTAGCAGCCCCTCAGAAAGTATCTGGCTAACAAGAAGCATGTAGGCATGGTCGTACTGGAACAAATGTGGCTCCAGCGGCGGAGGCGATAGCCTTGCAACAAGTAAGCAGCCAATATCATGTTATGTCTTACTATCAAATATGCTAACAGGCCTTGTCCACCTCAGCGGATCCTGGCCTACCTGTGACCGGTGGCGGTTCTGTAGTCAACCCACCAGATGGTGATTATCCCAAGGTCCACGATGGCTCCTGCGAAGGACCAGACTGTCATGGAGGTGTTTGCACTGGCATCTTGTGTGTGTCCGACGGCTGCACTGGATCAGGATGTGACCATAGAAGGTGTAGCGTGCCATCGCTCTGTATACCTCTTGGCTGTATCGGTAGGCCCTCCCACGACTTTCCACTCCGATGTGAAACTAAAGCTATCACTAGGCCCCGACTATATTGATGGCGTTTGTGTCGGATCCAGGTGCGCCAGCAGAGGCTGTGAAGGTTCTGACTGCGACTTCAGTACTGGCCGATGTAAAGGTGAACGCTGCATTAGCATAGGCTGCACTGGAAGCGACTGTGAAGGCAACGACGACGACGATGGAGGTGGTGGCGGTGGTGGCAGAAAAAAGGGTGGTAAATGTATGAAAGCCCTCAATCCACTAATCCGTTGCGGCATGACTAATAATTGAATCAGGTCGATGGCGTCGCTTCCAGCGTCACTCTTGTACTGGACCTGACTGTGTCGACGGTATATGCGTGGGTCCCCAGTGCTTTAAAAGCCACGATCATAATGGCGGCGGCTGTGAGGGCAACGGGTGTCCTCACGGTGGTGGAGGGGAGTCAGGAGGAGGTGAGAATCCTGATGAGCCATGCAGTGACAAGAAGACTGCCTCGGCATGCATCACCACCACGACAAGTACCACCGTCCCACCAGCTGGGTCGTAGACGACATGGAGTTACAGTGACTGCCAAACTAACATTGGCTGTTCCGTGACGGACTCGTCCTCCTCAACCACCATCAAAGCGACATACAACATACCAGGAGCATTCCCGGTGTCTACTGAGCATTTTGTCAAGTCGCCAAAGACAATCGCAAAGGAGTCTAACGTCTACACCTGGGATCTACCCGCCCATACCGACTTCATCGAGTGCACGCATCGGAACCAGGACCCTGGGCAAGGAATCAACCAAGCATATTGCGTTTGCTCGGGATCGACATTCGCCGAGTCTGTCGCCACCATTGTTACACCGTACAATAGCTGCGGCTATACTACCATGCCAACAAAGACGATCGACCCGAGCAACTCACTGCCTGTGTCAACCAACACAGCTGAATGTAAGGTCTGCACCAGTCTGACAAACTGCGTACCCGAGCCGACTAGCGATCCCAATTTGCCCGCTAGTGAAGCGTGGAGCATTACATTTTATAAGGTGCAACTCCCCCCTCAAATATCTCCTTGCAATCCGCTCCACAAGAAGAGGCTGTCTAACGCTTCCGTACAGAACCAGTGTAGGGATAACATGGCGCTGGGAGAACAGAAAGGCAGAGGTGAAAGAACCTGCCGTAAGATTGAAGAGGATGTCGATTGCTTCAATGGCTCGACTAACCAGTTTTCACGGGATCTTCATGTCTGCGGTTATATGACGGACGATTGCACTGCCGAACGAGATGATCAGATAGCGAGCATTGGCCCCATGAGTGGCCCAGATAACGGTCATGCTATCATCTGGACAGACGAGTCAGTTCAGAAGATCCGCTCTTGGAAGGTTATGCATGGCGACTGCTCTAAGAACTAAAGGTTGGATGTGTAATAGCTGGAGGGGTCGGGATCAACAGATAGTTCTCGTCATCGCTATCTCTTACATGAGCTTTACGTGTGTTAGAAAACTTACTGACCACAAGGGTTTCTGCTTTTTGAGTATACCGGCTTCAAATATTTGTCTTGCGGGAAAGCGATTTGCGGTGCGAAAAGAAAGTATTCAATTCCGAAGAACCGCTTACAATCGACTGGAAGCTAACGTACACAACACCCTGATCCTGGAGTTAAATTCGCTAAGAGGCGCCGGGAGGCGTCAAATGCCATCAAGTGGCGTCGAACGGTGTCGTGTCATATAGTTTTATTCTCCGGAGGTTTTTACTAGCAGCTGTAATACGACCACTCACACTACCTTAGTTATAACCAAAGGGAGCAATGAAGGTCCATACTCTTTTGGTCAGACTGAATTACGCGAGAACCTCGGATACGTGCAGATTTGATTGTGTCGGTGAATTTCCAAACCAACAGCATTCCACTTTTTGAACGCGTTGGCTGCTACAGGGTACTGTCCAACTCAAGAGCACGTTGGATCGAGAGAATTGTGGGTATTGGCTCAGTACTTATCATTTATCTCACTGGTGCGATCAGCAGGTTGCAGGTTGTTAGTAGCCGGGTACTCCAAGCTTCCGCGGCCGACTCCCTGTCAGAAAAAACACAGGGGTTGGCCTGTTGCGGTGGCTCTGATCTATTAGCGTGTCAATAGCGCCCATCTCGCTCCACCAAGTCAGGTTTAGCATTCCAATAGTCATTCAGCCGCCCCTGACTAGAGGACGCCATCACAGCCTAGAACATCCAAAAGAAATGCTTGGTTCCAACATGCGTGACCAAGCAGCTGAACAGGATGACCTGCTCTCATTTATTTACCTCCTCGCTCTCCTGCATCTAAAATCGAGATATTTGCCATCCCATTCTCTTTCTTCAAACCCGAGACATCTATACACTCTTAATTTTAATTACTACCGGCCCTTACACCAAAAATGCTCCGCAACACTCTCGTTCTTGCTGCACTAGCAGTTAACGCCGCTGCTGGACCTTGCAGACCCGCTACTTCTTCCACCAGGCTTCAGTCAAACACGATCGGATCAACCGAGACGACTTATGAGACTTCCTTCACTGAAGATACATCCACTGTAGCTGGTACCGAGACCACGGACTTAGTCCCCATGACTACAGTATCCATCGCCAGCTCAGAGGCAACAACCACAGCCGAGGCCACCCCTATCTCTGATATTGAACCAACAACAATTTCGGTAGACGGCTGTGTTGCAAGCCTCACAGCAGGAGGCGGCCCCCCTCAGCTAACCGACCGGATAGGTGACTGCCAGGAGTTCAACGTTGTCACCGTCAGCTCGTACGCAGTGTAGGTAACGTCCATATTGATTAGTAGAAAACTAGCTAACAATTTGCAGGACTCAAACAGTATACAAGCGTGGGAACGTTATTATTATCCCGACAAATGCTATTCGCCGTCGTGCTGAAGGCGATGCCGCTACAACTATCCTGCCGACGGGTGTTCCTGCTTATGCTACATACTGCAATGGTCCCGCAGCCTACTATGAGGCATGCTCTACTGCGTTTAGTGTCACTGCGTTCACAACTACAATTCCGGAGCCCACGACTACTGAGATTATTGTTACAAACTAAAATATCTATGGAGTTTGTACTCGATCGTTTTTGTTCATATGCCCCGAAAGTCCAGCCACTTAAGGACTTAAACAGCCGATGGGGTTGAGTTGGTTAGAAGATAATCGTGTTTATTCAATGTAGCGATTTCAAATGGAACTATATCTTACAAACTTAATATTATCAGTGAATAACCTCCACATAAGAGTATCTATAATATAGTACGGAATTACATATAAGCGGCCTGGAGACGTTCTTGAATGTCAGGACCAATTCCACAAGTATCAAACATAAGTCTTAAATCTTCTACGATGACACCTGGCACTTCCCAAGCAGCGAAATGTCCCCCTTTCTCGTGTTCAGCTTGATAAACAATCGGACCTAGTGTTTGGTTCCAAGACTTGGGAAGCAAGATCAGGTCGTTTAAAAATCGAGAGATTCCCAGAGGAACTTCCACATAAGCCCCTGCAGCAGCAAAGGCTGGTGGCTCACAGTGCTGAAACGTGTAGTAGACCTTACTGGAGGCATCGGGACCGGGCGTGGAGAAATAGTAGATACTCACCCAAGTTAAGATCTCTTCGTCGGTCCAAAGATAATCGTCGCTCCAGTCGTGGAGTTTCTCGTACATCCAAGCCAACAAGCCCACAGGGCTGTCTTTCAGTGAATAGCCTATCGTCATTGGTTTCGTCGATTGTAATTTGTAGTAACCGCTACCTTCTTTCTCAAAAGTAGCGGCTTGGGCAAGTCCTCTCTGCTCAATCTCAGTAAGAGGAGCTGTCAAGCTTTGTGCGTGTAGCTCTGGATGGGTCTCGGCTGTGGGCTGGCTTGGCAACGGTGTGTTGGTATGATGCGCCAGGCACCGGGACGGACCAAACAGCTTAGCCATGTACCGTGATATGAGACCCCCAACATCTCCACCTTGGATGACTACATAATTTAGTAAAACAACAAGAGCTATTGATGTAGGGAGAAACATACCGTAGTGGTGATATCCCAGAGTTTGCATAAGTTTATCATATACCTCCGCGTGATGCTCAAGGCCAAATCCCACCTAGATATCGTTAGGATTGACGTAGAGATTGTAACCATATCAGGGTATATAGATTTACCTTGCTAGGGGAGGAGAAGCCGAAGTCAATCAGACTTGGTGCCACAACATGGAAGGTCGGTCCAGCCTTGTCATCACCTTGAACAAGATGATCAATAATCCTGGCGACCTCATAAAAGCTTCCAGGCCAGTCATGGAGGAAGAGGAGGGGAATGGAGTCTGCTTTGATGCTCTTCTTGTGGACAAAGTGAATGTCAAAAATCCCAAAGCCATTGATGTCAATGGGAGTCATGAACTGAGGAAGCTCATTGAGCCGAGCTTCGACGTCGCGCCAGTTGTAGACAGTCTGCCATGCATTTACCAATCTTTTGATCTCGCGAACAGGTGGGCCTTTGGTCCAAGAGTCTTTCTCGAGATCGTCCTGGTCTGGAAAGTCAGCAAGAGCTAACTTTTGCATGAGGCGCTCTAGCCTAGAGGGGGGGATGTTGATCTGGTAAGGCTTGATGGAGGTCATCATGTTTAGAAAATCGAAATGAGATTTAAAATATTCAACTGAGGAAAAAATTTTCTTTGAAGAGTCTGGCTGTAAATGAAAAGGATGCAAATGGCTTTTTTTGTTGGTTGTATCGAAGAGTGACCTGCCTCTTATACACAAAACTGGAAGCAGAAGACGAATGTACAAGTCTAAGAGCAGCGATGTCAGAGACCTCAGGCGGACCAATGGTTGACTGACACTTGAACTGTGGCTTATCACCATGTCTGAAATTACGCCCACGCCAATCACATTCTCATACGAGACCCACACAGCTTACTCCTACATAACGACTGTCAGCAAATGGTAGTTTGTCCCTCAAGCTATCAACAGCAAGAACAGCAAACAACATGGAGACTTCTGGTTGCATCAGATATTGCTTGTGTCCACTGAAGCGATGAATCAAACGGGCGCGAGTGCGAGCAAAAGGCGCAAAGGCGCCCGTGGAATGCCCGAAGTCAAAAGTGGTTGCAGAACATGCAAGTCAGCAGCTCCAACCCCGCGTCCGGTTCGAGGAGGAACAAGTGACTAATGATTACAACAGGACTCGGCGCAAGAAGTGCGACGAGAAAAAGCCGGCCTGTTCCCGTTGTATAGAAGGCGGTTGGCATTGTGACTTTCTCTTCGCACCTATGCACGAACGCACCGCAGGAGGATCCACTGTGCTAGGCATGGTACAACCATACGATCCTCCCCCTCGACAAGAGAATGCTTTGGCGTCATGGACAGATACATGCTACGTCGGGTCGCTTACGAAAGTCTCTGGATTGCCGTCTCATCTAGGAAATCTCAATTGGCTCCAAGCAGGCCTGTTTGACTACTTCCGAGCTGTGTGCGCTCCTGAATTCTCATTGTACTTTCTGTCTGATGATTGGGAGCGTCTCATCCTCCAAACAGTATACAGCGAACCCTGGGCCCTTAAAGCTGCTCTGTCTATCAGTACACTCAGCCGAAATCATTACTCGCCGGGACAAATAAACCTCCTAGGTGCGTCGGCCTTCGAGTATGCAATGGTCTGTTATAACCAGGCCATCGTTACTCTAAATAGCACACTGGCAACATCAGCGAATGGCTCTTACCTTGCAGTAATTGGGGCCATTCTGTTTGTCACGATAGAGTTCCTACAACAGACATCCACATCGGCATATTATCCAAAAGGGGGAGTAGACCGAGGTTACATAGAAACCCATATACAAGGCGGATTGGCCATCTTGAGAAGTGTTCAACCTCAAAACGATCTGAAATGTTTGGAAGAAGCCCTAACCTTCCTCCAATACCAAGGACAACAAATTTATTCGTTCTACATAACAAACCAACACTGAGATCTGTGCATTGTTTATCTTAGAATTACTCCCAATAGTCTATTTTACAACATAACCTAGTCCTTGAGAATACATAAGTAAGCAATTCAGTATTTAATTTATTCGATCCGCACCATCCCTACGCCTGCCTGGTGCTTATTACAATACATGCTTGTGGTGTTTTCAGCCTGTGGTGGAAGTCCGTTTAGTAGACAATAACCCAAGTCGAGATCTCTTCATTAGTCCAAAACCAATCGACACTCCAGTTGTGAGGTTCTAGCTTGCTTTGCGTTCTTAGCTCTACTACCAATCTACCAGCAAGGGAAAGAGGACTAGGGTAGCTATGTTTTAATAGGTCTTCTCGTTTACTAAAAGAGTGCTGACCCATACTGGTTAGGCTCCAGACCCTGCTTCCTTAGCCAAGGTGCTACCCCGCTTCTACCTACAGAGCTGAACATCATCAACCTGGCGTGTCTAACATGCTGCATTTTCTTAGAGCATATCATTTTCCATCAACAATGTTAAGCCCCTTCTCTGCCCTTGCAAGATGTCATTAAATCTATCTCCAGGCTCTAGTCTGAAAGTACAGCCGCTAAAGGATTCCCAAGTTAACCCCTTTCAGATACTACAGACTTTGAGGGCTTCATTCCCAGCCCGGCCAGGTTCTATTCATTCATGCTCTTTTTGTGCGGTTCAAGAACTTGATCCACTGATTAGAGTGCATATCGAGCAGCAACTACATGATGTTGCAATTATCAAGTACCGTGGCTTAAGATGCATCCAAGGGGCTCTCAGTGGCTGCGCGCTTTTCCAGGAATTTATATCACTCCTTGTGCGGGAGCTAAATACACGTGGCTATGATGCCAACAGCCCTGCAGCTCTTATCGATCCAGAACGATGGGTCTGCCAGCTCCATTCAATGGTTTCCTTATCCCCCGACAGCCTTCAACGTATTGGAGTAACGTGGAAGAGTTCGAAAGACCAGCTACCTCTAATTAGCTCACGTCATCCAGGAAAGCCATATCCTATGTATTGGCTTATAGCAGAAGAAAGTATGTAGGTAACGGCCAGGCATGGGTCACTTGTGGGACTAAAGACTGCCTAGATGATCCAGCTGCGGAGACTGTTCGAGCGCGACCTTTTAGCCAAACATTTTCGTCACAAGAAGCAAAGCAGTGGGCCATGTCTCGTCTACATGTTTGCGAGGCATCGCATCACAACTGCCCCTCGGAGTCTGACTTTATGCCCTTGAGACTATTAAGACTTGTTCAATGCCCGGACGGTAGCCTTTGCGTGGCACTACAGGACATACCGAAAGGAGGCGACCATACCAGAGTGGGCCGGTATACAAGTCTGTCATACTGCTGGGGCGGTCACCAAGAACTTCAGCTGAACGCCAATACTGAAGTTACCTTAACAAATGGCATCCCAGTATCTTCACTACCTCAGACCTTACAAGATGCTGTTTTTGTGACCCACAATTTAGGACTTCAGTTTATCTGGGTCGACTGTCTTTGCATTCGACAGGACGATCCGCAAGATATTGCGCTAGAGATTGCCCAAATGCCCCAGATCTACAAGAATTCCTTCGTCACTATATCAGCTGCGAAAGCTAGGCACAGCAATGAAGGCTTCCTTCACGATATCTCTTCACCCCCTGTCTCCGAACCAGCCTTCAGATTACCTTTTGCCTGTCCTGATGGAAGGCTTGGGTCCGTCATACTCTCTAGTGGCTTGTTCAGATCCCCTATCAGTGAGCGAGCGTGGACACTCCAGGAGTATATCTTATCTCGTCGAGTCCTTCAGTTTACCGATGCTGGCCTGCACTGGACATGTCGGGAAGCCGTCGGGTTTCGGCAAGATGATGCTTGCCTCGCACTGGATTATCTTCTACCGTTTCGAGACTCCTACCATATGTTCCAAGGGCTTTATGAGAGTAATAGAGCTTGCAGACAGTGGATGAATATCGTTGAGGAATACACCAAGCGGGACCTGACATATGATCTTGATAAACTACCAGCGATTTCGGGTGTAGCTGAGGTTTGGGCACAAGCCCTCGATGATTCTTATTTGGCCGGAATATGGCTTTCGCATCTTCCTGGAGCACTTCTATGGACATCAGCACAGCCACATGAGCAGCTGCAGCAGCCCGCAGAATATCTTGCACCTACCTGGTCGTGGGCCAGCCTGGTCGGTCAGATTGATTGGTTCGATGGTAAAATGACTACGATTGATCGAAGAGTAGTTATTGTTTCTGGTTCAACCACCCCAATGTATCCAGGGGCTCGATTTGGGCAGGTCTCGTCAGGTTCATTGGTTGTTCGCGGCTACCTACAAGAGGCAGTCCTCACTGGCGAGCTTCCATCTACGCAATCGTCGTTTTCGGTACACCCTGAGAATGTGACTGGTGAGGTGCTTGATCTCGATTTGGCAACTACAGAGCTTGACTTTTGGGACGAGGTGTTGGAGGAAAGAACTCGGGGTTGTAGAGTATATTGCCTTCAAATCTGCCTTTTCGAGGAGGATAGCCGGAGTGGTCCTTCAGGGCTCATACTTGTCACACAAGACGAGATGACGTTTCGTAGGGTTGGCGTATTTGAATTTGAACCCCCGCAGGAAGAGGGAATGCAATCCCCTGAGGATTATAACGTCCTGTTCCAGCGGTATGAAGACACATTATATGTCCAGCGAAGGGCTTTCTGCCAGGCTAATCCGCGGACTATCACGATAGTCTAAGCGGAGAGACGATACAGTCAACCTGCCCGGATAGACTGGCCATTGAGTTACTGAGTCTGACAACTAAGATCGACATGTTTAATCTCTATTGACCAGAAATCAGCTCAAGCACGTTGATTTTCTCCGCTCGGCTTTGGCTTGAATCTGCGTACGGTATATATTTGTCTTGAATGAAAAGAAAAACTCTCGATAAGTCATTAAATAACACAAGCCCTAGTCCTCCTTCAATACCAAGAATAGCGACTCCATTTATTTCACATATCAAATCAACAATGAGATCTGTATATAGCTTGTCCCGATATTACTCTCATAAGTCCCCTTCGTAACACACACCCCAAGCCAGAAGCGTATATATTCAAGCTGGAAGTTAATGGAAAGGGGTTATAAACCTAGATCATCTGCTTGAAAGGCACCCGTTTGAGTTCATCTCACTAGTTGAAAGCGGCTGGCAATATGCCAGTTCTACTATGGCAGTTAAAGTACATAAAAGATTGATCAGCCTTGCGCAACACCATAAGTTCATGCCAAAGATTCAAGTTAGCTTCCTCGCCCTCCCTCTCCATCCGATTGAAGTGATTGATCTGTGTACCAAAGATCTCCTTGTGCTTAGGCGTGAGAGACCACTTCTCCAGCCGCTCTAGTGACTCCCACATACTGATGCTCCATGTCTTGCCGATTGGATTCCCATTATCGTCTTCCACCCGCAGATATCTATTGGAGAAGCATCCGAAGTTGTGACTGTTCTTTGTAAGCTCCTCCATTCCGCTGTCAAGAGTTGGCTTGATCTCTGTGTTGTATGATTTGATCTCTGCTGGTGTGCTGTTCTCCCAGACTTGGCCGGAGCGGATAAGGCAAAGATTTTCGTGGGGCTCAACAGAGATGAGTTTCCCATGAGAGTCTGACGAGGAGTCGTCGTCTTTGAGTGATGGCCAGCCGACTGGTTCAAGAGTATCAGTCTGTGATCTCGGAATGCGGTCTCGAGCCGATCCCCAATACTCATGAGTATCAGTCTCGCCACTCATTGACTCTGTGATAACTGAATAGCCCTCTGGAAACGGCAAAGCAAACGTAGTCTCTGTATCAGTAACAGGGACTGTATACAACTCTCTGAATGCTCCGATGTTGGAAGCAGGACATAGCTCTGCGTACCACCAATCTTGAGGCAATGGAGCTTCCCATTCTTTATAGCTCGCGATATCTTTCCAGTACAGAGTGAAGACTATGTTGCGATATCCACTGGAGTCTTTGAAACTCGATCGTACGTGGTGATGAGGACCTGATTTGGTATGAATGGCCCGGTGAATTGTGTCGATCGCGTCTGCTGGGTTGATTGGGGGAAGATATTGGATTCCGAGGTCGATTGTGACGATAGCTGAAGTCTCTTTCGGGAAGCGTGCGGAATGAGACGCTTGTTGGGGGCCTCTGAAGCAACGAGGATGATGGAGCGGTTGGGTGCGATTGACTTTGAGATGGTTTGGAATGGCAGGCTCCAAGCAGGGCCTCTTCTGCGCGCTGTACAAGTATCAATATACCTGTCTACCACCACAACCCAGTTTCTTTTTGTCACTTCAGAAACAGGTTGGCTCGGTTGAACATACCTCAAAACAGTCATGTTTCAGTTTCTGATGCTGGGCTAGTAGGCGAGGTGATTGTCCCTGAAGTTAGGATATTGGAAGCAGAACACCGATGAAAAGATTAGAATAATTGAATTAGGATAGAGAAATGCGTTCAACTCTCCAGATAAGTAATTCCATGTCATCTTGTTCAGTGACCATTCCTTTGCACCAAGTTAAGACGTTGATGCCGCGCCGAAAGCGGAATAGTTTTCCAGGGTGTCACAGTGTCTCCTGACGCTATTGACGCTGTTGACGCTGGAAGCGAGGTGGGTCAGGTCTAGACTAAAAGTTAGTAACCCGCGGGCTCGTAAAGAATCGCAGGAAGTTCTATTGCTCAACGTTGACAGTGGCGCCGAAGATAGCGCCGCTCTTGACGCTAATGACGCTGCGCACCGCATCGCTAAAGAATTTCATGTACTGTACCCGCGGGATCTGTCCGCGGGTAACCTGTCTAGCGCAGTCAATGGCTAAAATCTCTACCGGCATTGCAGGTTTTAAAGCATTACCTCCATAAACATAAAGATTCTAGTTTCTCATAAACAAATACAGCACTGATCAGTAAACTGCAAAGCAAATTATTGCCCTAGGACAACATGGATGCCATCCCTACACCAAACTCTTCCGGCGACAAACAAGACAAGGTCCGCATCTACGTCGTCCAGCGATGTCCCCGTCTCTTGGACCTCGAACACGGCGTGCAAACTGCAACTGAAGAAATCGCAAAAGCAGCAGATGCCGGAGCCAATCTCATTGCTTTTCCCGAAACATGGCTGACTGGATATCCTGCATGGGTATTCGGCATGGCCAAATGGAACGACCCCGAAGCGCGGAGTTGGTATAAAAAACTAGTCGAAGCTAGTCCAACTGCTTCAAGCTCTCACATCGATCGAATCAAGGATGCTGCGAGAGAAAATAATATTGAAGTTGTTCTTGGTTTCAACGAAAGAGGGAGAGAAAGCGGTGGGACTATTTACAACAGTGTCGCTATGATTGGACGAGATGGTTCTCTGCGGGGCCTCCATCGCAAGCTTACTCCAACGCATGCCGAGAGACTTGTCTGGGCAAATGGCGATGCGCAAGGTCTCGTAGCGTACGATACTAGCTTTGGCAGAATCGGTGCGGCAGTCTGTTGGGAACACTTCCACCCTCTCATCCGACACGCTCTACACAAGGAAGATGAACAGATCCATATCGCCCTGTGGCCGGATATGCCTTCGGCGCATCAAATCGCTTCTCGACAATATGCCTTTGAAGGACGATGCTTTGTTGTCGCCGCAGCTTCATATCTGGATAAAGAGTCTGTGCCAGCCGAGTTGTTGGAAGCCTATATCAAAGGTGCCGGGTCAGCGGATCTCTTCACAGGGGGCTCAAGCGTGATCGGACCGGATGGAGAGTATATTGCCGGTCCGGTATACGGTCCTGAGCCCCTTATTGTTGATATCGATGTCGGAGACACAATCGCTTATAAACATGACCTTGATGTAGCGGGTCATTATGGCAGACCAGATGTCTTTGAACTGCTAGTGAACAGAGAGAGTGATAGAAGATGAAGCAGATATATAGACCTCAAAACAGAGCTAGGTTCCATCCACGATGCTTGGAGACGTCTTGCCATGCGACTGTTCTTGGTCCATTGACCTCCCAAATCTCATCAAGAACGTCAATACATGCATCGACATTCTTAAACTTCCTCCACTTATTCATTGCTACCAATCTGTTCCGGATTACGCTAGCTTGCCTTGCATTCTCGGCTCTGCTGCCAGCGACAAAGAGAGGAAAGAGTAAAGAGCATTCGGCGAATGCGCCCTGAGGTATTCTGTCCGACAACGTCGAAATAGCCTCAATGTGTGTCGAAGTCCCTACAGGTATTATGTCTGTAACAATTTGCCGCGGAAAACGTTTCGTCAGAACTGAATCAAGGTATATAAATGCCGCGCTGCGGTACGTTTCGCTCAACAACGCGAGAGGCTCATCGCTCGTGATACCAGCTTTGCACCTCCACTCCGTAAGACCATTCGCAATATCGTAGGCCTTTTGTAGCACCTCGTCATCAGACTCAGTTGTGCCGAGAACACTTATCTCGGATAAGTAGAAGATGATCCTCGGCGCATAAGCGCAATATGGGTCTGCCAAAGCGTCGTCGCTAGACATCCAATAATCGCCAGTTAACAATGGCTTTCGATTAAGTGATATGCTCGTCAAGCTATCGTGGTATGCGAAGAAGCGAAGTAGCCATTTCGCTTCAAAGCTCAAGTTTCTTGAAGAGCGTATTGAGTCGAGACATGCTGCGGCACCGGCGACGTGACATGTCCAGCCAATGCTCGTTCCATCTGAGATGGTTTCCAATGCACACATAACCATTGCGATGGCGAGGCGCATTTCGCCTGTGAGGCTGTTGTCTCGGTCGAGAGAGTTTCTGAACGCTGTCAACACCCGACCACGGTGTTGGAGGGAGATGTCGTTGAAGTTCGGGTTGCACATTGCGAGATGTGTTGATGATAGCGCAGTTATGGCGTCCAAGAGAACTGGACAGTCGAAGGCCATTGGTAGTAGTACCGATATGAAGCAATTGTTCTCTGTGTTGGTAGATAGCATTTGGGCCAGGGTCGTCGTGTAGTATCGCAACATGTCCCGACGACCTGTGCTTAGATCTGTTGAGTGCCCATCATCCGGACGGACCAAATCTACGGGTAGGCTGATGCATGCCTGGCTACCCTGTGCAGGCGGTGACCTTCTGACTCTCCGGGGTGCTTGGTACTCGCATATGAGATTGAGTCGGGTACAGTCCCCACAAACAGGCATCCTCGTATCACACTTCTTCCTGCGCTGCCGACATGTCAAGCATCCATGCTGCTGTCGCGTAAAAGGTTTCTTAGTGCGCTTTTTTGTTGGCAATGCGGAGGTAGAGTCCGGACTGCTGGTGGATACTTGGGGGCTGGCCATGGCTGCATGTATCACGTTCGAGGTGAGATGGAAAGGGGAGAAGAGAAGATGAGTGGAACATGAATCAGCTCCGGGCTATACGCAATCTCCGCTAACACTGTACGGAGATGTCAAGTTCATTACTACCGGCTGGGTTACCCCGCACGTTGACCATAAACTCAATCAACCCGCTACCGGGGTCCGGGAAACCGTTAGTGTCTAGACTTACAAATTCATTCCTTGACCTCAGGCCAAACAGAGTGCTAGGATTTCTGGCGTCCTTTGCTAGCGTCTATCGCACCAAGAACTTGGAGATAAGCTTTCAGGCTACCCTTATCGCTCTTGACGCCCTTGACGCCGAAGGACAATCCCGGCTTCACCTTATCTATGGCTAGCATGACAACAACGTCCAGCGAGGCATCATTCTTATCATGACTCTCAATTCAGCATTTACATAAATTTAACGTGTCAATATCTGGCCTATTTAGATGTCGCCAATCCACATCGATTGCACACGCATACTATGCCATGAACCTCCTCCATCGAGCCCCCTTCTATCAGTAAACAGATCCTCAGTAGTCCTTGCTGCTTCTTTACCGTTTCTTTAATTGGCCCTGAAACTTGGACTTACAACGTTAGCCATGAAGGGCGACTCGCGCGACACAATGGCTCCGTCGGGCATCGGCTCCGTCGTCTCGTGTGAGCCTTCACCTGACTACAAACCTCAGAACGAAGATGTAGACTATCCACAAACCCACCTAAAGAAGCGCTTCACACTGCTATCCACGATCGCATTCGGCTTCACAACTATGAACTCCTGGGTCGCCTTTGCTTCGGGTCTCGCTGTCCCTCTCTCATGTGGCGCTGGACCAACTCTAATCTACGGCCTTCTCGTCGGTGGCATCATCATGACCATCATCGCAGCAGGGTACGCAGAGCTTGCTTCTGCCTTTCCATCTGCAGGTGGCCAGTACCATATAGTGTACATGACGTTCCCAGCTTCAAGCCGCCGCTTTGCAGCGTTCTTTACGGGATGGATGTCAATTCTATATACCATTGGGGCTACAGCGTCTTGCAGCTTCTTTATTGCACAGTCGATATTGAACCTGGTTACTTTGTGGAATGAGACGTATGTCGCTGAGAGCTGGCATGTGTATCTCGTCCATATCTGCCTATGTACTATTGCTTTCTTGATTGCATCGCGGTGCCCCACTGCCATTGGAAGCATTGGTGTTTCAGTGCTCTGGCTATCAATCATCGGCTTCGTCGCATCGCTTGCAACACTACTGGCCGTGCAAGAAGTCAAGCAGCCTAGCGAATTTGTCTTTACAGAATTCACAAACGTTTCCGGTTGGACCGATGGTTGGGCTGCCATGATTGGTCTCGCAAGCTGTCTTTGGGCCTACTGCGGTATTGACGCGCCGAGCCATCTCTCCGAAGAGGTCGATAATCCGAGCCGAAATATCCCCATCGCTATTCTAACAACTATCATACTCGGGATCATCACTGTTATTGCTTGGAACATTGGTCTGATGTATGTCATCAAAGACGTTCAGGGACTTATTGCTTCGGGTGCGCCTATCATGGAAGTCTATAATCAGGCTCTGGGCTCAAAGACTGCAACAACGATCTGGGCAGTCTATTATATCCTTGTCTTTTATCACATCATTCTCAACCTTTTCGTCTTCTCATCTCGAATTTTGTGGTCATTCGCACGAGACGGCGGTGTTCCTTATTCTCGCTATGTCTCTCACCTCCAATGGTCCAACCCAGTCCGCGCAACAGGTATCATGCTTTTTCTCCAAATCATCATCGGTATCCTCTATATTGCTTCGAAAACTGCATACAGCAGTTTCATCAACTTGACTCTGTTCGCACTCAACATCACTGTTGTACTGCCCCAGTCTGTCTTGTTATTCACTGGCCGTGATTCGTTACCGAAGCGGGCATTTTCGTTGGGCAGATATGGTTATCTCGTCAATGCGCTGGCAACAATCTCCATGCTTTTCTTTAGTGTCGTGTTCGCATTCCCTGTTGGCCGTCCTGTAACTCCGAGTACCATGAACTATTTGGTTGTCATCTTCGCACTTAGTCTCATTTTCATTGTTTCGTCGTGGCTGTTGGGTCTTTCCAATCGTTTTACCGGACCATCGGAGGGAACGGTACATATTTAAAAAGACATATCCTTATAATGATTGAAAGACTTGAATCTTATCCCGTTAGACACAAGCGACCCATCGTAGCAAGTACTATCAGTGAAGTACTTTCATGTCGTACTCCAGGGTATGAAAACTCCACTGACGAAAGGCAAATCCCTCAGATTGGTGTTCTGACCTTTGAAATGTCAGCAACTAGTCTGTATGTAGACTAAACCGGGGATTTAATTCGATAATTCATTTCGGTTATGCAGTCTTACAGCCTCTATTATTAGACGTGTCAGAAATGGACATGGTTGTGTTCATGGCCCAGTCAGTTCTCCCCTTCCGCTCAATTCAATGTCAACTTTCCTTCCGCATTACCTAGACATCCACAACGCGCCTTTGTTCAAGATGGATCAAAATTGGAAGCCCTTTATGAAGTCTACAGCAGATGATTGGAGCAGCATACCTGACCCTGTTCAACGAAAGCGGATCCAGAACAGGCTATCGCAACGGGCGAGACGTACGTACACTAACGCATCTCTTACTCAAGCTAATGGTCAATCAAGGTATGCGGGGAAAGAGAGCGATAGCTCGACGCGACAGTGAAACGGTAGACGTGGGCGGTTCTTCTACAGATAATACCAGTGACCCCAATCGACCGCGATCATCAGCTGAGGGCTCAAGTCTGACTGTAGTGGACACTTCTCACTCAGAACCATTTCATGCACAACCTCCACAAAGCCCATTGGTAGATAGTCACTTCATTATTCTTACAGACATGACCGCTTGCGCCGCTCTCGCCATCATCGCTCAATGTCTCGACCTTGATTGCCAATCAAGACCAGGCTTCCATATACAAGCCTCGATTACAAGTCTCCCCTCAGCTATAGCACCAACCCAGCTACAAATCGTTGTCCCGCACAAACCGTACCTGGACATGTTGCCGTGGGCTTCGTTACGGGATAGACTTCTCAAGTCTGTGTCGGTTATCAATGAAGAGGAGTTTATGGCTGATATGCGCAGTGGAAGCTTAAGAGTTTGGGGTAATGTGCCGTGGGATCCAATGGGTTGGGAAGTCAGCGACGAGTTTGCGAGGCGCTGGTGGTTTTTGATAGATGGAAGTATTGTAAGAACGAGTAATTTTTGGAGAGCGCAGAGAGGAGAGACACCGCTAGCTCTAGTCGCGGAGTGTAATTAGGTGTGAAATTTATTGCCTTTCGTTGGTCGACATGGGGGAGGTGCTAGTACTGCATCCTGACACGCCACGCTGTTTCTGACAATCATACAACGTGAAGGTCAGATTGCTTGCATGCATCCCCACCTGACTGACCACAGGCCAAAACATATTTGCATATAAGTACCTTTGTCGCCCTGTTCGATTGGAACTAGTTAATCAAACAATTTGACTCAAGCATCATTCTTTTCCAACTCGCAACCCCCCAGACTTCTATCAACACCTTACATGACACAGCTATGGGCGCCAACTTTAGCCAACTATTTCCGGGAAGACCTACTTTTACCGAAGAGCACATACCGTCTTTGGATGGCAAAGTCTTCCTCGTCACCGGCGGAACCAATGGAGTCGGTCTCGAGCTAGTCAAGATACTTTATTCCAAGGGCGGCACAGTCTACCTCCCATGCCGTTCCGCAAGCAAAGGAGCACAGACGATTAAGGACATCCGAGCTTCCCATCCTAGAAGTAAGGGCCAGCTGAAGACTCTGCCTCTCGATCTCAATGACCTTGAATCGGTGGCCGCTTGTGCCTCTGCATTCCTGGCACAGGAGACTCGTTTGGATGTCCTGTGGAACAATGCGGGTATAAGCTACGTACCCCATGACGAACTCACAGTTCAAGGGTACGAGCCCCAAATGGGAGTGAATTGTCTGGCATCCTTCCTTCTTACCCAGCTGCTGCTCCCCATCTTGAAGCATACGGCCAGTATATCGTCCGGTCCTTCGACACGAGTCATTTTCTTAGCTTCGGGAATGGTGGACATGTCAGCACCGCCGGGAGGTATACCATTGGACGAGCTCCATCCTGGCAATCAATCCAAAGACCTCTCACGGAACTACACTATTTCTAAAACTGGAAGTTGGTTCCTGGCGTCTGAGTTTGATCGGCGTATGCGAGCAGACGGGGTTGTGTTCGTTGCTCAGAACCCCGGGAATCTAATGACCAACATCTGGGACCGTGTTCCATGGCTACTTAAGGCACCTATCAAAATGCTATTACATCCACCTAAGTATGGTGCCTATTCGGAACTTTGGGCCGGGCTCAGCGCCGAGATCAAGCTCGATGACGGTGGCCGGTATGCTGTGCCGTGGGGGAAATGGCATCCAAGTCCGAGAAAGGATCTTTTGGACAGTTTGAAGACCAAAGAGGACGGGGGATCCGGTATTGCATCTGCGTTTTGGAAATGGTGTGATAGGGAAACTGAGAAGTTCCTCTAAGGGCCTCTTTAATTATGCTCTACTGGAAGTCTTTCAAAGACTGCTTGGGTCTTGATCGGCTTAAGGGATTACAGACCTTCTGTAATTCTTTATAAGCCAGGTAGATTCAAGAGGTTTTTAACAAAAAGCAGGCGGAAAGTTCATGTGTACTCAAAGCGTGCGAAGATCCTGCGAAGAGCTGTCAATAGTTATTCTAGTGAAAGTAGAGGATTTCCCGGCATGAGTACGGACAGCATCTCGGATGTAGTTGACAACGGGAATTCATTCTATCACAAAGGTGGTGCCATCAGCCACAAGTCTGAATCGTCCTTGGCTAGGCGGATGTAACCTACAGGGAAGTATTCTGTAAGCACTTATCTACAGATGGATACTGAAACGCCAAGAATTCAAATAATGCCTCAAAATGTTACTGTAGGTGTGTCCGTTCTACACCGCTACTTTATATAGTGTTTGTAATTCTGATAAAATGTTCTATTTGTCCCTTCATAATGTACTGGGGCTTATTAGACTATACCTCCCGCCCAGTCGTATCCTGAGAGTTGGTACTAAGTGATAAGAGCCAACTACTTAGTATGGCAATCGATAATGGGCCCTTCGAACGCAACATCAGAGCCTGTGTAGCGCGGTATCTCGAAAACCGACCTAACTGCAATCGATGTATTGTCGACGAAAATGACCACTATGTCCCTTTTCCCTACAGCGGACCGGAGTCGCTCGGTCCGCATATTGACTACAGAGGGTTGATGTCATACCCTAAGTTATGCGGTGTAATGAGGAATCATGAGATTGTTCACACAATGCGTGAAGACCCTTCGTGGCAGTCAAAACCACGTGGTTGCCGCCTACGCTTTGGCTTGGTTGAACAAGAAACTGCCGATGATGGTGACAGTGATGATGATGATGAAGATGAGGGTGCGGACGAGGACGACTGGGTGACCTGGGAGAGGCGGAAAATCGATGGGAAAATCAGGCAGAGGGCGGACCTAACGTCAGTTGACCCATGCGTCTGTCTAGATGACAATGGAGTTGGCACAACATATTTGCTAAGCTTGGGTCTGCTGATCAAGACGCTTCCCGACGGCCACGTGGTTCAGGTTACGGTGGAAGAAAACACAAAGAAGACCCGGGTGCAGATGCCCCCAACATTGCATCGCGACAACTTTGTCACGCTCGCCAAGGTGTTCAGCCTCATGGCTATGGCGCTGGAACGCATCGACTTCCTCGGCGTTCATGAAGAGATGGAACAACTACTCGAGAAAGCCAATGCGAAGATTCAGAACCAGCTCCTACGAATTCTGGCGACCATGACCAATGACACTGAGTTGCAGATCGCGGCGCCAGTGTTACCGTTCCTACCTCTCGATCAGTTGTGTGGAGATGGCCAGGTCCTCACTCTAGAGCAGTTACAACACTCAGTGTTCCGAACCACGCCGCATTATGCCATAGCTCCAAGGGACAGTTTCCATCGAGGCTCATGCGGTTGCTTGTTTCCTGGAGGGCGGGCTGAGACAAACGAAGAGTCGGAGGTGCCAGAAGCGAAGATAATTCCTCCCCGATTTTACGATGCCCATCGGAGGAATGAGAAAGATCTCAAAGACAAGATCGTGGCTGTGTCTCCCGACAGCTATGTAGCGCTTTCGTACCCTTGGATTCAATACGGGTCTGAGGACTTGGAAAGTATCATCGCAACAGCTCACAGTGTGCTGAAGCACCGATACTACTGGGTCGATCGGTGGTGCATAGACCAAGAGAGCTATGAGGATAAGGAAAGAGAGGTACCAAAGATGAAGGACTACTACTCCAACGCTGTTTCCACATTGGTTCTTCCAGGAATGGCATTCCCTATCGAGCTCGCTCAATTAAAGACCGTTGGTTCCAAGGTTCAACTATACGATGCAGATTTGACTCAGAAGGTCAAGCAGATCTGGGAGAAGTGTCAGTGGAAGCAGCGCTGCTGGACATTGCAGGAAACAGTGATGAGTAAAGAATGCATTTTCTGGAGTGGCCATGATGACGCTCCCTTCATTGATTGTTCGCAGCTCATCGGCATTTTATACAGTTCACAATTCGGCAACCAATACATAAACGCTCTACCCTACTCAGCGTTCGATGTTGGTTACGTCGCCAAGTCATCATTGCTCAGCAGGTCGTTGTCAATCTCGGACTCAACGAACGAATCTATCTACCAAGATCAATTGTTAGATGTTCCAGCCATGGCACTGTGCTTGATGCGAACGCCTGCATGCGCCCTTTAGCAGCCCTTCTCGACAAGCTGCGTGGTCGAGAGGCTACAATGGAGTTGGATGAATACTACGGTATATTCTCCATGGCATTAGGCCAGCTTCCTGTGGTGGATTATAAGATCGATATCTCTACACTTCTGGCCAGGATGGTGAACTGTGGTGCTTTAGGTGCAAATCTGCTCTTGACAAGCACCGAGCAAGGCTCTGTCATGAGTGCCGCGAAGGGTAGTTGGATGCCTCGCAGATGCATCCAGCGAGAGCACTCGTTGATGGGTGGTGAAGTCAACGCGTTACAACCCAGTATCTCCAACGATGCGATGGTCTTTCAGGGTTTCTCCGTTGACATAGAAAATGGGAATGACGGGCGCGACCATTTTGCTATGGGTACCCAGGTAAAAATGGTGTACCTCCGTCCGAACAGTGGACGTGGAGATGAGATTATGGAAGTGCACATAAGTGCTATGTTAACTCGTACCTTGGAGAGAGCTCGAAACTACATTCTACTAGCAGCAGCTGACTGGCGATATGGAGAATCTACTAGTGGGTTACTACTTCTATCGACTGAAGAGCAGAGCCCTGGAATACATTGTCTAGTAGATGCTGGGGTGGTAGACAACCTTACAACAACGTTTCTCCGAAACGGGAACATGGGATCAGGTCAGGAATTCCATCTGGTTTAGTTTTATTTATTTAGATTTCGTATTTCCAGTTCCCTCTCAAGTTGATGTACAGCTTATTATCTCTATGGTGCTTCGGTGCGTTACGGTAACTTGAAGTCACCCTGACCAGTGACTAACAGCTTGGATGAGCCTATAGCCTATTATGTTCACGCTGACCTTTGAGATCTTGCAACATCATATCGGTTTCAGTAAAATGTACCATCCTATTAGAAAGAAGAGGAGCCTTCTCCTTCGACTACCTGGTAATTCTAGATCGGGCAGTAACAGTCGCCATCGCAGCAAGGGTTCTCAACATAGTTAACCGTAAGCTGTCCGTTGTCAACGTTGTTGCCTTCTTCAGTGGGAATACTACCACACTGAGTGCAACCATGGTCGAGAATGCCCTGAATCAATTCGACGGCCCGATCCGTGTTGCCGCTAGCGCCGCTCTGGAAGAAGGCGCAGATAGATCCCCATTGGCCGCCAGAGCAGGCAATTTGGACTGTGCTATGTCAGTTATGTAATCTTCGGATTACTTGATTTGATACATACCGCCCTCATTCCAATGATGATCGCCTTGTCCGCGGGCTTGTAGTTGTTTCGCTTTAGTAAGGACAGTGTTCAAGCTCGCGCTGTTGATGTTGCACCAGCCTGATCCTCGGCAGTTGATGCCGAGTGCTGAGGCAGCGGATAGGAGGGTGGTAAGAGTGAGGAGGGTATGCATTGTTATGTATTGTTCGGTGCTTGGAAGAGATATAGAGTGTGATGAGGTTGTGTCAGGAATTACTTGTGTAGGGACGATGAAAAAGTTTGATAATTATGAACGGAGGGGACAAAGTGCTCCTTAAGTAATTCACAGAGTTGTACCAAAACGCCGTCTAAAAGAATAGTGACGCCCATTTCGGCCTTGCCTTCCAGGAGGCTGGTGTTAGCAGCACCTCATCCCAGATGTTGACGTCTTCATGACTCCAAAGACAAGTGCTCGTTCCCTCGGCCGACGTCAACCAAAGTTCCTTTCTAGGATTGGCAATGATGAGATACTGTACAAGTACCATGGCGATCCTTTTGATGTATCAAGGCCTCGGGGACCTGCCAAGAAGAGGATCTCGTAAGTTAGTGTTTTGTCCAAACCAAGGATTATTCCTCCTCTAGTGTCGATCAAGTACCTTGTTAGGGCTATGACTGCCATGTCTCTCAAATGGCCGTATACCAAGGCTCACAAAGTGGAGTTATCTTGATCGGCAGTGTGGGTGGATAAACAGTTACGCCAAGGCCAGCTGCCAAGAGAGTGGCTGTATACCGTTTCTATGTAGACAGACTTGAATGCTACATTCATTGTATTTCGTTGCACTACTGTGTCAAGAGATGTTATAAATCATCAGATATCTGGAACCTTACCTCAGTCAACAAACACTTGCAAATCTTCACTCTTACCTCCCCTTTACCACCACAAGCAACAGGCTCACGCTTCTATCCTGTCTACAAATCTCTCAAGATGCATTACTCTACTCTTACTACCCTTTCCGCTCTTGCCACCATGACATCCGCTCTTGGAATCAATTGTCGCGGCTCAGGATTCTGCTCTGGTGGCGCCGGCAACCTCATCAATCTCAAGGCAATTGTCGACAACATCCAGCCACGAGACCGCCACTATGAGACAGGCCAGCAAGTCGCTTGTACTGGCGACACCTGCGCTTTCTTTCAGAGTAGCGCAACCGGTACCGCTGATGATGTTTCTTGGGCTCTACAGGCCCTCCTTGACCACGGCTGTAAGAAGTGTGGTTCTGTGCCCATGCAGGATGGCAACAACGTCGATGATGGGCAGTTGACGGTAAACTTCGTCAGCGACCCTAGTTGCCAGGGAGCTTGTTAGGTCTTTGCCTTGATTTATGATGAATAGAATCGATGTAACTTGACAGTAAAGACAAGGAGGGGCAGTCTTGGCAAGATTTGGAACAGATCTGACAATGATCACTGTTAGAAGGCTAGGATAAGCAACCATTCTTTAATCCCAAGTCACTTTTAATCCCGTATCTTTGAATGCTGTGTCCCCATTGGTCAATTGAAGACATATGCCTCTCACCTGATTATCCGTTCAAAATCTCAGAATACCTTGTTCGTCCACTCTGACTGTCATTTGCTTATCAAGGCGTAGACGTTACGAAAGCCCTGCACGGCTCATCAGAGCCGAAAGCTGGCCCACCTATACAACCTCAAGTTGTTCTTCACTCAACAAGTTCACGCTGATGATCAACGGCTTTGGTCCCTTTGTGGATATATCTGATCCTACTAGGTAGGTGGATCTTATAAAGGGATACCCGGATAGGCATCAAGATTCAATTGTAGTACGATGTATCTAGCTATGCTAGGAAGGCATACCAGGACGTTCGACAGGGACCAATCAGGTGGAGGATTAAAGTTTTAGTAGGCGGCCGTCCCTTGCCCCAGACCCGTACGCCGCTTACATGTGGAGACAGCGGTTGAGACAAATGTCGTCATCCAACCAGACTGTCCACATACCATACAGCAACTTGCAGTTCTCAACAACTTCATCCTATGCCAAGACTATCGATAACTTCAGCTCCTCGCATAGTCATTGTCGATCACGGTAGCCTGGCCCTAGATCGACGTCATGCCGAGCCAGGACGCATATTGCACTCTGCTGAAGTCTCCCAAAGGGGCATTTCGTGTAGCCGGCATATACGAAAAGGACCTTGATGAGATCTTTTCCAGGCAATTATCGGTGACTAGAGAACGTCTCACATACTCAGACTCGGCACCGTCATTCGGTGTGACGATCAGAAGCAATGCTCCAGCGATGTCTGTCAACGTTGTATCACCTGCCCTTTACGGTGTCAAGTAGCCCATAGTAAGGCTGGCTTGTTCGGAGATCTTCACGCCCCTACGACAATTCTGCCCGCCTCTAGTAACGGTTGGATATTCATCACGCATCTCCTTGTACAATGTAGTTCGACTGAGGAGTTCCAAGCTCCGGATGTATGTCAGCCTGTTTACTGTAACAATTGGAGACAGAATGAAGGCATAAGCAGTCCATACCCTGTCGACAGATAGGTATAAGTATTTGCCAGCTGCCGCGTTACAGATTTGTGTCTGTTCTCATCTCAGCACATATTACCTTCCCATCAACCATATCTATCACTTTAAACAAACCTCAATATGCATTTCTCAACATCGATTCTCCTCCTCACCTCCACAGTTGCAGGTTTAGGCATCAACTGTCGTGGCAGCGGCTTCTGTGACCTCACCTTCGGCTCCAGCATTGGAGATATCCAGGACCAGATTGGCATCCTCGTTGCCGATGGCCAAGGCGACAGACACTTTGATACCGGAGGTAAGACTTTGCTTGTCATCTCTGCCAAGCGGTGGTGCTAATACTTGACTTTGTAGCTCAGATTGCTTGTACGCAGGGCAACCAGGGTAGCATTTGTGCTTTCTACCAAAGTGGTGCCTCTGGATCAGCAAGAGACGCGTTTGGTCACATTCAGCAGATCATCGACCACGGGTGTTCGCTTTGCGGCAGTGTTCCGACACAGGAAGGAAACAATGTGGATGATGGGCAACTGACAGTCAACTTTGTCAGTGACCCATGCTGTGAGGGGAACTGTCACTGTTAGATCTTTCCATTGACATAAACACTTGAAATAATCCCTTGAAGTATTGCAAATGTGAACGATTACAAATAGCAAACCGTTCATTTCGCATACTCCACAGAGAAGCACCTTAAAAGATCTTTACCGTTTCACAAGATATTGCACGGCCTCATATTGGCATCTTGAAATGATCACATTATAATTCTCATCTGAGATAGCTATCTCGTTTGAACCTCTTCATAGTACTCGGGATACGTTGTCTTGTAGCCCAAGACGAACCGTCCCCAATAAGCCGCTCCCCATAATAGCAATCGGCTGGCAACCTTCCCCAGCCACTCCCAAGGCAGGGGTACAGCCAATGGTGTATCCCCATCATGAAGGAACACCATCAGCTGGAAGAAACTGGGCGGTCTTCCTGCCTCTCTGCAATCATCCAAATAACCGAAGAAATTTCTAAAGAAGCGCTGCTCAGCTTCATAAGACTCCGGTGACAAATGGATGTCAACCACTAGATCTTCCGTCTCGGAAGCATTCTCGAAGCGATGATATCGACCTGCTTTGATTGATGCCGTGCGCTGACCATCAGCCTCATCGGAAAGAACAGCAAACGGTTCTTTGCCAATACCACGATAGAAGTTGCCCTTGCCGGATTGGAGACGGAAGAATTCGTCTTGGTAGATGTGGTAGTGGAAGGGCGGGGCGACAATAGACACGCCGTGTTCCTTTGTAGTTGGGGGAATGCGATGTGTCATGATGTAGTCTGAGTTTGGTTTCGCAAAGGTGACAGAAGACCGACCGGAGTCGTAGGTAATGGGGTTGTTGGCTGTATTGTTTGTGCGCGCTGGTTGCGCTGATCGAAGGAAAGAGAGCATGGTGAATGGACCACGAATTCTGGTCTCGTGAATGTAGTCTTTTGCAGCTTTCAATGGCGCCAATGCTGGCAGTCTTGGTCTGATCTGCGAAGCCAAGTTGGGATCAACTGCAATCTTGAACTTCAGATCTGTTAGAGATCTGATTTGGGGCTCTTGCTGGTGTTGAGGTTGTCTGTCGGGAAAAGCACTGGTTGCGGCCCGACAGCTGGAACCTAACCCCGTATATCCGCTGGTCGTCAATGAGAAGCTTTGGGGGGGAATCATTGAATGAATGATGCTAACTGGACGAGACTTTTGTCAACATGGGGAGAGGGTGAGTCAATTAGCCTTGGATTAACCGCTTAGCTATCACTGCCGTGATTTGAGCGTCTTACTGTTCATGCAAGTGTATTGTGCTAACATAGATTCCACGTCGCTAGTACTTATCTGGCATAGTGGAACAATGCTCTCAAGCGACAGATACCCTGTACCCGACATCATATCGACAGACATAGGTGCATTTCGAGTCTTGTCCTTTTACCATACACTCTCAGTTTATCCATAGTTAACCTTCTTTCAATTGCTTTCATGCATTCAATCAAGACATCTTTTTTGTGGTCCTCAATCCCTTGGGTAGACTCCGACTCTTACTGGTACAAGCATAGTGTACCGTATATCACGGATGCGACCTATCTTCACACGATAGATGTCTGGACACCAAAGACAGCTGAACAAGCATCAGTCCCAACAGACGACTACATACCTAACAAAAAAGGTCCGTGGGTAGTTTATATCCATGGAGGTGCTTGGCGCGATCCTCTTGTCGACTCATCGTCCTTTGAAGCTACCGCTCTGAAATTGCTTCAAGACCAGGATACCCGAATTGCTGGGATCGCCTCTGTCAATTACCCACTCTCCAGCCATCCGAATCACCCCACGCATCCCTCCCCGCCTAATGATCCCTCAGAGCCAATTAATGTCGCCAGAACTGCAAAGCATCCTGATCATATCATCTCGGTACTCTCGGCTATTGCATTTCTCCAAGAGGAACTTGGCGTTGCCCATGACTATATTCTATCTGGACATAGCTGTGGCGCGACGTTGACTTTTCAGGCTGTGATGAACGCAGATCGATGGGCGACAGCTGGAAGTTCTGTGCCAAAGATAAAGAAACCCTCCGTCATTGCACCCTTGAACGGTCTCTATGATCTGGCTGCTTTCATCGGCAATCCGCCCGACACCCACAAAGCTCTCCAGCCTCTCTATGTCGCATTCACAAAGAACGCCTTCGGAGACAATGCGGAAGTATGGAAAGCTGCTTGCCCTACGGTTGTCTCCAATTGGATAACAGAGTGGCCCGAGGGAAAAGCTGTCTTCATTGCGCAAAGCAAGAACGATACCCTGGTACCATATTCTCAGACCGAGCTTATGAGAGCTCACTTAAAGAGTAACTCGAAACTAGAAATTTTCGAGATGCCGGCAAGTGGTGACCACAATGACTTGTGGAAGCAGGCAGATGAGATTGTGGAGATCATGAAACAGGCAATTGGTTATGCAATCAGAGTGTAGAAACGCTATTCATAGTAGCATCGCTGGAAGAAACACCTATAGTGAAGCTTGTTTATCTCTATTGATAAAGAAACATTGTTTACAACTGTTAGAGATATTCTCAATCGAAGAAGAGGGTTTTATCGAAGAGAATGGAAAGCTTACGTGTGGGTCAACAGCGCCTGTTTGCTAGCTGTCATTGGCCGAGACAAGTACCGACGGAGGCTTATCTAAACGCTATCGGCATCTGCCGATCTTCTGAATTGTCAATCCAAACCTTGGACATGCGTAACATAGAAGGATCGTTCTCCACAGAGAGTACGATTCAGCTTGACTCAGCTCTCCACTTGGTTCTTCAGTCTTTGACTTCGATTGGGGCACAACCCACGAGAATACTGATCTTTAGTCACGGTAATTGTTATCCGACTTCCCCCCAAGCAACCTAAGCCTCGTTTTGGTTCAGCCTGTTCCTTTGAGTCCGACATAGGAGCAGATCATCACCTGTGCCATGTTCTGCACCCTGATATATAGCATCCTTCGGCTCTTGGAAAGACATTGCATTGTTGGTGACATCACGAGATCCTTCAGCTGAACGTCTGGAGCTATATAAGTGTATGGTTCTTGCAATACTCCTCTTTTCACAAACCTCTCAGCTCAATTTGTTCTGTCTTCTCTCTCAAAACACACATTCATCCCTCAACAATGAAGTTCCCAATCGCGAATCTGTTTACTTTCTTTGCTGTCGCCTCCAAGGTATCAGCTTGGTATGGTCGGTATACCCCCTCCTTGAAGAACTCTATCGTCTCTGACCTATCCAGTCCAATTCCTCAACGAGGACAACAAATGTGAAGTCGGAGAGCAGACAGAGTACCAGCTCCTTATAGGCGACAAGTTTGACTGCTATAACTTCGGTGCCAGTTACAATGGCATTGAGTGCGATCACTTCAGGGAAGGTGGGTTTGAGAAATTATGGGAATGCAAGGGCACGTTCATCGCCAAGTCAGCTAAGCCCAAGCATGACACGGGCTCTGTCTGCAAGTTCTATGCTGCCGTTGACTGCCAGGGTGTTGGTATCTCTGGGGAGGGCGGCTCGTGCGTTCCTGTAAGCCAGTTGATTGGAGATGGAACCTCTGTTCCTCAACGTATTGCGTCTTTCAGATGTGTAAGTTGATCGATTACCCCAGTTGAGTCGACTTCTTTGCTAACAATTTGGATCTTAGGAAAACACTGAGGAACCCGCTTAAGAAACACATTGGTACCAGTCGATGCCTATAACAGGTCGAACTGATAGAAGCTTGGTTACGAAGCCCCTTACAAATAAGAGCGTTGTTTGACAGGAGTAGTATTTATAGTGAATAGAGCGCTTTTCGTGCAATATGCCTATATAGTTCTTATATGTACAAGGCGTTTAAATTGCATTATTCGACTCATATGGCCATGCGAAACTTGAATAAATCTCCCTTGAGAATTTCCTCCTTCTTCTTCACCAATTCCTCCATGTCCCATTGGACATTAACAAATCTGCCGGACAGCCACTCCCGTCGCTCAGAACATAGCCAGACTATAGTGTCGGCGGGCAGCTCGGGCGAGTCAGTCAGATGAGGGTGCAACTCTTCAGGCAGGTTCAACGCCAGCTCAGTCTTTACTCCACCCGGATGAATCGAGATAGAAATTACTCCCTGTTGACGGTATTCAATGTCGATGAACTCGCTGATGCGGCAAAGAGCCATCTTGCTGGCCTGGTATGCCGACGCTCCGGGGGTCACCATTTGGCTACCGCCACTGCTGACGTTGATGACTGTCTTGACGGTCGAGTTGAGAACCAAGGGGATGAAGTAGCGCGAAGAGAGGTAAGTTCCTTTGACGGTGACCTCCCAAGTCAACCACCAGTCCTTGGGGTCAGATTCAATGATGGGCTTCCACTCCTCAAGGTTGCCGGCGTTGTTGATTAATATGTCGAGGCTACCGCCGAGGACCTCTTTAGCTGTTTCCGCAGCAGCTTTGACTGATTCTTCAGATGTGATATCCAACTTTATAGAGCAGACCAAAGGCTCGGGTTTGTTGGAGGCCTTGGCGGCTTTTTTGACTGCCACTTCAACGTTCGACATATCAGAACGGGCGGCGAGCAAAATCTTGGAGCATCCTGCCATAGCAAACCGAACTGCGGCCGCCTTTCCGATTCCTTTCGATGCGCCTGTAACCAAGACTGACTTTCCAGTAAGGTCACCTTTTGTCGGGTCGATGTAAGGATATGTATCCTGACGATTTGAAACGTAAGTAACACATTTGAGCCAATTTCTTCCGTCAAAAACGGGATCGTCTGCCAGGTTTGCCATTGTGTAGGGTCGTTTTCTAAGCCGTAATTATTTGTTGTAAGGATAATGTCAGATACTATTGTCCTCTTATTGAGTATGCAACCGAGTCTTTATAGATCTTCTTTTTCTTTTCTTCTTTTCTACAAGTGGGTGAAGCGGTAAGACCATACGTTGATCAATGGATCTGAGGCGACATAGCCACAGCTCAACCAATTGATATCATCGGAATGGAATAGCTGAGATGGGGCTCCATCTGTGCACCCACGCTATCCCTATAGTGGAGATACATCGTCTTATGTTATTGATGGAGATACGGATAGATCCAATTGTACGGTGACTACAATACTAGTAACTCTTACGACTGCTGTGGAGTCTGACTCGGTTTGTAATGGATCAGTGTGTCATTTGAGTCAGTGGACTGATGGTTGAGCCGAGAGGTTTTGCGATAGAAAATGCAGACCTCCACAAGAGACCTGGTAAATATTATGTACATCAGGGTAAACATGGAGAAATATGCTCCACTTCAAAATTGCAACTAAACTAAGCTGAATCCTCAGACCGTGTAAAAGAGCGAGCACTCTTAGGATGGTCAAAGGTCTTCATATGCACCAAGTGCGTCTCATCATCATTTCTATCAAACTCCACCTCGACAATGGTATCGCAAGTAATACCGGTGGACTGAGTTCTTGAGCGTCCTCCCTTGACAGGGTTCGCACTTGCACTTGCACTTGGACCTCTCTCCAAAGGGTATGTCTTGGTGCGCGGTCTGTTGGGATCGTCTCGGCTACTATCCTGGCCGCTCTTGTTGCTGCCATAGTTGATGTAGCGCTTGGATTGGCCTGAGAGTCGCATGAGAAGGATGCGCATTGTTGGCATGCATGCACACCATATGCCAACGTTGACCTCGACGGTGGACCACTTTGACATAGCAAGATAGTCCCAAGATAGGTTGTTGCTGTGGCTGACTCCCGCGACAATGCAGGCGTATAGTCGCCAGATACTGGTGAAAGTGACGCTAGACGCGCATTAGAGACGTTCCGATTTCAAACAAACGAACAGGAATTTTGCACTTACAAGGAACCAACACTAAACATCATTGCAACTCCAATCTTCTTGTTTAAATCTAGATTCAATTTGTTCAATTGCGACAGGGGTACGCCGAGGATTAAGAAGTCCGACGCAATATTGACAGCACCATTGGACCAGGCGACACCATTGACGCTAGCACACCAGCCTGTGTGGTTGCCATCCCACTTGTTCCAGAAGTGACTGATAGGCTTGCATTGGAAGATAGCAACAAGAGCAAATACTGTCCCGTTTACGCAGATGAAAGCGACAGTTGCCCACAGAAGCTTGCGTACACCCCTGGTTGGGAAGATACGAAGATAAAAGAACAACAAACTGAGCTTCATAGTTGTCTGCAATATGAAGTAGGTGAAGACAATAACGTAGAACCAAAAGCCGAAGTTCGTTATCTGCTCAGGAGTGAGGGTCCAAATGTCGGTCCCTATGCCAGAAGGGGCCGAGGCGAAAGCGTTGATGCAGATACAGAAGGCTGCGATGAGCATTGTTATCATTATAAAGACATCATCTAGACCCATGCTGACTCTATAGACGATCTTGGTCGCGAATCGTAGAATGACGCATACGCCTGAAATGATTCCCATTATAGTATTGGTGCGGACAAAGTCGGGTCGAACGTCTCGAATGGGGGCGCCGCATAATGTCATAGTAGCGTTTTTTGTTGCTGCAAATGTGTAAGCAGATGTATGTATAGGGAGAGGGGGATGATGTACTCAAAGCTTCTTTAACAGTACAATCCGTCAAAACGCATTTCTCGACTTGTTTCTGGAGAGGTCCGTTTTCGCACGTGCATTGGACATCGTCGAGGTCACAAGTTGAGCCTAAGACATTTGTCACAAGACATTTCGACTAAACAAAATCAGCAACTTCCATGGAAGAGCCAAGCCGATTTGATACATACCGCACACTTGGGCAAAGAGCCAAGGATCGCAGAGGTTGTGTTGTCAAGAGCAGCAAAGGCCAATGGCAAAGCCATAAGGCAGGCAATGATACCATGAAATAGCTTCATCTTGATACAAATTGTAGTACGACGGGTTTCAAAGAAGCAAGAAAGACCAGTGAAACATGCTGGGGTACTATGCAGGTAGATATAAGCATCTATGAGTAGCTTCAACGCCACCAAGTGGACATTGATGGATATGTTCAGATTAAAAGTTCTAAAGTGACTAGAAGAATGAAGTGCAAACACTTAAACAAATTCTTACTAGATCACACCTTCGTGAGACGACTAGCAAAATGACGGAGGGGGGAATCCACAAGGTAGAGCCAACTTACTAGTGTTAGTTTGCGTCCCTTTACACGTGCGCTGATGGGTCTTTGTAGTGCAACCTGGATCATTAAGAAATGAGAGGCGATTGTGAACAGGAGGGACCGGTTATAATGAACAGCAAAGAGGACGGTATCAAAGCTTCAGTAGCGCCACAAGGCTAGCCTGTCCACAGGACCAACAGCCTTGAACCGGCAGATAGATCTTTATGTTGTTTCCACCCAGGTAGCAGAAGGTCAATGATCGCGGTTACTAAAGAAATGATTTCCAAGGGAAACGCTTAATATGTTGTCTACACATACACGTACTCAAAGTGTCTGATCTGTCTTGTTACAAACACCGACCACGATCAGGCAATAAAGTGTTTCTACCGCGCGGTCGATCTGTTGAGATCCCACGTGGAACCAGGTTTTTTTCTGCGTAGAATTAGTCATGCTAGACCATTTTTCTCAGCCTACGGACTCGGGCCGGTGCTGCGGATCGCCTTTTAGTCTATGGTTCATAGAGCCGAAAAGGTACAGTAGATCATGGGCTCCACATCTCATTCGGCTCACCACCTTCCGAAGATTTGCATAACTTGTTGGTTCATCGGAAGGGACCGAGCGTGAGCGTAAAGAATCCAGCAATGACTTCGGATGTACGGAAGTGGTTCAATTCAATATCAGCTTCAGCAGCCTTCAGTACAATTCCCAGCCAATATGCGAGAGTTATGGATTCCGCATCTCTCCTCTCACTACACTCGAGTCTAGATCTACTAACACTTGAATCCAACACGCGTATCCAACGGTTCAAGGCATACTGGTAGGGCTGGTAAGTGCCTCTCATTGCCTATGGCTTTTGAGCTGAGTGGGATCGATAAGCATTGCTAAGCGAACTAATCACTGCCGGTATTATACTAGTGAAAGACACTTGTTTACTTTGGGTAACTGATTCATGGAGGCTTCCTACTAACCACCTACCCACATATCCACCTATAAGGGCCCTTCCACTTAATCATATCTTGGGAAAGTGGGGCGATGGGTAGGGACCAGGCGTTCATCAACTTCTTGTACGTAGGCACCGGAATTGTAACAGGAGGAAGGAAGGGAGAGCAACTGCGCTTTGTACAGCAGCGTTTTGTGGGCGTACGCGTGAGTTACTGTATTGCCAATAGGTAGAGCTAAGTGGATGCGGGCAACTTCAACTGGGACGAGCCTGCGCTTCGACCTGCCCTGAAGGGGCTGGAGGGGTCAACCTTAAATCGTACCTTGAGAAGTACTAGAGGGGGAATTCCCACTATGCAAGTTAGTTAACCCCTTGTCTGAAATGATTATTCATCCTTCGCAGAGTGTTGCAACTTGTCTACTTCCAGCTACCCTTGTGCCACCTGACTCTCACGGCTGTTCGTTCTCAAAGCCAAGCCGGTATTGGCCTGCAAAGGTCCGGCAGTAAAAAGATAGCCTTGGACCCCTGAGTTTAACTAGCGTTGATCTGCAGAGCTAGAACGTTTTAATCTGGTTTTGCACTGACCCTTCCCTTCTCGATGACGAGAGCTCATTAGAGCATCCTTTCTTATCCAATCAGCGAATGGAAAGAGTCATGTCTGTCTTAGCATTGGAACAACTTCTTGCGGGTACGTCGCAATAATTTTTAACATGCGTATCCACCTAAACCGAGGTCATGTTCGGTTACTCACTTATCTTGGTCCAGACCCATATGTGGATGATGTCTCCACTTTAGCACCTCTTTAAAAAGCGTATGGCTACCAAGCGTTTAAAAAATGTTGAAATAATATCAAGGACAATCTACTATTTACAGAATAGCAAGAAACATCGCTGTCCCCACAGCCGCAGTCATATACCAGCCTGGTGTAAAGCTGCTAATCGCTGCATTATCCTCCGCCTGCGCAGTCTCATTGGCGATAATAAATGTCGGTTGGTAGTTCTTGACTTCAGTATTGTTAGACTTTCCATTCCAGCAATACTTGTCAAAGCAAGCGCTGCACTCCTTCGGCACAGTCTCATTGGCTTTCCACCAACTTCTGCTCATAATGGCACATGTGACACAAGTAGGCCACTGCTCGTCAAGTGTACCGTTTCCCTGGGTGGCTCCGTTCAAGGCATTGAGAATGATACTGTCACGCTCGGGGATGCTGTAGGAGAGGTCGAAAGTCGAAACGTTACTCATGAACGTGTAGGGTGCGTTGGGAATGTAGAAGATGAGTGGAGGAGGCAGTTCACCATCTGAAAGCGTGAAGTTATTTGCGTCACAGCCGAAGAGTGTTGGACGCTGGTTCAGCTTCTCGTTGATGAAAGTCTCGGCTGAAGGAACCGAAGGGAACTTGGTTCCGTTTCCAATACTGGAACCAACACGATCATATGTAGCGCGTAGAGCAGTACCGTTGGGCCAGTTGTTCTCAGTATCTGCTGAGGAGTCGATGGCAAAGATGACATCGACCTCACGAGAAGGTTGAATCAAGGGGTGGAGGGGAATATTCTGCAGATCTTCTCCTCCGTCGACTAAAGTCAATTGAGTTACGTCGGCGTTGTAGCTCTTCCCGGTTGGATCCCACTTATAGAATGGGTTGGGAGTGTAGTCGGCGATGTCTTCGTCGCTTTCATCCAGGGCGAGCAAGACACCCTGGATGGCTTTCACAACAATGGACGGAATGTCGTTTTCTTCACCGATCTTGGTAATGTTGTTAAGTAGGAACTGGTTGAACAGTGAAGAGGAAGTGCCCATAACGAAGCCAAACTGATCGAAGCCACGCACGCACTCCCCAGTCTTGTTGATAGTTCCATTGGTGAAGTTTGAGGCAAGGTATTCTATAGGAGCAAACCCATAGGTTGTAGGATCCCATGTGCCGAACTCGAAGGGATTGAACTCGTATACCGTTGCGTTGAGTGAAACAATACGTTGTCCAGGAGCACGACCGTCCGCGACTAGAATGGGGAATGGGGTGTCTGCATTTTTGAAGTTTGACGTATCGGCAATAGAGGAGAAGGTGTATGAAGGACCGCCTTCAGCGGCATCGATAAGCTGATACGATAAAGCACGACCCCACCAATCGGTGAGAGTAGTATTCCACCCTTTGTCCTTTTCGTCAACAGCGTCTTTGATGTCGTCCCAGTATTTCGCCGTGTTCAAGATGCTGAAGCCAGACTTCTCTGGACCCTTGAAAATTGAACGGTCGAAAGCCCAAATATCTGAGCCCTTGTCGCCTTTCTGTAGTTCGGGGACTGTTGTGAAGTTGTTTGCAAAAATGGATCCTACGAGCCAACCACCTCCAGACAGACCAGCTAGATAGGTGGAAGACTGAAGGAGACCACTGATGGGACCAGATTTGTTGTTGCGGGAGTCAGCGGCTGAGATGAAACCTGCACCGTTCATAAGAGCACGATAACCACCACCAGAAGCCGCAATCGCAATATTCGGTAACGCTGTGGCATTGTTTTTGTTTTGATCGATCCATTTCTCAGCGTCAAAACCTGAGATGTTTACCCGTGATAGCAAGTCCTTGAGCGGGTCTATCGTGTTGTTCCTTCGAAGGCGAACCCAGGATTCTTCGTCATCCGAAAGGCCATCGGCAAGTCGAACTTTGGGGCGCGTTGAGGGACAATCAACCACCTTTGGAGCATAGTCGCCACTGGGTGAATCTGGGAGAGCCCGGATACTGAGGGATTTATTGATATCTGGTACTGGGGCCAAGCCCGTACTATCCGAAACAGCAATGGCTGTGCTGCTGAGCCAGAGCGTGAAAGCGAGAGGGCCAAGCATATTGACTCTTGGCAATTGAACTCTGAGGATGCTTTGTCACGATTAACAGTCAAACCTGGGTGAGAACGACTGCTCGTTAAGTAGATGCAAAAGGCTACACAGCCTCCCTCAAGAGGTCAAGAGGTGCGTCAAGATACGAAAGCGGGCGACAAGATAAGTCAGCGGCACATTCCCCGATTATTATTATGCAGGCGGCCTCAACACATGTTAAACTCTCCATAAACACTCAACGTGAGTGGCCGACGTGACGCGTCTAGGCGTGCTAGCTCAGGTCAGATCTGATCCAGCTGAGGGCTACTAAAATAAGTCTGTGCTAACTCCTCTATTTTACGATGAGTGTTTTTGGCACCTTAGTGTCTTACCTCGGAACGATCGGCAGACTAAGCCCCATCCGCATTCGTCAATGACGTCGATAGACTTTGATGTCATGGAAACACGGATACGCTGGAACGAATAAAAAATGAACAGAAATCAGTGGAACGCGATCCGAGAGCCGAATTCAATGCTTGCTTGATCTAATCGGGCGTAAAAGCCACAAAGAAGGCAGGGAAACGGCTTTTTGTAACGTAACAGTCCTGTAAATAGTAAGCACAGGACGGGAGTTACCATGCGGTGAAACCTGACGTTAGAGTTTGCGGCTGAACGAGTGATTGCAGGGTCGGACACCAACCCGTGCCCAGGGAGATTGTCAATGGCTTTTCTTGTCAACCATTGGCTAGTGCGTATTCATTGAGACAACGGTGATTGCTAAGAAATGGCATTGTTGAAGACTCAGATGAATGGAGTTACCGTTGAATGGGCGCCTTGCCCAAAACATTCCTTACCCGCAGAAGTGCACTTACAGCATGTGGGAATTGATCGATCACAGCGTAAGTCTCATATGTCGACAGCTGTGACAAGCGTTGGTCGACGTGCGTCAGGATTCCATAGGTGGGTGAAAACACGAGGCCGCCTTATTATCAATAAATTGCGATGTTTAATTAATTTTCGGTCTCATATGGTGTTTCCACTTTGTCGAACCAGATCAGATCATTGACAAGTGGCTCCAGGTCTATGCCCATTTTGACTACCCTGCCATTCTCAAATACAAACTTGGTCGTGAGAACTTCATCTCCAACTGCATAGTAGTCACGCACAAGTGCATTATACATCGTCTGATCGCGCTGGCGTTCAAGTGTGGCAGTGAAACCCAATGATCGATCAGTCGCGTCGATGAAGAGCCTGTTATCCTTGATCTCAACCCTCAAATTGTAATATCCAGGACTCCAGTAGTCGCCCGTGTGCGCGGTCAGAGGTGCATCTTGTTCTTGGGCAGCTTTGTGAGCCTTTTGATGCACTTCATCTATTTTTATTTCATCCTTAGATCTCTTATTGTTCTCTGCCTTTCCGTTCGGGTGGCCTTGGGTTCCATTTATAGGTTGAATGCCGGGATGAGCCTGTTTATGCTCATTTTTCATATCGCGTCTTTTCTTGGGTATCTGCCCCTCCAATTGCTGATCGCCCATAGCTTCATTAGTAAACCCCCGAAATAGCTGAGCAGCGACAGAGTTCGTCCCCGAGGAATTGCCCAAGATCACAGCTCCAAACTTGAAGTCCGGGACAAAGATGAAACGACTACCAAAACCTGCGATGTCGCCGCTATGCCCAAAGACAGCGTGTCCCTGAAGCAAGTAATACTCCATACCGGAAGTGTAAAAGAGACGAGAGATATTCGCCTTTCTCTGACGGTGATTGGGGTCTCGCTCTGATCGTGATTGAGTAAGGCCTTGGTATACATCGTTGTTGATTGGACCTTCGTGGTTGATCAAAGCCTTGATGAATTTGATGAAATCAGTGGCACTCGAGACGATTGAGCCTGCTCCTTGGCCTTCCGGTGAGTTCTCAGCTTTGATCTCACGATACGAAGATGCCTGTTTATCCCAAATATGTCCTTTCGCAAGACGATCACCATGACCCTTAGTTCTGGCACCATCTGGCTGGAGACTGCTTGAGTTCATGTCGAGAGGATCAAAGATGCGTTGCTGTAAGAAATCGCTGAAGTTTTGCCCTGTCTTGACTTCTATGAGGTGCGTCAACACCGTGTACATCATGTTGCAGTAGATATATCTCGATCGTGGAGGCGCAGCATGAGCCAGGTTCCGCAGGTTCCTTGTGATAGACCGGGCATCATCAGGCTGAGCAGCGCGAACTCCCATATAGGAATCATCGTGGCTGTGTTCTCGTCAGTATTGTAAATAGCGAATGAAGTTTTGCTTATTACCCAGCCATACCTGTTCGATGACCGAGAAGGTCATCCAACGTAACGCATCTTGTGTATGAATCATCGGGCAGGACAAAGTCATCTTGTAGCAACTCGGACATGATCGAGTCATATTGCAGTTCGGGAAAGTTGTCATCGTCAGCCAACAAGGCGATGGCAGCAGCAGTCAGCGACTTGGAAGAGGATGCGATGTCGAAAAGGGTATCTGCCGTGCACGGCACTTCGTCTTCGATTGAAGCCAATCCATAGGCAGTGGATTTTACATCATCTTGGTTGATGATTGCGATTGAGAGGCCGGGGACCCTGTTTTGTCTCATAAGATCATTTACATAGCGGTTAAAATTGGGGGAGTCAAAAGAATCCATGTTAAGTTGTTAACTGTTATATCACGAGAGTCGCAATCGCTCGGCGGGGAAGTCTAGTGGTACTACGCTAGACGAATAAGCTTGCTTAGTCAGCCCCCGTTCAAAGTACTTCTGAAGCTCAGGAGCAGTCGGGAGCCTCTCAGTCCAGTTCCATGTCCTCCATACCTCCTCCATTGAATACTCGTATAGAGGAACTGGTGTATAGACCCTGGCACCTGGGTAACAGTTCCACCGCCAGACACCTCCGAGACCCGAGGCAGCTTCTATAATGACAGCGCTGAGGTTTTGTTTTCGGAGCTTGTGTAGAAGATAGTAGCCCGCAAAGACGCCTCCAATGATTGTTACATCGACTTTGCGACAATGGGGCTTGGTAGTGCCATGGCCGTTGACAGCGTGGTTGGGGTTGGGGGCTGTGTCGGCAATGCCACAGGCAAAGCCTGAGCTCACAGTTGCAAAGGCATAGCGAGCGATTGGAGAACAGGTCAATTTAAGTGCGAGATAAAGGGATAGGGATAGATTTCTTTGCAATTTGGCTTTCAGGGCAGGTTAATTAGTGATTTACAGCCATTTAATACTACTACTTGGTTCATTGCACTGTCATGTTATCTAGCGTCCATTGATAGCCAGGGCGGGTTTACCAAACCGTATTGGGATAAATACTTGAGCATTCTTCCCCAATTATGGTGCGTTCGGAATAGGTAGAGATCCAAGCAAATTCGCTCATGCTCAAGATCCATTTATCCGTTTTATGGGCAAATGGATGTATCACGAATGTTCATTGCATGATACGTACACGCACCTTGAAGCTGTCCATGCCATCGTGCAGCTGGTGGAACGGCTCTGCTCAACACAATGTACTGCACGAATTCTAGAGTACCATTATGCAAGTTATAAAGTTAGCCTATCAATATTATTGATGTGCTACATTGTATTACTACGCGCAAATGTACTTCTTATGCAACTGTAATCGTTCTGGCCACGCAACCCCCGCACTCCCCACGTCTCCCAAAAACGCATGCATTATGGCAACATTCTTCTATGCGAAAGTAGTGGTTTGCTTATGTAGCCTATCTTTAAAGAAATTACGTAATAGTGCGTTTGAAACGCTGCCGAAGACATGAAGTACTTGCTCTGTCAGATGCCTCTGAAGCTTCTCACTACCACCCAAACTCGAAAAGTCTACAAACTTGCGCATGTTACCAATAATGCGGGCCCAGTGTGATGAAAGTATCCTGCGTTGCTATCATCTCGTCATACATGAGTATGAGCAACGTCGCAGCAGCAAACAGCTGATCTGACGACGAGGCCGACAGGGTGCACACACTGCGGGCGCTAGTTATGAGACCCCTGATGACCGAGGACTTGTAGTGCTCAGCCCTTGCGGCGAATTTTGGATTGCCGTAGTATACGAGGCGACGGTATGCAGCTGCGGCGACGGCATCGAAGACCAGTGGGGATGACATTGCCAGGGGGAGGAGATGCATCTTGCATTCGTTATCGGCTTGGAGGACTGGACACATCCACTCTGGAGCATTCTATTCAAGAAGATCTGGTGCGGCTGAACGGTGATTAAGCCCGTACTTCGTACAGCTGAGAGAAAACTGGAATGCTAAAGCTTACTGTCTCACCTGTTTCTAGGACACAAATAAATATTCCCTGCTTCAGAAGGTAGGAAACATCAAACGTTTGCGATTGTCAGCCAGCCACATCCGGGTCTCGAACAGACTATGAAAGCTAAATCTCACAGCTGTCAAGTTGCCCCTCCCACATCTGCCATGCATATCACGCCTTGACCAGATTCGCGGACCAGTAGGATACAGCTCCGCCTGAGACAGACTCGAGTAGCCAATAGATGCCGTTAGTCTGCACCCTCCTTCACTGATATTGATCTTATCACATTCCTGATTTTCGTACATCTTCCTATGAGATCCTCAGCCCCGCACGTCTAGGCCCGGGCCTTTCGTCGCTTCTAGCCTGGCCCACCTTTGAGGCTGACCCGCCGTTATGCTAGAATCATCAAGCTGAAAAAAGAGAGGAGTTGTCAATAATGAATGGTAGAACGGGCCAGAAATATAAATATTGTGTTCTTTACGCACCAGCTGTGCTGAAGAGCCAAAAGACTACTTGCATTTGTTCTATAGTTAACCAGAGCATATAACATCACCATGTCGACAGCCACACAAACAACCCCTCCGTCCGAAAGGACACTACAAGAGAAGATAAAGCACCTCGGTGATCTCGTCAGAGATCCCAAATCGGACTTGGGCTCTGATGAATTGCCGCATCTTCCTGAGCTCATTGACGATTGGTACAATACCGATGTTGATGTCACCAAGGAAGAGTTTCATCAAAGAATCTTACGAGTCTTTAAAGATTCCAAGCATGAGCAGGTATATAATGGCGTTATGAACCAATTGCCTAGTGAAACGCGAAAGGTTCTCGAGGCTTTCATCGAAGGCGATAAGACTGCTGATCAAGCTGGAAAAGCTATCAAGGAGGTTGCGCCTTTGGAGCTGGGAGTGTCGGGTATCAGCTCTCATGTTCAGACCTTCTCTATGATGGCACAGCAGGTAACTCCTCCTACCAAGACCAAGGTCCGTATTCTTCTTCGTGAGTGTTCGCTCTATATCTGAATTTCGCAGGGCAAGGAAACCAAGGACTTGACCTTCCAGAATTGGGGCCGCACTGTCAAGAATACTCCTACGGTCACGTATTACCCCGAAACCGTCGCTGAGATCATCGAGATTGTTCGTCATGCTGTTGCGAAGAACAAGGGCATTCGTGTCGCCGGTTTCCGTAAGCTTCTGTTTCTATAAAGCGCCCCTCTCAACTGACCTTATCCAGGACACTCATGGGCGCCCGTTTTCGGAAGGAGTAACAAGGCTGGCCAGTCTACCAACGGCGATGTGTTAATCTCCACGTTGACTGAGACCAACGCAAGCAGGCTGCCCAATCTCACATCAGTTCCCACCAACCTCTTCCAGCCCAAGGACACGGAACTCAACGCGATCAACGTAATCACTGACCCCAGGTTTGTAGGAGCTTCGGCTCTGAAGAATGGCAGGAAGTATGTCCAGGTCGGAACGGCGACAACGAATGAAAGGTTCCGACGGTGGTGCATCGATACGGGAAATGTCACTTTGCCTATGAATATTATTGAGGTCGAGATAACATTTGGCGGTAGCAATGCCACAATTTGGTGAGTTCTGAAGAGAAGCCTTTCGTCCTTGTAAGTAACCCTTTTAGTCACGGCGCGGGCATCAACAACCCAACGCTGAGCGACCTCGTCCGACGAATCGACTACATCGACGTCAACGGCCAAGAACGCTTCGTCAACATGTCCGACCCCACACTTCTCAAAGCCGCAAGTGGCTGTTTCGGTCTTCTCGGCGTCGTCACCTACATCACCTTTGAATGTGATGCCATGTGCACCGCCGTCATGCGTCCCGTCAAACTAGATGTTATCGATGCTATTCCCCCGCCGCCCGAAATGAAGGACTCGGAAATCCCTGCTGCCCTTCGCCAAAAGCGCACGGAGGCTCAAAAGGACAACGCAGTACGTGAGTTTGAGCGTCGTGCGAATGAGGACTTTTATGCAGAGTGGTTCTGGTTTCCTTACTCGCAGCAGGTCTGGGTTAATACCTGGAAGACGGACACTGACACCAAGAACGTGGTTAACTACCCCAGTAATGCAAAGACTTTGTATCAGGTTGCCAGCACGGCGATTATGAATATGGCGCAAGAGATTGGTAAACATATCTATGCTTTGCAGGTTGCGCCTCAGACGCAGACCTCGCTCCTTTGTATGTTTGGATCATCTACTTCGCAGATAAAAACGCTAACACAAGATAACAGCTTGGCTCGCAGTGAAGAACTTTGACGATGTCAAAGGAACCAACGAATCAATCAGAACGCTGCTGCCTAATGCTCTTCATTTCCAACGCGGCGTTCAGAACATTCGGGTCCGGAATCTGGAAGTCGAGATGGCCGTAAGTCTCTGATCTTTAGTATCGATACAATAACTAATACGACTATCAGCTTGACTCAAAGAAGGACAAGCCAACTGAGAGAGACTACACCAACGTGAGACGTGCTTGGTGGGACGTCATCAAGACATGCTACGCCAACGCCAAAACATCCCCTATGCGAATGCCAATGGAGATGCGAATAATGGGGTCCAGCGAAGTCACCCTCGCGCCACAGCGAGGCAACAAGCTCGGAACATGCGCCATTGGCATCCTAACACTCGAGGCTGTATCCGATATCTGGGTACCCTATGTGCAACAGGTCCTCGACAAATGGACGAGCTACAAGACGAATGATGGCAGACCCGTGGTGGTAAAGCCTCATTGGGCGAAGGAATGGTATATGTACAAGGTTGGTGGTAAGCCTTGGATGGAGAAGCTAGTTAAGGAGGATTACAAGGAGGAAATTGCTGAGTTTCAGACGCTTATGGCTGCTATTGGGAAGAAGCATGGTTGGACGCTTGGGGATATCAAGAGGACGTTTTCGAATGATGTTCTTGATAATACCTTCTTGGGCGGCGTTATTACCTCCAAGCCACAGCAGGTTGGGAAGTCGGAGAAGATTGTTCAGGTTCAGGTGAATGAAGTTCCTGTGGATACCGTCTCGGAGGTATCTAACTGAGTAGAAGCCATTAGTTACTGAACTCGATATCACATTACTTTTGCATACTGCCTAATGAAGAAATAGCCTTAGGTGAAGCTAACGTCCATCTCGATCGTTACATGCAGGGTGAGGGATTAGTCAGCGCCGAATACTATCTGACCTGATTTTAGGTATCGTCAGGCCGAAGGCTGCTTTGATGCGGGGCGGTGAACCGATGGCGTTCGGCGTTAGCGAAGTGTTTCCACAAGCCATGTTCATTCATACTTCTAGCGCTGGAGACGTGAAGATGCATCATGTCCAGGGACAGACGAATGTGATATTGGTGGACTCTGTGGTCAATAGCGGCAAGACCGTCATTGAGTTCGTCAAGCGCGTTGTTTGTCTTGAACCCAACATCAACATTACAGTAGTGGCTGGCGTAGTGTAGGCTGAGGCGGTCGCTGAGGGTCATCTATTTGCCAAGGTGATGAGACGACATGGAGCTGGATTGGTTGTGCTTCGAGTTTCGAAAAACAAGTTCACTGGGACGGAGACGACCGACACTGGGAATCGGCTTTTCAACACGACTCATTTAGCTTAGGCTTCTACAGCACCATGACGCTGGGATCAATGTAGACTAGAAATAGGCAGTCGTTTTTGGCGATCAATGTCTCAGGAGCTTGAAGAGTGTTTGACATCATCTAATTGAAAGCTAATTGACAGGCGACGTAGTACTTGCACCTCCATGACCCATCGCGAATTTCCACTCAAAAGCCTCAACCCTCATTGTTACAGTTCGTACAATAATCCATAACAACCTTACAAGAGTTCGACAACTCAATGTGTCCACACATCCAAATGTTGTCATTGCTCTTAGCATTCTCGCGTCTGCATCCAAAGTTAGTAAATAATCCATACTTGACCGCCGGGGACGGGGATTTACGCTTCTTTGATGAGCTTACCGCTCATACCAATACCATAGTTATCACAGCTAAACTTGGCAATGCAAGCAGCCTGTCCCATCGACATTGCCATCAAAAGACCCTTCTTGGACCGGCTGTAGCGTGTAGTGTACCCAGTGTAGATAGTATCGTCGTCGAATTCACTGATGGCGCGGTCACATGCGTCGCCGAGGCCGGACTTGGAGAGACCATCGCTGGTACCACACTGACCGGAACCATCGTTGTCGACGTGAGTCTGTGTAGGGACTGGTGTAGCGATGGTCTTCACCTCACCGATACCGTTGGAGAAGGTAGCAGTTACATCCTTGTATACCTGTCCATAAGCCAGGGTGTAAGCAGTCCAGGCGACGACGGTTCCATCAATGGTCTTGGTGAGGGGTTCGTTGATGGGTGCTTGTGTAGGAGGGGGAGCTTCAGTAGCGGGATCGACCTTGGAGGGGTATTCGGTGTACGCTTCGCATTTGTTGTCGATCAGTGTCGCTGTTGCGACGTACTGTTTGCCTGAGACGGTAGTGGAGCATTGGCAGTAGGCTGAGGTGACACGGGGACCGCCGTAGATGCCGCAAGGGTAATATGTGCGTACTGGGGCGGTGGTAATGTCCCCGGAAGTGTTGGTGTTGGTAGTTTGGTCGGAGGGACGTGTTGTTGTGATTAAGGTGCTAAGTCTTGTAGTAGCGGGGGCTGAAGTGTCAGTCTCATCAGCCATAGTAGTCTCTTCCGTCTTGGCGGTTTGATCAGCGGTGCTGGTCTCATCTACAGGATTGGTAGGGGTCTCTTGGACAGAAGTCTCAGCTGCGGTGGTAGACTCAGGGCTTTGGTTAGAGGTGATCACATCAGCACCCTCAGTCGAGGTAGGCACGTCGGAAGTGCCAGTCTCGGCCGGGCCAGCAGAGGTGTAACTGCCAGTAGCGCCGTCGCCGCTGGTGGGGGGCAGAGCAATTGACGTCTTGGGCTGGGTATCAGAAGCAGCTGGAATACTGGTAGTCTCCCTCATCTTGCAAGACCCAGTAGTCTCCGTCGTCTCAGCAGAGGTCGTAGTCTCAGCCTCGGTAGAAGTAGGCTTCCCAGTAGTACTAGCCTCCGTCTTTGACTCTTCCTCTTCAGTCTTAGACTCCTGCTTCTCAGTCTTGGACTCGTCATCATCATCGTCATCTTCCTCCTCACTCTGATCCTTAAGATCATTGCTGTTGTTGGTGAGTGTGCTAACGATGGGAGTCACACCCTCGACAATACCCCCTGTGATCTTACCAGTAACATCCTCAAGGTTTGAGACGACACAGGACAAGGTGTTGATGACGTTGGAGACAACATCAAGCAGTCCACGGCGTCGCTTTCCGTGGCATCCACCAGATTCATTACCACCAAGATCCTTGATAGCGCCCTTGACACCATTGATCAAGTTGTTAACCTTGTTCAACGTATCAGTCTTGAGACCATCAGGGTTGTTGGTCCAAGCGACGATGATGGGGATGATGTCGTCGACCTTGGAGTTGTACTCTGAGGCAGTGACCTGAGCCTGAGAAGCAGCAGCAGTGGCTTCTTGGGGAGGAGCAGTGACGGGCGCTGAAGGGACATTACTGGGCTGGTCGCTGGGCTCAGAGGCCTTCTCAGTTGTACTGGGGATGTTGTTGGCGGGTGCGGTGGTGCTAGGAGCATCAACCTTATCAGTTGTGGTTTCGGGAGAGGATACAACAGTCCTGGGGTCGGTGTTGGGAGGAGGGATGGCAGCAGAGGTAGTTGTATCAACGGGTATCTGAGCTTGGGTGGCTGTGGTCTCAGGGCCAGGTACGGGAAGATCAGTGGTCGTGTCGACAGGTTCACTTGCGTTGCTTGTAGTCTCAGTGCCAACTGGAACAGCAGTGTCTGTGGTGGTGTCGACAACCGGAGGAGGGAGGACCTCGCTCCTAGTCTCTGTTCCAGCAGGAGGGGGAACATCAGTGCTAGCGCCAGGAGTGCCAACGACATTGGTCTCTGTCCCAGCGTATGGGATCCAGTTCGATGTAGTCTGACCCTCAGTTGTAGTGGGAATAGAGTTCACGACTGGAGCATCAGTGCTACTCAACACATCCACAATAGCTGATGTCTCCGTACCAACAGGCGCAATCTCAGCGCTGGTAGTACCATCGACAATCTGGCCAATAGTGGTAGGCGTGTCAATGACTGGAGCAGCATTGGTAGTTGTGTCAACGACAATAGCGTCATTGTTAGTTGAAATCTCAGTGTTGATGACAACAACCTCTGAACTTGTAGTAGGAATAACGTCAATGGGCGCGACGGCGCTGGTGGTAGTAGAAATGAAGGTATCAGTTGTAGTGATATCAGTATTGACGTCGCGATCATTAAGTTGATAGATTCTACTACTGTTAGCTCCCTCAATTACACCGAAATAGGTGGTCACTTACTGGTAAGGAACGGCAGAAGTAAACTTGGCTCCCAAAGACAAAAGAATGAAACCAACGCCAATTGGCATGGGAGAGTCTGTAAGGCGCAACATAACGAATGAAGAAGCTAGCCCAACCGAGCTTTTGCGATACTAAAACAATGGACAAAAGAGTGTCTGTGGGAAGCAAAAGATTTTAAGTAAAGCAAAGCCGTGTTTACAAACATTTACATGCAAGCCTCAGCATTAACAGCCTCTTACATGGATTGTAAGCCATCCTCATAATTCTAAATTACAGGCCCGACCCTTCAGAAGAAACTTACGAAGTATCTTAGCAAAACACGCTGTTTAGATTAGCGGATCGAAAATTAACGCCAGATGCAGAATGGACTGCGCATCTGCCGAGAGTGTTACGACGCAGAGTGAGATGGTTCATCTCGGGACTCCTTAATCTCCATCCTTCGGAATCCTTTTACAGGGTTGTAAGGCTCCATCCCGTGCGCTTATCGAGGGCTGTTAGTGGGTGGCCCGCTTCTGTTCTAGGGCTGCGCTTACTCCACTAGGTAAATAAGCAGGGGAGTTAGAATGGTCTGCTCTCATTAGTATGATCGGGCTGTGAATAAGATCTGCCTTGTAATATTGTAACAATGTTCATTATCAATTCATTTATTTCATGCGTTGGATTGGACCAATATGTCATCGTCGCAATAGGATTCAGTGCATGTAGAAAGCAAGGCAATGGCGATCGCAAGATAGTTGCCAAGCCTCATCCCCACTCTACCCAATGACATTGTCTATGATTGACCATTCAACGCTTAAGATCCTCTGCGGTACGTGCAAAGCTCAGCCCCCAATCTAAGCACGTTTCAACTAAAATCTCATCCAGACCCCAACCTTGATCCTCTATAGACACGGCAAACACGGGAAGGTCTGGATCCTCGTCTCACCTCCCGCAAAATGTCTCAGTAAACCACCTGAATATTCGGCTCACGAGTCATCAACACGCTATAACTACACTCACACACGGTCAGCTCAGCCTTGTTTCACCGGTAGTCGAACATGTCAGCGCAAAGATCCCATAATCGCTCCTGTTTCAAGTACAGCACAATGAAGTTCAGATGATCTAATTAAACAGATTACGCCAAGGATCCAGCATGCATCCTCCGAAAACACTTGTACGTCCACTACCAAAGTTCTAAACAGCCCGTTAAATAAGTGCACTACCCAACTATTCCACAGCATCGCTAGGTCGTCGGTATTCTTCCTACACTCTTTCGATAGTCATTCTCTTCCGCGATAATGCTTTTCTCAAGTCGCTTCACTTTTGCCCTCGGGGCTTTACTCTCGTTCATCACCAACGCTAGCGCTGCTTCTGGTGAGGGCAGTTTTCCCGATTTCATCTCTAATTGGGCTCTTTTCCGAAGATGGGAGGACATCACTGGTTCTATCCCCGTCTTTGACGTCCCAGGCATGGATGACCTCACCATGGGCGAGTGGGTTAACTCTGAGAAGAAGTTGACCTGGGAGTGCTACACGCTCACCAAGGACAGCCTCGTCGCTAATAGCTTGACTGTCATCATCGACAAAGCTACCCTGACTTGGACAGACTCTGATAACCAGCCGCAGCAGCAGACCGTTGTTAGTAAGCGCAGTGGTATCAAGTCTGCTGATGGCAACGCTATCATGTATGGCGCACATCTTCAAAAGGCTCTCGACCATCCTAATATACTCCCCATCAACCATATCGTTTACGGCAAGGGTGGTGTGAAGGACTATGGTTTCGCCATCATGCCTTATGTTCAGGAGGGCTCAGTGGCCGATAACCTCGGCAGCCTGACTGATGTGAATGGTGCTTTCAAACAGATGCTCGCTGCTGTTGCTGCTGTCTCAGCTGCGGGTATTATTCATCGCGATCTCAAGCCTGAGAACTTTCTCAAGGATGGAGATACCATTAAGCTTATGGACTTTGATCAGTCGCGAGACATTGGTACAACTGTTCAGATGGATGTCGGCACTCCTTCGTACACCGCTCCAGGTACGATATCCAATCCTGGTACTCGAATCATAAACTAACAATTCGGTAGAAATCATCATTGGTAGAGACTACACCACCAAGGCTGACACTTTCTCGCTGGCTATGAGCTTCCTCGTCATGTCTGTTCCTGATCTGAGAAACTCCGATAACCGATTCCAGCTGTGGAAGGATCTCATTGAGCCTCCCAACACCAGCTACGAGCGTGTCACGGCTGATAAGACAGAAGAAATCCTCCGGGGGAAAAACTATGGTGTTTTCAACGGTAACGACGGTCTGCTGAAGGTCATTGCCGAGGCTATGTGCAGTGAGAGTGAAGGGCGCTACACCCCTGCTGAATTCGAGACTGCTTTCAACGGAGCTACATAATGGTCAGGGTCATTGAAGGAACGGTGGGGGGATTAATATCTTGCGCCAAGATAGTTGAGAATTTTAGACTTCCTATACCTCATACTGGTGATACTTACATTTTGACCGTCTTGGCCAGATCCTATCTGCAAAGGGAAGCGCTCTGCATCTCTGGACAAGATACCCATGCTCAGCTAGCCCGCAGGTCAACAATACGCGTAGAATGATGAGTAGTATTTTATGAGTAATGGATATTGAGAGAGCTACAATAAATATATCTACATTGTTGAGTATATTTCCTCATTCTTTGTTTGCCGTCAATGAATCAACCGCCTGAATCAATCGTTCGACAGTGACATCCTTCTTTGATTGCACTTCAAGCTGTATATCATTAGCCAAAGCCACCGCGACAGAGTGAAAACATACCGTAGCCACATTCTTAATATCCGCTTTCTCAGCATACCAGATCAAATCCCTCCTCACCCTGTGCTGAACACGTGCATTCTTGGTGGAAGCCGTCGCAGGGAAACGTGTCCAGATCAAGATGACAGCACCTGACGCGGGATGGCGATAGAACGCAAACTCCTTAATCCTGGGGGCGTCGAAATATCCGGCAAGAGTTTCAGGTGCTACCTCCTTGATGTGTTCCCCGAACTCGATGCTGTCCTCTTCATGGTCGATTACCTAGCTTTCGGTGAGTTTGGCTTTGAGGAACTGAGATCGTCTTACCAGCTTCAAGAGGTCACCGTTCTGGAGTTGGGACAAAGCTTCAGTGCTGCGAGCGTCAAGGAGATAATCTGGCTCTGTTTTAGGCTGATCTGTCGTCCCAGAAAGGCTGATGGTTTGACGTTCTGGTGATCCGATTGCCATATTGAATTCTATTATTTTTTCCTATTGTGTCTTGTTTTGAGATGGTTTTGCTGTAGTTGTAGGAAAGGAGGTTAACTCCTTGGGTTACTAGTGCCTGAACGTGCGCTAGACTACTGAAACAGCGATTAGTCAGAGGGAAAAGCCACTAAAATTAGCGACCGCCGGCTTAGATAGTCCTACAGCGCACGCGCCATCACATGTAGGACTTCATCACAGACTGTAGTATCAAGAATAGGGCGACTTTGTAGAAGTTGTCCAGGAATAAACATAGATATATACAGCTACCTTATCTTTACCGTTTTATCTAAAGCTTCATCTGCTATTTAATTAATTATTCAATATATTATACTTATTCGTAACAGGTGTTTTTGTCTACTTACCCTAGAATTAACTATTTATTACTTTATTGTGTCTGGAGCCGCACTTGATTCGGATTCTGGGGTCTCGGCGCTTGGAAAAAACGTCGCGTTGTAGCGGTCCCTGATAAGTCAGATTGTCGTCCATATTGTCATCCTATGGGTCTGGGGATAGGCATGGAGAAGTTGGGGATCCGGAAGCAGGAGGGAGCTGTTGAACTGACGGAAAAGGAGCCGATTTTTGAGTTGGGCCGGCTCGGAATTTAATCCGGCATTACAGTACTCTGTTCCCCGTACATTTTCAGTGGCTTCACTGGGTTTTTGCTGGTACAGTACCTGGAGTGACTTTTAAATAGTGGGGTTATGGAACTGTGTTTCCGCTTACAATGCCTGGTTAGGTATGGGCTGTGTGGCTAACGACATCACTGGAAAATACTTCGGTGTGGGTCTTTATTCCCTAATTATCATTAAAGTGTATCTTATCACAGCCGTGTGATATAGCATTTCTTCCCCGAACTGAGCACACTAATCGCGTATCATAATTCCAATCAAGCCTTCTCCTGGTGCTCAGCGATGACACTGTTAGCTTGTTTGGCGTCCTTGCTATAACCCTCCTCACCAGCCCGTCGCTGAGCAATAATATCATTCGTCTGCCGGCGCCATGTACGGGGCATACCATTGCGACTGAACAGCAGATCCATGTCCTCAAGCGAGATACCCTTGGTCTCGGGAATGAGGAAGAAGGCGAAGCAAAGACCAAAGACAACAGAACATGCGAAAAGGATAAATGTTCCCCATGTAATGTCGGTCATCATGTATGGCGTTGAGTACACGATGATGAACTGTCCAAGCCATTGAGCGCAAGTGGTAAAGACCAGGCAAATGGAGCGAATGGCCATCGGGAAAACCTCAGCGCTATACGTATGTTAGTAAAAGGATTCTTGATTGTAATCATATGAACGTACCAGAAGATCCAAGGAATTCCGTTCCAAGAGATTGCATAGAAGATAGCAAAGATATAGACCATGACGATAGCCACATAAGCTCCAGCGGTCTTCTCTGTAGCAACCGCTCCAGCGTCAAAAGAGCCCGATAGGTTGGCATAGATGCCAAGGTAGAACAGTGCAATGGCTGCGCCAGCTGAGCCGATCATGAGTGATTGGCGACGACCAAGTGCATCAACACCCCAGATCATGTAGAGGCCCGTAGCGCTTGCCTTCACGATTCCAAAGATACCAGTTGCAAGAAGTCCCACGCTGGTTCCAGTGAAACCAATCGACTTGAAGATTGAGGGCGAGTAGTAGTTAAGGGCATTGATACCTGACATGTTCTGGATGAACATGAGAGCGATGCCCAGAAGGAGGCGGGATCGATTGGTAGGCCCAACAACTTCCTTCAATTTAGCAAGGAACCCTCTGTCAGCACCCATGGCTTTCTCCTCCTCAATCTGATTAAGAACCGCATCAATCTCCCAGTTCAGATATTCGTGATCGGCGGGCAGTTGTCGAAGACGCTGGAGGACCTTGCGAGCCTGGTCGATTCGACCAGCGTTAAGCAGCCAACGAGGGGACTCGGGTTGGAAGAACATGCAGAGTACGAGTAGAGATCCAGGAACAAGCTGTAGCGCGAATGGGATGTGCCATTGCGCGTCATTTGTCGGGGAGATATGAATATTCACACCATAGTTGACCCAGAAGCCGACGATCTGGGAGAACTGCAGAAGGATTTCGAATATGCCGATGAGACGTCCTCGGATAGCAGGTGGACCGGATTCGGAGATGTAGACGGGGATGATCATGGAAGAGGCGCCAACAGCAAGACCTACGTGACACAATGGTTAGTGATTTCCTGTGACGGACCTGGATAAAGGGAACATACCAGTAAGTACACGACCAGCATAAATGTAGGACAGACTACCGTTAGAGACAAGCTGAATGATAGCACCAAGGTTAAAGATGATACCGCACAAGATCAAAACCCAGCGACGTCCGAGCTTCTCAGTCATGTAATAACACAACAAGACTCCAAAGAAGCAGCCACCTTGGAACGTGCTGACAATGTTTGCCTTCAATGACGCCAGAGCTGTGCCAGTCTCAGAAGCCAACTGGAAGCGCTCCTGGAACGAAGGGAGGGACATGGTACCTCCAATGAAGGCTGAATCATAGCCAAACATGGAAGAACCCATGGCCGCGGAAGCGGCGAGAGCATAGATCCTCCAGTTGTAGACTTCTGGAGGCGCAGGATTCGCCGAGTTATCCTGCGGCCTAGCAAAGATGTTCTTGACCATAGTGACTGATGCACCTTAGAAAGAGATAAAGTGGATGATGAAGGGATGGAGGGAGGTGGCAAGGAAAGGTCGATGGGAATGGGGAGCGGCGACAGCAGTAAATATGTATCCCCAGGTTCGGTCGCAATCAATGCATTGCGGGGAAAGAATGGTACCCCAGATCTGCTACCCCGGATTCTTACCCCATACGCGACTCATTTCCTTTGCACCAATTTCGGTTATGACCATACCCTTGGTAAGAGACACTGGCGGAAAAGATAATTGCCGCTTTCGACCAGCCAAGCCAACGTACCGATAGCGCTAACTTGAACATGGTAGTAGATACCTTTGAGTCATTTCATAGGTGGTTCAAGCTTGCCAGGCCCGGGATAACATGACTTCACTCAATAGCTTCAAAAAAGCAAACAATCCTCGACTGTAGGGCAATATGTAGAGAGCACAATGCCGTGTAACAATGCAGGTTCATGAAAAGGACGTCTTCTAGACTGCTATTAAGTAGAGCTGATTTAATGACTAGTTTATTGAGACCCCAGAGCCTTTCCTATTGCCGCCTTCGCAGCTTCGAGTGGCATCTCATTCAGCGGCTTCTGCATCCAAAGTACTTCCTGTGCAATTCCTTGATAGATCATGGCTTCTGTTCCAGGGATCACCTCCCAGCCATTCTCTTCGGCGAGGCGAGAGAAGCTCGTGATTATGTTGGGATGATAGCACATCTCCAGTACAGTTCCCTTTTCCTTTCTCTGAAGGAACTCAATTCCGATATCCCGCGCCAAGATCTCGCCTTCAGTGCTAGGTGCAAAGTCTGGGACTGTTCCGACAATGAGAACCGGCGTCTCGAGCGTCTTTGCCTGTTCGAGAGATGAGACATATGTCATCTTGGGACCGTCCTGTATGTTGGAGAAAGACTCGACCACTGCATCCGCCTCTTCTTTTAAGCGGTTTACCAGATAGATCTCGGTGGCGCCCAGCGAGCTGTAAAGCGCGTAGATGGCGCTCCTGCAAGCACCTCCACCACCAATCACCAGAGCTGGCCTTCCCTTGCTCTTTTTCTCAATGCCAGGGACATTCTGTAGGAAAGCCTCGCGTACTCCAACACAGTCAGTGTTTGTGCCAATGTATCTCCTCTCGCCAGTCACTGGGTCTTTGCGAATGTAAACAGTGTTGATGGCCCCAATGGCGCGTCCTTCTTCTGTCACTTCGTCGCACTCATTGATCCAAGCAACTTTGTGCGGCATGGTGACAGCAGCGCCTACACAGTCGCTCGCCTTAAGTTTGGGTATAAAGTCATCCTTGTCGACAGATTCAATGAGTTGGTAAGTCCACGGTACGTTGAGGTTCTGAAAGATGGTCGAGTGAAGTAGTGGCGCTAAAGAATGCTTTAATGGGTAGCCAAATAGGTATGTATGTCGAGACTGCTGGAGGTGATCTTGGTCCATCTTGAAGTTACTGTTAGGCTGTCTACGATATGCGCATGGCTGGTGCATGAGCGGCTAGTTAAGTTCTTCTTGGCCAGGATTGACCCGCTATCTCATGGTCATGGCCGAGGCGGGTAAAGTATTTACCCCGGCTAATGGCTGCACGGGGCTAGAAGAAACACCAAGCTCCCAATAGTGTGTCATACTACGCGAACAAGTGACTGAACGCAGTCGGTGAGGAATTGTTGGATATGTTTGATAGAATTAACTTATGAACTAAATGCAAGCGCTACATAGGTTAAACGAAATTCCATAAGGGATCCTACATGTTCGCGTTAATCTTCACCTGCATTGCATTCCGCATGGCTTCTATCGGTGCCTCCTTTCCAGTCCATAGCTCAAATTGCGCATAAGCCTGCTCTTCCAAGACATCAACTCCGCGGTATACCTTCCAATTCGGATGTCGCCGAGCCACCATCATCATTCCAGTTACTTGAGGCCTGTAAGCCATCTCCACTAAAACGCCATCCCCTGACGCCGAGAACAATCCAGTAGGGATCTTATCTTCTCCAAGGTCATCAGCAGGTACACACGCCACTATAAGGCGGATGTTTGTATATCCCGTGGCGTTGGCCTCCTCTAGCGTCGAGAAAGCACGGGTCTGAAGACCCGGAAAGATAGAGGTTAACTCTTGCGCTTTAGACAAAGTCCGGTTGACAATAATGAGTTCTTGGTACCCGAGAGTCTGGATGGCATAGCAAGCCGCTCTAGCAGCGCCTCCAGCTCCAAGTACCAGTGCAGAAGACAATGCAAAGTCTGGGGCACCAGACTTCAGAATGCACCGTTTGACGCCTATCCAATCTGTGTTCTCTCCATGCAGGGTTCTTTTCCCGTTTGCTTCATGCACAATCACGGTGTTTATGGCTCCGATGTTCTTCCCTTGTTCTGAAGTGGAGTCCAAGAGCTTGCCGATTTGTAACTTGTGAGGGAACGTGACCGACGCGCCACCAAAGTCTGGGCGATTGATGATTTGCTCCACTGTCTGATCAACGTTCTCACTCTCATGGATCTGGTAGTGGTGTGGCAGGTCCACGGCTTTGAAACCAGCATTGTGTAAAGTCGGGGATAGTGAATGCGAGATGTTGTGACCAAAGATGAAAAATTGCTTTTGTGAACCATTACCGGGTGATTGAGAAGATGGGTTTGAGGCGACAGATATGAGCCTGGCTGACTCCTGCTGGGGTGGAGTGTTGTTATTGGCGACCATAGTGAGTAGTTAGTTATATGAATATTGTTTGCGATAGTGATAATTGGCCATATGTTCAATTGGGTGAATTCTGATGTTAGTTATAGTGTAATATTGCGAGTGGGAAAGACCTTTACCGGCCGTACTGAAGATCGAATCGAGGTGGATCTGCGAGCTGTGGCCACTTTTTGATCTGGAGATAATACACAATTATAATATACGAGGAGCCTGGGTAGATATGTGATCAAGTTCAGATCAATTCCAGTTTTCAAGACGATTGGTAACGGTGAATTTATCATGATATAGCTATCGATTGGTGGCTTTATATCTAGTCTTCTCCTCTCATGGGCTTACTTTCCCACCCGTTTGTTATATGCTGCAACAACCGCTTCTCTCATAGTATTAGAAGGTGCTCTTCGAGTTGTAAATAACTCAAATTGCATCATTCCCTGCTCTGGAAGAACCTCAAGGCCATCCACCGCAATCCATCCCTTGTCAGCCAACTGTTTTATTTGCTGTATCAATGGAGTCTTCAGCGGCGTGTACGAAAGCTAGGATTACTAATAAGTGACTTCTCGCGTAATTTAAAGGGACGCAGTATTGGTGCTTACCTCAATCACTACACCCCCGGTCGGGCTTGACAGCCAGTTGTCTGGAAGACTAGTGTTCACAGAAGACTCCCCGTTCACATCCTTAGTAGGGATACAGGAAACGATGACGGTGGGTAAGCTCAGATCTTCGGGCCATGCATCCTGTTTCGAATCCAGTATTCTGAACACTGGATCTGCCATACGATCGGGACTCTGACTGCTCCTTTGAGAAACCGGCAAACAAGGCTCAGCTCTCTGATTAGTGACCTTGCTTTGATCCTTGAAGTGCTTGACAAGTTCTTCTGCTCTTGACCGGGTACGGTTATAAATCACTATAGTCTTGATTCCCAGGCGAATAAAAGCATAAGCAGCTGCACGAGCCATGCCGCCAGCGCCCACTATAAGCCCTGTTGTCCGTCGCCTGACAGCATTGATGGGGGAGAGATTGCGCTGAACACAGGAATGGATGCCAATCCAATCTGTGTTGTCGCCAAAAAGAGCCACAGTTGGCCCCGCCGTGTTCCTATCGAGTAAAGAGTCCAAAGTAGGCGACTTGAGACACAGCAATGTGTTAACAGCTCCAATAGCATTGGCCTCCTCGCTCATAAAGTCCAACTTGGAGATAACGGCCGTCTTGAAAGGAGCTGTTATACTGGCGCCTCCAAATTTGTCGTTCTGAACCAACTCAAAAAGCTCATCAATTGACTCTTTGACATATATGTTATATTGGTGCGGCATGCCCAACAGTTTGAAAGCGGCCTCGTGCATAGCTGGTGACAAACTCTGCGCTGTGTTATTTCCGTAGATTCCAAAGAATTGGCCATCAAGCAAGAAGGACGAGAATGCTGCTGTCTGGGCTTCTCTGACCGTCAAGAGAGAGCTTGAAGAGCATTCAGGTGCCAACTTGCGAATGACTGGATGAGTGACTGGGCTAAGGATGGGGTTGAAACAACACGACATACGACCCAGATGGCCCGTATTGTAAGCTATCACGGGTATCGAGTAGTTCTCGGAGGCCTTGACGCGATGGATAAAGTGTTGTGAAGCGAAGTTATCCGCCAAGGATGTTGCTCTTTGGCAGATGCGAAGGATGTCGCAGCCAAGGTCTTGGGCGCGTTGTACCATAGCCCATTGCTTCGTAGAGTCCCACCCATCCTCTGCCAGATCGCAGACAGAGTAGTGTCCTATAATCTTTGTTTGACCTTTGGAGGCAACGAGGGTCTTGGTCCTATCTGTGTTGCATTCCAGATCCACGCAGAGATATTCAGGCCCCAGTCTAAGACCATGTTCTAAAAGAGCAAAATACTGATCCTCGTCAATATCGGGTCTGCCTGTATAATCATTTTCGACTTGATACAGTATTGGAAGACCGATATTCCTCCTAACGACAGATATTTGGCGACTGATCCAATCTTCTGTTGTTTCTTCAAAGGTATTTCCGTCCTTGCAGAGCGCCGATATTGGTATTGTAACCTCAATCGCGTCGGCTTCAATATCCACTCCTTTGAACTCGGATACGTGACTAGAAAGCGTTGTCATTGGTATAGACAGGACATAAGTAAACCTCCGCGAGACGATAGGTAATGAAGAAAGGCTGTGACGCGCCTTGTACCTATCGCATGAATCGTCTTCCCTGACTATACTGTGTATCAAGTGGACGAAATCCTCTTCGACATTCTTGAGCGCGAGTGCGGATGGAGACATGTCCCCACGTGAAGGTGTGGAACTGGGATTTCGTATCAATGTATCGGAGATATTGTAATACTCGAAGCTTGACAACCTCCTGTAAGCTGGCGCTGCGCGACGAATGAGATTCTTTATAGTCTCTACATCGAATGCGCGAAGATGTTGCTGGATCTCCTTTGCATCACGCAAGATGTAGATGATGAGGTGTTCCTTTGAATATTCTGCAAGCCACTCCTTTCCCTTGCCCTCGACAGCACCAGGCCCACATACAATGATCGCTCCAGTCGGGTTGTCAAAGAGCATTGATCTCATCAATTGTAGCTCCTCTTGGCGATATTGCGAGATACCGTGAGCTGCCTTATAAGCTGCCCTTGAGAGACCGGTCGTTTTGTAAAAATATTGGTCTGCGTCAAGAACTCGGAAACCCAAGGAACTGGACGCCAGAACAGCTAGTGTCGACAAGCCGCTTCCACGCATACCAATAAGCACAATAGAGGCATTTGGGTCATACTGTAATGTGCGTTGTGATGCCTCTGGACTGGGTATTCGAGACCTGGCTATTGTGGGAGTGGGCGAATTGAAGACTTCTGAGACGGTTCTCGTCGTCGCACCTTTTATAGGTGACATATATGATGATTGCGAATCGACAGTAGCAGGACGTTTCTCCGCAAAATCTGAAGCCATCATGAAGACGTGTTGACGAAGGTCGTTTGTGCAAGAGGACTGATGTTGTGAGAGCCTTGGGCATGGAGCTCAGTGCACTGTAGCTCTCCTGTGCTGTGATTATTTTGGAGCCATTCCTCGCTAAGTAAAGCTCGACGAAAACATCCTTGGACCCATTCTTCTCCAATAGAAGCGAAGCGGCTGAAGTCTTTGCCGCTTCAGAAATGCCCCTGCACATGACAGGTTACTCCACTTACCCCGCATAACACTTCCAAATGGGTCAAGAAGTCGAGATTATTGATCTGATTGGGTAGACATACCGACTCTGTATCCTGATCCTGTAATACTGGTACCCAGCAGAGAGCTCAGTTTGTTGCCAGGGCGCGACGAGAGATCATCATCCGATCCTCTCATACGAAATGTCGACTTCAAAGTCTCGAGCAGACAACAGGAGCCAGGACAAGGCCGTCCCGAGAGGTCCAAAGCGAGCAAGGACTGAGGCTGATGACTCTGACGAGGGTTCAAATGGGAGACACAGACATCGTGTCACAAGAGCCTGCAACGAATGCCGAAGGCGGAAAGACAGATGTGGTGGACAACGACCTTCCTGCAAATCCTGCGTCGAGAGCAACCGAATCTGCAGTTATGACCCTTCCAAGAAACGCGGACTTCGTCCAGGTTACGTCAGAGCCATCGAAGCCCTGCTGGGGCTGATCGTTACCACGATTGAGGGCAGTGAGGCATGGATATGTAGCCTGCTTCAAGGGAAAACAGAACAGATCTCGCTACGTCCGGCTTCACTCCAAGTCCAGGGGTCTGATATCTCAATTGACTTCCTACTCGAAGCCTGGAGGAAATGCGCTTTGGCAAAGGAGGCTGGAAAGCTTCTGGATCCTGAGCGAATTGAGGTTGATGAGGATGGCCCTGATTCAACTCAGTATTTTGATACAAAGGTGGCTGAGGCATTTGCTCTATCTCTGACATCAAGAGCTGGCGATACAGATGCCCTCTTGACGCCGATGAACACCGATACAACACCGCAAGAGATGACACTCTTTGATTCACCTCCTACGCCTGTCGTCTCGAGCCATGCCCCTGAACAATGTGGGGAGACATCTCCCCAATTTCCTGTTGCTCCTCATCTGGAATATCCAGTGCCAAACAGCAATGGATTCTCGTTATCACCTATCCCTCAATTGCCTAAACATTGGTCCTATCTTATGGACGTCTACTTCGAAACAACACATACATGGTTACCAATATCTCAAAAGCACGAACTTCTACGTATAGCATATACAGTTGCGAATGGGGGAGCTAATCCTATCAATCCTCCGTCATCTGGCGAATTGTCCTTCTTACATGCTGTTATGATATACGCCTCCCATCAAGCCAGCTCAATAGCACACTCATCGAAAACACCTCTGGATCATACATACAAGGCCGAATCGCCCCAAGCTTTGACTCATACATCCCTTTTCGCAGATCCAACTGCTTACGATCTCGGCCATGTAAGAGCTTTCCTCGTGCTAGCCTTGATTGAGATGGATCAGAAGCACTGGACTGCTGCTTGGACAGCTACAGGCCGCGCCGTCTATACGGCAATATCTATGGGACTTATACCAAGAACCTCGTCAGAAGCTCATCTGGTTCGAAATGACGATGTCAAGCGGACGATCCTTGGATGCGCAACACTGGAAACCATTATCGCAGCACGACTTGGAACTTCAACCTGTCTTCGATCAACAGATATTTTACTCAAAGACCTTCTTACTACTGACGGAATGGAAGAATGGGAGCCATGGCAGCCGAAGGTCCTGCTTAACAGCAGTGCAGCATCCAATCAGCAGACTTCAAATCCACATATGCCCGGGCATGTGATAAGTACTTTCAACAGGCTACTCCAAGTCATAGCGCAACTGAACGACTTGATTCACCAACGCAAGAGATCAAATTCAGAAGACACCCTGCATGGGGTTATGGTTACCTGTCAGCAAAACCTCCTAGATGACGTCCCAACGGCTGTTGACTTGCCCCCTCAATCACTCTGCCTTAGGATAGTGTCTATTACTACACTCGAAATGGCAGCAGCGGAGCGCTTATTACTACATAACCCAGACTCGTGGCGTCCAGAATGTTACTGGCAGAGCATCACATCCTTAATTGGCCTGATAGGAACACAAGCTAAGTCATTGGGCCGTTGCTCTGTATCTCCTGTTGTACAAAGTTGCTTGGAGCTATTGCAAGATTCTATAACCCGTCAACGGTCGCAATGTATTGGTACTAGCGGTCATGACGATATGAACCTTGCTGGACGGACTATTGCCACCTCTTTGGCTTCATTAGAAGTCATGTCTGGGAATGAGCCTCACTTGGCCATGATTCCTGGCTCCCAATTAAACACAACAGACCGATCAACAGATTGCATGGGTACACTCCAGCCTGGACTAGACAATAATCACGTCCCACCTCAGACAGATATACCTTCTCAGGGACAGACTGAGAGCTCAGCTCTTGGTACACTTCTAGAAGGAGCAGAGACTTCGATGGCACAGCACGATACCTCGACCGATGCCATATTATGCTCTCCTCATCATGATACCAGTATCTCACTTCAACAAAAAGGAGTACCTTTGGAACTGGACTTAGAAGACGACGGTCTCTTTGATAGCCTTGCGACGTTGGACTCGGTCGATTGGTAAGTTTCCCGCCAAAGTAGACGAGCCTTAAATACTAACAACTGTATAGGTTGGCGAATCCTCCCGAGTTCATGGCGCATCTCGGCATACTTGAAAACCCACCTGACAACATGGAAAATATCTTTGATATGGAGTTTTGAACGAATCAACTCGACGAATCACCAACTGCAATACCACCTCTGTGCCCGTAGGCTGGACATCGCCTTTAAAATATAGCTTTCAATTGTTAGATAGCATAACTCTGGCAAGATGAGAAGGCTCGATTGAACATGGAATGAAGATACGCTACAATCACCAATACTCGATATCGGTCCAATTGAAGTCTTCATTAATGTGTCGATGATGTGACTTGCGTCTTCACGACCCCGAACACCCATCCGGTCTGTGGGCCCCATTTTTGTCGGAACAGGATTTTGCCGGCCAATTGTCATGACATCAACCTCAAGTAACGTAATTGAAACCCAGCATTGGAAGCAATCGAGACATCATTGTCATCCATTCAATCACTCTCTCAGCAAAGAAAACTCACAATGGCTACATATCGTCCCGCTATAATGTCGGCCTCGCTCGGCCGAGCTTGGCTACACAATTTTAGCGACAAGATTCAGCAAGCTTCGTCTCAGGGCTTCCAAGGTATTGAAATCTTCTACGAGGATCTCGAATACGAGGCAAAGAGGTTACATGATGTCGAAACGCCCAGTGACGATCAGATACTGTCGGCAGCATCAAGTATTCGACAGCTTCTCGATGGCTTGAACATGACAGTCATTGGCCTACAACCCTTCTTATTCTACGAGGGTCTAAAGGATCGTGAGCAGCACGCTCGTCTGATCCAGAAGATTAAGTTATGGTTCAAGATTGTTGAGCGACTGGGAACCAACACAATCCAGATCCCTGCCAACTTTCTTCCTGCCGACCAGTTGACTGGGGACATGGATGTCATCGTCGGCGATCTAGTCGAGCTGGCCGATCTCGGACAGCAGCAAAATCCTCCGGTTCGCTTCGCATATGAAGCTCTATGCTGGAGCACCCATGTCGATACTTGGGAGAAGTCTTGGGAGGTAGCTCAAAAGGTCAACAGGCCCAACTTTGGTCTATGTCTAGACACATTCAATATCGCTGGTCGTGTCTGGGGTGATCCTGCGTCTCCAACGGGAAAGACCCCGAACGCAGACCAAGACTTGAAAGAATCTCTGGAAAGGCTTGTTCGAGACGTCACCTTGGATAAGGTCTTCTATATCCAGGTTGTCGATGCCGAGAGAATGGAGACACCTTTGGTTGAGGGCCATCCATTCCACATTGATGGAAACCCCGCTAGAATGAACTGGTCAAGGAATGCCAGAGCCTTTATGTACGAGGAAGACCGCGGCGCCTATCTACCTGTAGAGAAGATTGCCAAGGTGCTAATTGAGGATATGGGATACAAGGGCTATATCTCCATGGAGCTCTTCTCGAGAACAATGTCCGAAGAAGGGAAGGATGTGCCGCAACAGCACGCTGAGAGAGGTATCAAGGCTTGGAACAAGCTTGTTGAGCGACTCGGATTGAACTAGCCATAAGGTCTTAAGTACATAAAAGAACTGTTATACTGCGTCTTTGTCTTTTTGCTGTCTCAAACTGGAGTAAAGTGAAGTGAGCTCTGTTAACCAGGTGTAAGTCTAAACAATTCTCATATGTGTTCGATTAATTTGATGATGTAGAATGTCATTTGTGAATATTTCTTGTTAGTTATAGATCAAGATTAGAAGTTGATGCCTGCACTGCTCTCGGCTCCTTCCATAAGAACTTTCCATGCTCCTCCTCTGTCGAGTTTCTTAACCTTTTCCGGCCCGGCCCAAAGCTTCCACTGCTCTTCAATCTGGTACCCAATAACATGTGTTCCCTCGACCGCAAACCATCCTTTTTCTTCCGCTAGCTTGATCATCCTAGTCCTTCTGGGCTTGAAGCACATATCAAGCAACACGCCCTTTCCTGGGCGAGACAGGAAGTCTTCTAGAGACGCTTTGACAGCAAGCTCCTCGGGAGACTTGGGTTCAAGATCAGGCACGGAGCCGACGACATAGTATGGCGTCTCAAGGCTCTGCGCATCACCTGCCTTCACATGAATGATCTTGGGGACGGGCGACAGCTTCTGGGAGTCCCGGACAAGATCATTAACTTCTTGCTCGTCTCTATTCAGGACGTAAATAACTGATGACTTGAACGCAGAGTTGAGTGCGTAGACAGCAGCTCGACTCGCTCCTCCAGCACCAACTATCAGAGCTGGCTTGTTTAAGACCGGCTCGTGGTCCCCCTTCTCCAACAAGCAGCCCTTGATGCCACGCCAGTCAGTGTTTGTTCCGTGTAGCTTCTTCGGGTCTTCCCAATCCCGGTAAACATTGTTGCAAGCACCGATAGTGGTGGCAAGGTCGTCAAGAACGTCAAGACGAGGTAGGATAGCGTTTTTGTAGGGCATAGTGACGACCAAGCCGGCTGTGGAGTCCTTCCTTGCGAGCTCCATCAGTTCATCAAGAGTGGCGCATTCTGTAGCGTAGAAGGTCCATGGAAGCCCCAGAGACTTTGCGATATGGTTGTGCATGGGCGGAGCGATTGAATGACCGACACCAATGCCCACCAGGTGTAGGGTACGATTTTCTTGGCTGTTGGAATCCATTTTGAAGCTGTAGACGTAGTTTGGTACGATGCTATACAATTCTCTGTGTTGGTGTCGCTGCTTTATTTTCCACGCGGAGTATTCTTCTGCCGCCTGGGGGACAAACAAGCTGGGGACAACTAGAGTTACTGGCCGTTACCCGTTGGCTCCAGGTGCAGCGGGGTACTGTTAGTGGTCCACTGCAGCAATCCCCCGCATTTTAGGTGCTCTCATGCACTATGATCACCGAAGATCCACCGTTCGCGGATGAAGACAATCAGAATTACAAGTCAAAACAACATTAATTAACTAGATAAGTAATTACTGGAAAGACCCCAAACTCTTCGTGTGTGGCAAATCCCTCAACCATTACTTCGACCAGGCACATCGTTCTGGAAGTGCTTCATCATGGTCCTGTTGCTCAATCTTTCTGTCTTGAGTCGCATCTTGCGCTCTGCCCGCTGAACAGTGTCCAGCTCCTTCTTTCTTTGAAGCAAGAAGCTGCGCTGCTCCGAAGAAGACATATGTATCAAGCTTTGCTGATCCCGCACACTTAGTCGGGCGAGCTGAGACGCCAACGCGGCGTCTTTCTTTTCCTTTGCTGCGAGAGCATCAGAAGAATTATTGACAGGTAGAGAAGCTTGGTTGTCTTGATCCTGTTTGTCATCCTGGGTCGATGTTCGTGGCTGTCGAACTGATGGCGCTGTACGATGCGAAAGAAGTTTCCCAGATGACAATCGAAGTGTCTCGCTGTCGACGGAAACTGTATTCTCAGATCCGTTTTTCTTGATACCTTCGAGATCATAGAACTCCAGCATCTCGTCCCACAGCTCAACTCTACAATGGCCTTTATCCACCATATGTTGCTGTATACCTTGGACAGTCCTGCTTCTTGTTCCACAGTAAATGCACTCTCGGTAGGCATTGATGACAAAGTAAAGATACCATATTAAAGTTTCCAGGTCTACACTGAGGTGGTTTTTGTATGGAATCCTAAGGCTGTGTGATGTTTCCATGTGTTGAAGGGAGTCATCAAAGGTTTGGCTGGTGTGGGTGCAGATGATGCATTGAGTGGACTGGAAATCCGGCGCCGAATCATGCGCGGCATCATCCTCAGTGCCGGAGTCCTTTTCGCTGTCGGATCCCTCTGGGGACTTGACTCCTGTCTTATTTCTTTGACTGGAGTAGGTATCATCATCATCAATTGTTGTTTCTAGTAGTCCCGAAGCAGCGGCGCGTTGCCTCAGAGCAGTGATACTAGAGATTATATTAACACCAATTCAATGACACCTACTAGCCATGGATACTTACTGCTCTTCACTCTTTGCATGGACCCTGTGCTCTTGACTATTGTCAAAAGACACGTCGCAAAGGGAACAGGTTGGTTTATTTGATGTCATAATGAATGGTGCGTATTGAGTAGAGGCGGTTGGGGCAGCGGTGGGACAAAAACTCGAAGGAACGAGTCTTTGCACTGTTTTATATTAATTCTCGAAGCTTCTTGGGATCATTGCATTTAAATTTTCACAACAGAGTGTAAGTTCAGGCGATTGAATTCGTGACTCACTTACCGGGCGGGGCAGTCTCAGTCAGGAAGCTGTGCATGATGCTGACAGGATCAGTAGATTATCAGCAGCATGTCGCCACTATCAGGTATTTCCACAAATAAGATACTGATCATTATCATTCAAAAGATAGTAACATGTTCTGCAACTGAAGGTTCATTAAAAACTGATATGTTCATTAAGTTTATTAAAGACGCTATAAAGTAACTCCATCCTATTCTATTAATTTCCCTTAAGCCTTCTTTTTCTTCCCGAAACTCCATTTCTTAACTCGGAAGACATAATAAGACGAAACAGCAATGAAAATGTTAAATGCAATATAAGCCCAAACAATACCGAAATTGCGCCACCTCTCGGTGTAGTAGATATTACTGCCAGCCAGGAACTGATCGGCATTGGTAAGTGAGCAGTACTGGCATTGCTGTGTAGCATCAGGGTTCTGAAGTGCTCCAGGTGCCTGAGCCAAGTAGTCGGCCATATATTCGCCACAGGTCTGGCCCGAAGGTGGGTTGAAGATGGATGTCTCCTCAGTGGAACATTCGACAGGTCGACCACCCAATTCGGTCGAGACAATACCAGCTACCCAGTAAGTGAATGGACTGACGCGATACATGAAGATCCAGAAGCCTGGGAGGGCTGTAGGTGGCTGAAGAACACCACAGAATGTCAGACTCATAAGAACCAGAAGAGTGACGATCGCAGATGCAGTAAGAGCGTCTGGGAACGCAGCAATAGTCATCTGCGCAAATGAGCTGGCGTAAAGCATGAGCTGAATCATGAACAAAAGCACAAGACCTTGGCGGGCTGAGCTCTGGATGCCAACAACGGGATAGTAGAAGCAGGCGAACATGAGAATACCAGTGAGGACCTGATAAGGGACTTCTACAAGTACGTTGGCGATCATGAAGGCCTTCCAAGAGTAGGCTTTGCTGGGCCTCTCTCGGACCTCGTACAGCTCACGTTGAGTGATAAAGTGAGGTTGAATCTAGACCAAATTAGTATGTGCGTAAAGATGTTCAGCTTGGAACTTACCTGTTGAACAAGAGTAGAGAAAACAGTAATGATCATAAAGACGGAGAACAAGATGTTCTGCATACCAGCCATAGTGGAGTCAGCCTTGAAGAACGAGAAGCCAACGAACAGACCAGCGACTGTGCCAAGGACCAGTTTCGACATGATGTAAGCCGGCATGCGCCAGTACTGCTGGAATACTCGCTTAGTAACTTCTCGAAGCTGGGCACCGAAAGGCATAGCAAATTCAGCGTGGCTGGCTGCATCGTCTTCGGGGGACTTCGATGACATGGTCGAGTGGATTCTCTCAACTTCAGCCTCGACATCAAGTCGCTCCTGGCTACCCTTCCAGACAGTGTGCCAGTCCTCTCCCTTGGAGCTCATGGCATTGTTGACGATCTCCAGCATCCATTCAGCTGGGTTCTCGTCATCACCACAGGTCCTGGCACCATGTCGCTCAAAGTAGTTGAGTAGGGTACGTGAGTTCTCGCCGATATCACCAAAGTAAACAGTCTTGCCACCCCGGGCAAGGAAGAGTAGGCGATCGAACTCTTGAAACAGGATGGCACTGGGCTGATGAACGGTACAGAGGACGGCTTGGCCAGCGTCAGCAAGCTTGCGGAGGAATGCAACGATAGCCCATGAACTCTGGGAGTCCAAACCACTTGTCGGCTCATCGAGGAAAAGCAGAAGCTTTGGCTTAGCAGCGAGTTCGACTCCGATCGTGAGAAGCTTGCGCTGCTCGACGTTGAGGCCCTCGCCGGGGACACCCACAACAGCGTTGGAGAAGTCCCTCATGTTGAGCATATCGATGACTCTCTCAACCCAAGCGTGCTTCTCCTCAGTGCTGACAGTAGCAGGCTGACGGAGCATAGCGCTGAAACGCAGACTCTCACGAACGGTGGCGGTCTCGAGATGAAGATCTGTGTCATGTTAGTAATGATCTCAGAAAGCGTAGAGGGAAGATTTACCTTGCTGTTGGACGTATCCAGTTTTCCTCTGGAAGCTGGCATCAAGTGGCTTGCCGTTGACAAACATGTCTCCAGTGATGACACCCATGCTGGTTCGCTGGGCTAGAACGTCCAAGAGAGTTGTCTTGCCGGCACCACTGACACCCATCAGAGCTGTGAGCGTACCAGGCTTGACCCAGCCAGTGACGTTGTCCAATAGTCGTCGTGGCTCACCCTTGATCTCGATATCATAAACAACATCCTTCCAAGTGAAGACATCGGTCTGAGGCTCAAGAACAGCAGTGCTGTCTGTACCCTCGCCAGTCTTCTCGGGCACACCAAGCTCCTCGTTGGTAGCGCTTCTGTCAACGCCGGCCTGGAGGTGAGCTGGAACATGACCACGTTGGAAGACGAGGACCTCAGCCTTGCTGGCAGTCTTGGAGTTCAGCTCAGTGGCGGTAAAGTAAATGAGCATGAAGACCACGAGGAACGCCAACAGGATACCAAAGTTGCGCCACACATGGGAGTAATAGTAGCGGTAGTTGGTCTGGATGAAGGCATCGCCGCTGACTGTTCGTTGACCGGCCACAGCTCCAACAGTTGAGCAGATCCATGAATCTCCAATGAGCTCGGGGTAGGCAGGAACAACAGCTGAGCAGATAAACTCGCGACCGTGGAACTCATTGGCAATCAGAATCTCAAAGGCGTAGAAGATCGGATTGATCCATCTGAAGAGTGTTAGTAACCGTGTAGAAAGAATGACATTCTGTACTTACCTGATCCAGCCAAACCAGTCAACCATTTGTGGCACTCGGATCATGAAACCAGTGTAGATAACAAGAGCCAGAACCATAATACCAGCGAGAGTCATAGCTTGCGAAACCGTCTTAGTAACAGCAGCCATGGTACGGAAGATGGCTGCCATCACAAAGGTCGAGATGTAGGTGATAAGGAAGAAGAGGAAGAAGGGGCCAGGTTCGCGACGAAGCCCAGCAAGGAAGTACAGGATGATGTTGAAGACGGTTGCTGAGACAAACTTGATGGGTATGTCAGCCACAATACCAGAGATAGCCTCGGCGGCAGGGTGATAGAAGGCGTAAGATGCGTGTTTCTCGACGATAGGGCGTTGGGCGTAAAGGTTGTTGATCTCAGAGATGGCTGCAAGGGCGTTCATGAGGATACCCATGAAGAGCACGGCTCCCTTGGAGTAGAAACTCGCAGTTGCATCGCCCGTACCGTAGTACACGGAACCAATGATGAGGGCCATGATAACGTTGGTGGCGACATTCGTGGCGGTTGCTGAAAGGTCGTTCCAGATCCGTTGGTAGGCTCGCTTGGTTGTGAGGCGAATCTGTGTCGCAAGGCTGATGATGTATGGGGACTTGGGTCGGACGTGTTTTCCTTGGCTAGGACGTAGAGTTAGCATTTGAAGTAGTGGTTGTGTTGTAAAGTGTACTTACACAAGGTTCTTGCGCGCTCGCAACGGAGCGATGGCCTCATGCCGGTCATGGACTGGGTATTCAGCCTGGTAAAGCTCGATCTCCTCGCGCAATTCCTTGTACTCGGACGAATTATGCCAGTACCTCTCAAAGTCCTCGGCGGTACGAGGGACCTTGTTCTCCATTCCTGCTCGAGCCTTTCGTTCTTGAGGATTGGTTACAGACGTGAGAAAGTCGCCAACGGTTTGACGCTGTGGGCATTGCCAACCCATCCTCTCGAAATAGGCCTTAGCTTTGATCGCAGGTCCAAAGTAGATCTGTCGGCCTTCGTACAGCACGACAGCCTTGTCAAAGAGGTCATAGATGGCTTGACTGGCTTGGTAGATGGCCAGGGCGTTGGCAGAGCCGGTGTAGTCGGAAGCCAGGCGAATTGCCTCAGCAAACTTCAAAGCAGTCGCTGAGTCAAGACCTCGTGTACTATTATCCCACGCAGCCATGGGCGACTGCGCCAGCATCATCTCGGCGATACTGACACGCTTGCGCTCACCACCCGAAACACCACGAATAAAATCGTTACCAACCTTGGTGTTGTATGTGTGACTCAAGCCACAGACAGCCATGACAATCTTGGTTGCGTTCTTGCAAGCTTCCTCGCGGGTCACTCCGACAAGGTTCTCGGAGTTGGAGGGCATTCGGCACGCAGCTGCAAACTCGAGCGTTTGGCCGACTGTCAAGTGAGGAAAGTGCTTGTCGACCTGTTCAGAAGACGCGTTAGTAAAGTCGGGAAAGATGAACTTGCAAGTCGCTTACTTCTTGGTTGTATCCTGTCTCACCCTTGAACTCCTTCATCATGTCCTTCTGTGAGACTCCATTGTATTGAATGGTTGACTGTTCGCCGACTCCGAGACCCTCGAGCTCTCCAGTCATGGTCTTGAGCAGTGTCGAACATCCAGAACCTGGGCGGCCAAGGACGATGAGAGTCTCACCACCGCGAAGAAGTCCGTCAAATCGGTGAAGAATTGTTTTCGGCTCCTTCTTGCCTGATCGGAGGTGTTCTCCCAAGCGCAATGGGGCCTGGACCAGATCAGCAAGAGTTTGTTGTAGCTGCAAGGCAGCGCCTGTTCCGTAGACGCTGAGGTCCTTGAAAGCCACGCCAGCACTCTTGGGTCCAACACCAGCTTCATTAAGCTGGCGCATCGTAGCTTGTAGCCATTTGGAAAGGTCAAAGGCTTTATCGGTCGGGTCTAATGCAGGGTCGTTCTCGCCGAGATCTGGGATTCGTGAAGGTAGTGTTGCCAGACTTTGTCTGCGATGTTGGGAGATGCCGGTAGCAATTCGTTGAAGTTCTTGGCGTTCTCCCTCTTCAATGATCATAGTATTCGTTCGTGTGAGTGGTGAAGGCTGGCCGTATGTGCTGCCACTGGAATATTGGGGATCCCTGCTCGACTCGCTGGATGATGATCCATCGCTATGGATTGAGTTCGGCAGGCTTTCCGTTGAATGCCTGGGAGCCATCTTGGCGTTGGTGTGGGAATTAATTGCAAGTCAATTGAGTACCAGGGCGAAGTGGATGGATACAATTGACAATTAATAATGTAGTAGATGATATTAAAGATAAACAGACACAATTATTAAGTTATGGAATGAATGGCTTTTGGGGAGGAAACAGCTTAGCTTTAAGCCCATGAACGGATTCAACGCAAACGGCGTGAGCTGACAGCGTCAAGCCCGTCAGCAAGCCCAACACTAATGGGATTAAGCTACGGGACACTGCGGACGCCGAAAACGTCGCCATTGGTAGAATCTTTAGTCGGAAGCTCGGTAGCTCCAAACTCTGCGTCTTACATGCTTTGGCTACCCTCGAGATTGACGTGTTTGTCGGGTGCTTTTTGCAGTCCGCTAGCCCGACCGGGGTGGAGAGGGATGCACTGCGGCTGACATAAATGAGCCATGATGACACAGATGTACCGGAATAATCTTTAGGTTTAGCGCGGAGCGGAGTTTCGGAAGTTTGGAAGAACCCTTGGAAGCCGCGCGCTAGTCCGCGGACTTTACGGGCTGGGATGGGAAGTCCCACTACGCTGACGCGGTTTTTTATCTCCTTTTCGACAAAAGCCAATGACGTCAAACAGATCGTGGAATTTTCTTCTGTTATCCAGTCCAACGTGGCAAAGATTACATTGTGTGAATACTCAAGGAGCGTGTATGTTTCAACTAGATTACTAGATTATCACCGTCTCATACCTGTTCATTGTGAAGCTATGAAACACTATTCGTGGAAGCAGGGGTAGACAATACAGAGTTAGCCAAGGTCGTTCCACTTGCTGAATCGCTATTGCAATCTTGTTCTGATACCCCAGTGAAGGGATGAATGGTCCCTCAGATCTACAGATAGCGGCCCGCAGCATGATGATCGGTAATTATCCCGTTGCGTGTCCTACGTGCCCACCGTACCGGGTTATTGGGAACCCCGACTCGCATTATTAGCATTTTCAGATGATGCTAAGCTCTTTGCTAGTTTTTCAATTGTCAATGCGCATTGCCACTGGCTTGTCAAATCTGAAAGTTAAAATACTTGGAATTCTAGATGTCTTCTGTACCTTCAACTACGTCAGAAAAAGGGCCGCTTAATTTGTTCATTGTGCATGTTGTGTTCAATTCATTTTGCAGATTGAAGAAGTCTAGGGTAACACATCATCTTGGAAATCCGGCCGGGCAGATCCGAAGGACCCTGCGTTAAAGTGCCCACCAGTTAAAAAGTGCGGATCTATGATATTCCGGCAAAACAAAACTACACTAACCTCATACGTGCTGATACGATGTTATCTTATCAGCACCGAGCTCGTTATCGATCGTCCAGGGCCATCTGCATGACAAGTTGACATTGGCATTTCCCACTTCGGCTGGCCAAGCATTTCTGTACCCACAAGTCCACCGATTGCGGATCTATGATATTCCGATAAAAATCTCTCGAGCACTAACCTAAAACGCGATGATAAGCCATTATCTTCTTATCATTACCGATACCGTGTTATCTTATCAGCAGGACGCGTTACTCCTTCAGCAACACTGCAACTACTTGGTGGATCAAGAACTCATCTTAATTGAGATTGCCTGATCGTGTAGAAAAGCAGCTAGTCCTATAACAGCATGGACTCTCCTCCACTGAGGCCCCCTTCTCAAGACTCGAGGGAAGATGACAATTTTCGTTTCAAGACCAACGGCACACCCTGTGAGTGGGGAGAAGCTTCTCACCCGGGCGCATATCATCCTGTCCAGCTCAGTGATGTTATAGATAATCGCTATCGTGTTGTTCGTAAATTGGGATGGGGTCAATTCTCCACAGTTTGGCTGGTGTTTGATACACAGTAAGGCACAATCACATACGCGTCTCGAAACACAGCTGATAGATATCCGTAGAGAGGATCAATATGTCTCTTTAAAAATTACTGTTGCAGATCGCGGTGGCAAAGAGGTATTCTCTTACAGATCCCACCTCTCAGATGGATGCGCGTACCTCGTCAGATTGCATGACGCTTTCACCATAATAGGCCCCAATGGAAAGCATGATGGGCTCGTGCTGGAAGTCATGGGTCCAAATCTCTCAGAGCTTCTGCATAAGAGACCCGATTTCCAAGTGGGCGAGCCTTGGGAGCGGCGGTTCACTACCGCATTTGCGAAGAGGGCATTGCTAGACACTCTAAAGGCTCTGGACTTTCTACACCAACGAGACGTGGTCCATGGGGATCTCCACTTTGGAAATATTCATACTTGCATTGGTCAACTCAAGGTTTCGCCAGAAACAGAGAGCAAATTACAGCAATCGGTTAGCGAAGGTCAGCCTTTGGTGCGTAAAGATGGTAAAAGGGATCTATGGGCGCCATCGCATCTTCTTGAACCGAGGCCTCTTCACAAATACTTCTCTGATGAACTCCAACCACTTGTAAAGCTTGCTGATTTGGGTGGTGGTAAGTCAATTGGAAAAATGCCAGTCCCATCGCGCACATCAAACTGATAATTTATGAATAGCATTCTCTAGCAAGGAGCCAATTACCGGGAGAGACGCAGTCACTCCTGTCGCTCTCAGGGCACCTGAAGTTATAGTCGACGATGTCGTTGGTAAGGGTCTTGACGTCTGGTGCTTTGGCTGCCTGATCTTTGAAATGCTCGTTGGGTGCCCGCTTTTTGTCGGGCTCCAAAATCTCGAAGGGAAACCATATGATGAGATCACGAATGACGAACACTTGTGCCAGATTTGGGACGTGATTGGCCCTTTTCCTCAGTCATTACGAGAGAAGTGGCGGCGAGCCGATAACTACTTCGGCTCCGATGATGAGAAGCTTCAACCTCAAGATGAGGGAGAAGACAGTCCGAACGAGGACAAGGACGAGGACATCAGGAATACAGGCAACAGTGCCAGCCTTGGTGCTGAGTCCGACGAAGAGATGTCGGATACTTCATCTGTGCCATTAGCCTATCCTGGCGAATATTCTTCCCTGGAGCGCCAGTTTGCAGATGAAAAGCCTGATGACATTAGAGAGACCGAAGAACAGGAAATATTGCATTTGCTACGATGGATATTTCAGTATGACCCAAGCCGTCGCCCGTCTACGGCTGAGCTTCTTGATCACCCGTGGGTCAGTCGCTCTCGAGGTAATGGCAGTAATACCACTCAGTAAAGGAAACTCGTTGGAAGCATTACATTCAAGTTATGGTGTCCAGAAAGATGTCATATAAATGTAGCATGAGAAGTTGAAAATGAAGCAATAGTATTACTACCTAAGTGATTGGTCCCTGCCCAGTTTACGAGGACTTATCGAAGGTTCCTCCCAAAATACCGGGTGTGCTTACGAAAGAAGTACCGTTGTACTTTCCTTGCTCGTCTCTACCGAGAAGGAAACTTTCTGGGGGTCCCAGGTAAGACTGTCTGACACCACCAAGGTCTACCACAATCTTCTGAATCAGGATGTTAGGCAACAAAGCCCAGATGCGAAGAGTGTATGCGCCCTCCTTGGGAACATCGAAGGAAGATGTTGTGTAGTTGCCATACAGACCCCAAACAGCATTACCGACAGCGTAACCCCATCCATCAGGCATATTGGTACCAACATTGGGGCCAATGGGCTGAACGATAGTTGGGTCAGGCTGATCCTCGCCGGATGGATACAATGCAATGGCATACTCGAGTGGGTTTCGGTCTCCAAGATAGTTGGCACCAGGGGACATGAAGACGGTCACATTGGCCGCAGAGTGGTTGGTGTAGAGGTACATGTTGTACTCCAACGCAGGGCCTTCTCCGACGTCCAGCTTCTCAGTGTCGAGAGGGTACAGACCAACACCAGCCAGAGTTCGACCATAGTTGTTGATAGTGTGGTACTCTGAGCTGTTCGACTCTCCCTCATGGATTTTCTGGTAGTGCGAAGCTTCGATAGAAACATGTCCATCAGACTCGACAAATCCTTCCTCAAAGCTGTCTGGCAGTTCTCGGTTGATGACTGTCGCCACGACCTTTGCATCTCGGCCACTGTATCTCTCAAAGCCCTGGCAGTCGCTAGTGACGTTGATGAAGACCTCCGTGGTGTTGGGAGCCTTGGGAGCCTTGTCCCAGTCGACTGTCACGTAAACTCGGCTATCGCTACCGTTGTTGCCACCGACTGTACCATTGTACTGAGAGAGCTGGACATACTCCTCCCACGGTGCTGCGAACCAGTTGCAAGACTTGGAACCTCGGTGGAAAACGTCGATGTAACGAGATTGAGCGCCATGGGGTTCCAGAGGAGGAAGGTTGAGGACGTTGGAGGACAGCGAATGATATCTGTCGTCTCCCATAACGGTAGCGTTGGAACCTTCAACACCGACACCATACTCACCACCAAGTGAAGGCCAGACATCCTGAACGAATCGTAGATCGGGAAGAGTGTTTCGCATAGGCTGTTGCCAGTAACCATCGTAGCCCAAGTGAGTCTGATCAAGCATGTGAGCCCACTTGCCGTCGAGAACCTCGTTCCACCTCTGGGTCAGGTTGGAGTCCTTGTACATCAGGTCTAGTGACTTCCAAATGACATCGTTGGCCGAGTTTCGCTTCTGTCCAGCGTAAAGCTGGTTCCTGGCGCCATAGATCTGAATCTTGTTGACGATCTCACCACCAAGAACTGGGTGAAGAAGCATCTCGAAGAAGGCAGGCTTGTACTCCTCGCCCAACTTGTCAAAGATAGCCTGGGTGTCTTCCTTCAAGATGGCCCATTGCTCCAAGACGGCTTCAGCTTCATGATAGTTGATGACTGAGTAGACATGTGGCTCTAACAACTCGAACTTGCGACGCGCAGCATACATGCCATAGCGAGTCATGATACTGGTGATAGCTTCAACATGCTCACTGCCGAATTCGCGCTCGACCCAGTGTTCAACCCACTTGGTAGTGCCGTCAGCCTCCCATCGCTCAGTATCATAGGCGAGATCCATGAAATGGCTGATAGGGATCTCCTTGGGCTTGAGATCTCCAACGTTGACGATCCAAATGCGACGGGCATTCCTGTGGTAAGCCAGAGTCATTTGCTCGGTGGTCTTCTCCAGTTGAATGGTGTTGATCCACTTGTAGTTTCTTGGGTCGCCGACATAGTCGAAATGGTAGTAGACACCAGCACCACCAGAGCGGTCTGTCTCGTTGGCGAGAGGCAATCGACGGATGTTTCCCCAGTTGTCATCAGCCCACAGGAGAGTGATATCCTCCGGAACTTGGAGGCCACGTTCCTGGTAGGATTGAACCTCCTTGTAAAGGCACCACAGTGAGGGGACATCGGTCAAGTTGTCAACCTTGAGTCCCTTCTTGAGAATCTCGCGTTGGTTATCGACAAGTGTTTCGAGCATGTTGACGATGCCATCGATTCCAAGGTCACCTTCAATGGCAGTGTCACCGGTTCCTCGCATTGCCATTGTCCACAAGCTGTTTCGCGCATAGGGCTTAGCTCTCTCAACTCCATACTCAAAGTACTCATCAATTGTCTCATTGTTGGTGTGGTATTGCCACTCTCCGTCGTAGAAAGTTCTGAATTCATTCTGTGCTCGCATCATGGGTTCAGTGTGAGAGCCTCCAAGAACGATTTCGTAGGCGTCGAGGAGGGGCTGGTTGAATGGGTCATCAATGTAGACCATGCTGCCCCAAACAGTTGGCCAGAGGTAGTTGGCGCGAAGACGAAGCAAGAGCTCCGAAACCAGAGCGTAAAACTCATGGTTGTAGGGAGCGGCGTTGTTCCAAGTAGGCTTCCAGCGAGATCTGAATGATTAGTGCAGTCCACGTGAGAGTTTGAATTGAACTTACCCAACCCAGCTAGACAGACCAGGCTGCTCGTCGTTGAGGAAGATGCCTCGATACTTGACTGAAGGCGATTTCTGAACCTTTGGCTTGGAAAGGACATAGATCTCATCCCTCTTGCGAACAGGGACATCAGCCCACCAGTACCATGGGCTGACTCCAATCTGTTCGCTGACATCGTAGATACCGTAGATGGTTCCTCTAGGGTCGCTTCCAGCAATGACCAGGGCCTTGGCCGTTCCGTTGATGGGGTCCTCGACAAGTTGACTAACGAAAGACTCCCATTTTCCATCAATCTCACTGACATCGATCAGACCTTGGTCAATGAGTGAGTCAATGATTTTAGAATGGCCAATCGTACCAGCGATGATGACTGTGTTAGTATCATCAGGGTCTGAGTACGAAGGACCAGAAAAGCTCTGCTCCTCCAGAGTACGGTACTGCAAACTGTTAGCTATCGACAGACGCTCGGGTAGACAAAAGTACTGACGTATGTGTTATTCTTGACATCAACGGGTTCAAAGGTGTACTTGGCTGCAGAAGCATCCTTCTTGCCGTTGCTGAGCGTGAAGTTTGTACCAGTGACACGTCCAAAGTCAACGGCGAGGTCTCCAGCGGCACGAATTACTCCCCAGTATTCGTCCTCGGAGACACGAATTTGTCCCTTGCCGACATCGCCTCCAACGATCTGGAAAGCATTGTCGGATTTGTTGAAGGAAACAATAGCCTGCTGACCTAGAGCTGACGCCAAAGGCACCAAGCCCAGCAAGGTAAGTGGTACCCGTGAGAGCTTCATCGCCGGATAATGATAAAGATTCCCAGGCAGACGGTATCAAGCCATTGGTAGCAGCTATTCAAAGACTTGCACCAGCCATTCTTCTATTATAACAAACTTCCGGATAAATGCAACAAGCATCTTTCGAGAAATCGAGTTTAGGCATTATGGAATCGTTCATTAAAGTGGAACATGTTCTTTAGCAAGTTGGGGTATGATCGTCACGATGTAGCATCAGCCCCACAGAGCCGGGTTCCTTATTAGCCACAAGACCGGCTGTTTTCAAGCTTGAGTGATTAGCCCGACGAATTGGCCAACCGAAAGCCTTGCAGGAATTTACCCACGATCATCAGGCCAGGCGGTGGACGAAAATTAACATCTTATTCCAACAACCAAGTGATTCCCCGCACCTCGGCAAAGGCTCGTGATTTGTGGAAATGCGATTGTGCATGAGGACGATATTCCGACCGGGGAGAAAGCCGCCTGAAGTCATGTTATATACCAACCACTTCCAGCAAATAAAGGCTATATGATGTGAGATCAAGAGCACCCTGTCAATATTGAACGACCGATGCATAATAGTAAGATGAATTCATAATTGTATTAAATAAATTCTAAACCCCAAACCTCCACTGCAGAAGAACAAGAAGTCTAGCTAACCAAGGAAGCCCTTATAACTAGCCATGAGAAACAATAATGTACAGGAATGCTAATATCGGACAAGAGCCCTAAAAACTGGAGCACAAATCATTAATGCTTACAACAGTTATGCTGCACCATGCAATGCTAAGGTACCATGAAACTCCAACAGTAGAATAAGTATTCTACAGGACGAAAGCGAAACCGGCCATGGCAGCAGCCAGACCAGCGAAGGACTTGGCAGCGCCAGCGGTCACAACGGGAACCTCCTTAGCGGGAGCCTCAGGGTGCTCGGGCTTAGCAGGAGCCTCAGGGTGCTCAGGCTGTTGAGGCTTAGCGGCAGGCTGCTCGGGTTTGGCGGGGGCCTCGGGGTGCTCGGGCATGTTGGGGTGCTCAGGCTTAGCAGGGACACCAGACTTGACAGGCTTGGAAGGAGTCTCAGGGTGCTCGGGCATGTTGGGCTTGGTGGGGTGCTCAGGCTTGGGCTCAGGGACAACAACGACAGGAGGCTTGCCAGAGTGGACGGGCTTAGGAGGGCTGACAGGCTTGGGAAGGTCGACGGGAGGGTGAACGGGCTCGCACTCTCCGTTGGAGCACTTCTCGTAGGTGTAGCAGTCGTCCTTGCAGGTGTCGAAGTAGTAGCGGTCCTCGTCAACGTCGCAGACAAGCTTGCGGGCATACTCCTCAGAAGTCTCACGGACACAGCTGGAGCCGTGGCAGATGATTCGCTGGTTGAGGTCGTGCTCCTCGTAGTCAGAGTAGTAGCAGCTTCCGTTCTTGCAAATCTTGATCTTGTTCCAGGTATCATCGTAACACTCACGAGGAGCACAGAGGTCATCCTCGCAAACGACTTGCCACTTGGTGCAGGTAGGGCAGTGGACCTGGGGAGCACAGTAGTTACCGTAGCAGATGATGATAACGTCAGTAGGAACGACGGGCAGGAGAGCGATAACGGTCTTGGTAGCAATAACACCGCTCTCAGTGAAGGTCACGGTAGCGGTGGTGGTGGAAGCATCAAGGGTCTGGGTCACGATGTCGGTGTTGATGACAGTGTCGGTGGCACCGGGGTTGACACCGATGGCGACGTAGATGGAGAGAAGGATGTTGATGTCAACGCTCTGGCGACGCATGATGCGAGAGCCAGTGATCATACCACCACAGTTCTCAGAGTCATCGCCAGGGCAGATGATGTCACAGAGATCGGTGCCGACAGATTGGGTAAGCTCAAGGTCGAGCTCGGAGCCACAGTAGCAGCTGCCATCGTTGAGACCGAAGAAGTTGGAGCCAGCACAGGCCTCAGCACACTCATCGGAGTCGTTGTCCTCGCTGTTGTAAGCAAGAGCGAAGCCAGGGAAGCCATTGCCAGAGAAGCAGCCGAGGAAGTTGAAACCGGCAGGGTTTCCGATGCCACCAGCGGCGCCGGTGGTGGTAGCAGCAGTGGTAGTCTCGGTGCCGGTAGTCTCGGTACCCACAGTAGCAGTGCCAGTCTCCATGGTAGTGGTGTTGCCGTTAACGAAGCGCATGGTGGTGAAAGTGTTTGCCTGAGCGGCAACCATTTGGCCCATGGCAAGGGCGAGGACATCGGTGTAACGCATCTTGAAGGTTGAGGTGTTTTGAACGATTGACTGATTAAACGATTGTGAAACTCTGGAAAGAGTAGTGAGTGAGTGAAAGGAGGGTGAGAGAGTTGTTTGATGATGAGAGAATAGTATAACTTCGGGGGCATGGAGTCCTACTTATACCTGATGATCTCGAGGACTCGGTATGAGAATTGAGACTTGCCCCTATCATCAATACCCACTACCCGCAATCGCTTCATAGCGTTAGAGAGAATTTGCTCTATTCAGTAAACGCCAAGCGATGGAACATATCGGATTTGAGACATGAAGTTCCAGCCGCCAAGCAGAGAATGCAGTCGTTGGTTGAACATGTCTCACTCCACAATTAACAAGGGAAGCCCCCTGACACTAACTGACTTTACTGCCATTGGTGAGATTGTTTTGAATTCCCGGCCGCATTGTAAGATTATTCTAAATTCCAAAGATCACGATACCGGAGAAATAGTCACATTGTTTGCGAGTAAGATCTAAATGAATGCGACATTGGCCCAAGACATGGGTAAATGACAATACCTTAGTTGGCGCACTCTTGGAAATGATTAAAGATAGTCCATACCAATGGGATCAGAAGCAATCTAATTGAAGTAAGGATAAGCTTGATTTGAATCTTAAATCGGTAGTGGTGTCACTCTCCAACAGTCATGTTTTGTCCCCACTCTAGGTATTGGATAACAGCGAAAAAGATGCCGGTCCGAATACCTGGGTGTTTGTTGCTGCAGTGATCTTTCATTATGCCGAAACAAACCCCTTGAAACTGAAGGCGAAAACCTGCTGGATATCGCCCCCTAAACCGATGACAATCGGAGCTTGAATAGTCCAGATGTGTGCGAAGTGCCGCCCCATTCCCCGTCTCGTCCACCCTCGGCTTGAGTGGATCCGGTTCATTGGAGAATTCTAGTCGAAATGAACTGATGTTAGAATACAATGCTACATCGGATAAGAGATCGAGACTGATAAGAAAAATGTTCCGAGTTCCTTGAGTGTTGGTTGTCTGGCTGGAATACTATCGAGAAGGATGTACGCTGACATCCCTCGAGAGTATCAGGGCTGCACCTACATCCCGCCCTCGTGACCATTTTGTACAAGGATTTCTAACCCTCAAAAGGAATAATTGATGCAGCCATGGTATAGATATAGAGTAGAGGACAACAGTAAATCTCATCATTGGTTGCAATGCAGTCTGGGAGCTCCAAATGTGGGTTTGTCAGCCTTGCTACGTTATTGATCTGTCTACCCTATCTATTTCACCAGTCGAAACACTCCCAATGCGTCATGCAATTGGCCAAAAACACCGTCATGCCAGCTCGTGACTTGTTTCCACTCGTCATCTGGGAACGTGACACTCATCATGCGGAGCCACGCACCAACGATAATATCAGCATAACTGGCACTGGCTCCAAGCAGGAAGGGTCCGTGCGTGTTTCTCTTGAAAAGCACCGCCAGAGTGCCCAGCATCTCTTTAAGAGACTCCATAAGTTTGATTCGCGCTTCATCGCTCAGCGTGAAGTCGTCCCATGACGATAGTCCTGCACGGCTCAAGAACTCGGCTTTGCACTCGTCTTCTCTGGCAGGATCAAATGGCATACCCTGAACCCCGAGTTGAATATGAGCAGTAAATGCCGCATCAACGTTCATGTTGAACTTCGCATAATCGGGAAACTTCTTGTTGTTGCATTCCGACAAAGGAATCAGTATGTAGGGATGCTCAAAGTCGAAGTCGAGTTTCTGAGCCGGGAATAAATCACCCACGCCTTGGTAGGTCTTGTTCAGGTAGATAGCGATGTCGAATGAGTCACCCAGTATAGTACCAGTGGCCGTATCGTTAATAACAGGTAAAGTTTGCATGTCTTTGCCATCGGCAAACTTGCGACTTGCTGGGATGTTAAGGCTAAGTCGTGTTTTGGCAACATCTGGGAGAGCTACCCATTGTGTTAAGTACGGGGCGCCTTTGAAATTGAGGGCATATCGGGCTTTCCAAGGGTTAGGAGCATAAACATGCTTCTCCACTGGAGCAGCGGGTTCAATATCGTAGAAAATAATCTTTTTTTCGTCCATGGTAAATAAAAGTGCGACGCAATGGATGTAACGCAATGGAAGTATTTCTAGTGAGGGGGAGATACGCGAAAACTCAATTCAATACGTGGCCCATCAAGTTGACCCGAGACATTTACAGTGGTCCAAACCAATTTCAGCCACGAATTTGATATGTAGGCATACCAAGCGCCACAATTAAATGTGGCTGATGCTGAGATCTAACAACAGGTATCTATACCCTGCAGGAAATTTGCTACTGTCCGCCGTTGTCTGTACTTGGCGCTTGTCACATCTACTGTATAGTCTCAAGGCTATTGGATAATCTAAGTCCTGAAACCTTTCAATGAGTTCATGGTATAAAATTGCTGAGAAGATGAAAGCATCGTATGTGAACGATTTCTGAGCTATCGGCATGGACCATGCTAGTCGGCAACACCGGCCGCCAAGAGCCATGCGGTAGATGACAAGATCCACATCTGGCGTTTCCCAGAACTTCATTCGTGTTCCCGTATTAACTTCAGTGTCAATGTCAGTAGCAGACCCGCAACGCAGGGTACAAACAGTGACCCAAGAACCAGAACCTCGAGAGTCTGGATGTCTTGGCGGAGTATTATAAAACGATAACCGTCGTACTGATGAGAGAAGAAGCGGTCAATTCATTTGTCTTTTACTTACTACAAGACATCACTCCTTCGAAATGCCCGGTGAATTTCAACTGAGTCAGTACAGGGCTGGTGGTGGCCATCCCACCGGTCAGCGCAATGGCATCGAAGAGACCCTCGAAGAATCTTTCCTTAGCTACTACACTGGCTTATTCAACAAATACGCCGGCGCTGATGGAAAATGGAACCGTGACCAGATCGGCCTCTTCATGCATCACGTCCAGGCTGAAAACCCTGACGGCCTCGCCGCTTACCTAGCAGACCAAGACTCACTCAATGTGCATGAGCTGATCAAGTATCTCACATCACCCTGTGGCAACGTACTTGAAATGGCAGCTCCTCAAGACCTGTCATGGCCTTTGAGCAATTACTTCATCAGTTCAAGTCACAACACCTACCTTACCGGCAACCAACTTTCCAGCGATTCAAGCACAGAAGCATACAAGGATGCTCTTTTACGAGGATGTCGATGCGTTGAGATTGACGTCTGGGATGGAGAAGAAAAGTTCAAGCCAGGAGTGGATGATGACGAGCACGAAGGAGGAGCCAAGGAGTTCAATGGCGAGACCAAAAAGCTAGGCTTCAGAGACCGTGCAATCATAAAGATTGGTCGATGGGCGATGAATAAGTTCGATCCAGTCGATCCCGATGGCAGAACTGTTGACGATAGGCTTGCCGACATAATGCAGGCTGAACCGCGAGTCTTGCACGGGTTTACCATGACCAAGGAAGTTTCTTTCCGCGATGTCTGCAAGACTGTCGGGGAATACGCATTCACCACCTCTGAGCTCCCACTCATCGTCAGTTTGGAGGTGCACTGTACCCCGTTGCAGCAATACGCAATGGTCGATATCATGCAGGAAGCCTGGGCAGACTATCTTCTACCAGAGGTGGAAGAGGATCCTACACACTTGCCTTCTCCAGATGAACTGCGAAAAAAGATTCTCATCAAGGTCAAATATGTCCCGAACGACAAGTCGAAGAGCGACACCTCAGATGATGATGAAAGTATGCTTGAGGTCGTCACAGAAGGAGATGAGAAGAAAGTCAAGAAGGTCAAGGCACCCAAGATAACACAACGTCTGAGTCGCTTGGGCATCCATACACGTGGAATAAGTTTCAAGTCACTGAATGAGCCTGAAGCTACAATGCCTAACCACATCTTCTCGCTCTCAGAGGATATGGCGTTCTCTATCCAGCGAAAGCTACCCAAAGCCCTCTTCTCTCACAACCGACAATTCCTCATGCGCACCTATCCCCACGGTCTACGCTTTGACTCCTCCAACTACGATCCTGTCATGTTTTGGCGTGCAGGTGTACAGGTTGTTGCTCTCAATTGGCAATCCTGGGACTTGGGAATGATACTTAACGAGGGCATGTTCATGGGCTCGGACGGCTATGTCCTCAAGCCTGAGGGTTACCGCCATGACACCAACCGAAGCTCGGCGAGTCATGACGACAACATTTCCATTCCAACCAAAACATTGGAAAAACTGGCTATTACTGTCGTAGCAGCTCAGAACATCCCTCTGCTGAACAGAACTGACGACCCAGCCAAGTTCATTCCATATGTCAAGATTGGGTTCCATACAGAGCCAGATGCTTTCAAGGCTATGACTTCTGAGGATCAGGCTCCGGAACAAGCCAAACAAGCAGGCTACAGCGGGGAAACTTCCAAGAGCAAGGGTACAAGCCCAAGCTTTGGTGAGGATACCATCGAGTTTCTTAATATTGAGGGTGTTGTTCCTGAGCTGGCCTTCCTTTCAGTCAGGGTGATGAATGATGTTCCTGGCCCAGACGTGATGGCTGCTTGGGCATGTGTGCGACTGGATCGGTTGAGACTTGGATATCGCTTCCTTCGGTTGCTGGACAAGGATGGTATGCCGAGCAAGGGAATACTTCTGGTGAAGGTTGCGATGAGGGAGGTTAAGTAGTTTACGTTATAATACACTCGACTTATTTAAATACCATCTGACTTGGTACTATCATGTCTGTACATAAGCTGGCTTGATCAACATGACAAGTAATACTATTAGATTTTCCGAGTCGAAGACAGATGAGTTCTAGATACAAATGAGCATCTTTTTGGAGATGCTGAGGCGAACTGAGACGATGAATAAGAGTCCCACCAGGGACATAGCTCCTGCATAGTAAGCTGCAGGCCGAAAGACAGAGACATCCTCATCTCCATGTGCTCCGGCCAGTGAATAAATGCCTGACGCAATCGGTGTACCCTGTGATAATTAATATGGAGTCTCTCAAGCCGGATATAACTGGAACTCACGAAGAAGAAGCCACAGAACCAAGTTGTCCAAACAATGGGTAAGATACCGAGCGTATTCTCAGGCCCCATTGTCGCGCCCAACATGGGAGGGACAAGACTGAAGTAGGCACCGCAGCCAATGCCATTGAAGACGAGGAAGACAGAGAAGATACCTACTGTCGATGCCAAGGGCCAGACGACTAATGAGCTGAGACCAATGAAAAGTAGGCAAACGATCAGACTGTTGATTGGACCAAGCAGATGGTCAGCTGTATAGCCTCCTAAAACTCTGCCGATGGTCGAGGCAAGGTTCCAGGCTGCTAGTATCACAATAGCGATTTGATTTGAGTAGCCCATGGATTTGGAGAAGATGGGAATGAAGTAAGGTGGAATAAATAGTGGAAAGGTTGACAGGGCAGTTCCTGCGATGACTAGAAGGAATCGTGTTTCTTTGAACCGATACCTGGGAAAGACAGTTAGCTGCTGAATGCGGAGACGGAAGAAGGACATATTGACATACCATTGAAGGTTTAACCCTGCGCTGGCTGCTCCAGAAGGTTGCTGGATGAAGTACGACGCCGGTATGCAGACAAACCATAGCATGAAGCCGAGGATGCGGAATGTCCAAGCTACATCCACCTGTTGCACGAGAAGGTTTGTTGCAATGCTCATGATAGCTGCTCCAAGACTTCCCCCTCCGAATACAATGCCCATCGCTAAACCTCTGTGTCGCTTGAACCATCTCAGTGGGGCAGTTGAGCAAGCCTAGATATATGTGAGCAAGAGTGTCGTATCATAGAACAGAGCATGCATGAACTTACGAAAATTGAAAGTCCTCCACCTATGCCAAAGATAACGCCATGGAAGACAAAGAGAGCCCCAATATGCTTCGTTGTCCAACTTGCAAGGGACTCTCCCAGCCCCATCAGAATTCCACCAGAAAGTGCAGTCTTTTGGTAGCCAATCTTCCGAACCGCTAAGCCAGAAAGAATACTAAGGGATATCATGAATGAGGTTGCTAGCGACCCGACAAAAGTCAAGGTTGTCAAACTGGTTCCAGTCACCTCAACAAGTCTGACTTGCATGATACCCCAGGAATAGATAACTCCGAGATAGCAGAAAAGCGAACAGGCTGCTGCCGCCACTGCAATCCAGCCTTTGGGGTCGTCAAACTCAAAGGGCGGTGGAGTTGGTGATGTATCATCGGGTCGCGACTGGTCGGTTTCGTTACCTTTCTCATTGTCGGAGGAGTTTGATGAGTATGGCAAATCGGTGCATGCTTCTGGAGTATGAGTCACCATTGTTGAAAGATGAAAGAGAATTGGTATGCCGAGGAATTGTACGGCGGAGAAGATACGAGCAACAGTTCTGTTAAATATTCTTCTGACATCTTCCGTCGGCTACAACAAAGGCAAAGCCGACAGCAGAACCGACGCCCTGACGATAACATCCCAGCCCAGTGGATCATAAAGCGTGATAATGTTTGTCATAGGAATGTTGAGAATGGCCGATGTCCCGGTATTAGTCGGGTGGTCGGTCTTCGGCATAAAATCTATCATTCCCGAGTTCCGATCAGGTACATCGGATTTCGGCTTTGAGCTTTTATAAATGAGCGTCAGGACTACGACAGGACAACAAATAATTAATTCTTCAAGCACAAATAAGGAAAGACTTCAATTGTCCGATCGAATAATCTTAACTTCACCGAATATCTTTTCTCTACCTCCTATGCAGCCATGGCTCCCTCAGTTATTGATGACTTCACAGAGGTTTCACCTCACCAACACTCTGTCCCTGTGAAGCCTTTGCATCACGAAGGCCCTTTGATGCACAGATCACTCGTACAAGAGCCATACATGGTTGAGTCAGCAAGTGGAATTGAATTGAAGTTATCCACCGGACAAACAATCATTGATGCATGTGGAGGTGCAGCGGTCGCCCTCATCGGCCATGGCAATGAGGAGGTCATCCAGGCCATAACAGACCAGGCTCGCAAAGTCAGCTACGTTCATACGCAATCATACACCACTGCACCTGCTGAGGAGCTTGCCGAAATCCTGTTGCAAGGCAACCCCCACGGCCTTGAGAAAGCATTCTTTGTCGGCAGTGGCAGCGAAGCCGTTGAGTCAGCATTGAAACTTGCGCGCCAGTATCACTACGAGAAAGGTGACCTCGACAGATTGCATATTGTCTCTAGACGTCAATGCTATCACGGAAACACAATGGCCACCATGTCTATCTCTACCAACCTCGCTCGACGAGCTCCTTACCATGGCTTCCTCTATCCCAACGTCTCTCATGTTTCGCCTGCTTTTGCCTATCACTTCAAGGGCGATTCCGAGAGCGAGGAGGAATTTACCGCCAGGCTTCTGGTCGAGCTTGAAGAGGAGTTTCTACGAGTTGGGCCAAACAAGGTCGCTGCGTTTATAGCTGAGACCGTAGTTGGCGCAACCTCCGGCTGTGTCGCTGCACCTGCTGGGTATTTCAAGGGCGTCAGGGAACTATGTGACAGGTATGGAATCATCATGATTCTCGATGAGATCATGTGCGGTGTTGGTCGCACCGGTACCTTTTTTGCCTTCGAGCAGGAAGGGGTCGCGCCTGATATTATGACTATTGCCAAGGGTCTCGGTGGTGGCTATGCAGCCATCGCTGGTGTTCTCATCAACAGACGGGTAGTAGATGTTCTCAGACAGGGATCAGCTGCTTTTAACCACGGACACACATACCAAGCTCATCCTATCTCGTGCGCCGCGGCACTAGCCGTTCAGAAGATCATCAGGCGCGATGATCTGGTCGAACGATGTGCTAAGATGGGTATGATTCTGGAAAGAATGTTGAGGGAAGAGCTTGGCGACTGTATGTCAGTTGGCGATATTCGAGGCCGAGGATTGTTTTGGGGTGTTGAGTTTGTAAAAGATCGAGTATCGAAGACGCCATTTGATCCGGCAGCCAAGTTTGGACTGATGGTCCAGCAGCTCGCCTTTGAGAAGGGCGTCGCTCTGTATCCTGGAGGTGCAACTATTGATGGCGTAATGGGAGATCACATTCTGCTTGCGCCACCGTTCACAGTGACGGAGTATCAACTGCGCACCATTTGCCGAACGCTAAGAGAGGCAGTAATGGAGGCAGAGGGGAAAATGACCTCAGATTAAGGTCCATTTTATGTAATTTAGAACATCTTTGAGTATAAAAATAACGTTTAGAATCGATTGGCATAAGGAAATATTGACATGGGCTATGAGAATTTAGCAAATAAAAATGTTAGACGTGACATTCTTGAACCTACTTGTAAGTTGTAACCGAATGGACTCACAATCAATGCTTATGAGAATGCCCACAAATGCCACGTGGTTGAAGAACCTGGAAAGCCCTCTTCCCTTCCTGCGACAGATCTCTGCCCTGAAGACCACCAACACTCCTCCTGTTGAGAGTCTTAGAAACAGTATCGTTGTTAGGGAACTTGGCCTCAACGCCATTTCCAAAGTCAATCTCATCAGCAATATAGACAAGCTCACCGCCGACCATTGTCAACAAGGCCTTCTGGCGAGCGATTTCATCCTCGGGTACCTCGAAGTAATTCGCCTAGAGAACAATGGCGTCAGCGAGCTTACCGACTTCGAGTGACCCGATGTATGCGTCTACACGGAGGAACCTCGAGCTCTCAGTGGTAATGGCGCGAATGGCTTGCTCTCGAGTGAGCGTCAATGCTGGAAGACCCTTGCCTTCATAGGGTGCACCTTGAGATGCAGGAGAGCGTGGGATTTCTGGATCACCTGATCGAGTAACTTCAGCCTTGAAAGAAAGCCACTCGTCAAGAGGGCCAATCTAGTAAAGGATGTTAGACATATAAGGTTGAGAGATATCAAGAGACTTACCGGCCAGTCACTGCCATGCACAATCGCAGAGCCAAACTTGGCAATCTCACCAAAAGCTTCCAGATATTGCGCCCGTCTAGGTCCCATACTCTTGACACCGTTGGGAAACCATACAGAACTTGCCTACGACCACCAAAAGTTCATAATAGGGTCAGCCTTGAGCTCAGCGAATCGTGGCCAATCTGAAGGATCGGTAACTTCATTGTGGGCGAACCCGACACGGTAGTCACGGAGCTTGGGGTTCTGTTCTCTGACAGCTTCTAGAGCGTCAAAAGCAGTTCGGACGGCCATGTATCCGTCAACGTGGATCTGTGCGTCGATACCGTTCTTGAAAAAACCAGTGAGAGTACGGGTGAGAAGGTCATTATCCCAGTATGTTTTCGGCCCGGTGTTAGACTTTGGCTTCCACATTGACCTGTTGTCGACAGGTTGAAAGTAGGGTTCAATGAGGGATCCGGTGTTTGGAGGGTACAGAATAACGCCATCCATAAACATCTTAACAGCATGCCATTTGAGGGATGCCATAGATCCAATTTCCTCCTTGCCGTTCCACCGCTACGTCACATTCACAGCATCTTCATCCAGATCATCAACTCCTGTGGAGTTCTCTGGAGGGGTGATGGAGTAGTCGAAGAAACCTCTAGCGCTCAAACCACCTTCCTTCTTCACTGCAGCGAAAGCATTTGCCGCGGTCTCGTCAGCTCCAGCATCCTGAAAAGATGTGACGCCTTCTTGTCGAAGAAGCTTTAGGGCAGCTTTAACGGGTTGGACATTCTCCTCATATGTGGGAGGACTGGGACCAGATAGTAGCCCGCTTGCAGAGTCTTGCAAAATGCCCGAGGGCTCTCTGCCGCCTGCAAGACGTTCGATCTTGCCATTTCGCTGATCTTCAGTCTTGCTGGTGATTGAAGAAGCCTTCAGGGCGGCAGAGTTTACACAGAAAGTGTGCATATCGGCAGAGTTGACCAAGATAGGCCTCTTTGTCTTGAGAGTGTCGAGGTCTTTCTTGGTAACGCCCCCAATCGCATCGGAGAGGGCATAAAGGTCAAGGTAAATAACACTGTCGGTCTTATGACATTCACATGATAGAAGAAATGAAAGTTTCGTAGCGAAAATGATTAATAGCTCTGAACTACCAAACTACGCTTCAAAACCAAGAAACAAAAAAAGGAAGAAAAGAAGAAAGGCTCTATGAACTACCCGTTCGAAGCCAGGGAACAATACCCCCACCCTGGCTCAGCGTCTTCTGCACCAAAGTACCTGTCAAAGAATCAAGACCTGCATTCTTAGCACGATCTAGCCACTCCTCCACACTGACCGTCTCCATACTCTTGGCCTGCTCCGTCTCAAAATAATTTTTCACATCATGAACGGCGACCTTCTGTGTACCACAGTGGTGACGATAGACTACCTTGCCCTCGCCAATCTCAGCGACTGAGCGGACAATGCCTTCCGCTACGTTTTCGACAGGGACAAAGTCAAAGTAACCCTTCCAGCTAGAAAGATCTGGGAGAGAGCTTGTCTCAGCCGAGTAGTGGAAGATGTTCTGCATCAAGTCCTGTGTTGGCGCATTCGTACCCGTAATGTTGGCTGGACGATGGATCCAGACTGGAAGGCCATGCTTTGTGTAAGTCTCCAAAATATGCTCTGAAGCCCACTTGGAAGCGATATAGCCGAGTGACCCATCCACCGGTGGCTTGTAGTCAGAAACTGAAACTTCAGCAAGGCCGTCTTGACCAGTGAGATTAACAACACCACCAGTAGAGACAAAGTGGAAGGGAATGCTTCGTGCAACTGCCATTCGGGCCAGTTCCCGGGTCGACTCAACATTGGACCGTCTAAGGGATTGATATTGCTTGAGGAATGAAACATCAGCACCATTGTGGACAATGCGGTCAATCGATCGGGCGAATGTATCAAATTGTTCCTCAGACAATCCAAGAAGAGCCAGAGATAAATCCCCCGGGTAGCAGACAACTCGCGATGAAGAGAAGACAGGGTCTAGCTTGGACGAGGAACGAATGGCAAGGCAGTGCACCTTTGCCACACGTTTGTCTGCAAGGAGCGATTTAAGGATAGAGAGACCTAAGAACCCAGTTGATCCAGTCAGGGCAACTTGCAAGTCGTTGCACTTTTGAGATGTTTGTGGTTCTGTAGGCGAGATAGTCAAATCGACCCGGGTTTCCTCGACCCAGTCAATTGGCTTCGTGTCAATAGCCTTAGCTGACCCATCGATCTTGGCGGCCATCTCACTAAGCATGCTCCCCTGGAAAAGATCAAACACGGAAACAGTGACACCGAACTCACGAGAAATATACTCCCTCAGTGTAACAATGCGAAGGGAGTTGCCACCAGCAGCAAAAAAGTCGGTATCAGGTCCAATACTGACGTCTGCGGTGACAGGAGGTAAAGCCTTGAGCCAACCTAGCTTGAGTCTCTCTTGAGTCTCAGAGAGCGGTTGCGGAACGACATCGTCATCCACCAGGACAGGAAGAGCATCAAGAGCGTACTGATCCAGCTTACCAGAAGAGTTCATAGGCAATTTATCGGTGAGGACTATTCTGGCTGGGATCATGTAGCGAGGAAGGCATAGCTCTTTTAGTAGCTGCTTCAGATAGGTTTTCACGTCCGGAGGCGAGTGGGCCTCAGAGATGATGGCGAAAGCAACCAAGAAAGCACTGTCTCCGTCACCGCTCTCACCTTCTCTTAAAGACACAGCCGCTTCGGGAATGACTCCCTTTGAGGCCTTGACGATGGTGTTGGCGACATCTTCGAGTTCAATACGGAATCCTCGGAGCTTGATCTGGGAGTCGCCAGCAATACGTCCAAGGAAGGCGATACGCCCATCAGGTAGGAACCTTGCCTTGTCTCCGGTGCGGTACATGCGGGTCCAACCACGAGAGATATCCTCAGGTGATGCAAAAGGATCAGGAAGAAACCTAGCTTGGGTGAGGTCCCCCCGGTTCAAGTATCCAATCGCGATACCACAGCCACCGACAACCAATTCGCCCGGGAATCCAGGACGGACTGGCTGCATGTTCTCATTCAAGATGTAGCAAGAGTAGTTGGGAAGAGCGAGACCGATACTAGGGTTGCGGGTGTCGTGAGGAGTCGTATCGCTAAGCTCATTGAGACCACAACTACTGTTAATAGTAATCTCAGTCGGTCCATAACCATCATAGAGACTAAGATTCTTGAGACCAAGGCGCTTGAACTCGGGAGGGACATGAGCTCGGACAGCTTCGCCAGAGAGTAAAGCGAATTCCCAATCAACACATTTGCTCAGATACTCATACCCATGGTGAATTACAGCCAAAGCCAGCGTAGGTGTCATAAAAGTGTGGGTAACCTTCTCAGCGAGCATCAATTGGGCAATTTGCATGGGGTCCGTACGTGTATCACTTGAAGCGACAACAAGAGTTCCTCCAAGCACGGCAACGAGTGACATCTGAGTGAGTGACATATCGAAACCGAGAGGAGCCTGCTGGAGCATCGTGCATCGCCTGAGGCCGGTGTAATGGATGAAACCGTCAATGTGGTGTACAAGGTTGGTGTGAGTGAGGGCGACACCCTTGGGCACTCCTGTTGTTCCACTGGTGTAGTAGATGTAACCCATGCCTGAGCCCCGAGCGCGGTTCTCAATGTCAGGAGAGGCCGAAGAAGTAGGGTCAATGCTATACACGTTGATGAACTTGGCAGCGGTTTCCAGCTCCGGAGCAGAGTCCTTGGTCGAATCATCTATCACCAGTACATCAGGTTGACAATCATTGACGATAAGCTGAAGGCGCTTGATCGGGTTCTGAGCATCCAGTGGCACGTAAACACCACCGACCTCGGCGATAGCCATGAGCAAAGCGAATATGTACATGCTTGGCTCACAGTACACAGCAAACTTGGAACCTTGAGAGACGCCAGCTTCAACAAGCGTGGCCGCAATCTGGTTGACCAACCCCTTCAATTGACGATAAGTCAAGGCCTTGCCATCATCAGTACGGAGTGCAATAGTGTCAGGTTGCTTCTCAACCCAGTCATCAAAGTAATGAGACAGTGTCTCTAAGCGAGGAGACGGAATCCTCTCGCCCTTTCCAAGACTCAACGCCTTCTGGATCTGGGCAGTAGTAGGCTTGCAGGCCCGACCTAGAGTTTGCGAAGATTCACTGGCAAAAAGAGACAGGACATCGATATACCTGTCGAGAACGAAACCAAGCTCACTGTGGGTGTAGAGATACTCTTGAGTCTTGATGACAATAGAAGTAGAACCATCATTGTAAGTCTCGATATCGAATGTTAGATCGTAGGGGTTGTCAGCATCCTTGAAAGTGACGAGCTGGGCCTGACAGTCTGCGAGAGGCACCTTCTGAGTAGAACCCATCTTGAAGTTGAGGACGACCTGGAACAAGGGACTATGCATGGTGGATCGAGGAAGCTTTAGCTCGTCAAGAAGGACGTCGAAGGGGATTTGAGAGTGGACAAGGGCATGGTTGGCCTTGGTTTTGGCGTTGCAGGCCAACTCAGCTAGTGTCTGCGATGGATTTGATTGGAGACGCAGGGGCAGGAGATTGACGAAGAAGCCGACAGCGTCCATGTGGGCTGCGTGAGTCTTGTTGGCGTCGGTGATACCAATACAGATATCATTGGTAGAAGCAAGATCCGAAAGGACAACTTGAAGTGCGGCGAGGTGAATGTGAAAGGGAGTTACACCAAGAGCTCGAGCAGCGGCCTTTGTCTTACCGCCTTCTTCAGCTGGAAGAGTCCGCTCATATGCTCGTGTGGTATAGTCAGTTAAGGGGATGCGCATGTTAGTTTCGGCAAAGTCAAACACAGGCAGAGTTGGTGGAGGCTCTTCAAACTCGGCCTTCCAGTAGCCGATACTGTCAGTAGGAAACTTGGCTGACTTCTGTGCGATAGCGAAGTCCAGATAGCCGACCTCCTTCGGTGCGAGAGTCTGCCCAGAGTAAGCCATGGCCAGGTCTCGCACCATAATCTGTGCACTGAAGCCGTCAAGTGCGATGTGATGAAAGCCAAAGATGAGGTCGTGCTCCTCGTCTGAGTTGGGAACAATCACGACTCTGATCACATCGCCCCTCTCAAGGTCATAAGTTGTCTGCTGCATACGCTTGTACTCAGCCTTGGCGGTAGTGTTGTGCTTCAGCTCCAGGCTAAAAGGGGAATCCTTGAGCACGGCCTGTCTGGGGGAATCGGTCTTAGGATCGATGAAGAAGGCCGTACGAAGAGTCTCGTGACGCTGAATGACTTGTTGGAAAGCATCACCAAGGTCCTTTAGTCGTAGAGGGCCACTGATCCGGTAGCGCATGGTGACGTTGTAGGTAGCTTTATTCTGGAGGAACTGTTGGAGGAACCACAGACGTTCTTGTGCGAAGGACAAAGGACCACTGCGGACAATCGTGGGCTTGAGTGATGCCTTCTCCTCGGAGTCGGTTTCGCTGGTGGAGACCTGAGTAGAGTTAGGGCGAGTGAAAGGCTCATGCTCAGTGGGCAGTGCTGATGACACCGATGTTGATGTTTGGACGGTATCGAGTGATTTTATCGCCTATAGATGTCAGACGTATCCATATTCAATGAGTGTTAGTTGATCTTACCTCCTTAGTCACCTCTGTCTTGGACTCGGCCGGCTGTCCGGACACCGCTGGCAGGCTAGAGACCGCAGCGGAACAAAGCTCCGAAATAGAAGCAGTATTGAGAATCTCCAGCACAGGAATATCAATGTCAAGCTCCTTAAAGAACCACGATCGGATCTCAGCAGCAATGAGGGAATCCACTCCCAGGCCCAGAAGAGACTGAGAAGTCTTAACCGACCCAGTCTCAGCCTGAAGCATACGTTCAAGCTTGGTACAGAACTCCTCCTCAACAATGGCCAAGATCTCAGTAGCATCCTTAGTCTCCTCAAGACGTTGAGACATGGACACCTTGGTAGAAGAAGAACGCTCTTGACGCTCCTCCTCGACTGTATGATGAGAGAAACGCATGTTGTCTCGCCAAAAGTACTTCTGAGCATCGGGCTCGAGACTGTAGCGGTTCAGACCAGTGATAAGCTCAGGGCCGCGAGTAGAGTCCGGCTGGCCGACAAGAATGGCCTGGAGGAACATATTGAAAAGGTCAGTCTCAGAAATGGCCATGTAATTGGAGCTTCTTAGAATGGCCTCGTATGCGCCAGTTGAAGAAACGTAGCCAACACCAAGAACCATGCCAATATGCATCACAGAGGCAGCAAGACCTTGAGCACGACGCTGCGCGGCGATGGCACTCATAAACAAGTTTGATGCAGCATAGTTGGCCTGACCACGGTTGCCGACGACACTCGCCAGGGAAGAAAACATGATGAAGAAGTCAAGCTTCTGCTCCTTGAGTAGGTCATGAAGGTTTTGAGTGGCCTTGACCTTGGGACCAAAGACCTTGAGGAAGTCCTGGACCTTGAGCTCACTAAAGGTGCGATCAGACAGAAGCAGAGCAGCGTTGGCAGCACCGCAAACAGGAGGCATCTGCTCGATGATTTGTTGATAAGCCTGGGTCAGGGCGTCCTTCGCATTGACATCAGCCTGGAAGAGTTTGACCTCGGCGCCCTGCAGAGTCAGCTCCTCCAGCCAGACCTTGTCGAAAGTATCGACGTTTCTGGTTGTCAAAGCAATGTGACGAACACCGCACGATACCATCCATCGACAAAGAGCTTTGCCAAGACCTCCCGTGAAACCAACCAGAAGATAGGTCTTGTCTGATCGGAAGAGGTTGTGGCCCTCAAGAGGCTGAATCACTGCGGGAATAGTTGCGTTGGTGGAGAACTCGACAACAGTAGCGTAGTCTTTGATAGAGACTGGTTTGTTGACCACATTGGGGATCGCAGTGACAGGACCAACGCCCTCGAGGTGGAGTGAAGAGGCGATGGCATCCCGAACACCATGGATGATAGGATCTTCAATGCCTTGTGGCTGACTATCAATAATATCCTGTAGCTGCACGACCCGAATATGCGACGAGATATGGCGTCCAAAGGTAGGCTCTGTAATCTTGTAATCCCTTCCGGAAAGGTCCACGATCAGCCTGGTACCTTGTGGAATGGCCTTGCTCACCACACGCTCAGGGGCCAGTGCATGTACAAATGTCATATCTCCTGACTTGGCCTTGGTGAAATCGGAAGTGGTCAACACAATCTCGAGACCAAGCTCGGCTGCTTTCCACTGGAGAGCAGCACCAATAAACTCATCTGCCTCGTGAATCAGGACAGTGGAACCGCTCTCAGTATCCCCGAACACCCTCTCCGCAGTGATTGCAAAGGCAATCTTGCGCAAAAGGTTAACAGGTTCGACATCGTTGGAAGACAGATCCCAGGCAAAGAAAGGAGGGACCGAGATTCTAGATCGGTTGGATCCAGAGATAGCAAAGACTCGGGTTTTGGGCTCAGTGGCCGTGTATCCATAGCAAAGATATCCAGAAGACTTGTGACCGAGCTTAAACGGGTAAAGAAGGGAGTGTGTGACAGCAATTTCAACTGGTGATGAAGAGCTGGATAGATGAAGCGAAGCAGCTGGCTCGACGACTACGAACTGGTTGCGACGCTTTTGGATCTCTACCATGTCGTTGGCGAGAGTCTTATTGGCTTGAAGTGTCATCTTGCTAGCGTTGAGCTGATCATTAAGTTCCTGATCAGACTTCACACGGGGGATGAACCACTGATCCTCCCTCAGGATCAACTCAGCTTCAATAGACCAGACAATGTCGTCCGACTTGAGAGATCCTCGATACACTAACTGAAGCAGAGCTTCAGCAATGCGGGATGGGGTGAGTGATGTGATATCCCCTTCAACATCGACATGCTGCAGATGAATGTGTGGGTACTCTGAAGCCAGACTGCGACACATACCCACGGACATGTTAGCGAAGGGCTCGTCCCGCTGGCACCCCTTAGAAACCCAAAGTACTTGTCGACATTCGTTGATGAGTCGCTGCACTCCTCGAAGCTTATCGTCAGTCAGATTCTTGAGAATTGGCTCGTCAAGATCCTCCAGCACCAAGGCCGAACGAACGTGGATATCGGATGATGCCAGCTGCTCAAAGCTATCGACGTAGTGTATGGGATTCTCATGAACTCCGTTGATTTGCGTGACGAGCTTCACAATCTCAGTAGACATATCCTTGTGCTTGCCACCAACGATGGTGATAGCGTGTGATTTGAGCCAGTCTCCAGACGTAGCAAGAGGCTGTCTCAAAAGCTGCATTCTGTCATCAACAGCCTGGGACAACATAACCGAAGTCATATACTTCTTGTTGTCCACAAAGTCATCGACAGTCTTGTCAACTCCTGAGAAACCGGTCTGCTTCAATAAGGAATCCCACTGAGACACCGGGATTGTCGGCCCATAGCGACGTCCATCATCACCTCCGAGCCACCAACCCGAGAGGCCGGACATCATGAGCTTGACCCGCACAATATCACTCGTGACCTCCAACAAAAGTAGCTGGCCACCAGGCTTCAGAAGCTTACGGGTGTTCTGCATGGTGACTTCAAGGGACTTAGTGGCGTGAAGGACGTTCGAAGCAATAATGAAGTCGTAGTGCGCCTGTGGGAAGCCTTGCTCTGTAGGGTCGTTCTCGATGTTCAAAGGCTTGAAGATCATCTTTGAAGCCCAAGGTTCAAAGGTCTCAGCGGCTGCCTCAAAGAAGCCAGTCGAGATATCAGTGAACGTGTAGCTCTTGAAAGTAGTACTAAGTGACTCGAGAATACCCTTAGTGGCACCTCCAGTACCAGCACCAATCTCAAGGATATTCATGCGGGGATACCGATGAGCAAGCTGCTTGGAGATGCGACCAAGGTAGACGTTGGCCCTCTCAAATCCAAGACCATACTTGTAGATACGGTTAAGCATATCGTCCTTGACCATGTGCTCCAACATAGTTGTCTGTTTGCGGACGACAGCAGGAAGATTCTCACCCACAGCTTGGATTAGCTGAAGATCGATACGACCGGGGAATTTGGCGGATTGCTGCATGAGCGACTCTCTAGAGTCGGACGACCACGTCTCCTTGATAGTAGGATGGTTGCCTGACCGAATTGAAGGGAAGAGGTTGTCTATCCACTCAAAGATGCGCTGGTAGTGCCAATCAAAATTGGGAACCTCATCGCGGCGGACTTCCTTGTTGAGTTCTCGGAGGTAGAAATAAGAGAGACGCTCACACAGGTCCACAAGCTCCAGGTCAGATGCCGTATCCTCCTCGCCGGCTTCTGAACTTGCGATGGCACTAGTGATGTCGACCTCCCACTCTGTCTTTGTGTAGAGCTCCTTGGCATTACTGGGTCCAGGTCGGAGAAGCGAAGTACAGGTCAGCCCCTCGAGCTGCAACACAGGCCCATTGTTGGTGGTTTCGAAAACATCCATATCCGCAGTAAGCTCACGCTCGTTCGTGTTGGTCAAGAATGAGTCAACGACCAACTCATCGTCGTGTCGCAGTTGGCTAGTGTTGACAATGCGGAGACTTCGGAAATAAGTAGGGACAAAGGGTGCTTGAAGGCTTCCGTCATCGGGCCAGCAGTAGGCAGCAAAGATGGACTGGAACGCGGCATCCAAAAGAGCGGGATGAATCATAGCTGCGAAGTCTGGGGTGATGTGTCGCGTGCGTGCGGTGGCGAAACTCAATTGTCGCTCGATACTGTCGAGGTGCTTGAACTCGCCAGCGTATTCAAGGCCAATACTTGTCAAAGAGCTGTAGAATCTCTCCACATCTACAGAAGTCAGAGAAGCGATGGGTGTCGTCCGCGATGGTAAAAGAGAAGCCCCGTCCATTGAACCAAACTCAACACGAACCTTGCCCTTAGCGTTGCACTTCCAATTTCCGTCGCGCAAAGGTGTAGACAACGACCATGTAGCGGTCGCATGACTTGGCTGGTGGTCTCCAACCTCGAGGTTAAAGACAGTCTCAATGGCTTGTAAGTCTTGGCCCAACTGGATGGCGCTCATGATGTGGACCTCAGACAGCTCGACAAGTTGGACGCTCTTGGTCTCGTCAATAGCCCGAGCAGACTCCATCGCCATGACCAAGTAGGCAGCAGCGGGCAACACAACCTGACCTTCTACCTTGTGACCATCAAGCCAAGGAACGTCTTCAAGTCGTAGATGATTCAGCCATCGCAAGCTATCACCCGGGTCTTCGACGGATCGCACACCTAGCAGAGTATGAGGTGGATGGTCACGCTGGCGATACTTGAGAGACTTTCTGGATTCTCTCCAGAACGACTGTGTATGGTCCCAAGAATAAGGAGGAAGGTCCGTCGCCAAGGTTGTGTTGAACGATGTGGAAAAGGCCTGAGTATAAGAAGTAAAGTCGACAGACCCCTTACCCAGGTGAGACCAAATGAAGCCGAGAGTATCGCTCAAAGCAGCAACATCATGAACATTTCGGGATAGAGTAGCCTGATACGGTAGTTGAGACCCTGTCGCACGCTTATAAGTCTGGTTGAAAGGACCCTTGAGCGCAGGATGAGGTCCAACTTCGACGGCCACATGGCAAGGCAGCGTAGCGCCAGAGGCGAGCTCTGACGCCATGGAAAATAGAACGGGATTGATCATGTTCTCGACCCAGTATTCGCCAGCCAACGCCTCACCGTGGAGAGATGCATCGATGCGCTCGCCCAAGACGCTGGAGTACCACTCACAAGACTCATCGCCGGGCAGAGCCTTGACGTTGACAGCTTGAAGCAAATCAAGATATGGCTCAGCACAAGGATGCATGTGGTGAGAGTGGTATGCAGTGTCGACCCGAAGAACACGAGCGAATGTGCCTTGTTGATCCAACAATGCCTTGGCTTCCTCAATACCAGCCTTGTCTCCCGAAAGCGTGGTGCTAGAGGGAGCGTTGCTGGCAGCCAAATCAACAAGCCCGGGGAAGTTCTCCTCGCAGAAGACAGATGCTTCTTCGTAAGAGAGACCAACAGCCATCATAGATCCTTGGGCTCCGTTGGCTCCACCAGCGAGTTTGGCACAGACACCACGGAAGTATGCCACTCTGATAGCGTCCTGAAGAGAAAGAAAACCTGCAGCATAAGCAGCACTGATCTCACCAGACGAGTGGCCAATGACACAGTCGAACTTGATCCCAGCTTTGCGAAGTAGTTCAACGACCATGAGCTGTACAGCAGTGCAAAGGGGTTGTGAGATGGCGGCTTCGCTCAGACGAGACGTGTCTTTGTCGGCCATGATCTGCTCGGTAAGCGTCCAGGCAGGAGGCTCGGGTAGCCTGGCGAGAGAATCTTCCAGAGAGGCTATTAATCTTCGAGCGAAAGGTGAAGACTTCAGGAGCTCCCTTCCCATAGTAGGCCACTGAGCACCTTGACCAGTAAAGACACCAAGGATGCGTGGGGTCGGGCCCAGGGGAACATCCTGCTTGGAAGTAGGCAGAACGATATCCTCGACGGTAGCACTCCTCAGCTTCTTCTGGAGACTTGGTAGATCGTGGCCAGAGAAATAGGTCCTGAGAGGGAGCTGCGAGCGTCTGTGGGCCAAGGTGTACAAGATACTCTCAACTTGTTGGCTCTCGGCATTCTCAAGAACATCAGCAAGTTGGGAGATCTGGGCGCGTAGTGAAAGGTCGCTGTTCGCTGAGAGGAGGAGGGGTGTAGAGATAGCCTCGTTGGCAGAGGTCTGTGTAGATGAATTGTCGAAGTGCTCAATAATGGCATGAACATTGGTACCGCCGAATCCAAACGAATTAACGCTGGCGCGTCGGGCGGATCCAACAGCCAGCTTGGGCCAAGGATGAGATTCAACAGGAAGCTTTAGGTTGGAAGTGTAAGGTTTGATGGCTGGGTTCAAATTCTCAAAGAGCTGGTTTGGTGGAATGATGCCTCTCTTGACAGCCTCAAGAGCCTTGATCATTCCAGCGAGACCAGCACATCCTTCAAGGTGACCAATAGCCGTCTTGACAGAGCCGACATACATGGGCTCATCGACAATAATACCGTTGCTGAAGAAAGCTTCGTGGATCGCACGGGCTTCAAGAGGGTCGCCTGCGGGAGTGCCAGTTCCATGAGCTTCGAAAAACTGGCACCGGTCCTTGAAGACGTCAAGACCAGCATTCCGGTAGGTTTGCCGAATAAGTGCCTTTTGGGCATCAGGGCTGGGAAGTGTAATCCCATTGGTACCTGCAAATATGTGAGTGGTATTAGGATACTCGGTGCCAAATTACTTACGTCCGTCTGAGTTGACTCCGATTTCTCGGATAATCCCCTCAATATGATCGCCATCCGCCAACGCCTGCGACAGAGTCTTCATCATGATGGCTGCTACGCCTTCACCTCGTGCATAACCATTGGCTGACGCATCCCACATCCTGCTTCGACCTGTAGGGGACAACATGTGCAGTTTGGACTCTGAAATCATCATATCAGGACCAAGAATGAGGTTGACACCTCCTGCACAGGCGATGCCAGAAACGCCGTTGCGGAGGGCAGTGACTGCATCATAGACCGCGACAAGACTGGAAGAACAGGCCGTATCGATGGTCATCGATGGACCCTTCCAGTCGAAGAGATAAGAAATACGGTTGGAGAGAATGCTGCGAGCTGTACCTGTGGCCATATACTTAGGCATATCCTGAGGATCACGCATGAGCATCTCATGATAATCCCCAGTCATGCACCCAACGTAGACGGCAGTGTCAGATCCTTTCAGATCCTCCATGGGTAAGCCAGCTGTCTCTGTGGCCTCGTATACGGCCTCAAGCAAGAGTCTCTGCTGAGGGTCCATGGCCTCAGCCTCACGAGGGTTGATCTTGAAGAACGAGGCATCGAACAAGCGAATGTCCTCGGATAATAGATACGCCTTCTTTACGTCGGTGCATCCGTTCTTGTCCCCATTGCTGCTATAAAAAGCATCGACGTTGAAGCGCTCCGGTGGAATGGGCGATTGAACGTCTCTCTTCTCAGTTAGAAGATCCCAGAGTTTGGAGGGAGTATTGGCGCCGCCGGGAAAGCGACAGGAAGTGCCAATAATGGCGATTGGCTCTTTAGAAAAACATTGACTAGCCATTGTGGTAGAGTGATGGTCAGAAAATGTTAAAGATAGTTTCCGCTGGGTGTTGAATAGAGGAGTGCTGGTAGATGTTGAAGGGCTACTCTCTGATAATCGACTCCAGACTTGATCGTATAAATGTTAATTGCAACATCACCGATTGCCACCAATGAGCCAGTCTGATAGTACGTAGTCTATGTTTCGTGTTTTTGTGGAATATTCAGGTGAGACAGGGATGGAAGTCCTGCACGTCTGAAGGATTCACAACACCCCCTGGCCACCTTCTCCTTCTGCTTCGCTTCTCTTCCATTGCCTCTTTTTCCATGCACCTGCTTGATGGGGCGCTAAAATACTCACACCGTAAGCAGGCATCGTATTATACACGGCGCACACCGGCTGGCGGCGGTGACCGTAGGATCTGACATGCCGGCTTTACGATCGGATGTTATTCTGCCGTGTAATATTCCGAAAGCGTGTATTCGTGTGTGCGGCTGATCGTCGATTTCGACTACATCTACGTATTCATGGTGTTTTTGAGGACTTTGTACTCGCCCTCGTATCCCCAATATCTCCCTTCTCTATTTTTTCCATCGTTTTTGACTACCGAAAACTGCCCATCATGCACAAAGTCTTTCCCTCGGACTTTTTTAATTTCGAGTTTCTGCGTCTCCTTGGTACTGTTCCGTTCCAGGGTGCTGAAGTTGGAGAATGCCTCACCACCGCCAGCCATATCAAAGATGGTGACCCAGAGAGTTGGTACAAAGCCTGGAGAGAACAAGCCGAGAAGGCACAGGCTTTGGCTGAGGAAGCTGCTGCTGTCGGTGACAGGACAGGAGCATGCTGGGCTTATATCCGCTCAGCCAACTACTGGCGTGCTAGCGAGTTTCTCCTCCACTGCACTCCTAATGATCCACGCATTCTGCCTTCGTCAAAGGCCAGTGTTGAAGCTTTTGACAAAGGATGGGTCTTGCTAGATGCCACTGTCAAGAATTTAGATATTCCTTACGAGAAAGACATCAGACTACCTGGAAGACTATACGTCCCTGCCCCCCAGCACAGACTACCTGGCAAGATCCCACTCGTTCTTCAGACCGGAGGTTTCGACTCTACCCAGGAAGAACTTTACTTTTACGGTGCCGCTGGTGCTCTTCCTCGAGGCTATGCCGTCTTCAGCTTTGACGGTCCTGGCCAGGGTCTTCCTCTACGTGTCGGAAAGCTGAGCCTTCGACCAGACTGGGAGAAGGTAGTCAGCCAGGTCTTGGACTTCGTCACAGATGAAGTCGCCGCTGACTACGATCTGGATCTTGATCGCCTCGCTATCTTTGGCGCCTCATTGGGTGGCTACCTGTCACTGCGCGCTGCCGTCGATCCCCGAATCAAGGCATGCGTCTCTTGCGATGGGCCCTACGATCTATTTGAGATCACCCGCAGCCGCATGCCCGCCTGGTTCATCAACGGATGGGTGTCCGGTTGGTTGAGTGACAGCATCTTCAACTGGGTAGTCGACCGCCTTACAGCCGTCAATTTCCAGATCGCATGGGAGTTTGGTCACGGAAAATGGGTCTTTGGGGTAGACACCCCCGCAGATGTTCTCCGTGTTATGCAGCAGATTTCGCTCAAGGGCGGTTACCTCTCCAAAATCAAGTGTCCCACCTTGATCACTGGCGCAGCGGATTCTTTCTACTTCACGCCCGACCTAAACTCAAACCCCATATTTGAGGGGCTGACGTCCTTGGGACCCAACGACAAGCACTTGTGGATTGGTAAGGGAGTGGATTTTGGTGGCTTACAGGCTAAGATTGGGGCTTTGGCTGTGGTTCACCAGAAGATGTTTTCGTGGCTGGACGGTACTTTTGGGATTAAGCGGGACGCCTTATGAGAGGTGATCGGTAGCTTGCTGTAACCAATTACTTATTTTGGAAAGTTCTATGTAATCTTTCTATATCTGTCGTCGAAAATTGGGGTCAGACACTAAATTGACATGCTGGCTCGAACCTGTAAGATGCGATAATGTGAATATCGTATATTTTGGACCTGTCTTGTCTGGCTGAAATAGTACATAATCCTACGCTTAGCAAATTAGGCAATTCAGCATGTAGGTAACTTCGTTTATGTGGATACGCCGACTCAGTAGATTCCGTGTTCCTTAATTATCATACGATTCAATTAGCCGCCAGTCTGACAACCAACTGTAACCACGTGTATTCGAGATTGCTATCTGTAGTGTAACCCGAAAACAAGGAATAAGTGGAATAATTGGAGAATGCCCACTTCCCGGCTGCTATGGAACCATATTCAGGGTAGTTTCGGACAAAGAGCAATATGTTTCGTCAGGCGCAGGATGGATACAGATACGGAACACCGAATACAGCCAGACGGTTGAATTCTCTGAAGGATTTGAACCCCATGTCACGCAGGTACATGGGCATTGGAGCCGCGAGTGTTGGTTTGTAGGATCTGCCCTGTGGGTAATGGTGAATGGGTGTAGTTGTACATAGATACGGACAGTAATATAGGTAGAGTGAATAAAGACAAAGGTGTAATGAAACTGTGGGGCTGAAAACAAACTCTGTCGATCATCTGATGGTGGAGCCAAGTCGGAGGGTTTTTGAAATGCCAAGCCTGTAAGCTTACATATTGGGGTTGAAGCAGTACTCTTGAATAACTTTAAGTGATTTACTCAAGCTTTTCGAACATTCACTAGTAACAAGCAAGAAGACAGATCTCAGAGAAGATGGCACCATTTGGAACGCTCTATTCTTTCATGCCAAATGGCAGGGTCTTCAAGGTAATTTTCCTTTCTAGTTCTCCCCCGCTAGTATTTCGCACAAGCTTACCCTATATACAGATTCTGGCAGCAGCCAAACTCAACAAGCTCGACATCGAGATTCCCCCTTACCAACACTTTGTGACCAACAAGTCCACTGAGTTTCTCATCAAATTCCCCGCTGGCAAAGTTCCAGCCTTTGAGGGAGCTGACGGGTTCTGTCTTGCTGAGTCAGACGCGATCGCCAGATATGTTTCCCAATGCGGACCTCGCGCTGGTCAACTCCTTGGAGAGGACGCTATGACATCAGCAAAGATCCAACAGTGGATTTCCTTCTTCGCTGATGAGATCTACCCTGCCGTACTGGACCTCGTCATGTGGAGAGTAGGAATGACCCCCTTTGATCAATCTACTGAGGCCAAGGCACTGGCCCGATTGGAACACGCGCTGACTGTGTTGGAGAAGCAATTGGAGTTAGGCACTCGACTTGTTAGGGACGTAGTTACACTTGCTGACTTGACCGGGGCTTCTTCTCTGCTGTGGGGATTTATGCACGTTATTGATGAGCCCATGAGGAAGCAGTTCCCGAATGTTTTGACTTGGTATTTGAGCACGATTGAGAACGTTGATGTGAAGGAAGTCTTTGGAGTTCCTAACCTGATTGAGCAGAGACGCTCCGGTGCTTGATACGCTATTTTTAGATACGGTATTGGGGGAGAAACAGTCATGGATTCCCCTCTGGAAAAAAGAGCTTTGAGATTAGCTAGCGTTCAATAGAGCGACTCATCGAGCCTGTAAACTAAACATACATATAAAAACTATGAATACATTATTTATAACAAAAAGACAAACGAATCAAACCGAATAGCTATGTACAGGCGGAAACTATTGAAGAAGGATGAGAGAAAAAAGACTACCCTGTACGAAGAGGTGCAAGGCCAAAAGTACGATGCTCAAAGTCAAGCACAAGATATTGCTTCTTGAGAAATGCCCTACCCAGAAGAACCACCTTTGCATCTCCCGTATTCGTACGACCATACTTCCACACGTTGATATTGAGATAGCACACAGATCCGGTCATGTTTTCCAAACGCGTTACGTAATCATCGGGAGAAATCGTGTACTTCTTCCCTCCATCCAGCTCATAAACAAGATCAGGATATCTGTCCAGATCCTTACAGGATACAGTGTACCAGTCCTGCTTATCGGTGTTGTATCCCGTAGATCCCTGACTAAGAATCTTTGCGATGACAGCGGCGGAGGCCGGCTTGGCGCCAGTCTTCTTGACAAGGTACATGTAACCGTTGAGCGAAAGTGGAGCGCCCAGTCCTTCGGATCCTTCGTCCACAACAGCTAGTGGGGGTGTCTTTTTATCACCCTTGATAGACTTGAAAGGAACAGCATAGTTCTTGGACTTCTTTCCATCACATTCGACCCACATGCCCGTAAGCGGAGTGCTCCAGTAGTTACTGCGAGGGGGCGTAACGGGGTAAAACGCGTCGCTGAGCCATTCTGGGTTTTGGATCCTGTACGTCTGCAGCTTCTTCGTATCGTACATGATTGTATCTGTACCTCCAAAAACGAGCTGAGCATCACCACCTTGGCAGCTCGAGGTCGAAGCCAACGTGGCGCACGTATGCCAGCCAACCAAGGGTCCCATGTTGCCATCCTGCCATGCCTGGTAGTTCGCAGGCTCTGATGTTTCGGTCCGTTTCGATGGTGGAGGGGCTAAGCCGTAGATGCCACCAAATGGGACTGCAGGAACGACACTGGCGGGATACGGAAAGTTTGAGACCTGCATGAGTGTGTCACTGTTGCAGACACGCCCAATGCACACCTCATCTCGTCCGTAGTCCACGGTGAAGTTAGGGGCAAAGGCTGTGATAGGCCATGTTGTCTGCGCAAAAGAGGCGTTGCTGAATGCTTCCGAGTCACGCTCGTTGAAGAATGGTTGTTCCTGCCCCGCGCAGAGATCAGGATTGAACTCCCCGAGACATCGCCCAGATCGCACAAAGAGAGCCATCCATGTCATGTCGCTAAGCATCGTAAGCTCCTGGGGAGGTGAACCAACGGTGACGTTGAAGAGATAGCCGTAGACGTCCCAATAGGCAGGTGTTGCAACCGAGTTACCGCTGCTAAGGGAGCGGTGTTCCAATGTCAAGGCGGCTGCATGAGCCGGGACGAGAGCCCCGAGCACCGCGACCAAGATGGTAGCATCGGCAAGCATAGTTGCAGACTCGTTTGGGTAAAAGATGAACGATAAGCAAGCCGAAAAGAGTAGATTGAGGGGCAAGTGTGAGGTCTGATGATCTGTCGCTATTGCATGAACAGGGCGGTCATGCACACTTTATTGCGTTTCTTACCGACAGGCAGGTGGGAATCTCTAAAGTGAAAGGGGTCTCTCGAACAATTCTTCTTTCTACCACAAGAGAGTGCTAGTCCGCTGGGAAATGAGCGGGAAATCGATCGAACGATATCATCCTTCCTTGCAAGGCATTCCTGCTTACACCCCGTCAATAATTTTGCTTTTGATCTTATCATAGCACGAGGAGTGGAACGACGCTTGCAGGGGGGCTCAGCCTACGTATCATATCGAAGATGGTGGATGCTTGTGCTTCGCCTAATCTAAAAAGAGCGAAATCGGACGCCATGACAAAAGAGCCGGGCATATTTTTCGAACCATACTTGATCCTTCGAACGACTCGAAGCCACACGTCCTGGCCGAAAGGTGTTGCGTTTCAGACAGTTGCCCGCGGCTTAGTTCGATGACGATGAACTAAGTCAGGAATCTCTCAATAGTAGGATGTCAGTTCGGTGGCCTTGTTTGCAGTAAAGCCTGGCTTAGACAGTAGTCTAACTGGGCCTACTAATAAATTACCAAGCCTGGCTGACTGTGGTATGCAAGAAAAATCTAAGTCAAATACCCGCCTTTCACTGCCAGACTCAAATCATTCTCCAAGTTGCTTTGCATCAAGTCAGATCAACACCCTTTCCATTACCAAACGTTTCATCACTCTTCATCCATCATACCCCAAAATGTCACACTACCCGAGGCTGCTCTGTCTGCACGGCGGTGGCGCATCGTCTCGAATCATGCGTGCCCAATTTGCCAAGTTAGAATGTGCTTTGAACAACCGTTTCCAGCTTGTCTACCTTGAAGCTCCCCTAGACAGTGCCCCAGGCCCAGGTGTTCTCCCTTACTTTGAGAACTGTGGTCCATACTCCTGCTGGGTCAGCGACGACAAGACACTATCTGCTGAGGAGAAGCGGCTAGAGGAAGACAGTGCTGTTGCCTACATCAAGAGCTTCATGATTCAACATGGCCCTTTCGCCGGCATCCTGGGCTTTTCACAAGGTGCACGTGCAACGGCTAGTATTCTGCTCGAGCAACAGAGACAACCCTTCACCCACGACAACCTGTTTGGTGTTTTCTTCTGTGGCACATTTCCTCCTTTCGTACCAGAGACTCCAGAGATAAAGATACCCACTGTGCATATCCAGGGACTTTCAGATCCCTATCTTGAGGAGAGCCAGATGCTAATGAGTCACTGCACGAAACAAAGTGTTAGGAGAGTGATCAAGTTCAATGGTGGTCATCATATGCCAACAAGCCCTGATGTTATTCAACAGATTGCGGATGTCATCACGATGGTATACAGAGGGTCAAACAGGAAGAAGGTGCCAAATCTCTGGAAGAAAAAGCCTTCGATTGCTACTATTACTGCGATCGAGATTTGAGCTATGCAGGGTATTTATTTAGCTACTTTAGATAGATAGAATGAAGCGATTCAGCATACATACCGGGGCTATTTGTGCCACTATTTATATAATGCAAATTTGCTAACCCGAACTATCTCCTTTGCGATGACCTAGACATCTAGCCAACCTTGTCCAAGAGGATGTCTGTAAGCGATCGAAATTATAACTAATTTTTTATTCTAGGTCCAGGCGTTTCTGCTTAAGCTCTCAATATATAAGCACAGTGTCTTTACAAATTACTAGCACCATAAATCCGATACTAACAATGTTGACTTTATATTTCGGTTGGATGTGAGCCTACCATACCGTGAGGGAGTTAGTTTTAGTTGCAAGATATATTCACGCAGAATGCCGATGTAAGTATCCAAGGAACAATAAGACTTTCAATTTTCAGTATCTACCCTACTTCTGTGCTGTCGTTAGCAATATTCCTAAGAAAGCGAACGATATCTGTAGTCTTCGCACAACTCTCAAGCGCAGCGTCATGCTCCCAAGCATCGCGATCCCGGATATACAACGGCTGTACCACCGTGAAAGAGTAAGGGAGAAATCGTCTATGACTGATCTCGTATGTGACGTTACCACTTACACCTACCGATACCGCTGTAATAGCAGCCTCGCAAATTTGATGAATCTTGCTCTGCCAACGACCAGCGATAACTTCGTCCACCCACTGCTGCCCAAGACTGCGTTTGTGTCTCAATGTCTCAGTTGACAAAGTAGCTGTCTCAAGGTGACGACGTGCATTCATGATGATTGTGGTGGCAGGAGCTTCTCTCAGCTCCAAGACTTTCTCGCCTGAAGCAATAGCTTCGAGACCTACAGATCGACCGTGACCAAACTTGCCAACCATGGGGCTCAGAAGGGAGATCATGTCAACAACCATGGGTTTTCTTATGCCGTTAACTGCGACAGGAAGACCATCTTCAAACTCAAGTATGATCCTTTCAGGACTATGAGCTTTGCCATCTCGTGTCCACTTCCAGATATCCCCAGGCACTGAAAAGCCTTCTGGGTCATCCGCTGAGCCGTTCTCAAACTCACGACACCAAAAGTTCTCATCACCGCTGACTTTGCGATGTGCCATGTTGGGGAAACCTGCATTGGAGAGTTCCCGTGCCTTGCTGTTTCGCGAAATCGTCGATTTGACGTAAGGACTTCCGAAAGGACCTTGAAATCCATTTCGCTGGATAGACTGGCTCAGTCTAGGCAGGCTATTTTGAGAAAGGTTGGCCGTATCTAGTAATAGTCCAGCACCGACCTTGTTCGCATAGTTGGTGATTCGACCAGCAATGACAGGGCGACTCAAGGAGCTGCTGACTGGGTATAGATCGTAAGCCATAGCGTGGGCACGAATAGCCTCTTCAACATTCCCAACGAATGGCTCTACGCCAGAAAGACATCGAAATGTTGCTTTCTACTTGGCAGCAAGTGTCTCCAACGTCACTATATCGATTCCTTCGCCAACATCGACAACCACGATGTGAATGTTGGAAAACCCGAGTTTGTGGAGACGGTAGATAAGATAAGTACTGTCCAACCTACCGCTGCACATAGCAGCGACCAGAGTCTTACGATCACAATAGAGATCAATATCTTCAAAACTCTCTATACGAAGGCCTGCTGGTGCAGGAAGAGAGATTCTATGGCCGTTAGAGACATACTCTTTGGAAAAAAGATCCTTTACAAGTTTTACATTAGTCTTGCTGAACGTAGGTTTGATAATGTCAACTGGATGCTCCTGAACTGTTGTTAGCTACATCTGGGTTCCAGCAGGAGGTCAAACTACCATCTTATTTGAGCTTATTTCTAGAGTTGTGAGGAGTGTGATGGAGATAGACTAAATTGTATTATAGATAAATATCTGTTTTTATGGCAAGCTATTAAGAAATTCGGATCTAATGCAAGGAGAAATACTACAGCATGCTAGCTAAGCTATCTGGCTCTACTCTATCAACAAAAATATCGACGAGTACCCATTGAAGATCGTATCATTACATCATGTATCGCTATCACCGACCGCGGCAAGTGAAATGGATTTGCTCGCTCATACGAGAGATCGAGGGCAGGATAAAACGTTCATACAAGAGATGCCAAACAAAAAAATGATGTATCGCAATATTTTCCAGAACATGGTGCGACAGGTTTGAAGGAATGAACTTACATGCGGTTAAAGAGTTTGGCCTCAAGGTGTTTCGAGTTTGACAGTTATGGCACCAGAAGTGACAGTAGATAGGGTTGCAAAAGGCTCTACTTGCTCCCCTGGTGAGACCCGACTATGCACCTTGCTGGGGTAGCATGGTACAAAGAGAGTGCAATCTTGTGGCGCCATTTTGGCATTCTAGAGCTTTCTGAAAGGATTCGGGTAACATTGCAGGTCTCGTTCTGAAGCTTGCTGGTGAGAGAAGTTGTGGGACTGATGAGATTATGAGAAGCCGCTTTCGGTAATTCGTGCACGTAAGATCGGTGTGGATATGCAAATGCGGATGGTTTAGCATGGCATGATGTCGGAGGATTCTAGGTAAGAATTTTCCGAAGGATTCACCTGCAGCGTAGTACTGGTAGTATTCCTGACCAGGGGGCTGATAGCCAATACTTGCAAGGTTTCGACCACTTTCTCTAAAAGCTTCCGACTGCCCTTCGGCTTTTCCAATTACAATAATTCTTTTTTTGACCAAAAGAGATGCCTGTGTGGAACCGTCCGATGTATTGTCAGAAAATCGTGCCATTTTAACTGTGGCTCGGTTTGTGTTAGAGAAACCTTGAGTCAGTATCGGCAAAGATCAGCGGCTATGCTCTTGTCTTGTTGTAAACATGTCTCCAGGATATTTACGGAGGAGACTACATCACCCACTCACCCCAATTATAGAACGAACTTCATTTACCACTGGGCGGTTCAAGTTGATATATAGTAGAAAATTCACTTCTTGTTTCTCACTGTATCGCTGTGTCATTTCTCGTTACCTCCATATTCAGAAAATACGGCTGCCATGGATCATTTTTCGCCCGTGGTAGAGAGCCCAACGCCAGAGGAACCACCATCACCATCGCCGCCGGGCCCTGCACCTAACAAAAAAGGTGCTCGCTTTTGGCTCATCTTCGTCGCAATTGCTTTGACTACATTCCTTGCTGCCCTCGATACATCCATCATTTCCACCGCTTTACCCACTATCGCGGCGGACTTGGGTTCTGAATCTCTTTACGTATGGATCATTGACTCCTATCTCTTGGCCTCAACAGCCACTATCCCCATCTTCGCTCAAGCTGCCAACATCTATGGCCGCCGTAGCCTTACTCTCATCGCTGTTTGTGTCTTCACACTCGGCAGCGGCCTATGTGGCGGTGCGCACAACACTGCTATGATGGTCGGTGGTCGCGCTGTCCAAGGTATTGGCGGTGGAGGCGTTCTCACCATGTCGGAAATAGTTGTGTGTGATATGGTCTCTATCAGAGAAAGAGGCATGTATGCGGGTATCATTGGCGGAGTATGGGCCATCGCCGCAGTCGTCGCTCCTGTCATGGGCGGTGCTTTTGCCCAAAACATTTCCTGGAGATGGATCTTCTACATCAACTTGCCCATCGCTGGAGTTGCCCTTGTTGCATTGGGTTTGTTTCTCAAACTGACTCGGCCGCCATCTGGTACTTTCAAGGAGCAGATAAGCAGGATCGACTGGGGAGGAAGTATCCTCTTGATTGGGTCCGTCGCGTCCATTGTCCTCGCTTTGAGCTGGGGTGGTTCTGAAAATGCTTGGTCAGACTGGCAAACCATTTTTCCTCTTGTCATAGGCCTTGTTGCTCTCGTCGCATTCTTCGCGTACCAGGGAGCTCCCTGGCTGAAAGAACCGACCATGCCCCTAAGACTATTTGGTAATCGGACATCATCCACACTGCTTGTCATCAGCTTCATCCACAGCTTGCTGCTGTACTGGATTTGTTATTTCCTCCCAGTCTATTTTCAGGCCGTCAAGGAAGCTAGCCCTACCCGCTCGGCCGTCATGTTGTTCCCTATTGCCTGCACCAGTGCTCCTGGAGGTGTCGCTGCTGGCATTACCATCACCAAGACGGGCAAGTACCGCATATGGCATTTCTCTGGGTTCGTCCTCATGTCAATCGCGTGCGGCCTGTTTACTCTCCTTGATGAGAACTCTTCCACTGGACGATGGGTAGGATTCCAGATCGTCTTTGGACTTGGCACTGGGTTTGTCTTCACCAGTACTTTGCCTCCAATTTTGGCCAGTCTTCCTGACTCGGACGTGGCCACAGCGACTGGCGCATGGACCTTCATTCGGAATTTTGGGTCTATCTGGGGTGTTGCAATCCCAGCTGCTGTATTTAACAACCACGTCAATCATGCAGCGCCCGACATCTCAGATGAAGGAGTCAGGAGTCTTCTTGTAAATGGTGGCGCATATGAACATGCGACTCAATACTTTTTGAAGACACTTGACTCTAGTCCAAGACTTAAAGATGAAGTGGTTCAGGTATACTTGAATGGGCTAAAGGTTGTCTGGCAGACATCCATCGCTTTCTGTTTGTTGGGCTTTTTACTTTGCTTCTTTGTCCGTTCACTGACATTGCGAGATGAGCTGAACACGGAATTCGGGTTGCAGGAGGAGAAAAAGGAGTCTAGTCAGATCAAGTCGAGTGAAGAAGGTGTCGCAAGAACCTGATTGTGGAAACCCACAGGTATCTGGGCATAGCTTTAACTATCTCTATGTAAGAATAATTTAATCTTGGTTTGTATGGAGTCCATTCAATGCACCGCAAATGTGTTTCGCAGTTGTGACAGTTGAGACACTGCCGACCGCTGACATCTTTGTTAGCGAGTAACTTCCAGCGGACCTAGTGCTAGCTCAGGCTTAGTCCCCCCTACCCCACTGTAACCTCAGGGCACTTTGCCACTATAATTTGATCAGCACAGCACTCCAATTTCTGCTATAAAACACTTCACCTTCCAATTCGTTCCAGTCGTTGTGATCTTTCTCTTGACTCAATTCAATTCTGGAATCACACATCGCTTGCAATGGACTTTACTACTTTCTATAATATTATCGCCGGTAACCCTCGTGGTTCCGATACTACTACGTCGGGTACAAGCCCTCTCAATCAATCATCTTTCTGGCCTGCTCCCGTGGCTACAGCAAACGACGTTGAAGATGCCGTGCGCGCTGCAAAAGAAGCATTTCCTGCGTGGTCTCAAACGTCTTACAAGCAGCGAACAGACCTTTTGGAACGATTTGCCGACGTCTACCTTTCTCATGCCAGCAACTTTTGTCAATTACTTGCTACAGAGTGCGGAAGATCAGTAAGCAATAATTTTTCTCCCTTTAAATTACCTTGGTACTGATACTGTACAGGTCGAAAAAGCAGCCATCGAAGTGTATTTTGCTGCACAATGGCTGCGATATCCATGTTTGTACCAGTGCCACCCTGGCTGAGACAATCAATCTTTCTGACTGAACAAGCTAAATACAACCTTCCTGAAGAAGTGATTGAAGACAATGAGAAGACGGTTGTCATTAGTCATGAGCCTCTTGGGGTAGTTGCAGCTATTTGCCCATGGAATTGTAAGTCAATCTCCGGAATAAGATCGTGTAGATGGTTGCTGACGCTACCTCGTGACAGTTCCATTGATGCTTGGTAAATACTCAACTCACTGCAAGAACAACACAAGATATTTAGTTGACCGTTCTCTAGCAATCGGGAAAATTGCGCCAGCTCTAGCCACGGGAAACTGCGTTATCCTCAAACCCTCGTAAGCCAACAGTCTCAACTCACATCTTTTGATTATGTGCCTATGGCTGATTTGACAAAGGCCGTTCACTCCATACTCGTCTCTTAAGCTCGCAGAGCTCGCCCAGCAAGTGTTTCCTCCGGCAGTTCTACAAGTCCTCCATGGAGACAACGAACTGGGTCCTTTATTAGTCAAGAACCCTGATATTCGCAAGATTTCTTTCACTGGATCTACGGCTACAGGAAAAAGGATTCTGAAAGATGGAGCAGACACCATGAAGCGAATTACCCTTGAGACGTGAGTATACATCAGAGACGCTGTACTCACCGCTAACTTGTAAAGCGCTGGTAACAATGCTTCTATTGTCCTTCCCGACGTTGACCTCAAGGCCATCATTCCTCAAATTTCTGGAGGTCTATGGTTCAATGCTGGACAGGTCTGCGCCGCCACACGTCGTCTGTACATTCATCAAGATATTTTCGACGAGGCAGTGGCTCAGCTTGAGGAGGCTACAGCGGGGGCAGCCAAGGACCTTGTCTCAGGTGTCGGGCCAATTCAAAATCAGGTGCAATATGAGAAGCTCAAACAGGCACTCGCTGACGCAAGACAAGCTGGCTGTGAACTGTTATCGCCGGCTCGGACGGAACCGGAAGAAGGATTCTTTATCCAGCCGACCATCGTCAAGGACCCATCACCACATGCTGACATCGCTCAACAAGAAAACTTTGGTACGTCAGACCCGCCATCCATCGATGGGCCCATTCCAAGAATCACACTGGATGATCTTACCGAAGAATGACAAAATCGCTGACATGATCCCATCAGGCCCCATCGTCTCGTGCATCAAATTCTCATCCATCGATGAAGCCGTAGCAATGGCCAATAGTAGCAACAGCGGTCTTGCTGCTAGTGTGTGGAGCAAGGATGTATCGGCCGCCAGGCGCGTGGCGTCTTCTCTCGAGGCTGGCAACGTCTACGTTAACGGACCGCCCCGTCCTGATCCTCATGTACCGTTTGGGGGGCATAAGCAGAGTGGTCTGGGCGTTGAGTATGGGCTGCAGGGCTTAGTATCGTTCTGCCAAACAAGGTCCACGTACCTGTACAAGTAGAGATAGAGCTACGCCTATTCCTAACATGAAATATCACTCCCCTCCATTTACCTGAATAATTCACGATCCTTTTTATGGAGAACTTTTAGTGCATCTCATCCCGTCTTTCTTCACCCACAGTGTTCCAAGGAAACATACGAATGTCCATTTACGGGTAAACCACAATTTACACGCCCTCCTTACATCTCGCAGCTAAGCGAGCTAATTTCTCACATTAGACTGGTCTATGTGTGGCTGAAGGATCAGCAAAAAGAATGGAGAACAAGATCCTACTGTAACCTCGTGTAATATTCCGTGTTGCTGCGTTCCACTTGTTTACTCTATACCTTTTTTTAGTTCCTCACTCGACCGGAGGGTTTTGTTTGTCATACGACCGAAACAAGTTACGAAACGCGCCCACCAGCTCACTCCTGCAAATGTCAGTGCTCAAATCGTTTGTTTCGGGGGCTGCCGGCCAGGTGGATGGTACGGTCTGATCAAAATCGTTGTCCCGATAAGGACATGCCCTACTGGGAGGATTGAGTTAGTGGTACGGGGGGCCTATGAGTAGCGGCTTATATGCCACGTATAGAGCGTACATTCTCCCTACTGCTTTTGTTCGATCCTATCTTTCCTGGGCCAGAGCAGCTTTCACGATACGAGGCCCATTCCATTATGTGGTCTAAACCACTACAAGAACACCTTGGTCGAATGACTCCTTCACTCCCGCCCAATGTCTCCGAGGCCGTGAGTAACTTGACTATAACGCAAGGCTTTGCCGCATTCGTTGTTTTGTTCATTGTAGTGCCTAGAGTATTCGAGGTAAGATACTACCACGGAACTTTTGGGTTTGTAACTCACTAACGTCTTCCAGCTTCTGAAAAATATTTTCTCACCCGTCAGCCACATCCCTGGTCCTCTCATCAACAAGCTAAGCCCATGGCCTTTGGAGATTGCCACATTCAAGGGAAAGAGGTAAGCGTTCAGAGCAATGCACAAATCATGATCGAAACTCTGACAGCTCATAGCCATCGATTTGCCCGTGCTCTTCACCAGAAGTATGGCCCTATTGTTGTGCTTGCGCCCAACATGATTTCAGTTGGTGACGCCAACGAGATCAAACGAATCATCCAGAATGAGGACTGGGTAAAGTCTGAAACCATCTATGGCAACTTCAGACAAGACCCAAAACGTCCGACACTCCTCGCTTTCACTGAAAAGAAGGCTTACTCAAGACGTAAGCGTATGCTGTCTTCAATGTTTGGTATCCGCTATATTCGTAGCCTTGAACCGCTCATGAAGTCATGCGTCGATGCTGGTGTTGCCCATCTTGACAAGCTTTGTGAGAACTCTTCCAACAGCACTGTCATCAACCTTCAGCACTTCATCCACGGGTTGGCCATTGACACTATCGGTGCCACTACTTTTGGTGGTAGCTTTCACGTCGTTGAAAATGGAAGTCACCCTCTTCCTTCTCGACTCAAGGCGGGTATGAAGATCTCAGCTGTGATGCAGCTCATCTCGTGGATCAAGTACATCCCTTTCCTTCCGAAACGAGATCCTTATATCGAAGAATTCACATTCAACATTGTTGATAAGCGTCGCAAGGAGTCTGGGGATGTCAAACACCAAGACCTACTACAGCATCTTGTTGATGTCAGTGACGATTCTCCTGGTTCCGAGTTCCGCACCTCGGACGTCCAGGATGAGAGCGTCATTCTTTTGGCAGCTGGTAGCGAGACAACCGCTAATGCCGAACTCTTCACCATTATGCAGCTTCTTAAGCATCCCAATGTTATGAAGAAGCTGGTTGAAGAAGTTGACAAATGGTACCCTCCCAGCGAGCCCGACCGTCAAACGGAATGCGCCTATTCCCAAGCAGGAATGACATATCTTCAAGCCTGCATCGATGAAACCATGCGTCTCGTCCCGGGCCAGGCCACGGGAAGTCCCCGCGAGGCATCTAAGCAGGAAACCGTGCTTGGATACCGCATCCCGACGGGCACTACCGTTTTCCCCAATACTCAAGAGGCACACCTCAACTCCGATAACTGGAAGAATCCCCACAAGTACATTCCTGAGCGCTGGCTTGACATCTACGCGCAGAATCAGACCTCGGCTGTACCGTATTGGCCATTCTCAGCGGGCAGCCGGATATGTGTCGGCAAGAATTTTGCATTCCAGGAGATGCACATTTCTCTCACAACACTTCTGCGCAAGTTTACTTTTGAGTATGTCCCGGGGCAGGACGAAACGACTGTGTTCCGTATTGCGCAACAGTTACAGTCGAACTCGTATGAGGTGAAGGTCAAGAAGAGGTTTGTCTAGACTTTTAACAGGCTACAAACGGCACTCGTGCTGGGATAGCTGGGAGTCTTGAAAATTTCTCTATGGTTAGTGCATTGAGCATGTTGACGAGAGGTGATATGATCTTGTGCAAAAAGAAAATCAGATAAGCAAATTACTTTAGTTTAAAGACCATAGATATGTTCTGATGAACGGTTCCTTTACAGCATGAAACTGATAAAGAAAATGTTTCCAACAGGCCGTGTGGGAGTTGTAATTCGTCCAATCAGTTAATAAATTTCCCAATCTAACTGGATCCATTAAATCCTTCGCAGTGGTCAAGGCAGCGGCAAGTATATAAACTTGGGCTCCCACCCAGACTTGAACTTCCCAACTCACTCACTTTTACAATCCGTCTTCCTCTCTTACTAACCATGTCAGACAAGGCCATTCAAAACAACGTACCCATGCAAGGGCAAGGAGCTTACAGCTCCCACGCTGCTTTGCAGCACGAAGCGATGCTTCATGCCCTGCCTCTATTCCAGCAAGCTGCAAAGACTATAGTGGAGCGTGGAGTTAATCGCACAACCATTATCGAGTATGGATCTGCCCACGGCAATAACTCGTAAGTAACTCGAAACAAATCAATGTCTGCATATTGATCAGCCTTCAGGTTAGAACCTATCCAAATCATACTCGAAGCAACTCCTTCACGTCAAATGGAGCTACTCTTCAGTGACCGTCCAGAGAACGACTTTGGTACTCTGTCTACCACGATCATATCGTGGGCCGATTCGTTGGACAAAACGGAATTCCCTCATCCACTCTTCCTGAACATGATACCTCGAAACTTCTACCAGAAGGTCATTCCTCCTCAATCTGCACATCTTGGCTTTTCGCTCGCCGCTCTTCACCATCTTGATCACGTTCCCCCTCCTACTGGCGTCCAATCGGAGGATGATCAGCAGCTTCAAAAGCAAGCCCATCTTGATCTATGCACCTTTTTGGACCTTCGTGCCCAGGAGATCGCCTCGGGCGGCTCTCTTGTTCTCTCATTCGTCGGTCAAGCTTCTTCTGGTTACGAAAACTACAGTGGACCTGTCGACGCGTGCCGCAACGCCATGATCCAGATGGTCCAGCAAGGAACCATCCCAGTTTCAGTAGTCGCAGCCTTTCGTGTGCCTACCTACAACCGTACTCTGGATGATGTGAGAAAGGCCCTGGACGAGATGAGCAACGTTTGGGAAGTTCATGATCTTTTCGAAGATGATGTCACTCATCCTGCCATTCATAACTTGAGAAAGAAACAGGCTCAGGACAAAGATGCCAGTCAAGATTACGCCAATATCGTTATTGACTGGATGATGGCTGTTTGCTCTGGTTACTTTCTGAAGGCTCTCAAAGTTGGTAACCAAGGGCGTTACAGTGTAGAGGAGGAGAAGAAGCTGTTGGACGATTGGGTTGCCAGGACCAAGGAGCTGTTTATTCAAGATCATAAAGATGAGGAGGTTGTTTGTTCATTTGTCTACGTTCGTTTAGGTAAGCTCTAGTTGGCAAGCTTGAGCTTGGTTAAACTGAACTAGGTAGGTTATTGCAGTATAGATATATACATTTGGGTAAACTGATAATAAATAGCCAGAGGCAGTAATATTAAAGAAACTTGTAAAGACAAGTTAATTAGAGTAGATGTTTTTTATTTTTCTAACTTATCCTAGGATAAAGTAAGATACGTGTTAGTCTTGGGGCAAAGAACCTTGCCTGTAAAGATAGCCTAGTTCTGCAGTCCTAAATCAACTTTAGCAGAGTTAATTTTATTTAACCTACTTTAACTCTAGCAGGGTTAATATTACAATCTAACAAGTAGATTAGTTACCCTATATATACCCCTACATTTTTTACTAATTATATTAACAGGATATTTAATAACAATTAGTACTAAGCCTTAATAATTAGCACTAATCTAATATAATTAGTACTAATCTACTAAAATTAGTACTAATCCTAAGATAACCTTACTAATTACCTATAAGTTACCTAAGTATATATACCTTTACTTAGTATTAGTTAATATACTTAGCTTAATAGCTATTAATAATACTTCTTTACCTAAATACCTTTTATTTACTATTAAGAGATATAATACTAATATATTACTTAGTATTATACCCTATAACTCTATTAAATATAAACTTAGAATAGATTAGTTTACCTATTTAGAAACCTAACTATTATATATTAATAGCTCTTATTTAAACTATACTATATTAAATAACTAAGTAATATTATACTATTAAGATAACTAGTAATACTAAACTAATACCTTTATATACTAAAGCTATACTTAGCTCTGTAGAACTCCTTATTAAGATATAGTAGTTACGTAATATTATTAATACCCTATAGGCTTAGGTTAATAAATAGCCTATAGCTACTCTATAGCCCCTACTAGTACTATAACCTAAAAGGAACTTAGGTAAAGTACTTAAACCCCCTAAGCTAGAACCCTTTATAGGTAAAGTAGTAAATATTATACTATTTTTTACTTATATAAAGATATACTTTTAGATATACTAAAACTAACTTAATACTACTATAAAGAAAGTTATCTATACCTTTATACTAATCTAGGGAAATACTAAGAATTAGTTTAAGCTAATTCTTTAGGATTACCTTAAGTATAAGGATAATAAAAACCTTTAGGATTAGGAGACCTAGAATATCTTCTTAAATTAGAATAATTTTAAATAAGTACTTAAAGATAATTTTAGAGTAGTTAATAAAGAACAATAGGTAGTAGCTAAACTAATAATACTAAAGTAGTATAAGACCTATACTATATACTCTATATAAGTTTAATAACTTATATTTAAAACTAAATAAAATAACAAAGTACTTATAGAAATCTATTACTAAGGTCTTAAGAAAGAAGTAAAGAATAAGCTCTACCTTACTAATAGACCTAATAATCTTATTATATATATTATAATAATAGTTAAAATTAATAAATAATAGTATAAACATAGATAGGAAAAAGCTAACTTTACTTACAAGGAAAGTAACTTTAACCTACATTACCTTAGCTAATAATAATAAAATAATAATTAGGGTAATAATTAATACTAAGAATAATATTACTTTAACTAAGAAAGTATATCCTATAGAATATACCTAGAACCTATAATATTAAGAGTAGTATAGTAATCCCTATAATAGTACTAAGATTTATTAAAATATAAATACTATAACTATAACTAGTTTAGATATATAGTAAGATAATACCTATAACTATAAAAACTATAAGATTTAAACTATAGTAAGCTATAAACTTTTAAAATTACTAATAATATTAGCCTATAAATAGCCTAGTTACTAGTCTAGGCGTCGTTTTAGCAGAACGATAGTTAGGGTTAGCGAAATTGTATAGAGATCTAGGGTTATATACAGACTATTCCGCTAGAATAACGTTTCACTAGGATAACAGTAATAATTAGAGATAATATAGACTCCTTATAGTTAATAGGGAATTAACCCTAAATACTAAGAATAGCTAGTAGAGAGAGTAAGTAAGAGAGATAACCCTAAGTAAACTTAAAATTAAGGGATTAATAAAAATATATACTTAAAAGTAAGTATATAACCCTATTAGTAAAAGAAGATAATTTAAAATAAAGTTTAATTATATATTACTATAGTAATAGTAAAAAGTAAGTTTATATTTATATTAATAAATAAAAGGTATATTAACTCTATAGAATAGTAAGAGACTATAACTAATGTATTTACTAACTAGTAAATATTAGTAGTATTACTTTTAACCTAGTACTCTAGTCCGGGC